TATAGCATAACCAAGTATTTAAATAGTCTATATCTCATCTTAAAGGCAGTTATCCATTTATATCCTTCCTTTATTCTTATAAATTCATAGGCTTTTATAAAATCTAGAGCTATAAACTAGTTCATGCCTTATAGTCTTTCCCTAATTTTAGTAATTAATAGTAAAGGCATTTTATTTTTAATAGTTATTTTATTAAGCTATTAGTAGTTAATAACTAAATAAAGCTTTTTATTTTTCTTGGGTATAAAAATAATAGAGTACCCTGCTGGAGAGTTTAATACCCTAATGTATTCTTTATTTAATTGCATTTATAGCCATTTTTTAAGTATTTTAAGCTTAGTTTTATTAAGATTGTAGATTTTATAGAGCTTTAGTAAAGTTTTATCCTTAAGAACGATTTTATAATCCTATTTTAAGTAAGGTAGTAGTCCTTCTTTAAGTACTTGCTGGTATAATTTTTTATATTTCTAATATTACTATAGTATTTTAGCTAAAGGCTTATCTTCATTAACTTTAGCTTATTCTTTTGCTTTTGCTAGTACTGTATTAAGTTCAGCTAGTTCTATACAATATCTAGCAATAATTCTATTAATTTATATAATTTTTACTTTCTGTCGTTAATTATTGTATTATAGTGGTATCAGTAATTTTTTAAAGTTAAATTTAACTTTTTTTTATATTTTTATTTTCTTAGCCTTATCTTTCTTATTTTATTTCTTTTTCTTTAATTGCGCAGGAGGTTTTAGTTATAGGTCTATAAGCATATCTTTGCTTTCCTTGCCCCCTTCCTAGCCTAATTACAACTTTAGGGAGATATCCTCTTCTTAAGTTATCTTTTTTATCTTTTAGTTAATTATAGGGTTGTATTTTTCTAACTATAGATATCCTAGCAAGATATTGCAGTCTTATAGGTCCAGTATATTAAACTTAATATCCTTAGTTCAATTAGCAACTGTCATAGGGAGATAATCAGTCTCATGGGTAATAGTTATTCCTATATTTATACTTACAATGCTAAAGACAATTAATAAAGTCTTTTTAACAATACATGGTATTTTAAGCCAGTCTATTAGACTGTTAGTAATTAAATTGCAATCTAAACCACTGTCTATATAGATTTTAACTGGTTGCTGGTTTAAATATTTATTAATTACCAGTTTCTTCTTAAATATTTTAATTAAGTTAATGGTAATTATGTCTAAAGGGCTTTCTTGCTATATCTTAGGTTAATATTTTTTACACCATTAGTATTTAATTTAATTATTTTATTCTTTAATTATTCAGTGATATTTCTTAATTAAGGTCTTATTTTCTTATCCTTTATTTAAGTAGTTATTAAAGTTATAGTTTCTTTATAAGAGTTTTTATATTATTTAATAAAACTGGTGTTTTTCCTTGCAGTGTTTTTTGTAATATTATATATTATAGTCTAAAAAGTATATTATTAAACACTCCTTTAATTTAACTTACTTTAGTCGTCTGCTATATTAATCTTTTAATTTATTAAGCATATATAATTAATAGTATATACTGTTATAATCTTTCCAGTAGTGTTTTCTACAATCTTTATTAAGAGCATTAAGGATATTATAAATTAAGACGCAGGTATAGGTGTCTTTAAGGTCTAGTTTAATAGCCTTTATTTATTTCTATGCTTGCTCCAGATTTATCTTTTAAGGTAGATGTTCTTTAAGATATTGCCGTCTTCCCTCTTGTTTTTCTTCTTCTTCTGCCTATACTCCTAAGACATACATACAGTTATATTCTTTATCCATTAATTTACAGATATCGCATCCTTTACAGTTATAATTAAAGTCCTAAAAGTAACAGATATTATATTAATATATATAAAATAAAACTAATCTATCTAATCTTCATAGTTTTTTGCAACAGTGGTTTATATCCTATAAGTAACATTGTAGGCATTTATATATTTTTCTATTAAACTTTAGGCAAGTTTCATTATATTGTAGTTTCTAGGAACTGCATTAATAACATTTATTATCATAGACAATTTCATCTTTGCTAGCTTCTTTATCTAAGAGTTCCCATTCTCTTTTAAATTATGCTTTTCCTTGTTCTTTAAGGTATTCCTTAGCTAATCTATCTTCTTCCTTAAAGAGTTTATACATAGCTTCTATATTTTATTGCTATTTGCCTTTGCAATTATATTGGTATCCTTCTATAGATCTGCAGTTGGGGCATCCTTAGCATTTATGGTTAGGGTTTTATAAGTAGCACTTATTATAATTATAGTTTTTCTTTTAAATTATTGCTTGTTTTTTATTGCACTTATAAGTAGTATTAGTGGATCTACAGTATTTGCAGATTAATTTTATGCTAAAGTCTAAATCTTTATTAAGTAGTTTATAGAAGGTTAAAGAGTTAATTTTAACTTTTTTCTAAGATTTTGCCTTCTTTAGCTTCTTTAAATAGTATCTTAATTCATCTTTATTGCTTTTATATATAAGGCATGCATTATTATAGCAGGCAGTTTAACTAAGGCTGGCGTAAGGTATTTCAGTAATAGTGTCTATCTATACATTTTCCTTTATAGTGTTAATTACTGCTTTATCTTTTCATTCAGGACTTTTCCTATTTCCTTCTTATTTCTTCTTAAAATAGCAATAAGCTTCTTTATAGCCTAACTTACTATAGAAATTGCATTTTCCTTTAAACTTAGTGGCTTTAATAGTGTTGAGGTCCATTTTGCCTGGTTGAGTTCCATTATCCTTAGCAATATATTCATCTTTTTTCTTTCTTTAGTTAGCCTGTAGATAAGGCTTAGTCATAGTGCTGTTTCTTTTAATTTTTCATTCTTACTTCCTTTCCCATTATCAGTTATTAATCTTAATAGCTTCTTAAGTAAAGTCAGTAAAACTGGTTTTTTATTAATCTATCTTATAAATTTCATCCTTAACTTTAGGTTTTAGGCTATAGTAATAGATTTCTTTCTTTAAGTCTTTAGTCTAGTTTACTTTAGTAAATAACTAAAGAAATATTAAAGTGTACTAGTAATATAGTCCTTTTTATTTAAGGTCTTTAAGTTTCTTTTCTGCTTCCTGGGTTTTATTAGTAATTCTAAAGGACTTCTTTAGTTCTTCTTTAAAATTGCCATAATTAGTGAAGATGGCTGTGGTTTAAGCTCCTTGGTTATCAGGGGTGTTCTCTTAATAATCCTTTAAGATTGCTTTAATCCAGTCTTCTGCTGCTTCATCTATTTAGGTTCCTGCATATTAAATACATTTAAATAGCTTAATAAGTGTAAAGGAGTTTAAAAAATAGTATTTAAAATAAATTTAAAGGTCGTTAAAGAACTTGCGCAGTTTTACTGGGTCTTCATTAAATTTATTAAAGTAAGGAGGCCTAAGAATTTCTCTAGGTTGTTTTTTAATTATCCTGACGGGTTATACAACAGGTATAACTACAGCGGGTGCTACAGCTAGTAGCACTGCTGGCAGATTATGGAGTATAGCAAGCTGTTGCTATAGAACATTAATAGTTTATATATCATTAGTTCTTTATACTTCCAATTAGTAGACTAATTATTTAAAGACAGCTAAATAGCTTATGGGGTTCTATAGATTTAGTAGAGGCGCTTAATGTTGCATCTGCTCTTTTACACTAGACTAATCCATAGGTTTAATAAGGTCTTAGAAGTTATTTATTTTAATATTGCCTGTAGGTCTAGTAACCGTTCAAACAAAAGTTATTAATATATAATAAACTATATACTAAATAGTTAGTATAGGGTAGATTCTTAAGGGATAAACCTAAAATAAGTTCTTTAGGTTTATATTAGCGGATAGGTTAGGAAACCTATAGGCAATAATATTACAATAATAGTTACCAATAGGGATTAAAAATACTTTTCAATTAGTAAATGTAAAACTATATTAATAACTGGCTATTTAAGTTATCTAAATAAGCGTAAGAAGTAAACTTATATATTCAGTTGGTATTTTTAGATTATAATAGATTAATGTTAATTCCCATTAATCCTAAGTGTGCGTCAAGATAGATCGAACATGATTTGTGTCGACCCATCGCTGATTAATGCGCCGGGCCTAAGTTAATCCAGCGATGCCTACCCGGTAGGCCCATAGTTGCGACCATAAGAGTTGGGTCGTAACAAGTGTTCCGCAATACAACCTATGCCTATGTAACTTTAGGATCCTTAGGGTCCTTAAGGCCTGCTTTTCCAGTAGACACAGGAGCTTCCGCTGGGGTAGAGTCCTTTAGGCTGCTTAATTTATCCTTTATACTGCAAGATATATTAATTAATGTTATTTTAGTTAATTAAGCATCTTTTTTATTACTGCCTATTTTCTTAAGGTTTTTAAAACTCCCTGCTAGTTTTATATAAGAGGTAATAAAATTCTTAAAAGCAGTATTTAAAATTAAGCATATTTATTCTACTACTGCAGAAGAAAGTTTAATTATATATTATATTAAACAGAAGTTAATAACTATAGCTATATTTAATACTATATTTTATTTAGCCTATTATTATACATTTATTTTTTTAATCTAGCTTAAGATTTTACTTTTAATAAAGAATTTCTTTTCTTTATTAAGTACAGTAGCTTTCTTTAAACCGCTAAATATAAAGGTAGTAAGGCCTTTTATTTTCTATATAGCCATAGCTATACTCAGCCTTGCTTTATTAAAGCTGGGTAAGTATATATTATTTACTTTAAAGTCTTCTTTAAAGTATCTTTTCTTCTTGGGGGTAAAGGGGAGCACAGTAGTCTTTTCTATTCCTAGGATTAAGGGGGCTGCTCCCTTTTAAGGTTATAGTACAGTCGCTGGCCCAGGGGCAACGGTGTTAGTTCTATTCTAGGTATCCAGAGGGTTTGTAGATATTTCTATCTCTCCAGGGTCTCCAGAGGGGGCCGTAAAAGTAAAAAGCAAAGGCATTTTATCTAATAGCTAGTTAAACAGAGTGAGGTTTTTGGTGGTTAGGCACCCAAAAGGTGGGGTACCTGTAGATGTAGGAGGGAAGCTTGATTATTACCCTGAGTAACATCATTGAGAATATCGGGATGCGCATACAGTACAGGATTGATGAAGCCAACTGGTTTCTTCCCTAATTTAAGTCGTTCTCCATTGATAAGCGTAAAGATACTGCCGAATAACGGGGTAGCGGCACTGGTCCCGCTTACAGGTTGAAAACTTCCGTCCACAGCCACGTCGTACCGAGCACCATTGACGCTTACATCAGGTAGACCGCGGGAGTTGCCGCTGGTATTGAACCTGTCTGCTCCGTAGGAAGGGGGGTAGCGGGTCAAGTAATGGGACACGGCTTCAGCCTGGTAGGCAGGCAGTGAAAAAATATTGCTGTAGCCTCCTCCGCTGTAGATGTCAACCTCACAGGCCATCTCAGGCTGCTTTCCTTCGGCCAAAACAGCTACAATATTAGTGCCAGGAATAATTTGAGTGGCACTAACCGTAGTGACAAAGGGACAATCGCCCGGAAAAGGTGGGAGGAACCTTCCGTAGGTACCGTTTGTAAGGGATTCTCCATTTGGCTTAAAGCACCTCTTGCCCAGTCCTGCTACACCTGCAGGTAGGCATCAGGAAATAAGCCATAGGACAGTTATTTTCTCTGAAAGCCTCACCGTAATCAGCTGAAGGGTACAGTGCAGTAACCCCTTGTAATCTTAATTTCATGTACTCATGACATTGACGAATAATATAGTGTGGCGGTAAATCCTTAGCAAAAGACCATGATGAAGAGATGACATATGTGGGTTGCAAAGTCCCGCAAGTTTCAGTCCCGTTATAGCCGCCTAGCTGTAGGTCAGGGTAGTGACGGTCACCTTGAGGATCATCTCCGCCGTCATAGGTACAATAAGACTTTTCGATACCATCGAGAAAGTTGTTATAGGACGCTCCTTCCACCATATCCCCAACTTAGAACAATGTGACCTCCTGTGAATATACCAAAGCCATAGCATATTCGAGATCTAGGCCTGGCTCAATGTTGTTGTATTCGCCCTCCTGTTGTTGTTGAGGATAACTACTGTCAATGGAATTAAGATGTGGCCGTTGGCCTACCAGCTCCGGCTGGGTGTCAAAAGACTGAGTACACACGCTATTTCGTACTAAAACATATACATTTTTAAATACTAAACTGTTTTGAATAAATACAACATAATATAATATAATATAATATAATATAATATAATATAATATAATAAAAATATATGGATTATTAATTCTTATATAAAATTTTATATTTTATAGATTCTATTTCCGGGTAGGTGAAAATCAGCTTGTTCCCAGACTTTTGATATCCGCTGTACTCCTTAAACATGAAGCGGGGATGCCACTAGCAAAGTACGTGCATGTACCCCAATATCACCTGAGGCTATTGTCACCAGCTTCTATATACGAACGGCCTTTTTACGATGTAATAAGAAGCGAGCCCATTCCCCCCCATTCTTTTATATCTACAAATAATTTCTTCTGGACATCAACTTTTGTTACCTTTTTCTCTCTTTCTGTGTAAAGTAAAAAGTTTGTTAGAGGGAAAGCTCTTTAATTCAGTTATGGGCACGCCAAAAGAGCATCTCCCGACCTCTATTTCAGAGGATGACATTAGGGCCCTTATTGCATCCCTCGGTCTGCCATCGCCACAATTGATATCTCCATTATCTACCACAGCGGAATATCATTCAATTTACATCCTTTCTTTTCCTTCAGCAGTAGCGGCTAGCCTTTCCCCGACGTTGATACCCTTGCCCAACGATGATCACGTCCAGCTCATCTTGCGCATTTCTGGCAATCATTTACCCCGCATCAAAACTATCAACGAAGTTGCGGTGATGACTTGGGTGCGACAAAACACTCGCTTCCCTATAGCGGAAGTTGTGTGCTTTGATGCTAGCACCGATAATCCCCTGGGTCATGAATATACTCTCTTGCAGAGACTTCCTGGGGTTGCAGTTAGCGACGTCTATCATCGCCTTTCTCTGGAGATGTTAGATCGTCTCATCGATCAGATGGTCGACATTGTACACCAGACTCATGAAATGTCTTGGCATGGGGTATTTGGTCTTCAGTTTGACAATAATGGATATATCATCCCAGGTCCCGTAGTCGAAGAAACATTTTGGCACTCGCATGATGTGGCCAAATATTGGCCCGATTCAGAATCTGTGGAATCTCTCAATGTTAGCGGGCCATACGAATCCTACACCGATTATATAGCCGCAATGGTACGCGTTTACCAACATGCAATTCGTATACATCCAAGTTTAGAAAGCATGCGAGATCTTTTACCACGCCTTGATGCTTTTGTGAACGCCCTGCCAGAACATCCTGAGCTCAATGATTCTAGGTATATTCTGGCACACAAAGATTTGCACTTCGGAAACGTCATGTATGATGAGTTGAACGGTTGTATCACTGGCATATTAGATTGGGAATTCTCCAGCATCGTGCCAGCGCCCCGATGGAATCCTGCTAGGGCTTTTCTCTGGAATGGCCAATATACTCCAGAGGCCACTGAAGAACGGAATCGTCTTCACGAGCTGTTTAGAGAACGTTGTGTGGCGCGAGGGTTGGTCTCTCTTATAGAAGAGACAAATTTCCGTTCGACTATGCAGCAGGCGATGCAAGATGCAGTTAACTACCTGCGTGCAATTGTGGAGGTTAGCCCACGCCAGCAAAAGGCAGAGGTGGTTCCTAGCTGGCGGGCTTCCCTTGAAGAGAGGCTGGATGCCTTTAAGGTTTGAAATAGTTCAGTATCCATTGTATAAACAGCAATAATTGAGATCTTGAAGTTTATCATCATGGTTAGAATACAGCCTTTTCTTACTACCTCTCCTCCATGCCTGATTATGAAAAATTAATTAAGTTCTATGCATCGTATTTCAGGCCCTTTAACCACGATAGTCTTAATACATTTAACATATAGGTATACATAAATGGAGCACTATTTATTAGCAACCATAAGTTATAGGCTTACATACTCTATTGATATTCATATTGGCGCTATCTTAACGCTTATTCTTCTTTGTTATTGACTTGAAATTCCAATTCGCTGCTTCTACCGCTGAGATTATATTACTACATTGTGCGCATGTAAATACCATTTTTCGACGTCGTATAAAGCTCAATTGCTTCTCACTTTTCGTATGTAATTTAGTTTAGAAAAGCACTGGTAGATCTTCAATTCCAACATCTCGATCAAGTGGTGTGTAATTAATTTTATCAATAGGCAGCGCGAGTCTTAAATTTGGCAGCTCCCGAAAAATGGTGGCTGTGTGTAATTGTTAACATATAGTATCTTGAGGATCAAATGCGTATGTTACTCACAAAAAACCGCTGACAACTCAGCATTTGCCAGGCCTTCAGCGATACAACGGTGGTCGCCGTATCCAAATCCGAGAGGATCTTCAGCAGGCCACTGACGGTTCATGTTAAATGTATCTGCATCCGTGAATATATCTTCATCCCGGTTTGCAGATTGGTTAGAGGCAATGATGCCTTCATTCGCCTTTATAAGCTATTTTCAAGAGTATAAATGTTAATAATAAAAAGTAAAATACAAATAGAAATGAGTGTTTGACAGGATAACATACCTTGCCTCCGATCTCAATATCGACTTTTGCTGTGCGCTTAATGGCAAGCGCCGATGCTGTATGGTATCGACAAAGCTCTTTCACAAATGCAGGAGCAAGCGATGGATCGGCTTTCAGTTGTTGAAGCTGCTCAGGATGTTGAAATAATGTCACAACCCCCTATGTGCGATTAGAAGACACTCCCAGAGCTCACCAAACGACTTGGGGAAGAGAAGGGTGGGTAGTGGATTTCATACCAAAGTAATCATGTTTACCATTGTGGCATTTCCTGCAACAAGTAGTAAGAAAGCTATTTGCACTGCATCAGCTTTTTCGATGACACCAGGCTTGACTTGTTCAATCACAAGTTTGCTGATCAGATCATCTTTGGGGTCCTGCATTCTCTGATCTACTAAGTTGGCAAGATAGTCAAGTAAACCCCTGCACGATGATTAGTATCAGACTTATCCCTACATTGAATGGTTATGAGACACACTGGTTGGCGGCCGACGCTTCGCGCGCTGTAGAACTTCCATTTGTTCTTATCGCATTCTGTTGCGTGAGATACTCAAGGTCGTGGAACGGGACACCTAGTATGGTATATATAATCTTCCATGAGCGTGTTAGCAATAAACCCTTTCTTAGGTAAGCTGCTATTTCATGCGCTTCCACTCACATATGATGGAATTGGTAATGCGAACTCTTTTACTAAGTCCACTGGGCCACTAGAACAGCCTTTGGATTTCATAGCGTTCAAAATATCGTCGACTGTCTTCTGGATATATGGTTGCAGCTCCTTAATATGTTGGGCGGCGAAAAATGGCTCGACCATGCGTCTAAGAATATTTTTAAGTTATTGTGAAATGGTAAGGACGTACAGACTAGTTCACCTTTGATGCATGTGGTCCGGAGGATCCATATCAACAAACGTAGGTTTAGCTTTGGCAGCCTCTTTCCCGCCAGGAGCTAATTCGGGAAATCCTGGGCGAGTTCGAATCTAGATTATTTTTTTTAAAATTTTTTAGCAGACTTAACAATGTAAATGGTTATCGGTCTTACTTTGGATAGTTTATTATCTGTTGCAACAGTAACCACATCTTTGTACTTGGTGACTAACCAGGCCAGGCTACCATCAAAGAGTTTAACTCTTGAAACAGGGTTGCTGGCTCTAAGCCGAGAAAACTCGGCCGGCGGTTCCAAGCCGGAAGCACGTCGGAAGGGAAAGTTGGGTGCGTCCGTTGCCATTGAAGCAATCGTCCTGATATATTTCTGGGACGGAGCGCTGTGCACCAAGCGCGGGAAGGGTAATAATTTGGCTTGAATCAATCTCATGCTTATGTCTTAGGCGTAGATGACTCCTTCGATAATTAATTGGGAATGCTTCTCATGTTCTAAAACGCATCCTATGATGGCATTTTATACTTGGCTCAATGTGCTCTCAGCGGCGCACCAATCTCAAGCCACAAGGATTGTATTACCTTGCTGCTATGATGTAATTCCCTATTCTCCGCGGAGGTGAGACTTTCCTCAGGTGCAATTGGTCAAAATAACCATGAGTAGGCTAATCAACGGGAATATAAGGGCATTCATTTGCATTAATGTTCTCCAGGTGGGGTTGAAAATCGTTTTTCCCCGGAGATATATCTACATGTTGCCATCAAATATAAGGTTAACAGATCAGACGATTTTGATTCCGGTTTATCAGCTGTTTGGCTTCGCCGCTCGCTCCACCCAGGCCAAGGTTTCCCGCTGTGGCTCAAAGGCTAAGAGCCAGCCTTACCGTTTATAGTGTTTAGGCCTGGTGAACGATTTGGATTGCTCAGGCCAATCAGGTCCCTTGGCTACTATTGCAAGAGGAACATATCGTCCTAACTTGATTGTTCTGCAAGCGTGTCTTTTCATTATTGTTATTAGCAATATCTCGCTATAAATATCCTTGTGGGGATATGCGATGTTTATATATATAATATATCTATCTATTTAGACTTTTAATATGAATCTAAGAAAAGAATGTTTGGACAATTCAAATGGAGTTGGTATATTTTAGAACATTATGAGATATGTTTTTGTGATGGCGTCGAAGCGGCTGAGACATAGTATGCTGCTAAGAAATTAATGTTTCAAGTATGATAGCTTTGGCGCTTCTTATTCGGCTCCTAACGTTTCAACATTCAAAACTAGTAATTCGTTAATCTGTAGAATTGACCGGGATACTGCATGATAATTCCTAATGCATTGCAAGTCACCCTTATGAGTATTTTATGTGTGGCGAATTACATGTTATTGCATAGGTTTAGGGGATGTACGAGATAAAGTATTAGACTCTGTATCCCTTGGCTGTTTGGAATAAACAGTATTTCTGCACAGACGGGTTGACTGGAAATGTGGCTCAAATATTGTAACGTTGGCGCTTCATCATGATCTTGCGACAGAATGTAAGGCTTCCTGTTGAATGCACTTACTTTTTTCCGCGCACGTGTATATGCCGACCGAGGACCCATTCACATACCCCGGACATTAGGTTACCAAGCCGCACACCACTGATATACGGAGGGAAAGGCGCAATATATGTGTTTAATAATATAATATGGAGACGTTTCTAGAACCGCTTTGTTTTTGTTTTTGTATTGTACTGAATGCAGTTTCTTTATCTCATAGCTTGGCAATCATGGTCATTGGTCGCCAATTTAGCCGTAGAGCAGTGCTAAAGTGTATGATTATAGGGTATCAACTTTACAAGATTGATCCACTATGGTGCGATCGTTCAGAAGTGGAATATAAGTAGAAAGCTGCGTGAAAAGTCCTCCCGCTGCATAATAGCATACTGTCTCTTTCATTGATCAACATACTCAAATAATGATTCACTTCAATTTACAGGTCATATTAGCATTGGCGGTTACAATTTCTGCTGTGACTGGTGATAGTTCGATACAATACGTGGGACCTGAGAATGGCAACTTGGTGATCGTTGGCGGTGGAACGCTGGACGATTCCATTCTCCAGCGAGTCATAGATCTTGCAGGAGGCAACGATAGCTCAATTGTCGTCATTCCCACTGCTCAGGGTGATCCAAGCTATGACGAAAATGCAGCTAATGCAGGAGATTTCCGTCGTCTTGGCGCTAAAAGCGTTACTGTTTTACATACATATGAGCCCGAGGTTGCAAATACGGAAGAATTTGTGCAGCCACTTCTCAATGCTACTGGTGTCTGGCTTGGAGGCGGCCGCCAGTGGCGTTTAGTCAATGCTTATGCTGGAACGCTTGCTCAACAAAAGATTCGAGCAGTGCTAGACGCTGGTGGTGTCATTGGAGGATCTTCTGCCGGGGCATCTATTCAAGGAGACTTCTTAGCGCGGGGCGATACGGAGAGTAACTCTCTCATAATCGGAGATCATCAACAAGGCTTCGCTTATGTCAAAAACGTGGCTATCGACCAACAGGTGCTTGTTCGCAATCGGCAATTTGATATGTTAAACGTACTCAAATATAAACCAGGGATTCTAGGCATATCAATTAGCGAAAACACCGCTATTGATGTTTCGAAGAATAGTGCTCAGATATTCGGGGCGAGCTACGCCATCATTTACGACGGAACATATTGGTCGAGGGACGGCAGCGATCCGAATGAACTTCCGGATTCTTCAGGCCTATTCTATTTCTTAAGAGAAGGAGATGAATATGATCTTGGGTTGCGAAAGGTCATCAAATCAACTTGATCCCGTTGTGTACATAGCTTAGCATATGTCATCGCTGAGAGCAGGCTAATATATGACATGGCCTTGAGGATACAAAAATTTATAGCGTGAGTAGTAAGGGCTGTTTACAATGTTAATGTATTAGAATACATTTGTTTTATATTCTTCATTTGAGTTATTGTCTCTATTTCTGCGTTTTGTCCTCGCTTACCTGTCTAATTCACAGGTAGCTTAGTATTATGTATTTTTTTTTCTCTTTTTGCAGTGGGAGTGGAAAGCTGTTTCAGCTTGGCAGTGAATATCTGACCCGTCTAGTATGACAATCGCCACCGAGGGTCTTTATCTCCTTCCCAATCCACTGCTTCTCCCACATTCTGTATTTCCCGGGAGACTTTTGCCCTCGCTATATTTTGCGCTTTCAGTCGCCATCCGGCATAGCTGACCACAATAACATTTGCACACAAGTAAGCCAGTGCAACTGAGTGACCAACAATAAATCTTGGCCCATCATTTGATCGATACAACTGTGTCCCCATGACCGCCCCTAAATTACCAATGCTAATTTGCATTGCGTTTGCAATAGCTCTTTTTGTTTGACCAGATACGTTGATAGCAGGCCATGAGAGAACAAGTCCAGTGGCTGGGTAAATGCCCGCGGCAGCAAAGAATGTGCCCGCGTATGATAAACCAGGCCGTGTAACAGGGTCGGTGTTTGCAAGTAATATAATATACCCAATTGCAGCCGTAATGGAAGAGCCAGCTATGAATACCGCCCTTCTACCCAACTTTTCGGACGCAACGGCAACTCCAACAGTAGTAATAAATGCCAACGCATACGGAGGAATCGTAAGAAGCTGAGCCTTCGCTGCTGTATATCCAAGATTGCTGATAATAGTTGGCTAATAATCATTCAGCATTGAAGATACTTCAATTAATAAAATGATTTCATCCGAGACTTACCAGAAATAGAGAAAGAGTATACAGTGGCAAGCTCATTGTATGGAAACCCAAACTATAGAGCCAACAACTTGGATCATTAATCGCTTCAAGTACAGCAGCCCAGGTGAATTCTTCCTTGATCATAGCGTCGGAGTCTGCGGCCAATCTAGTTTTGATGAGCTCTCTTTCAGCTTTTGTAAGAAATTTAGCGGTATCCGGGTAGTTTTCGATGAACCAGTACGCTATTATGGCCATGATAACAGTAGCGGTTCCCTCCTAAACCATGATGTCAGTGTAGACCCTCACACCTTTTAAGAAAAGCCTACAAGAATAAATATCCACCTCCATCCATTACTCCAAATTACCCCTTTCATCTTCGCAATTCCCTAAAGGTTTACATTAGCGATGCTCCAATGAAAGGATATATTAATGTCACGAACAAATGCTAAAATGCCGCCAAAAGCCCCCGCAAGCGATGCTGCACTGAAAAATAACGAAATGCGATATTGCCGCTCTTTTCTCTTGTACCACATCGATAGATAGAAAACAACACCAGGAAACAGACCACTTTCCGTTACACCCAGAAAGAAGCGAGCAACAAGAAAACCAGAAAGATTTTGTACCACTCCCAACAGAGTAGCAACAATACCCCACGCTATTGTCAGAGTCGGAAGCCATAAACGAGGGCTTGTCTTTTTGAGGATAATATTACATGGAACCTGTCTCTCGAGTCAGATGAGCCTCCAAGGACGGAAATATCTAGGCCACTGACCTCAAAAAGAACATAGCCAATAAAATAAATGGTCAGCCCAGTAAGATATTGGTTACCGGCTATTAAACGTTAGAAATGTCTAGGCAGCTAAGGATCTGTGTATATCGAACTCATATGAAGGTCATTTACCATGCCCTCAATGCGGGCATTTCCAACTAAGCCTCATGTTAGCTGAGTTAAAACGGGATCTTCCCATGTCATACCATTGCTACGGTCTAAGAATGAGAGAAGGTACAAAATACCAACTCCAGGTAAGAGCCTAGCGTCCAACTTGCGAAGCAGTGATCGCCCTTTATCTTCTTCGCCAATGGCTATAACGTCATTCCCTTCCTCGTTTTGGATATCTGACATATGTTTCATATCCGCCATTTCGTAAAACAAATATAAGGAGCAATCAGTGTTGATAGAACAGAATCTCCAGGTGCGTACAGCTAGTTAAAATGTATTACGGTTCAGATATATAGGCTGGTGATCCCCTGGCCATTTATGGGTATTTTTCTTCGATGTTCTATCATCATTGGATCCAAAAGCCCTAGTATCGCATGGCACAATATTAAAGCCATCGTGCAATGTGCTTTTCATAATACAGCTAATATCGCGTCAAATCCTCAGCTAGCACGCCATGGTGGAGAAAGAATGACCCCGCCAAAAGGTTTCCCGCTTCCTGGATCTAAAGTACTATGATCTTAGAAATGAATGGTGCTATAGTTGTTGGGGCAATACACGATAAAGGCTAGGGAAAGACGTTACAGCAAGTTTATACAAGTAAAAGTCGCGAGGAGCTATGCTATAATATAGCCATGTAGCGAAATGAGCTGCAAAATGTATACTATCCTCTTAGGATAGTTCTAGACCAAGCATATCTTGCAGACGAAGCAGAGACTGAGACCGCTAATGGCAGAAGATACAATTTTATCATCTTAATGTTACATTGCATTTGTGATAGCAGTGAAAACTGAATTAATGCTAAATTTAAAAGAATCGTATTTTTTCAGTTATTGTTTGGATTGAAAAGTAATAGAGGAGCTGAGTGTTTAATAATAATATAGCTGGTTCAAATTTGTAAACGTAAAATTAGCATTTTCAAGAAGCTACATAGCTACAAAAGTATTTTGGAAAAAATACAAAAACTTTATCCTCATTCTACTTACGGTCCGGTGCACAGTTGAATTGGTTGCGGTTAACTTTTATCCACAAGACACTTTTGGCAAGTTATTATAAAGACCTTGCATGACCGATACTGATTGCCTCTCACTTTGTGTTGATGCTATCGGACATTACCTCATCCATAGACGCCTTAGAGAGCCCTGTGATTTATGGTATCGCGGATGTATAGTCGATGCTATGGCAAATATACATTGCATTAGACGGTATAGGCCTAAGCGCACTGCTATTTACATGCCTTAATATATCTTAACATGGCTGATAAGTGAGGCAAAGTTGGAATAATACCTGTAGCGAAATGTCGTGCTATATTATCTACCCGTATGATCGGTACTGGATGTAAACAGCTATATAATTGTGCGCCAATATAGAATCGTATCGGCAGCCATTTTCTATAAATCATTACTGCATGATGCCTACTATAAATTGCCACTAGATGTCTATTAACGTATAACAACTCCAAGAAGCTGGAAAATTACATCAAGAGCAATCAGTGCCTGTTTACTACATAGTATATTGTCTTGTATATTCCCTATTTGTTACTCTGGGACCTGCCATATCAGTGAGCGCAGGAACGTTGTATCCTAAGGTAAGGGAGGAACTTCATTCATATAACCCTTGATCAGAGTGCTGAGAGTACTGAGCAAAGGAGCCGCACCTGTATCCTAATATACTTCTCAAGGGCGTCCTAGGTCCATTGAAATGATGTGCTAGGCGCGCTGGTGACAAGCTGGCAACCAGCTTAAGGCCGTAGCCGTGCCGTAATACTAATAGCACTGAGGCACCTGCCTAAATGGCTTAATTATTTAGAGGCTAATCAATATCAGTAGCGGCGACAGCATCTGAAGCTTCCTATTCAAGCAGTTACAATAACCCTCATCTCTTTGGCAATTTCGCGCAGTCTCTCAAGGGATCAAATAAACTCGAATTACATAGCGCATGTGACCGCTCCATCATGTACAGAACAATGCCACACTGGTACAGTCCCCCAATCTCCCCAGAGAAGTCACCTGCCATTTTTTTCCAATGTCGTGGGATCTATACTGGGTCCACCGGCGACCATCTAGCGTTCATGAGCTGGAATTGGGAAAATGTTTCGTTTCAAGTTACAACACTACAGTCGGAGCACGAGACAAGGCTTATCGGCTATGTAACGTCTCTTTTCACTAGAATGATAGGTAATGTAAGTTATACTGTGCAATCTTCTGTGTTTACGTGTTCCGCGTTCGCAGATACCATGATCTGACGCGGCGGGCTAATGTATTGAAGAATTTAAATAAATATCTCTGGCTTTGCGCGGCTTTCCAACTGTGAGGCTATTTGATCTATATAAAACGGGCCACTACAACCTGTACTTCGAACTTTCCATCAAGTAGCTGTTGAGTTTAATATTCGCTGTATATTTTTTATATTGTGCTTACCAGTTGCCATTCCACCCCGCCAGTATGCATTTAGCAGCTTTCTTTGCAGGTCTAGGACTCGCTGGCCTGGTTGCTGGCGCCCCCCCTTCAGCTCCGCACAAAGTTAAAGCTCGCCAAGCTTCTGGTGCACAAAATGTCGTCTATTGGGGAGGCACTAACAATGAAAGCGACGACCTTTCTACATATTGTACACCCACCGCAGGCATTGATATCCTTGTCCTGTCTTTTTTGGACATTTACGGCGCAACTGGCAACATTCCAGCGGGAAATATTGGTAATTCTTGCTACATCGGCACGAATGGCGCACCTCAACTGTGCGATGATCTAGCTGCTTCAATAGCAAGCTGCCAGGCCGCTGGTATCAAAATCATCTTGTCTCTTGGAGGCGCGGCTGGTTCCTATTCTCTACAATCGCAGTCACAGGCTGTTGCTATTGGCCAGTATCTCTGGGAGGCTTACGGCAACTCTGGCAGTACTTCTGTCCAGCGACCCTTTGGCAGCATCTTCGTCAACGGCTGGGACTTCGACCTTGAGCTGAATGCTGGCAACCAATATTACCAGTATCTAATATCAACCCTCCGTTCTAATTTTGCCAGTGACCCGAAAAACACATATTATATTACTGGAGCGCCCCAGTGTCCTCTACCGTTGAGTCTCCTCTAAATTCGCAGTTAGACAGGTGATTCACGGCTTGCTAATAATACCGATGGAACAAATAGAGAACCAAACATGGGAGAAATTATAAGCACCTCTCAGTTTGACTATCTCTGGATTCAATTCTATAATAACAACGCTTATGCACCAGACCCCTGTTCTCTTGGTCTGCCGGGCGATGCACCCTTCAACTACAACAACTGGACGTCATTCATTGCTACTACTCCTTCAAAAAATGCAGTATGTATATTTGGGCGCCTGGTATTATCCTGTATGCCGAAATTCTAACAGTTCTACCAGAAACTGTTTATAGGGGTTCCTGCGAATACTTTGGCTGCCAATGGCAATTCAGGCGGCGCTGTTTACTATGCTTCGCCATCCCAGTTGGCTTCCATTGTCGCGAATACCAAGTCTAGCCCAGACTTTGGAGGAATTATGATGTGGGATGCCGGGTACTCTGATGCGAATGTCAACAACGGATGCAATTACGCCCAGGAGGCTAAGAACATCCTCCTTACTGGCGCTCCCTGTGGTGGCTCACCACCTCCCGTTAGCAGCAGCACCCCCACATCCACTGCAAGGACAACCAAGCCCGCCACTAGCACTTCATCAGCCTCAGGAACAGGGCCGACAGGAGGCGGCACAGTACCCCAGTGGGGCCAGGTAAGTCAGAGATTTTGGAGCTTATCTATGGCCCGGGAAAGAACGCTAATACGTTTTACAGTGTGGCGGAGAGGGATACACAGGCCCAACCCAGTGCGTTTCTCCTTATAAATGCATCGAGTCAAGTCAATGGTGGTCGTCTTGCCAGTAAAGCTATAATGAACTGGTTGTTAAAAGAACACGTGGAAATGTTCCGCGTGCAGGCAGATTTTCACCTAAAAAAAGCAGAAAATACTATGACTATTAGAAGAATTGAAAATAAAATATATTCGGGAATGCTATTTCTTGCCTAGAAATCACCTACTATGTTGAAATCTATTGCCGGCGAAGCCGGCACGGATTGAAATTCTTGTAAGCATGGAAAAGAAAAATACTACTTTCGCTTTCTTTAGCAAAGCTCATTATAGCCTAGATAACTGTAATTGGATAAAATTAGATCTATACAGATGCCGAGATATAGCTCGTTGTACACCTGTACGGATTATTATAAAGAGGCCGCAAATTTATCACTAGACTTATTGCTCGGTCTAAACGGAGTAGTTCGGATTATATTTCAGTGGTGTGAAGCAGTTAGTACAGTGGGTGGCCAAAAATTTGCTTTTAAAAGTGGATTTAGCATTTGTTCTGTAATACCTATTACTCTCCAGGCTATTGAAGAAGGCCAAATGCGGGGTTTGCCTCTAGAATTTTTATCCCCCTCCCAAATACGGAGTATACATAGATAAATCTGTTGCATAGATTTCAGGCAGAGCTATCTTGAACAACTCAATTTGGATAATCAGACACTTCTCACTCTCTAGCAGCTTGAAGAACCAGGCCAATTGCGTAGTGAGTCTCGCCTAACTTAACCACAACAATTTCAAAATGCAAGCTGACTCTTCCTGTCCGATTAGCACAAATCTGGGGCCCTAATACTACGCCATGTTACCTCCCCAGAACAATTCTACCTTCCATGTCCACAGGGGACAAAGTCACCTCAAATGGTCCAAGGCAATCGCACCAGTGTTAACAGTCGATTCTGGAGACGTTGTGACTTTCGACACTATCGATGGAAGCAATGGACAAGTAACACCCAGCTCGACAGCTGAAGATGTCTTAAAATTCAAGTCAGAACTGGCAAATCCCATTTTCGGCCCTGTATATGTGAGGGGCGCTGAGCCAGGAGATGTTCTTGAAGTTGAAGTATTGAAGCTCAAAACTTCTGATTGGGGTTGGACTGCAATTATACCTGGATTTGGGCTACTTGCAGACCAGTTTAAAGAACCTCATCTTAAGATCTGGAAGCTTGATCCCGATGATTCATCCGCTGTGTTCAAGGACGGCATTCGTATCCCCACTCACCCTTTTCTTGGTGTCATGGGAGTCGCTCCCGGCGACGGCGAATTCTCTACTATTCCTCCGCTTGACACAGGAGGTAACATTGATACTCGACAGATTATTGAAGGCTCTAAACTCTATCTACCCATCAAAGCCCCTGGCGCTTTATTTAGCTGCGGAGATGGTCACGCCGCCCAGGGTGATGGAGAAGTTTGCGGAACAGCAATTGAGACTCCTATGCAAGTTACGTTACGTCTCTCCATCAAGAAGAACATGAAATGGGTCACATCTCCCAATTATTCGGCCTCATCGTCTGCGCTCACTCAGACTGAGGACCGGGGATACTATGCGGTCCTCGGTGTTGATTCAGATTTGCTGAAGGCTACTCAAAAGGCTGTACGCGGTATTATCGAATATATGATTCAAACAAGGAACTTGACTCATATAGAGGCATATATGCTTGCAAGTGTTTCTATCAGCCTTCGGGTGTCAGAAGTTGTAAATATCCCTAACTATACCGTTTCTGCCAGTTTGCCGTTGAATATTTTTATTTAAAGTACTAGTAACAAATGAAAATGCAAAGATTTCACTACCATTTTTTCTTTTTCTTTTCTAGTTCCTTATTTGTAGTGTTCGACTGTAGTGTTCGATTTGGAGGTTTGTCACATATTTGTATAGGTAGAGAAGGTCCATCTGGTATTGCAAGCAATGGATTATCAAAATAGCGGCGCGTAGTAAGTGCTGCAACTTCAAGCACTAAATTACAGCACTTATCCGCTAAACTACAGCGCTTATTCATTAAATAATGGCGCTCATCCACTAAATGATAGCGCTTATAATTGAATTACAGCATGATTTATAACGTTTCAGAGTAGCTTATTGGTCAAATTATAATATTTATAAATACAACTACTATGATTACTTATTGAGTATTAAATTTTATTTAACATAATATAAAATAATATCAAACATGTTTACCTGAGAGTAATTCATGTAATTTTTTTTTATTTTGCGTGCGCTGGCTATACAAAGCTAAAATTCTACTCTCTTAAATACAGAATACTCCTGCTTGGAGACCGGATGGATCCTCCCTTTGTATAGCAATAAGGCACAGGTACAAGCTTGCCATTCTAGTTCCGGTGCATTATTTCCGGAGCGAATTAATATACTAAATAATTTCTTTGATGTATTTAAATTTAGTTTGAGTCAGCGTTAAAAATTAGATTGGCCGTTCGCGCTGCAGCTGAAAGCTGCTCTTCCTTTCCAATTTTGCACCATTTGCTGGTAATTCTCTACCTCCTTATCATACAACACAATGAGGGAGCCAAAGGTGTTGCCGCTTGGTGAAATTGAAGAGTATGTAACAAGTTGTAACCGCTTCTTCTTCGTTCCCGAAGCCGCAAACCTGATTACTACCAATTCAAGCAGTAGAACCGAGTTTCTTCAAGAATGCAGGAGCAGGAAGCTTGACGGCACTGTTGTCATTTGCGATTAGGCACCCTCAAGCTTTGCTAGAATGCGCAAGTATGATGAAAAGCTTACTGACGCGCTGCCACAGACCTCAAGGTTCATATGTCATAATGGTCAGCTATCTTGTAAGTTATTAGGCCATTATGGATAAGACGACCAATTTCAACCTTCATTGCTGCTTTTCTGCTACGTGTTGCCTAATCTCATAAGGTGGTTATGCGGGAAGCCATTGCTGAAAAGTACAGTTTTGTACTCGCAGCCATTTGCCTTTAATCTCTGGGGCCAGGGTACTGGTTAACTAGCGAATGTCAAGGACTGGTATACCAAGAAAGTGCAATTCTGGGGCTTGGTGCCCTGCTACGACTCCAAGGCGATTTTGGAGCCCATAAATGGCCCGTCCTGCATCTTTGAAGAATTCTAAACCCTTAAGACTACCTGGATAACTCTTAGCGTCCAAAATCAACTGCATATCGCTGGCATATCGCTGAGATTATGGCTAACTACTCGATAACTGGCGAAAGCTGCTCTAGTTGCTCCAGCCATTGGCAGAGATCCATACGTGTTTTCATGCCCCATTATTCAGAGTATGAAGAAGCTTTTGGCTGCTACCCAGATCACAAAAGCTGAATGGGTCGATGTTTAAACGACTCGTGATTGAACTGAAGATGATAGAGACGCAGTCTCTCTAACTATGAGATTATTACTTCTACAGCATTTCTATGTTTGAGCGTAATTATCATTATACATACTGACCTATCTTTGGCATTAAGATGGACATTCTAATGCATACTATGGCGGCATCCCTATTAATATCTTCTCCCTATCTAAGGCCATCACCATGACTCGCGTCTGTTGCAATTAAGTAGTTAGAATGTAGCGTATATTATGGCCCACACGGGATTGAAGCTAGCAAGTGGCTCTTGAATTTCATTGAAGAGGTTTCTCGAACGAGGTGTCAAGATTAATGACCAAGCTCCAGAAGCTACTCCGCCATTCTTGATAGTTAGCAGGAAGCCAGTAGTTGACTCCTTGGACATCTTCTCTGTCTTACTATCTTGAATGCCGTGCTCCGTATCATTGATATGACTCGTCTTGCGCTCCGTAATGATACCACACGCATTACAGTACTCAATAAGCTCTCTGCTCAGACGCATGTTTTCTTCGCGCTCATAGAGGCTCATGTCTACTATAATACAGTCAAAGCCACCAAGGTAAGCCGGTCGCCGGATGATATCAGGTTCCTGTGTATGATCTATATGCATGCCGATGGGCATGATTGCCTTATCCGCGTGTAAGAGTAAACCATCCGTATGTTCTATTGACTACGGGAAGAGTTAAATGAACATAGGAGAGTCTTTTGCTTTAACTGCACGTACTGTTGCCACTGTAGCCTTAAAGCTATAGCAATAGACTGCCGGAATAGCCTAACCACCTTCATACGGAACATCCAAGATGGCTTTAGCGCGATTAGATATCAATTTTTGTGCCACGTCATATGATCTGTTGGTTCATTTTGTCTCGCTGAAACACATTGTTTTATAACTCATTGGTGTAATTAGCCGAGGAAAGATGATTGGAGAGGATAGAAGAACATTTTGTCCAGATTCGAGAAGGCTATGGGGTATCATCATACTTCGAAGCCTCTAATAGCGGTAGTCCTAGTCGTGTCGTAATATATTTGCTATATAGAAAGATCAATTCCTCGGGTAGATCGCGCTATTCGTCCATAAGATCTTCGGCATTCTCGCGGTAGCTTTGCCTTCAAACGCTACTCTTTTGGCCACCACGTCCTATTCGTAGCCCTTGACGAAACGATCATCAGATGCTACAACTATTTCTTCAATTATAATTTGATTGGCTAGCCTGTTATAAATTCAGCGTGCTGTCCATTACGGTCAGCGAAATATATGAGAGAGAAGGTTACGGAAAGTAAAGTGTATGATAAATGGTTTAATAATGTAGCATGCGACAAAGACGTGATAGTAGTTCGTATAGATTGTAGTAAACCACTGGGGCCTGATGCGGGAAGTAACAAAAGCATCGGATAACCTGTGGGAACGCTTTTTTTTTTTTTTTTTTTTTTTTTTTCTAAAAAAGAGTCAGAGGGATGATTGGCGCACCGTCAATATTAAGTACATAATGAGACATAGTGCTAATCTATCAGGTGATAATAACATAAGGTGATAAAAATAGAATCGTCCTAGAGAAACATGAGTGCATACTCCATCTTTAAGAGGATAAGCAAAGCTCTTACTTGCGCCGGCCAAGTCAGTCAAGCAGCAATTTGATGTCGATAACATTGGAAACAAAGGCGCAAGTTCCTCAAGGGGTAGTTAGTACTAGGATAGCCTGAGGGTTGATATATAAAGACCTATAGAGGGTTACTAAATGTATTCAATGATATCCCAAATACTTTACAACATTACAGACCATTCCAAACCGAACATAGATGATACCATGGAGAAGAAGTTAAACTATTGAGAATATATATCACTTGACACCTGTTTCTCCCTTGTGAGAGAAGGTACGCGCATGAATGACATTCGCGATTGTCACTGTCGTCATGACTTATACACTGACAAGCCAAAACAAACTGAGTGATATATCTAGTGACTTGAACACATACATCAAAACTCAGTGGCGATAGAGCTTGAAGACCCCGCCAAAGGCGGCAAGCTCTCGAAACCCCTCGTATTAGACTTGTTTTCGCCTCGCTCCGAACTCTTCATTCAGCTCAAGAGAATGCAAATCGCTTCAAATTTGCCACCTCTTCGGGAGATTCTTGAATTATTACTTGTAAATTATTTCATGAGGAGATTTGGGCACGAAAGTCTCCAAGCCAATGAAGAATATGATTCCCCAAGGCAAGGGAGAACTCAAGGAAGTCGCCTCCAGATGGCGCCATAGGAACATAACCGCAGCATACCCTACCTTATTAGCAAGCAGTGGTTCCCAGGGAAGCCTACACTGGAAAGACCACCAATATGGTTCTTTGGAAGAGCAATCTCTGAGAGGTAGAAAGGTACGGTACAACTTCGTGCTCTATATCCCATGGCATATAAAGGTTACTATATGGCATCATTGAATAGACGAAGGCCTCGATGCGTACCTAGCGGCGGCTCTAGAAATAACTCAACCTGCAAGAAACATGCCGATACTGCGTGAGACAGTCTGAACGATGGCTCCAATTGTTACAACGATGGCCGAAATTTGCATGAAGCGGATGCCTCCAAACTTATCGGCAGTCAAAATCTATGAGAAGGTACCAACTGCTTATTTTGCAATATCTATAACACCAAACTAAACAAATGTGAACCAAGATTTGTGTTGAGGACGCGTAGCACACAGTACATGCAGCTTCTGTGGGTGTAGCACAAGGGTTGCCCATATACGCAGCGCAGCTTGGGGTGAACGATTGCTACTCAGTTAAGTTGGTTACAGTCCCGCAAACGCGAGGTGTAGAAGGGCAGAGAAAGCCGACTTGTAGTTACTATGCCAGTATCATAGCTTTAGTGTTCCTGGTCTTTAGGAGAAGCTGACATAGGTGTTTGATTTGTGAACCTACGTATAAAAAAATTTAATCGATGTAAAAAGGAGTAATAGCCACTGTGTGTGCCAGCCACTTGGTGGTATGTTGAGCGTCTCTAACGTCGTGAAAATAGAGCATTGTGATATATAAAGATATATTAAGTGAGTTACAACCTTAGCCAAATGCAAAATACACGTTGTAATCTATGTCTCCGGCCCTGGGTTGGAAGAAAGCCACAGGAATGATCATATAGCCAGTCTTGATTTGAACGGTGGTGGCGTGCTGTGTCCCTAAAGATTTCCAATGTAGGAATTCTTAGCCCAGTCTGCTATGCCTGGGCTTTAGTCGACATTTGTGGCGTCCTATGTCGCTAAAATCCGCGAATTAGTGCCTAGGACTTGGGTCACATGGGACTCTAAATATGAGCAAAAAATGGAATATATGACTTCTGTAGCCTAGACGATTTCGATCACAGAAGGATGTTTGCATATCTTACTAGAGCCATATATGTTATATAGTGATTTAAATAAAGTATTCACACTTCAGAGATATAGTGTGCATTAGCATTTTATATTAACGTGTATACCGTATATACCTTAGACTCATAGATACAGAGCAATTTACAGTTGCCAATAATATATGCCTTTTGCCACAATTAGACCCTGGCCACAATTCCTAATCACTGTATATACATATATAAAGGTCATATTTTACGAATGTTATCTTGTTCAATTCTCATAGCACTAGTTATCTGCTTCATTAACAGCAAGTCATAGCCTACCAATTTGCTGCGCCCTTTCCACACTCGGTTTATGTTGTTCTGTGCGATTTGTATATAGTTCCCGGTATCACAGCATTTTCGTGCTGAATTCGGTGCTAACCCTCTGAATCCTGTCTATTAGATCTTGCCCTAGAAAAGCCGGTGTGAGACAACCACCAGAAACGCCACCTTCTAATTTTCTAGTATAAATTAAAGAAGCTGCACCTTGGGCGAGGAAGGCAGCGGTGGCATGATATGGGCCCCCGGGATACATGAAACGAGAATACACCCTCGGCGCTGTGCTGTCATTGTTTGTGTCTGCAATCGCGACAGCTTCCATCTCGAATTGGTAACTTCTTTCCTTTGCTGGGTCAGGGCCTTGGCCTGGAACTGGTAGCACTATCGCCGCAATAGCTCTTAGCGGTGAGAGAGCCAGCATTAATCTAATTGCCATGGTGTTAAGCATCTGAAACATGGCAGCAAGTGTAGAAGATGCCTTTTTGTACTCGCTGTATTGAAAATTGGGTCCATACGCCTTGCCACCATCGAGCAGACCCCAAGTTCTGTGAACTACAGCTCTGTTCTGCACGTCGCTCAGCGAGCTGGCTGACAAGGTCCCCAAAGTCGGGTCATAACGCGCCCCGAAGAGATTCGTTGAGCTCGATTTCAACTGGCCTGTAATTGGAGAAAGATACCAAGGCTGTTGCGATTCATATTGGACTTTGGCATCGACGCCTCCTCTCATCATCATTGACTCGACAGTCCCGCCACTTGGGTCTGATGGCATTTTGAGCACTGACAAAATTAGCTCCTTCGTCTTCAGAGATGAGCTCTTTTCAAGCTCTCGAACCGATGACCAAGTAAGGAGGTCGTGCGGAGCGCTAAATGCACCGCAGGAGATCAGTATCTATTGCAAGGGTTAGCATAAATGGAAAAGCGAAGATGAAAGACACCTTACAACAACACCTGCTAACTCAGCTGCGCGGTGATATTCATCTATCCATTGCCGTATGCGAGGTATAGTTCCAGCACTACATAGGCAACTAGAGTTAGCAGAATTCTAATATATATATATATACGGATTTACTTACGTATCAATATAGTCAGTTCCACCCCCAATACAAGCCTCAATCACCAGTGGCCCGACGTGATGGTATGAGACAACACTGATACACAATCTAGCCTTCTTGATAACAGTGGTCAACTGGATCTTGTCTTCAACATCCACGATCTCGATTACTGCACACTTGTCAGCTATGGTTCTCTGTCATCTTACGGGCTGCATTATACCTGGCTGTAATCTATCAGGTTCTAAATCCTTTAATCTCGCAGCAAGTCCATTAAGCTTCCTGCTTGATCTCCCAGCGATAGACCACCTAAGATTAATTGGGAGGTGCTTAGCGATATGCTCCGCAGTAAGTGCGCCGGTGTAGCCCGTTGCGCCGATTAGCACAATATCATAGTCGCGACCGCTTGAATTTGCAGACATTTGACTGGTAATATAGATGTAGGACAAGAAATACCGACTGTACAATATATTATTCAAAATAGGATTAGGACTGCTAGTACGTTGTTTACTAGACTACATGTAACTCAGAGCCAATATATGCAAAGCTGCGGGATTATTGTCTCCCCGGCAGTCCGACCGGAGTTATTTAATATAAAGTCCGACATATTCTAGATATTTGAGATGTAGAAAATGAAGGGTTTATCCGGTATTCAAGCCAGTATATTCTATACTTGAAAGGCAAAACAAAACTTTTGTGATACCATAATAACGCAAATAACTGTATCAAATATTTTAAAGTATATTAGCCATGGATCCGGCGGAGATAGTGTTGTATATGTGACAAAGAGCGGTGCTGAAGTATTTCTAATTGATGGAACGTTAACGATGGGTGCAAATATTTTCCAATTATATTAATGTATAATATAATATTAACTTAGAATAGGCTATATATTACACTCGAAAAGGCCGTGGATTATAGTCCCACATGCCCAGTGTGATGAAATGACGCTGAGTGGACTAACTCCATTCAATTCGTTACCCTTGCGATTCTCAACATTCCAGCGAATCATCAATTACTGCGCCGGGGCCGAGGCCGAGGATGGAAAGACAGGACACAATCTCCCCTGATTCGCCTGGAAAGTACGATTGGTAGCAGACTGACAGTCTCGATAAGACGAAGCCCTACAGTTTCAGACTCGCAGTCCGTGCTTTGCACCTTGAATAGCATAGGTGCCGGGTTGCTTCTCCATTTCAGTTCCCCAAGAGCTCTGAGTTTTGCCGACCTGACGTTGGCAGCAAATCTATTAGTAAATTCTAGCAAACAATGTACCACAACTAGGGCTGTCCTATCATTTCGTTCTACATCTTACCTTCGCTGTTACTGGATACCACCTCTCATATCTGCGAATTAGAGAAGTTCAGCGACAGCTTTATAAATCTTTGGCCGAATGCCACGTTTCGATTACACTGACTGAATTATCCAAACCGCTGTCAAAATCTGACAGCGGTATTTGCGGACGCCTCTACGTATCTTCCGCCCCTGTGTGCTACTGCATTTTCGCCACTGGCTCAATCGGCCCTGAAGATTTACTCTTCTGTTATTCTACTGATGAAAAATGCATTGGATGTCGCTGATTCATCGAGTGCGGCTAATTAGGACTACCATGTACACTACTTCTCTAGGCTCTCCTCCCAATTGGCGAGCCCCACCTGTATCAAAACCCTACGTTTATGCGAGAGGATTTCTCCCGGATCGCCCGGGAGAAATCATACGTTGCGCAACTATATGCCTACCTGCCACGGGCCAGATATAGACGTCTAAGTACGTTGTTGCGATGATCTGTTGTTAATTCATGGGGCTACGAATGGCAAGGACGCTGGCTTGTATGACATTTCATTGGATAATCAGTTGGTTTTTGCATGGCTGTCCAGCATTAGACGACGGTTTTGCGGATTGCATGCGGAGCAAAAGGTCGTCAGCTTTGCTTCTTCTCGCCTCTCGCTTACAATTTTGTTCTTTTGAAAATCATAGACAAATTATATTTCGTGGCGGGTTGATCAGATCATATTCTTGAAAGTGTTCGATACTTCGTTGGGACAGAGTTTGATGTCTGGTTGAAATAGTCGGATTAAGTTGGTCCAGCCATTATACTTGTTGAAAGTGGATAAACTAAAACCTTCTATTTATAGAGAGCATTTGTTTAATATTAATTTCATATTTAGTAGCTAAACTTGTGTAAAGTTATGTGCTTCTTCCGATATTTTACATTGGGGCATGCCTGAGATGCTTCCCCCCAACATACCCACGTGCTGTATCTATAAACAAGTTTCTACCCTTGACGTATGAAACTAATACTCCCCACAATCTCCAGTTGCCTATCTGTCCCGCCGCGTACTTTTTTCCTAGTGAGAGAAAGACCATCGTTTGTCTTATAGGTTGGTAAGGTGTCACAGGCCCTTTCTCCGTCAAGGCAGCATCCAATGCGCTAGCTAAGTAAATTATCTGGTTATCTGTGACTGTGAGCTGCTTTGGACCAGCAGTACTCACGTCACCAATGGCCCAAACATTCTCTATGCCAACCACGCGCATATTGCAATCGAGCTTCACGCTGCCATGAGAGTCAAGAAAGCTGTCGGTAACGAAGCTGTTGTTCAGTCGAATGCCAAGTAATGGAAGATATAAGTCAGTGACAACCGTTGATCCATTGTCCAAACTCAAAACCTGTGTCTTGCCATCATTTCCTACACTAACGGTTTCTACACGTGTTTTGCGGATGAGCTTGACGCCAAGCTTTTGCAGGTCTTTGTCCAGAGTTGTTCGAATAGAGGGGAGTATATCCCGAGAATTCTCCAAGGGGGCATCTCCATGCATGATAAGCGTGATCCTTTTCAGCTTTCCAAACTTGGCGGCTAATTCACCCGCTACCTCGACACCAGTTGGGCCTGCGCCAGCAACGATGATATCCCTCGCATCGCTGATCTTTGCTTGTAGATCATGCCACGCGGTTAGAGTCTCTTCATGCGTGCCGATAGGCTTGAGAGGTAGTCCGCTGGCTATGCTGGAGCCTGTTGCGATTACTAAATGATGATAATGAAACGTACGGCTTTCGCCGTTGTTGGTAAGGACAGCAACCGAATTCGAGGATGGTTGGATCCCTGTAGCTCTGCCGAGGATAAATTCGAATGTTTCAACTGGATAATGCGCAAATCCATTTGCAATTGGGATAAACATAGATTCATCTGGTATCATTCCAGGAATAAGAGCTCTGGTGGCTGCAACATTCCAGAAGAAATGGCTGTTTGGAGATATTAGGATGACTCTGAGGCTGGTCTTTATGGATGTGTATTTGAGCAGCTTATGGGCAAGAGGTAAACCCGTCCATCCTGCACCAAGAATGATCACAGTTTTTGTACTAGCCATAGTCGTGAAACGGTCAAGACAGCATAAGTATCTAACTGAATAAAGGTATGGTTGATGTCGACGGCGACATGCAAGGCCTTATATACAGCTAGTTGCCACGGTATGGTCCATCTGGCTTCGGCCATCGGTCGTAAGACCCCTCATCATGCGAATCCGATAGCAAAACAATCGACATAGCGTTGACCCAATTACTTCATTAGCATTGCAGGAGTCGGTTCACGGAGGACCCGTTAGGTTTAGACGTCTATGAAGTGGGGACTGGGGTGCGCAGCAAGGGTTTGGACCGAGCTCCGTGCCCGAGATTTGGCTACCTATAGCAGCCAATCTCCTAACCCTTTCAACTTCGCTCAACTTAGTCACACGCCTACTTTTCCAAGAAGCCAGTTTCACCTGGTTTGTATTGGTAAGTCTTTGTCTAATACCCTTGTCAAATATATTGCCCTGGTTGAGCCCACCCGAACCATACTACTCCTTCTTCTGCCACTGTCATGTCCGCCGATCGCTCCACAGCCGGAGGAAACGCCATCACTGAAGATGGTTTGCAAATATGGAGCTGCATTACATGTCGACGCCGCAAGGTCAAATGCGATAGAACAAATCCTTGCTCTAATTGTGCTAAGAACCGAGTCGAATGCCACTTCCCAGTTACTGGCCGTCTTCCACGCCGACGAGATCCCACGGCGTGGAAGTCACCAACTGAAAAGCAAGCTGAGCTGCTGAATCGGCTGAGGCGCCTCGAATCACTTGTTACAGAACTCGCAGCACAAGTGGAAGGCGGTGCTGATAAGATCCAACCCATACTCCCAGGCTCATTACCCAGTGTCGCAGGTGTCTCTCCTCCTACAGAAACGGTCAACGCTGAGATTGGAAAGCGGGAACTACCAAGTCAGGAATCGCCCATGCACTTCGAGAAATTGATTTCTGCCATGAAATCCCATGCTGAGGGAGAGATGAACGAAGATTTTGGACCATTAGTCGTTGGGAAAGACGCTGGTCTACAAATCGGAAAGGGTTTCTGGTCTGTTTTTTGTAGTGAAGTGTGTGTTGACTATTGAGAGAAACGAGCACAGAGGAGGCTAATACTAGTTGACTAGGTCGAGCATATATTTGAAGCTATTCAAGATGTGGCTTCAACAGCATCTGGTTCAAACCTTGAACCTATCTCATATAGCAGTCAAATATCATCGCATAGCATATATCCCCAATTTTATTTCGGGAATGCCTATACCGGTGCATTTACTCAAAGCCTCGATGATCTATACCCTTTACCATCACAAATGCCTTTTATATGGCGGACATACGTGGACAATGTCGACCCATTTATCAAGGTCATTGACGCTGCAGCTCTAGAAGAGGTCATAACTCATTTGAGGGGCAAGTTTGGCTCCCTACAGTATAGCTTACAAGCTCTACTATTTGCTGTATGTTTGGCATCAATCACGTCATTGGACCAGGAAGAGAGTCTGAATTGCTTCGGTATTCCAAGAAATCAATTACTTGCTCGGTTTCGCCTTGGGACAGAGAGAGCGCTCGCCAATTCTGGACTTCTGGTAACAAAGGATATTGAAACAATCCAAGCATTTGTAATATATCTCTCAATTCTACCACACATTGGTTGCCAGGAACTGTTGTCGCCATTGATGGGTCTATTACTGAGGATCGTGACATCCTTACAGCTGCACAGGGATGCCGAGAACTTCAAAACGCCTCTTCTAACCCCGGTTCAGGTCGAAATACGCCGCCGGATTTGGTGGCAGATTGTCTTCATTGACTCCATATCCCGAACAGGACATACTGAGGGATTGTCAGTTTCAGATACAATATTCGACACCAAAGCTCCAAGTTGTATATCGGTTGGCGGTGGAAGCAATTCCAAAATATCTTTTGACCTACAAAACGAGTCTACGGTCTGCATCATGCGATATGAGATATGGTTTCTATGTCGTTTCCTAAACGCAAATCAGCAAAGGCCTTTGGAGCAGAAACTGAACACCTTCAGATTGACAAAGTCAAAATTAGAGGATTCATATATCGACAGATTCTCTTCAAATAATCACCTAGAATCTCTAATTAAGACCATGACCTCGCTTGCCTTCTGCAAAGTCGAGCACACGATATACCTACAACATTTTCGCAAATTGAAAAAGCTCTCGCAAGCTCCATCTCAGGAAATGATGCAACATCATTTAGAATTGACAATAAATATTCTTGAAGAAGCTCACAGATTACGAACAGAGCCTTCTTGGAAAAAGTGGAGATGGCAATTACAAGGAGATTTTCCTTGGGCTTCGATGAGTGCAGTGTTCATCCAGCTTTGCCAGTGTCCATGGTCGACGGCTTCCGAAAGAGGGTGGGCGCTAACCCACCAGATATTAGAAGCGGCGCCAGATAGAGTAAAGTTGAATCCGTCCTGGGACAGATTAAGTAAGATCATTGCTGCCGCCGAGGCCCATCGAGCGAGGAATTCTAGAGAGGCGACGGAGCAACCCAGTCACCACAATGAGGCCTGCGCATATAGCTTCGTCGAAACACACAAGGGTGGCAAAAAGGCTTTAAATCTCACAGAAACTCAATCAGCTAATGCTAGCACTCTTATTGATCGCTCAGAGTTGGACCAGGTGCTGGTATCTAGCATGTTTGACTTTGGAGTGAACCTTGACGAACCCAATGAGTCGGAATCCGCAGTAACATTTAACCTGATGGAATGGCAGGATTGGAATGAGGCGCTATTTGCTGATGATCAACTCTGGGACGCAGACTGTTTATTGTAGGTGGATGTTTTTAAAGAGCCATTCAGCTTGGACGACCAATACATTGGAGTTGGACTCCAGTATGAGATATTTGTGTGGTTTAACGGTGGTTGATCTAGATTTTTTGGTAGGAGAAAAATATTCACCTAGATAGCGAGGTTCTGAGAAATTTGAATCCACTCATAACAGGAAACAAGGATCCTCTTTCCAATCCTTCACACCTTAATAGCATAAGTGGCTTCATGCCAGCGTGATCTGTAAGACAATACCGGCTTTACCGGATTTAACAACCAGAGACCGGACCTTTTTAAATATAGACACCTTACCAACGACACTTTTCTTTAAGGGGTTTCTTCAGTAAGGGGGTTCTTCACACACAAGCTACAGTAAATCTATATTACTCTTCAGAATTATAACTACAATCCCAATGCTTGTATCTTTACTCAAATAGAAGTAAGTTAGCAGACACATCAATTCGATTTCATAACTGTTAATAACTTAACCCTGCTATAGGTCGAGCCTACGTTGCTCATCATCTAATAACAATTTGATTCTAAACTTGCAATATGGCTCCCGGCAATCATGCATCATGGCTACTAGACAAACAACGCCCTGTTAATGCTGTCAAAATTGCACCCTATACAGCAGCTTCCAACAATGAGATCGTCATTAAAGTCAAAGCTATAGCAATAAACCCCTTGGATGATAAAATCCAGCATATGGGAATCTTAATTACAGAATTACTCTGCAATTTTGGGCCGTGATGTTGCGGGAGAAGTTGTCGAAGTTGGCTCTTCGCTAGCCGACGTCTACAACGTTGGTGACCGTGTAATAAGCCTGACGAGTTGCCTGGAGCAAAAGAATAACACATATTGTCATTCCGGCTTTCAGGAATATGTGGTCTTAAAGTCGCATCAGATTGCCAAGATCCCGCATGATATCGGATACAAGGGTGCTGTGATCCTACCTCTTGGAATCTCGACGGCCGCTAGTTGTTTGCTTCAGGGGTCAGATCTTTCATTCAGAGCCCCTACACTCAACGACACAAACTACAGGAACGGCCAAACAGTTCTTGTCTGGGGTGGGAGCGGCAACGTGGGTTCTTGCGGAGTGCAAATGCTCTCGTTAGCTGGCTATGAACTTGTAGCTATTGCTAGTAAGAGAACCCACGATATGATTCAAAGTTTGGGCGCTAGTACGTGCTTTGACCAGGCAGACTCGACAATCATAGATGATATCGTCGCGTACCTCAAGGGTAGAAAGGTAGTCGGCGCCTTTGATGCTATATCCAGTGACTCGACTATAGAAACCATCAGTGAAATTCTCGAGCAAGCCGGAGCAATGTCATCAGTGAGACCTGGGGCTAAACAGCTCAGAAAAAATGATGTCAAAATCGTGGCAAATTTCTTGGTACCACCAGAGCAGTACTTCCAGCTATCTCAGACTATACTTGGAAATGGCTTGAAAAGTCGATGGCAGACAAAACAGTCAAATATATGCCACCGGCTGAAGTTGTGGGACATGCATGCTAATTTTAGATAATAAATGGAATACTCTAAACTAGATACATATATTTACATTTTTTTTTTTTTATATAAGCTATTCCTTCAGTTCGTTTACTTTCGATTTGTCTTTTTGATGCTAATCGGTTCAATGTTTACTGTAGAGTTGAGGAAGATGGTTCGGCGGTTTACAACATTGAAAGTTCCAGGGTTTCTGTTAGAGACGTATAGTGGTGAGCCGCTGCACGGGCGCTCACTACCTGCCAACCGGTGTGAAACCACTCATCAGGGGCCGAGAGTGGGGATAGAGCATAACATGTCAAGGCATGAATTTATCGTCCAAGATCACGTCGAATAGAGAGTTTCTGAGGTTTGGTAATTTTATTGTGCATGCGACCCTGGATAACTTCCATTTTGGGAGTCTTTTCGTCCCATCACGGTTTACCTACCTAAGCATACATATAGTGAGCATCATATAAACAAACAGCTCTATAGGGGTACATGTACCTGGCATATTTCAGCGTCCAATCAGTACCGATAGCAGTTGTGTGATGACCTCCCTCCCCTTCAATTCGTGCTTCTCTCAGCGCACTAAAGCCATAAACCAACACAAGGTCTTTTACAGTATCGCAGACAGCATAATGCCATGGCAAGCTCAGCCGGTCGCAAGCTATTGGGTTGGCATCATTGACTTATATGTGGTCAGTAAGCCCTATCTATCAAATACTTTCCCGCGTTCTTAGCTCATCGCCCTCATTCTTCTTTTCAACTTTTAATATTATCTTAATGTCTCTATCGCCAGTGCATTTGCCCTAAATTCCATGGCCAATCGAGAATCAAATAGCCTTGCTAATTACGACTCAATTAATCCTACCACTACCAGCTATTCGTCTCCTCAATTCAATTTCACTCTCGGGTTAGAACAATCAATTCTCACAATCGCCCCGTATACCCTATTCTTAATTTGCATGCTGCGTCGAACGGCGCAGTTACTGCGGGTTTCAGCAAAAGCTGTCCAGCTTACCTAGGCTCACGCTATTTCCTAACATCAAGACGATCTCGGAATATTAAGCCGCATACCAGATTGCAGGAGGGGAATAACCCCCTGTCTTTCTTAACATGCCACTAACTAGGCCAATATACCCTAATCAGAAGGTTACTATCTGCGGAGATACAGAAAGCAGCAAAGCTTTTCTCTCAATAGCATTCAAGTTATAGAGTTAGTAGATAATGCAGGTATTACAAGAGTGGCTGAATCGTTCTAAAATATTGAATAATTACACACCAGACCGTTAATCATTTCCCAAAATCCCACACTACTCCCCAGGACCTTACACTCAAATCTTGTTCTGCTAAACCGCAAGTCAATTCCTCCTTTTAGCGAGGAATGTATAACAGAGTTGGAATCAATCCAGATTTAGGAGGCGGTTCAGAGGTTTAGATCCCTCAATACTAATATTGAAGATTTGCCGCTTTCCATCAACCAGCGGCAGCTTGTTTACCTCAAGGGCAGAGCAACGTTCTTATCCCCAATAAAATTATAAGTGCAGTGGATGGGGGGACTGGGGGGACCGAGAAATTAATGGTAGAGGCGCTGGAAACAGGGTTTGTGAATCGCACTGTATTGTAGGTTATCCATGCACATCTCAATACAGGTTACAGATGTAATACTTTTATTAATTTAGATGCGGGTAGGATTATGGATATTGGATTACCCAAGAATATAATTAACAAAGGCAAGCTAGCAAAGAACTTAGGGTTATATTGTGCATTAATAAGCAGCATGATGTGGTCTACTTATTCCTCTGTACGACTGACATAGTTTTCTACCTTAAAAGAGATTAAAACACTGCCTCAGTAATCTTAATAACATGGGCCGAATTCTGCTCCGGATTTGTGACCAGTTCTACATGTGCCGTGCAATGGGGAGTAAACTCAAGACATCTCAGAGTAAATACAATAAGAATGTGGATGATTACATCACGAGGTACAATTGGTGTGAGAAGCTTGGTCGATTAGCATATCAGAGGCTGCTTGGTGCCGTGGGGGACCTGAAGGTGTCATGTTTTGGCGAAAGGGTTGGGTTTTTTCTAATTGGAAAGAAATCCATTTCACATTGATTAAACCGGACGAAAACAAAAGTTCGTTCAATTTGGCTACTTTACATCGAATGAATGAATGTTATTTGTTTACCTAATTAATGAACGGTGTTTATTTTAATGACATAATGAATGTTGAAACTCAGAATCGTTTTTATTGAAGTATCCATCTTATCTCTTTTCATCAACCACCACTCAGGATTGGCAAAAGTTGTTTAATGGCGGCACCTTCCATGTTTGAAATCGTAGTCCTGTCTTCGGCAGCATCTATGACGTTGGTGATCGTAAAAGTAGCTGCGCGGACAGCAAACCCTTCCATCTGGGTAGTACGTGTAATCGCGCTGACAGCAAAACTTCCCATTCGGGTAGAATATGTATCCAGGCTGTCTGCAGAAGCATCGGTTGAACTGTGAGCTCCAAGATGCAAATTGGCCACAGTCTGGATGTCCATGTCCACTACGAGCAGCGAGATCGTCTTCAAGATCTCGACCAGCGAGATCGTCCTCAACAAAGGCACCACGAGCGGCGAGATCTTCTTCAAATTCTGGACCACGGGCAACGAGATCATCTTCAACCTCAGGACCAGGAACCGCAGTGGCAAGGCCAAGTGCAACAAGTGCAGGCAAGAGAATTGTAGTCTTGAAGAGCATTGTCGGCAAGTGGTGAGGAAATTATGTTTGGAAGAAGTGATTATTTTGCAAGTATGAGTTTTGCTTTGAAGAAATAATGTAGATCCTAGTGGGGGAGTGAAAGGGGTTTATATAGATAAATCGAAAGAACTAAAATTAATAGTACCTGAGCAATTGAAATACTACTCAATTTTAAGTTTTTCGATTAAAATCTTAAATATTTTATGCATTTCAGCCTCTTGTATAATTATTGTATAATAAGACAGTTGGGACCGGACATTCGATCAGCCTCGTATGTTATTCTTATCTCAGCCCCAAACATTCCAATTTAACCGAATCAACCGGAGAGAGGAGCCTAGGCTTGTAGAGAGTAGTAGAATACGCCTAATAGTACCAATGTATACCCTTCTGTAATCCTCGTGCTTTTTTCAATTCTAACTATCTCATGGTATATCCTTCAAGGTAAGTTGAGCGAATCTGTAATGCTATTAGGAATAGAGCGTTAGACTACTAAACATAAGCCACTATTTCTATTTGTTTGATGATGCAACGTTTATCTTTTCTATAGTTTCAAGGCAAAATTAAATAATATACTACTAGCTCTAAAAAAAAAAATACAGCGAATCATGGGCAAGCTAATACTTGCTGTTATTATGATCAGAAGTAAGTCTTGTCAATACCTAATATCGCGGCCCCCCTAATGATGTGCAAGATAATACTATTTCAAGTATATATATTACTAAAGTGGCGCTAGCATTCCAAAACAGTCTTTTATCTAACACTTAAGCGCCTCGTTTATTTTGTCAAACGCCTGATCTATAACGTAAACACATCCTTGTTTAAAACTGCCCTTATACATGTCACACTGTATACACATATGTCAGTCGCATAATAAAAGCTTAAACAAACTTTGACGAATATCTCTTCTCTTAAACCACCGGTCTGTCGGATATCGGTCCATCGGACAAAACAGCGAACACGGCTAGTCAAACTTCAAATAATCTTAGCCGAATTCCAGTGTGAAAACTTTGAGAAAAGCCTTGGCAGCGATCTGCTAGACGAATTCTCCAACGCCACGGCTGCATGTGAGAGAGATTTCCAGATCTCCGCGTGGGTATCCCCGAGTAGATTCTCAATGCTTAAAAGTACATCCTAGCCACCTGGTAAGAGTGCGGGTTTTTTTCTTCTTTTTTTGAAAGATATGCGACTAACAACAAAGTTAAAGAGCGCTCTTCAGATGGCCTTACAACCAATGTATGACATGCCATCATAGCCAGGGCCACTTTGAACGCCAAATGATGAAAGAGCACTCAGTATACCAATTACTACGGTGCAAAAAGCTTCAATTGCAATAGGCGGCCATGCTCTAACTCTAGTAACTTTCTCATTTTCAAGGTCAGATAATACTTGCTACGCAATAAAATTACCGCAAAGAGGTATATACACAATCTTTGAACTCAAGGAATAAGACATCATGGACATTTTAGGCTTTGCTAGAAAGATCTTATTGCACGCGCATTTGGAATATGACTCGCTAGAATCAAGTTGTGTCTGACTCTTGAAGCACGCATATAGTTTTGTTGCTGCTCCTAGTACTCCGTATGGGGTATGAAATATGTAGAAATATGTTTACACATTTGAAACCATGAATGCTTGCTTTCCTATCAATTCTGCTAGATTTGTTTTGAGGTGCGGACTAATGGGGTATGCTGCCACAGTAGTATATTAGATCATCTGGCCGGAGAAAAATATTTCGTAATTCTGATATGACGTTCACTTCAAACAACAAATACGAGGTTAGATGAGCATGGCAGCCATTTCGCGATCGCCTGTGTACCTAAATCTCTATAGTCTCTTTTCTTGGGTATATCTACAACGCTGACGTAGCGTAGGCCACGCCGATATGGAACAGGAATGTCGGTACACAGTATTGGTGATAGTGCTGAGAACTCTTTACTTTGACTTTGCAATTGTTGGGTTGGAACTTCTAAAAAAAAATCACATGTGATGGAGCATTTCGCCGATTAGATACATCTCGGGTGCATCTAGACAAAGCGCCAAGCACAGCCAATAAATGTTGTTCACTACCATAATATTGTCTACTATCATTTTTAATCCAACAGAAGTCAATTCCTACCTGTGCCTCGGTATAATCTTTTGCCCTGATGATATCCTAGCTTCTTTCTTCGTGCTGCTGCTAATACCTATAGTACTGTTAGTACATGTATACTCTGCCCCCCCCCCCGCCTAACCTGCCGGCTTTCTTGCCCAGTGTGCCTTTATCTTATGACCACAATGCGCAGGACTTTTGCTTTCTTCGTCCATTTAGTAATTATAAACGCCGATGTAGTTGTTGAAGTGGTAATTATTCCCATTAATTAGCTCCCCAACAGTCTAGTTGATGTCGCCTAGGGTGAGTGTTCAATAATTGGCTAACCTAAATGGTGGCTTGAGTCATCTTACTAGGTGACTAGGCAAGCTGCTGATTTTGCAAACGGTCTGCCCCGACTGCTGGACACACATTGTTCTCTGTCTTTCTCAGCTGTACTCCTCTATTTCTGGACAGTAGTGCAATAACCGTCTTCATTCCCGTTCTTTTATGAAACAAAATATAGCTGGCAATTGTAAAGTCCTAGAATAATATTTTGGAGTACTATAGGAGTGATGTGAGAGAAACAATAACATTTATAAATTAGGCACTAGTTGAGCGTCAATAGACAATAATTTCATAATTTATATGCGAGGAGGATTACTAGCCTCGCGGTTGTTATAAGCGTGCATTGTTATTAACCCTCGCATTTGAAACAAGTACACGTAAGTGAGGCTACTTCCATATAGATGCTATTATCACAGTCCCATTAGTCCCCGATTCTTATTATGTATGTAGTTAATTCCTCGGAATTACCATTATAAGGTGGATAGGCATATAATGCTAGATAACTACAGTAAGCACTCCCACACACATAAAATATACCGTCGGCTATAAGGCATACACCACCGGAGAATCGGTCTGTTGAAAATATGGAAAGGGTTATCGTTTAGCTCTTCTTTTGCAGTACCCTGGCCTAAAGATGCCACTAAATTTGACTGCACAGCCAGCCAGAGGATTTTTCTCCCAGCGTTCAATCCTGGCAAAGTCAGTGTATGTACTATTGATGAAGCGACTATATGACTATTTATTTGGGACAGGTAAAGTTATAAAAGATCGACAATGGCTTGCTTAAATTGCGGTTGGTATGAAGTTTGTGTGTATTTTTTGCTCGTATTGAACCAATCGCTGCGATCGATGCATACGATTCAATAAATCTTGCTACCCACTTCAAAGGGCCTTTATATGGGAATTGGGATAGCGAGTTCTGTTTCACAAGCCTTTACTCTTTACTGCTGATGTTAACACATCTATGTCATCATGTATTGCGACAAACTAAATGTTTCAATTTCTACAAGGTACGATCTAAGATCCAAACAAGAACATAGATTCCGATACCCTCAGTTACTATCAATTCTCCGTTGATAATGTTGGGTAGTGGTTAACATAAAAACTACGTCAGTTTATATTAGCGAACTTATGGATGAGAACGACCCCCACTTTTGCGCAGCCAACTCCCTTCAATTGATGAAACTATTGAGCCTACAAATGCACAATTTAGCAGACGTGCTTTATGCTTGCTTATATAAATTCCAAGTAATGTATACAGTTACGCCAGTGATCGAGATATTCTATTAAAATCGTGAAATATCCTATCCGCTGGATGATGCCAACTTCCCCTATAGTCATAATGATATTTTGTTTAAGATAATGTCCTTCTGGTGCATATATGACTTGGAGCCAGAGAGTGATGAACCCAGGGCATTATATAAATATTTCATTGCGAGCAAGAATTGCACAGGTACTAAATGAACAATTGAAGGGCATCGAAGTGCCTGGTGCTCATCCGATTACGTTTAAATCGTCTATGACCTGTGCATTCGCCGAGACTATTCTACTTATGCAAATTCGAGATACAAATAAGAAGTGGCATCAAACAAAAGATTCCTAGTTCCATCTATGAGGAAGTCAACTGCGATGTGCATGAAGACCAAAACAGGCTTTGAAGCAGTAGTTGTACTACAATCTGTACAGAGACCTCCGAACTCTAAAATCAGAATAATTGTAGAATTTTTTTTTCCCCTCACGCCAAATCTAACAGGGGTAGAGGATCACTGGGAACATTTCCAGGAATGACACTATGGATACAATATTAGAGATCTATTGGCAGGTAGGTGACCGTTAACAAAGAAATCGTCAATATTGCCTTCCTAATGAATTGTTGTTTATAAAACGTGCTGTAAAGAGAATAATACCAGTCGTAGTCCCAGGGCTCTCGAATAACCCATAAAACGGGGCCTAACTTTATCTATGACACGTATACAATAGGGTACATTACATCATTCGGAGGTGTGTGGCCCTTGCATTTCTTACTCAAACAGCGCCCCCGTCAAGCTCAATACAAGCATTATGTTTTCCTAGGCTCATCGGATTATCTTGTTTGCTGACTATATTAGGCTATGCAGGGCTTTCACAAATGTACACCCGCTCCCTAGAGCGGAGGTGCAGGCGCTTACAGGCGTCTCGGAGCAACTCTTTAATTTTCATGAGTTCCTTAAAACTTCCCCTCTACTCAATAGACCCACTACTTAGACGGCAGCACCAAAATGGTTGTGTTAGGTACTTCTAGACAATGTACTTGTCAAGCATTTGCACATAGCAGGCAGAGGACTTTGCAGTTCGAAACTCCATAACAATGCTGCAACGTCACAGCCTCACCAGGAGAACTAGGAAGATGTTGAACATCGCTCCGACTTCACGAGCGTCTTCTCAGATTGTTGAGCTTGAATTAACTTTTCCATTCAGATTCTTGAGTCTCTTGTGATCTATGCTTGAGAAATAGGCTTGTAGCCAAATGCCAAGGATAAAGTAATACATTGGGAAAATATAATCCAGGAGAAAAACTAATCCAGGAGAAAATCTTGAATGGCAAGCTTGTAACACGGTACATTTTTACAAACAAATCACTGGCATCAGTGGAAACGATACAAATAATTGCTCTGACTACTGCCGGAATAATAAAGCTACCTTCTTGGTCCTCTGCCCCCGTGACAGATGAGAGATTTCCAATCAAGTCTATAATACCTGTATGCTGAGCAGCAGGGGAATAAGCTTTGAGTAGAACTCTCAGAGCGGATGCCGCCGCCTATGAAGGCATGTGATTGATCTTGGTGTAGTAATTGCCACCATTCTTAACGCTTTCGATCTCACTCGCACATCTTGGTAGATGCACGTTGATGCTTTTTTAGCGTGCGTACTTCAATTTTCAACTTGGTCTTTCTCTATCCGACGCTATTCGAATTTGGAGGATGCTGACATTAATCGGCCTCCTTCAGATAGTGGACGATAACTTCCAGGAGAAAGTCGCGAATAGCCACGGCGCCGACCACACGCGCGCGACATCGCTATCATCGACGGCATTCTCAATCATTTCCTCAACCGCCGCCGCAATCTTGACAGACTCAAGCTCTAGGGCTTGCGCTGTCTTGATAGTAGAGAGGTACTAGGAAACGGACAGTATTAGCCTCTTCGCGCTGACTTACTTCTTCTCATGTTTGTTTTGTGTGCCGAAAATAGCTTTGACATATAATTGATTACATGTACAGTAGGATGCAAAATGTTCTTGGCCTTGTTAAGTTCTCATATTTAAGTCTAACTGTAGTTAGTACAACCTTTATACCGATATAAAAGCGCTATATTGTAGCGCTAATACCACTATAATATAGTAACTAACTCACTATATTTTACACCATTAATTTACTACAAGATAGCGGCAAAATAAAGCGCTATATTTTAGTAGTATCGGTGGCTTATTATAACGGGAGTATCGCTATATTATAGTGAGATATGCACTAAAGTATAGCGGCCTTATAGTGATATAAACGCAGTGCTTTTTATGCTACCAATTTTAGTTAGACTTGAAAAGTAAAACTTGACAGGGGCCAAGAACTTTTTGCATCCCACCGTATTTAGCCTGTTCACATGTGCATTAGGTCACAATGGTACAAAACAGAGGGGCTAAAGTAGAATGATAATAGGCAGCTATTCATTGAAAATTATTCGCAACAGATTGCAGCCTCCATTTGACCTAAGCGCCATGAATGAACCTGTAGTTATCAATTACAATGAACTAGAAGCAGCGCTTCGAGAAAGGGAACAGTGGCAAGGAGTCTGGCCCGCAGTCCGCGTTATTGACTTTCATGATGGCAAAATAAGTACCATATAATAAATAACTCTCAAGATATGGCCGAACCTGACTATTTCAGCAACTGATCGTGTTTTTGAACTTGACGTCGACCTGGAGAGCTTTTTGGTACGGCATCCCGTGCGTAAAAACCTTACGCTAACGAGAGATGCCAGAAAGAAAAACCACAAGCAAAGTTACGATTCATGTGAGTTTCCTCTCTGCAGTCATGCTACAATGGCTGGTAACGCAAATTCACTTCAGTCTTCTAGAAACTCGTCAAGTCACCCCTAATAATAAAGACACTTGGCAAGGCGAAGTTATTTCCGCTGCTATCAATCCAGCAATGTTAAGATGCCTCCGAAAGCACGCAGGGTTATTCAATACTTTCATTGAGGCTACTTGCGGTATCGGGCACTGGTACTCAGCAAAGCATATGTGTTATAATGATGACTTTAAAGAGACTGTATATGAAAAGAAGTTGGGTATTACACTCTCTGGAATGTAGACAATCTGACGCCTTAGCTTACGCGATTTAGATATTTTCTACGAGTATATCCCTCAAGAAAAGAAGCACTCATGCACTCAACTCTCAATAGCCAACAATTCAACCACATATTTCTTCCTCGACCTACCCGGATCGGTGCTTGCGCGGTTTATGGGAGACGTAGCCAGAGATTCCAAACTCTCGACACGCTTCTTTTACATGGATACTTTGATTGCGGATGAGGCAATGAGAACATGGCAGAAAAATATTGCCTTGAAGCGCACGGAGCTGAAATCCCTTGTAAGAGCATACGCGATGAGATGTTCTTTACAGACAGCCTGCTTATAGTCTCAAGGACAAAACTATTGATGATTCAAAGGTTAACAACCAATCCCTTCGTGAGTTACATGCCCTGGCTCGGGAGTGGCATATACTCGCACGAAATTTGTCCGACTATTCTGCCCTTCTGAAGTTCTTCAAAACTTCCTCATCGAGATACTATGCTTTAACAGATTCACACGCGAGTAAATGGGCGCTGGACATCATGTCATTAAACGGGACTCTCGAATATTTGGATTCGAGCTGCCAATCACTCACTTACTTGATATCCGACTATAGCGGTCGAACCAAAACCCGGATTGACTTGGTAAGGACTTGAAAACAATAACCTTGACTTGACTTTCTGATGGGGAGATTAGCTGTACCACCTTGCCAGCCAATCAGAAAGTCAATCGGCCCGCGAGCTTGCGGAACTGGCACGACAGGACAGTGCTGCAATGCTCACTATTGCGGCAGTTACTTTGTTGTTCCTCCCCGGTACATTTATTGCGGTGAGAATTCTTCAGAGTTCAATGCCCACTGAAGGGCGACAGCTGATTGTCTAAATACAGTCGATATTGAGCACTACTATCTTTAACTTTGCCGATGGAGAGATGCAAGTATATAGAAAGTGGTGGATATTTCCTGTGACTGTGGTACCGTTTACAATTCTTGTGTTTGTTGCTTGGTTTGCTTGGCTTGCTCAAAAACGTGGGAAAAGGGACTACAAATAACTATGCAAATAGGTTATGGATAGCAGATCATGAGTATTGATACAGGTAGTTGTGTACATTGCCTAATTCTCATTAATCTATCTTTCTTAAATCCATTCTCGGTAGCTCAATAAGTAAGAGAGCTTGTGGAAATAAAACCCTCTTCATTTCAAAGTTAGCCGTACCGCACCTTAATAAATTAAAACGCAGGGTAGAACACAATCGGCAGTAATTCCAGAAACAGATATAAAACATAAATTAATTATTACCCTTAATAGTTATTTAGCTTGAAACTTTCGCTTTCTATTAGACTTGAGCAGGGAGCAGCCCTCGGAATGCCAGCCATCAGTGGTCCCAAACGCGGAAATGAGAAATAAATCAGTCACAGCATTGTGAATGGCTGAACTGTTCTCATGGGATTGGAAGTGCTAGAAATAATCTACCGGGGCGACCTTCTTAAATCAAGACTTCTTCCAAAAGCCTCTTAGCTCCTTGGGGACTGCTCTATAGGCTCATATCATATTTGCGCACTCAACTACTGAAAAGGGGGTTGTTTGACAATTTTGTCAAGAATATTTGTTATGGGCCTGATTAAAAATCGGAGATATTAAATTACTCAAAGATTAAGCTCTACGAACAAAGCCATATATGCGCATTCGTACAACGCCAAAGTTGGCCAAGCGGCCCTTTGATAGGAACAATAATCAGGTGTATCTGAGAGTTGGTAGAGGAAACGGCAAAAAAACATTTCGTAGCTATTTGCAACACTATGCAATATAGTATAAAGTCAGCACATCTCAAACCAGCTAAACATCCGTAGCATTGAATTCACTGTATGATTTGCGGCATCCTCCGACATCTTTGTGAATACTGTATCTCTTACATGGCACCATAAAAGCATCCATTACCTTAGATATCAGAATGGCCTTGAGCATTGCTATTGCCGGCGCTACTGGGAAGTTGGGGCTTCCGATTGTGATGGCTCCGCTGGCTGCAGGGTACCATGTCACTGCCTTTACACGACAACGCTGTAATAATGCCTCGAAACTTCTTACAAGGTCCAACCTTTCAGTAATTGAAGTCGACTACTCTTCAATCCAGTCTCTCTCTACTCCCCTCAAAGGCCACGCCGTCATCGTCTCCGCTCCTACCTCTACATCAGTTGACGACCAAATCCCTCTTATTGACGATGCTATCAAATCTAGGGTGACAAAATTTATCCCATCAGAGTTTGATAATATTGCTACAAACTCCAAGGGTGACCAACTGCCAATGTTTGAGGGCAAGGTCAAAACGCATCCATATCTTGAGGCGGTTATAGCCAAGAATCCTGATTTCAGTTGCACGGTGATCTGCAACGGCGCTTTCTTGGATTGCGGCCTCGACAGCTTCCTTATAGACGATCCCAGACACATAGCTACTGTCTATAATAGCGGCGACATTCCATTCACAGCCACTCGACTTGATATTATTGGTAACGCCACCGTCGGGGTCATTAAACACCTCTTCGAGACGGCTAACCGTCCAATTTACATCCAGGACGCTGTTGTTACCAAAAATACTGATAGGGTACGTTAAGGAAAAGGATAGCGTGGAATGGAGATTACTCATGAGTCCACCGAGGCAATGCAATACTTACAAAATCCCTTGTGAAAGTAGCAAAGGGTATTGCGGGTTGGTTAGTAATGCGCCCTTTGTTTTCAACTCCGGTTTTGGGGAGGGATGTGGTCAAATTTTCTCCGACCACTTAGACAACAAGCTCCTGAGATCAAAAGTTTAACAGTCGCCGAGGCTAAGGCTTTCGTAGAGAATTTATTATGATTGATATATAATAATAATTCTTATTATTGACTTAGCTTAACTTTGTAATGTAGCTAAATACAAAAATCACTCAGTATGTTGTAATAAATTATACACGGTAGTCTCTTTCTTGTTAGAAAAGGAGGATAGATTTATAGTAATAGGGAGAGATACACCGCAATAGCTGCTACTTTTGTCAATCGCGGGTCGTATAAGTCAAGGGGGGAAGATCCAATAGGACGGGCGGGGATATTTTCATGAGTAGAGTTATTGAATTGTAAATTCTTGTAAATTTACTTCTTATCCATGATATAAAACCTGCTATTTCAACTCTACTGTATCTACAAACAGCGTTCGGCTCCAACCTGGCGGGTAACGGTCACCAATAATCTCAGCCTTAGTAACTGCGGACCTTATCTCTTGTACCTCGGTGGCGCTAAGCTTAATATCCAGCGCACCCATATTATCCTTGAAGTTGGCTATCTTTGTTGTACCTGGGATTGGTACCACCATATCCCATTGCTTCAGTAACCACGCCAAGACTAGCTGACCCGTTGAGCAGCCCTTACGCTCAGCAAAGGAAGTCAATTCATTTACCAGTTCCAGGTTCTTTAAAAAGTTCTCTGCGGAAAAGCGAGGTACAGTACGGCGCCAGTCGTCCTTGTCAAGATCTTCAGGCCCGCGCAGCTGCCCAGCCAGGAATCCTCGGCCGAGTGGCGAGTATGCGACCACACCAACCCCCAGTTCCTTGCAAGTGGACAGTATTCTTGTCTGTTCCGACTCAATCTCAAGGGTGAACGGGCTATACTCGACCTGCACTGCCGTGATCGGGTGAACGGAGTGGGCGCGACGAAGAGTTGTAGAGGATACTTCCGACAGGCCCAAGTATTTAATCTTTCCTTGTCTATAACAACGCATATGTTAGTTCAGCCGTTCTGTTCATGAGTTACTTCAATGAACGGATGTAAAAGGGTGCTTACACCTTGAGCTGAGCCATGGCAGACACTGTCTCTTCGATTGGTACCTTGGGGTCGGCTCGATGAACATAATAGAGGTCTATATAATCCGTGTTCAGAGCCTTCAAACTCTTTGCGCATGCTTCAGGCACGTAGGCTGCATCAGTCCGAGCCAACCCGTGACCCATGTTCCCGAATTTGGTGGCCAGGATGATGTATTGTCGCTTCTCGGGGTTCGCCTTGAACCACATGCCGAGCAGCTCCTCGCTATCGCCGTATGCGTCGGCTGTGTCCCAAAATCTCTCCCCAGAGGCATAGAGCTGATCGAGGAACTGGAGGCGCTCTTTGAATGAGGTGATCTTTCCATAGAAAGCGCTTAGACCCATCAGACCCATGCCAATTGCTGTTACTTCAGGGCCATTCTTGCCCAGAACTCTCGTTGGGAATGGCATTGGTGAAACAGTAGAATATTATGTTTCGAATCCCGTATGTTAAGACTTTGTCTGAGCTTAAGATAGCATTGAAAATCGAAATATTAAAGTTAGTTCTTTATTTACCTTGGAGTAAGTGCCAATGCTTTGCTTTTTAGGTCACTCAGCCAAGATATTTATAATTCTGTGCAGAATCTTACTACTACCGCCCGGCCTGGATCATAACGCTCTTCATTTCATCTAGTTTGACAACGATCTTGCCTTGCGTATGGCGTAACTCGTAACGTACTGTAATCAGCGTTGGCACAACCAACCACTTAAAGGCTAACGCCGACAGCCCCACACAGTGGCTTAAACGCTAAAGCCGACAGCTAGTACTTTGTAAGTGGTTTTGCGCGGGCGGAGATACGCGTAAGAGTAGAGAGTATTTATTCCGGTGGCCATTGCGACTTTTAATGTAAAGCCGAACTTGAACTAAAGTCGCATGATGATTTTGAATTGCCTCAACATGCGTTGAATTATTTTTTCTAAACATGGCGTATAATAGCAGAAATAATGGACTCCAAGGCCTAAGTAAGCTGGCTTATAAAAATACAATCGTATATTTGACAGCTGGTAGGCTTTAAAGGGAAACTCAATTCGCCTCTTCCAATCCAGCCTCATGTTGATTGTACAGACAGACGCACAGCACAAAAGAAATCTTAAATCTCACACTCAAACAATGTCGGATTTGTCTGGTTCATCACAGGGGCCAGCAGTGGTTTTGGCAAGTACATCGCAACGGAAGCTTTACATTGAGGCCATAAGGTGATTGAAACGGCCCGGAAGGTCTCAACCATTGAGCAGCTTCATATCGCCGGCGCTGCGGTCCTGGAGTTGGACGTGACTTGGGGTGAGCGGATTGTAGTCGCCAAGCTGGAGGAAGCTAATCAGATCTACGGCAAGATAACCAACGTCGTCAATTGCGCTGGATACATTCTTGAGGACGCGGTAGAAGAGGCAAGGTATGCCTTCGACTCTGTTGTTATCAGCAAACACACTGCAAGTTTACAAAAGCTGACCGTTTCTTATTAGTTCCAAGGAGGTCTACGACGAGTTCAACACCAATGTTTTCGGCGCTGCTAATATCACCCGAGCTTCTGTTCCTTATCTTCGTAAGGCTGCTCAAACTGGTTCTTGTCATGCCGCTATTGCCCACTTCGGCAGCCTAGCCTCTTACTGGCCTTTCCCCGCCATGGCGCATTACTGTGCCTCCAAAGCTGCTGTCTCACTTCTTACTGATGGAATCGGTCGCGAAGTGGCGCCATTTGGCATCAAGGCATGCACCATTGAACCCGGCTTCTTCCGCACTGAGTTTCTTAACATGGGAGAAGCTCAACGCCGTGCTCAAACTGCCGTAACCCTACTTACGTACGCTGGCACTCCAGTTGCAGATTCTCGTGAGCTGCTTATCAAGGCGAATAACAACCAAGCTGGTGACCCGGAGAAAGGCGCTAAGGTCATTGTGGATATTTTCACTGGCACGGGTGTTGCAAATGGCAAAGAAATCCCTAATCGTCTGCAACTGGGCTCTGACATTGTGGGAACCCTGAAGGATTCTATCATCCCCGGTATGCTAAAAACAATAGACCAATGGGGTGAAGTTTCGGAGTCAACAGATTTCTAACCTTGTAACCAGTGTAGAATTTTAAATAGGGCACGAAAAATTTAGAACATTTTAATTTTTCTAATTACTAAACTAGTCTCTATTCTTTCCGATTTCAGGAGCTATTTTATTGCATTTCCAACGATATCCTATTATTTCTCTTAAAGCCAAAGAACTTAATAGCTTATAGCCCATGCTATATAAAAAGTAAGGGGCTTGGCTCAATATCAATATGACAAACTATACTCCTCCCATAATTAAAAGAGAATGGCTATCTTGAGATCTGGTGAGCTAGTGCGGAATGCACAGTGAGACCAATGTTTGCCTGATCAGAATACCATTTGTTCTTTTATAGAGGCGCAGAAGATACAGATAGTATTTTGAAGGGAAATTGGAGTCTATATATTGTAGAGTAGACATATGTACTTTAGTTCTCCAGCAAAATCCTAGACTCTGTCATTAGCCAGCCGCAAATGCTGGAGATCTCGGAGAACGTCTCTTCTGTCCTGCGTAATATTTAGTGGTGAACCTTAACCATTGACCGCGAAATAGCTTTAATCCCCAATGGAAGAGCGATCCTTGTAGCGGCAGTCTAGATTGACGCGCCGACAGAGTGAATACTCGCCTGGTTGCTCGTAGTATTTCTCCTTGCGTGCTGAACACCCCCCACGAGACTCTTTGTGGTAGAATGGAGAGCTGGAATGGATTATAGCCTCGGAATGCATTACAGCAACTAGGTAATGCTGTAGCACCGTTTAAGAATGTATTCCTATGCTTTGCAAAGAGGTTCTTGCTTTGTGTTACGGCCTGGTCCCTCGTAACAGATCAAAAATCCTCAATAAGCAGCTGGCTCCGTTACAACAATTACTACAATTGCGATTACTTGGCTAATCCTTTGCCATGTTTGGCTCAACGATATAACGGGTGGTTACGTTTCGCTTACCTGGATAGCCAGGATATTGCAATACTTTTGGCGCATGTAACATAGTAAACGTCTCAATACAGCCTAAGCTTACTATAATGTCTGCAAACATGTAAGTAGGGTGGTTAAGAATACTTGCTACAAACAATATAATAATAAAAACTAAAATTGAGAGCGCAACAATGCATTTAGAAGGAACCAGCTTTGTGTTTTGCATATGTGAATATTAACACAGAACGTGAAAGAATTAGAATTAATGAATTACCTTGTAGTAAGGAGAATGCAAAGGAACAAAGGAAGCAAATGCCAGAATGTAGCTGCATATATATATATAAGAAAAGTTCATTTTGCTTTTATTAAATGAAACTTCTTTATTAATTTTACAACTATAAGTCCTATTAGTCATATAATTAATGTCAAATTAAGTTTATTTAAATTAATATATAGTTTAATATATACTTACTACAACATAGAATTTTATAAGGTAAGCAACTGGAAAATTGACCCGGTTTCAACGTTGTACAATTAATACTGAGAGTCTAAATAAGATATTTAGCGCTTCTCTGCTAATACAGCGGCTATACTAGTGTTTGCCGCTCCAATAGCATGTTATATTCGTGAAACAGTGCAAATAAACAAAGCACATCCGTGTAGCCTAATATAATTAGCCTAAAAGCTTGCTATCTAATGGGAAATGCCTTGAAAATCATTCCATAAGCTGTTGGAAGGCATCAGTCTTGATGTTAAATAAACCTTAAATATTGTTACTTTACATACTCTGCTGAAGCTGTCTTGTCTGTCTATTTAAGGTCAATTCAGTCTATAGCTTCTTGATTTCTCTTCGAGCCTCTATCAGGCTGAAATATTTGGTTACAATAACAAAAAGTCTCACACTAGCAATTTCCACCGCAATTTTGATCAAGATGAAGACTTTCGAATTAGCATCTCTCTCTATAACCTTCCTACTAGCATTTCTTCACAACAGCGAAGTCAGAGCCGACAATCCTATAATACAGACCATATACACAGCAGATCCAGCACCAATTGTATATAATAATCGTCTATATTGCTTCACCGACCATGATTTGCCAGGCTCGACCTTCTTTAATATGACAGACTGGCGGCTATTTTCGACTGTTGATATGGTAAACTGGCAAGACCATGGTGTAGTGATGAGTCTGAAAACTTTCAGTTGGGCTAGTGCCAATGCTTGGGCCGGCCAAGTCATCAATCGAAACAATAAATTCTACTACTATGCCCCGATGACCCACGGTGCGACGGGAGCTATGGCTATCGGTGTTGGCGTGAGCAACAACATTACTGGCCCATATGTTGACGCGCTTGGTCATCCCCTTGTGGAGAACAACGAGATCGACCCAACTGTCTTTATCGATGATGATGGCCAAGCGTACCTTTACTGGGCTAACCCGGATCTCTGGTATGTGAAGCTAAACGAAGACATGATATCATATAGCGGCAGTCCCGCACAAATCCAGCTCACCGTTGCCGGCTTTGGTGCTCGTCAGGGTAATGAGAATCGAACTACTTCGTTCGAAGAAGGTCCTTGGGTCTACAAGCGAAATGGAATTTACTATAATGTTTTCGCTGCCGACTGCTGCTCCGAAGATATTCGCTATTCAACAAGTCCGGGTCCGCTCGGCCCGTGGACATACCGAGGCGTTGTGATGCCAACTCAAGGCTCAAGCTTTACAAACCATCCAGCCGTTATTGACTTTATGGGAAATTCATACTTCTTCTATCATAACGGTGCTTTACCTGGAGGTGGTGGGTTTGATCGGTCTGTGGCGGTTGAAAAATTTGTGTACAATGCAGATGGCTCCATCCCTCAAATCAACATGACCACCGCCGGCGCTCCACGGATAAATACTCTGAACCCCTACCAACGCCAAGAGGCAGAGTTGATCGCCTGGTCATCTGGTGTTTCAACCGAGATGTGTAGTGAGGGAGGTCTAGACGTTTGTAATATTAATAATGGCGACTACGTCAAAGTCGAAGGCGTTGATTTTTCTGCAAATGGTGCCTCAGTTGGTGCCAAATCTTTCTCGGCTCGTGTCGCTTCTGCAACCAGTGGTGGGAATATCCAGTTGCACTTAGACAGCGTTGGTGGCGCACTGGTCGGCAGCTGTACTGTCCCTAGTACTGGTGGTTGGCAAACTTGGACTACTATTAACTGCTCCGTAAGCGGTGCTACAGGAGTTCGGGATTTGTTCTTTGTGTATACTGGCGGTGGCACCGGTTTTCTATTTAACATCAACTGGTGGCAATTCAGTTAGAAAATGGTAATACACTTTACACTTTTATTAGAGGCCGTTTATCCAGTATCCAAGCAGATTCCAAAAGGGAGGGCTTGTATAAGGAAGTACCACACATTTAACAACTATACCACTATGTTACAGCGCTTAACCGCTATAATACAGCTGCAATAGCTATAACGTAGTGTTTAACAGCTCTATTATCGCACTCATTAGGTATAAAATAGTGTTTATCCACTATAAAATAAATATATTTGCTGTAATTAATTAATTTACTAGCACATATGCTTAAAATACTTAAGGCAATTAAGTTTTATAAATATATATTAGTACCGCTATTGAAACCACAGAGCGAGAACAAGTTACAGAACCACTTGATCTAGTCTGTGCAGCCTCGTTCTTAAGGGCACGCAGCTGCAGCAGTAGCTAAGGGTCATTTTGCGAAGCGAACTTGTGTTATTTTCCCTATCTAGTAAAGAGAACGAGGTTCTTTTTATAATCTATACAACAGGGCGAAGCCTATTTTAATTCTGAACCCTAGTTTATCAGGAAGGCGGGGCACAAGGACTCGTCACCAATAGTGGTTAAACTTAGTGGTTAGTGGCATAAGGATTGACTTTAATATATAGTAAATGTACAGCATATACGGAGTAAGGGTGTTGTTTAATTAAAATGTGGGTGTTGTACAATTAATACCTAATTATAGAGGTAGTTTAATTTAAACACATGAGTGACACATAATGTAAGGCACTCCATTGCCGCTGGTATAAGCACATCCTCCAGAGCCATCAAATAAACCACTAACCGGCTGGCTGCAGGCAGCATCTGCATAAGCAAAACAGCAGATATTACTTCCACTCCAGTTATTAGCAACATTTAAATACCATGCATTAGGTTGACCCCAGGATGCGCAAGGCGTCCAACCACCATTCCAATTGTCAAGGTCGATTTGACCAACATATCCATTGCCACACCCATATTCATAAGCATTAACTTGAAATCCACCCGTAGCAACAACAGAGGTTCCAAAGGAGATAGCAACAGCAACAATAGAAGATGACCGCATTTTCACAAATATGCCAGCAAAGTAGATCTATAAAGATTAGTACCTCATATTTAAAATTCCAGAGTCAATTACTCACAAGTGCCTAATGGATATTTAAGCCAATGAACTTCAACCCAGTCTATTATACTTAAGATAAAAGAAAGACAATTCAGTGTTAGGGAAAAACTATGTTTATATAGTACTTTCAAACATAAACAAACAACCTAGATTCAAGCGAAGCAATGGAGATAGTTTACTATTGATTTTCTATTTTTTATTAGTATCAAAACATATGTTTAGTAAATCCAGCAGCCGGAAATTTTAATACCTCCAATGAAAAAGAGACAGCTTACCATTCTATACAATAAATATTTACCTTCTCAATAAAGAAGGCAATTGAAGAAGAAATAAGCATTAAAATCTGATATCAGAATTTAGAATATTAAAACCGCAATATAATTGCCTGACAACTTAGTCCGCTGGCCTGATTACAAAAGGCACTATTAGCTGATTTTATTTTAGAACAAAAAAAATACTACAAGTACTATATAATAATTGCTTTTGAAAAATCCCTTCTGGCCTAAATTATACCTTCCAGCACCGCCGCCTATGTTTGTAAATTGTTATAATCGGCATTGTCGATAATTTTCAAGCTTACCCTAGCATCTCTGCAAACTTTTTTTTTACAGTTACAGCACGTTTTCATGCACCGCGCATTAGAGAGAAGGGAAATCTTCACACTCCCCCCAACCGCCGCCCCCTTCTTTTTTGAGACACAGTCTCACCTCGCTGTTGGTCCGATCATGTTATTCACATACATGGCACCAACCGATGCATATAATATTTTGTTTAGAAACTCTATAGAAAGGTAGATCTTCCTCTGCCAGTAGACACAATTTTCGGATTCCCGCCTCTATGCTGGTTTACTGTCCAGCAGCCATTTTCGCATAAACGCAACGCTTGGCCCGATAGCGGGCCCTATATTTGTAACTATACACACACTTGATGATTTCATTTCAGGAATCAAAGGCAATACTGGGTACCAGCTGTGCCGCCTGCATAAACTTGATACCGAAGTTTTTGACATCTATCCAGAGGGCGAAGCTTCTCAATGCAAGGTTCCACTAGTTATGGGGGAACGTCTTCTTGCCTGGCAAAGCGGCATATGGTCTAGTCGGTGAGCGCACGTCTCGACAGCTGCACATCATGTTGATGTATATAGTCAGTCCCTAGGATACGTGGTGGATTCCGAGACGCGATAATAGCTCTGGTATGGGCGCGATCCAGACGCTGATTTTCTGTGTCAGTCGACTGGCCTGTCCCAGGACTAGAACAATTAATTGTTACATCGAACACGCCTGTCAAGGATTCACGCAGGCGGAGCAGACTCGCCTATCAGCAGTCAAGAGGCGGACGCCCATCTTTTTGCCCACAACGTCCATTAATAACTCGTGGAAGTGAGACGCAAATATGCCCGGCATAAAGAATACGACGGGCGGCGACTTGTCTTCAATAATCATGGATCGGCGCGGGTTGGCGCCTAGCATCCGTGTACGCACGCTACTTCCAGAGCACCATGATCCGTCGCCGTTGCGAGCAGCGTGAACGTTTTTTAAAACCTGGGCCGCTTTAGGAGGAACCATTAATTAAAAAAGAAATAATTTTGAGACACACATATATAACCCCCGAACTCGAACCAGCGGTGCAGACTGCAGTACGCCCTTTTGAACGATGAGGGCTTGCCTCTCTAGGAGAAGAGATTGTGCACAATAGATCCTGCGCCGGCAGATTCTCCCATCCATGTAACATTTTCAATATTTTCGTATGCCCATTGCAGGGAGAGGCATTGATAATGCGGTCTGGCAATGGCTGTGCCATTAGCTTGCAGTGATGGGCTGGCAAGGAAGCCGAATACGCCGAGACCCAGATGACTCTATCATTTCCATCTTCCTGGGACGCAGGGATAATCTCACTGGGGCTCCCCCATGATCCCTTCGTTCCGCTCACGAATCCACCTCCCCAATACCTGATTAGTCTACTCAAGTTAAAAAAAGCCAAGTTTCCATACTGCCACCGACACATTGGATTGTGTTTATTATTGCTAGTGTGCCATATGGCTTTGCTTTAGTGATGCTTTCCCTCAGCCTAAATGCATACATACCGGTGTCACCGATTGCTATGATCGTTTTAGTGCCAGTGCCCTGGCGGTCATACAATGCTTCGCTGTCTTCTTGAAGCGCCTTGCTCTATGCGCTACAATCATGTATGAAAGGCTTGGTACGCCGTAGGCTACTAATATTTTTAATTTTTTTTCGCTGTGGCTCTGGAATATTACCATTTGTACTTTACAAATTTGGGGCCAAATTACGAGCAGCCAGTAAGTTTCATGTAAGCGTCACCAATCATAACTAGTGCTGGAATTATAAACGCGAAACTACTCTCATTGCTTTTTCCCCTGACTAAAAAATTAAGCCAAGTACAAATCAAGTTACAGCGCTATTTAAGATGATCATAATTCATTATGTGTAATTGATTAAGCTTGATGTGACAGCCTAGCCCATACACTTGCTAATGAAATCATTGTCATAACGTATTGTAGCAGGGGCAAATTGTTTGGCTCCTCACCTACACATTCACTAAGCTTCTTACAATGCAGAATATGATGGCTAAAACCACAAAAGAACAGGACATCAGGTAACCGCATTGGCTTGTTTCAAGGGGAAAAAAACATCTACAAATTATAAAACGTCATTGAAATGCTACTGTTAAAGGCGAAATGGGTGTCTTTGTTTTATTAGTTAATTTTATAAGGTCTGGTGGGGCTTGTGTGGCTAGTGTAAGAGATACTGGTATTTCTTAAGTATTAAATGTACCTTTTAAAATAATAAATTAATAATAAAAGATAGATGTAGATAGTGTATACCCGCCTACTCTTTTATTTATATTATTTTCTTTTATTTCTCTTTTTTTATTTTTTTTATGCTAAGTATATTATTTTATTATAAGTAATTAAATTAGGTTTTTATATAAATGTAATAATAGTACTGTAACTATATCCTAGAACCTATAGCTTAGTATACTTTTTATTGTTATATAGATTTCTGCCTAGAATTATAATAGCCCAAGCTTGCTATAGTATTTGCGCTATAAAATGCATTTACTATAAGAATTTAATAAAAATAGCCAGGTAAGTAAAGAGTTATATTAGCAGGTATAGCTGTATTTTTAAACCTATAAAAAAGTTTTTTTATAATATATTTATTAGTAAGCCTGATTTATATTAAAATAAAGTAATAGATTTTTTATATAAAGAGTTTAAAGAAAAAGTATTAAAAAGATTAATTAGTTAAACCTTAGATGCTATAGATTAAATATAGAAAAGAATATACTATATTATATAGTAGCAGGACCTTAATCTTTAGATTAAGTATTAATATAATATTACTAAATATTTTTTTAAATATTTAATTTTTATTAATAAAATAAAATATAATTAAAGGATTAGGTATAAGCATTAAGGATAGTTTTTAAAAAGTATAATATTACTTAAAGTTATTAAGTTTAAATAAGGCAAGAGGTAGTATATTCTTTCTGCCTATACTTAAGATAGGATTATTTTTAAATAAATTTATTAAAGGTTAATAAATATAGATTATTTTAATAATTTTATATTTAAGCTACTATAATACTATAGTAGATACCCTAGATTTAGATCTATGTTTATTATAGATAATATATTTTAGTATTATTTAAAAAAAATCTAATAATTATATAATAATATAAGAGTAAAACTACTATACCTACCTTTATACTTACTAGATTTTAATCCTATTAAGGAGTTTTTTTCTATCTTTAAGTTATTTATTAAAAGATATTAAAGATAAAATAAATATATTATTAAGATAGATTTTAAAAAATATTTAAGGTAGTGTATTAATAAGGTCAGTAGCTATAGCTATATTATAGAGGTTTATTTTTAGTATATAGGATATAGGATTTAGTAAATTAAAAAGTAAAATTTAAAGGGATATAGGATTTAGTAAATTAAAAAGTAAAATTTAAAGGCATTAAAGTTTATAAAAAGTATATATATAGTAATTACATTAATTTTAATTTAGGTATTTAATATTATTTATAATAGCTGCAGGGCTTTATTTTTATTTATTTTTATGCTTTTATAACTTAATAAACCTTAGGATGTTATTAATAAATTATAATATACTTTTAAAAGGTATACTTTTAGCAATTATTATATTTTTAACTATATTTAAATATTAATAAATAAAGCTTAAGTTTAAAAGCTCTTTTATTATAAATTAATTTACTGCTTTTATTCCTCCTTTATATTTATTACTTTATATATTTATTAAATTTTATATACAGTAATCTTTTATTTTTTTAATTAAATCCCTAGAAATTAACAGTAGTTTAGTATAGCTGCCTTTAGGAAAAATATTAAACTTACAGCTATAATAGCTAGTATTATTATTTACTTTTTATTTTTTATTAATATATAATATTTTATTATATATATTAGCAAAAATCTTAATATTTTAAATATTTTTTAAATTTTTTTCTTTTTTTATATTTTTTTTTATTTTATTATAAATCTTTTAAATAGTTTTATTATTAATTATATAGTAATTGTTTTTTTTATTTATTAAATAGTATAGCAAGTTTTACTAGCAAGATTTCCCTTTATATTTATAGTAAGTAAAGACTTAGGTTATAAACATTAACTTAAGGGAATTTAACTAAGCCTGCTGCCTATTAGTAATTAAATTTCTTTATGCTGTCTAGGTTACTATTATTGCTTTTGTTTTCTAATAGGTAAGTTTAATAGCTATAGTTATTATTATATACTGCTGTTTAAATAAAGAATTAAAAAATATTAAATGCTTATTAATTTTTGCCTAAGGAATCTCTTTATCTTTAAATTTAATATTTAAATTTTTATATTTTTTAGCTTTAATAGCTATAGTTCTTTTGCTTATATAGCTGCTTTTAGCTAAAATATTTTTAAAATTAATTAAAAGTATAGTAATATAGTCTTTAAGCTTTTTTTTTAAAGATTACTAAGTATAAGAATAAGGTTTCTTTTATTAATTATATTAACTACTATTAATTTTTTTTTACTAATATTATATTTAAATATTTTTAACTTTAGATTATAATAAATATAAGTTAGGTTTTTTTTATTATAGGCTTAGTTAAGTTTAATATTGCTAAATTAAAGCAGCAGTAGGTCTTTTATTATAATAAATTAATTAGTTTTGCTGGGCTTTTATTTAACTTTTAAATTAAATTTCTAGCTATATTTTAAAAATTTATAATTTAAAATATCTAAAGTTATAAAATTAAAAGCATTATTATTAAAAAAAAAACTAAATTTATTTATAATAGTATAAATTCTATATAGTAATAAATTCTAGTAGAATATAAATAGCTAAAGTAATATTTATATTTATACTTACATTTACATCTATATATACTCTAGTAAAGGCAGATGGGTATACTATATTATATAGCTATAAAAAAACTTTTATTGCTTTTTATTTAGTTTTATAAATAATAGTAAATTAGCTGCTTTATACTATTAATGTTTTTTTTATAAGACTTTTATTAATGCATTTGCTTTAGTAAAGTAAAGTAGTATTTGGTATTATTATTCTATAGGATCTATTGTATAAAATATATAGGGGATTTATAGGGCTGAGTGTTGTTACTATAGTATTTATACTTTTGCTTAATTAATTAGCTTAGGTTAATTAATTTATATGCTATAGCTGTTTTATAGATTCTGGCTAAGATTAAGGTTATGCTAATGCTGAAATTTAAGTATTAAATAAAAGATTGTTTTAATAGAATTTATTATAAGAATATATAAGCTGAAAATTAATTTAAAGCTATAGATGTTATAATGCGCTTACTTATACTGGGATTGGGGGTGGATATATAATATTATAATATTATAATATTTAGAAATAGATATTGTTATTTTATTAGAGTATAATAAAGTATAATAATATTAATATAGTACCTGACGTAGGACTTCTGTGGTATATGTCTATAATTGCATACAGCTATATGTGGGTTTAAAATTGGCGTCTATTATTATTTTTACTTAATAAAAAAGGGATACCTATTTCGCCTTTGACAGTACTTTCTCGACTGTTAAGAATGAAATCTGTCTTGTTTATTAAGCAGAAGTAGCCTTTGCCTTGTTATCTACCAACAATACATGTGACGTCTTAGCGGTTAGTGTTGGCTACGCAGGTACTACTAGCTATTTATATAGGCTTCTAAAAAAGGCGTTAATTTTGTAGCATGGAGTGGTAAATCGCGCTATATCAGCCCAAGGCCACGTGCAGTGTTTATCCCGTCCCCTATTCCAGCAACTAATTGCCCACTTCGGAAAAAGACCTTGTTCTAGACCAGAGCTATGAAGTGAAAGTACACATAGCGGCTGTCCAAAGTAGATAAGACCTAGATGATCGATGTTATAATAAATGAGACGTGTGGCTAAATCTTGCTTATTTCATAAACATATCCATATTTCAAGTGGGAAGAGAAAAACGAGGGGTTAAAAAAAAAAAAAAAAGCCTCTTGCTGCTCCAAGAGACACACACGTCCGAGAGCCGGATACAAAGATGAATGGAAAGGATCCTCGGCACATACCTAGGTACTAGTAACTAGGCCTAGCTGCGATGTAAAATAGCGCGAGGTGGTGGTGGCGAGTGGAGATCACAACAAAGTCTTTGCTATCTTCTGGACCACACCACTTAACCACTAAAGGATAGACCTTCCCCTTCTGCCCGAATCCCCTGGATCGAGGCGTTAAGCTTTTCAAAATCCAGGCTCGGGAAAGAGACAAAATATCCGCGGCTTGATAGTGTGTTTCAGCGGTCATATTTAGTGCACGCACAGACTGGCCACTCAGCTTCAGCTGCGAAGAACGAAGCGCAAGTGTTATTGCAGCTATCCGAAAGCTATCACGAATCAGCTCCACATGGCCGATTCTAGGCCAATATAGCCCAATGCTATTGGCCAATCTGGCTAAAGCTGAATAAACTATCTTGGAAATATGGAGAGATTACACTAATCGAACATGGGCGATCCATGTGCATCGTGGCCACTACGGGGCATCATGATGGCCTGGACACCAAAAGCAATGCGAATTGTTCGATTGAAATTAGGCCATCGAATCTGCTGATTCAGACGGCCCTAGCTTAAATAACTGCGAAGGCATTTTCTTTCCCTGTCCGGTTTCTCGAATCTGGTTGTAATTGTAATGCTACACGCTGCTCATTCTGTGGAGCATGATGCTTTCGTCCCCGTCAGCGGTTGTCGTACCCAAGGAAAATTCAATTCAAGAATTTGACTTTTTTGAAGCCCTCTCTATCACGCCTCAGAAAGATCCTTTCTCAATAGACACCGAAGAATTTCTCTCGTTGCCTAATACTGTTCGTACCCCGATCTCGCCGCAGTCAGTTCCTTTGGCGACGCCACTGCCTAAAGCTTCAAGCGCCACCAACATCAACTCTTCTTCAGTCTTGCACCCGCCAGCCAAACAGTCCGCAAAAATGCCTCGTCAATTATCTAAAGCCCATACAAAATGCTGTGACCTTTGCCACAGCGTTGCGGCTAATGGAGACCGAACCTCTGTTCGCATGCTCGAATATCTCACCACTGTCAAGCAACTTTCGCATAATGTCGATCGGTTAGCACACTTGCTCCTTGACACCTGCGAGATTCTGTTCTCTATTGAAGCTGGCCTTGGAGAATGCGGACGCTCGACCCCAGAGTTACCGTCTGATGTTATCTCAGAATTGGACAAGAAATTACGGGTTGCTCAATCAGACTTCAATATTCTCGATGAAATGCTGGGCAAACTTCTAGAATATGAACGCAAGGGCACGATGGGGAGGATGAGGCGTGGCTGGGGGAAAATATTTGGAGATACAGACGTTGACAAAATGGCGGCGGTCCTCGAACGAACAAAAGAAGGCTTGAGAATGAGTGCGCTGCTCTTCCAGTGGACGCTAGGCACCGAACGGATTGAGCGCGGTATGGGCATTGGATACACAGGGCTCGCAGCGGCATTGAACAGACTGGAAGATAATTCGGGACGTGTGAAAGCAAAGGCTTCTGAGCCAGACATGTCGCGTCATCGCCCCTCTCCTCTTAGCCATGGGCACCTGTCTGCTGAGGGACAGCATCAGCAAATGCTAGCATCTTCAGCCGCGTGGAGCGAAAGATCCTCCTCTCGTAGGCCCGATTCTGATATGGCAAATAAGCCATTTTCAAACCCGCGTGGCCCATCAGACGACATTCTTCATCATTACAGCGTTACCACGCCGAGCTCGATTATCTCGAACGACAGAGTAAATTCGGGCATTATTACAACTTTTGATCGAGCTAGCACGATTGGAGACACATCATCCAATACTGGAACAGCAGAGTCAGATGCGCTCCTGGAAGAGTTGGCCGGTATGGACCTTAGACAGTCCAAAGCCATACGTCTGAAAGTAGACCCTTTTACAATGCCACGCTGGACCCCTCGCAGCACAGCAGGCTCGGATGCCGAGAATTTGAGGGGCAGTATCATTTCTGCTGTCAGAGGGAAAAACCATAAATTAATTGAGCAGTTGCTGGATAGAGGAGTGTCTCCGGCAGCGGCGCTGACAGAGGCTGTAAATCTTCTCGATACCGAAAGCATTCGTCTTCTACTTCTTTTCGGGGCCGATCCTAACGAGGCAGACGGCGATGGCATTACACCACTGTTTGCGGCAGTTCAAAAAATGTTCTTTTCGGGAGCGGTAACCCTCCTAAAGTATGGAGCGGATCCTAATGCTTTAGTTGGCCCAGAATTGGAATCTCCTCTAACGTGTGCTATTACCACCCATAAAGTCAGCTTGTCGCATCTCTTATTAATGTATGGAGGTGATCTATCTCACAGCACCTCCAATGGTAACACGCTGTTAATCGCAGCTATCAACAAGAAAACCCCAAAGAGGATGATTGATCTACTTCTCCACTATGGAGTGGATCCAAATGAGAAGAATAGAGAGGGGAAAACAGCACTCTTTGAAGCGATTGGCTCTTCTCGAGTGGACATCACAGGCAGCCTTTTGGATCATGGGGCGGATCCAAACCTCCCAGGACCCAAGCACATGCTGTGGCCGGCAACGTACCAGACACCCTGTCTTCAACTACTTCTTAACCATGGTGCAGACTATAAGAAATGCCCTGGTATTATGGAATTAGCAACCAGTATCAACAATATCGAATCGGTGCGCGTGCTTTTGAAAGCTGGGGTCGACCCCAATGCTAAAAAAGATGGTGTTTATACTCCTCTATGCACGTCTATCCGAGATAACAGAATAGACATATTTCAGCTACTTCTTAGCAATGGTGCAGATCCAAATGTCATGGCTAGCGAATATCCAGCCTTCAAATGCATCACACACAATCGGGTCCACCTCTTGCCTGCGCTTGTCACCGCTGGCGCAGACCTGCACTCCCCCAAGGGAATAGTAGAGACTGCAGTCAGCTCAAACAACATGGAGGCGTTATTATGGCTACTAGATCAAGGCTTAGACCCTAATGAGAGGAACCTTAAGGGATCTTCCCCATTAACAAGCGCCATTCGAGATAACCGGATGGAAATGATAGACGCCTTGATCTCCAGAGGAGCCGATCCTAACAAGCGTGGGCAAGATTGGCCGGTATGCATGGCTGTGCGGAACCCTCTAATACTTAAGCGCATATTATCAGTGCTTGCCGAGCCACGTGCTTATAAAGGCGTCATGGAGATGGCTGTGGCCGCAAACCAGATCGAGTCGGTCAAGTTACTACTGGCAGCGGGAGTTTCAGTGGAAGATAAAAACGGTGGCGTTTTCTCTCCATTAACGACGGCTATTCGCGAAGATTTGAAGGAAATGGTTCATTTCCTCATAAATGACGGTCATGCCGACCTCAACGCCCCCGGTGAGCATCTTCCTATCGTCAAAGCAGTCAGAAGATGCCGTGGCGACGATACAGAAATACTTGAAATGCTTCTTCAGAAGGGCGCCGATCCAAATAAAATCTACAGAGGCTGGAATGCATTTATGCAGGCTGTCGAAAATGGTGATATGAGAATATTGAAACTGCTGAGCAGCAAGTTCAGTGTTGATCTAGAGGCCAAGGATGATCAGGGACGGTCTGTCATTGATATCGCATCTTCTCGGGGTTGGGAAGAAGCAGTCAATATACTTCTTGAGGGTAATTTTAGGCTTTAGATATGTGGCCACCCACTTACACATTTGTAGATATCCAGTTTACAGAGTAGCGCGTTTTTAAACTACCGTATCATCATGTCCCGATTTGAGAATGGGCGGCTTGTTTTATCTTAATACAAATACAATTAGTACAATTATATAAGAGCAAAGTTTCCCCTCTTGATCATCGGGGTCTTTTTAATCCGTAGGTTGCCGCAGAGCAATTATCAAGCAGCGAGTGGGGCAATGTAGCTAAGCAGTGGCTGAGTCTTCAATGGAACACGACGCACACGCGTATTCTGCATAGATACGTGGATTGCTTTCGTGAAGAGTGGTTGGGTTATAATATACTCAGTGAAGATTTCCTCACAATACTACGACGAAAGCCGCCAGCCAATACAAAGCAGCAGACTGGCTCAGACAAAATACAGCCAGGCATTCACAGGATCTTATCCACTTGGGGCTATTGTACCGTCTTTAATACTTCCCGGTCATGCGCAGTTCTCACCGCAAATCACGAAATGGGTGTAGGGAGTGCAAGCAACGCCATAAGAAGTGCGATGAGAGCTCACCTACTTGCCTCAATTGCACCATCACGAATCGATCCTGTTCATACCGCCTTACACGCCCATCATATCGCTTCAGCCGCCCAAAAGCAGTGCCTTGCGTATCAACACCATCACTACGGACGCTCTCGCAGCTGACCTGGTGCAATACCCCGGAATGGCAAACGCAAATGTATGATCTAGGGCATCTTGAGCTGCTTCACCATTTTGAGTCAGGCGCATTTGGAGCGAGTATGCTACCACTACCTATCTCAATACGCATGGTGATCATGCAATGCGCTCTTACCAACCCCTATCTCATGGACCAAATTCTTGCCCTATCGGCAGCCCACATGAGTACCTTTCGCCGAGGACAGCAACAAATGTTCAGCAACAAAGCGATGGAACTTCAGACACGAGCTTTATCATTATTTAATAGAGCCGAAACCGATATTACGAAGCAGAACTCTTGTTCTTGGTTTCTGTATTCGTCATTTCTTGGGCTCCATATTATGTTCGAGACTTTCCAATGCAGAAATTTTGAGTCCTTTTTCGGTAAACTTTCCACTTATTTTCCTGTTCACCGAGGTGTGCACGTTGTGACACGAAAAGCGTGGCCAGCTATAAGGGACCTAATTGAAGAGATCGTCGGGCAGCGGCGGATCGAAGTCACCGCTGGGCCCGGTGGTGAGCGACCTGAGGAATGTGGACATTTAAATTCTCTAATCCACAAGAGTGACCTTCAGGATATAGATAAGGACGCATGCTTTCAAGCAATTATAATTCTTCAGCACATTTTCGATCTATGTCAAGCGGACTCAGGAGCCCACATTCAAATTCCTTTTACAATTTCATGGCCAATTCTGGTATCCGCCAGATTTGGTGATATGGCTAGAAGGCGGATCCCAGAAGCACTCGTCATATTATCTTTCTATGCTGTATTGCTGCATCGTCTCCGTACCTTTTGGGTGTTTGGCAGTTCAGGACGGTTTTTGATCCAGTCAATCTCTGCTTATTTAGGGACACAGTGGGAAGATTGGCTACTGTGGCCAAATCACCAATTGGCAGCAATATAACTTAGAATACTAAAACTTGTGGAATTTCAGGCACCTGTCTCGTATTACAAGCCAGGACCTAGACGATGTGATGGGTAGAGTTAAAGTTAGGCTAACACTCAATGTATATAATGCGCTACTAGCGAGGCTTTGAAAGGATACAAAATAGGACGTGAACTAAGCGTTTGGCTTTCGCCTTCAATATGTTATGCTTATTAGTTCCATATAATTTGACTTTTTAATTGCTGGAAAAGGACAATACGAAGCGGATATCTAGAAAGATTCGGAACGATACTTTACGGATTAAGCTCTACAGAAGCCCCTACCTTGCTTTATTTAAAGAAAACGGGGCTCAAAGTGGTGGCGTCTGTGCAAGACCAATAGATCAGCCAATGACAGGCCCAGGAATACGCGGGTGGAGTAAGGGGCTACAGAGCTTTGGAGCTCTGCACTTGGGAGCATCGTGCAGCACCCGGCGCTTGCGTGCATTGTTTCGTCAGCTTCGTATTAATTGATACATGAATAGCCATGGCATGAACAGCTGTGGCTACTATTTGTAGCGCTTTCTACAAGCCGTTTGGAAGAGCTAAAACGAAGCACAGACATGATATATTGCATCACTTGCTGTGGAGATTACCGAAACTGTTCACCAATCAGGGCCTCGACAATACGCTTGTCTACGCCAAGATGGTGATATTTTGAATACACCGGACAAGAGAAATCCAATGAAGGGGTAGATCTGTCAAGAAAGAGCCGCCTTTCCCCCTGGTCAAGAAAATTATTTATAGGCATTTCATGGTTTTAGGGCCAGCTCAAGGCTATGTTGTGTCCTAGTACTTGAAGAATATTTGCAGAGGATAAATAGCGTTTTTAAATATCTCAGGTCTATCCTCTGACTCTTTTCAATATAGAATATTTTATGAGTTAACTCTCTTGAATTTTTTTTCTTCTTTACTCCTTACGTCTAATTGCATAAATTAATCCGTTGAATCTACGTCTGCACCGCAAAATCCAGGATGAGCACCAACTGCAACCCGGACTGGCAACATGCAGCCTTTTCGTTCTATCGCTACATCCCTTCTATCGCTGCGGCTGTTATCTTATGCGTTGTTTTCCTTTTATCCGCTATACTACATATGTTTCAAATGTGGAAAACAAGATGCTGGTATCTTACACCGTTGGTAGTTGGATGTTTTTGTGCGTTTATACCCAGCCACAGGTATTGCAAGCTGTTTACAATGGCGCTGATTCTGAATTACATCTATAGTTGAGTTTATTGGTTTTACCGGCCGAGCCGCATCGGGGGCACAAAAAGCAGGCTGTTGGACACTGGGACCATACCTTGTTCAAACCATGTTTATTTTGCTTGCTCCCGCCTTGTTCGCAGCGTCCATCTATATGATACTCGGCCGAATCATTATTCTTGTCGATGGGCAAGACCACTCAATTATTCGACCGCAATGGCTCACTAAAATATTCGTCATTGGAGACGTCATTTGCTTCTTACTTCTTGCGGGAGGTAAGGCTCGTTTTCGTGAAAGATGTCACAATCGAAATCAACTGCTTACAAGTACGTCGCATTTCTAGGCAGCGGTATTTTGGCTTCGGGTAAAGACAACCCATCTTCAACGAACCTTGGTAACAATGTTATCATTGGCGGTCTTGTTCTCCAACTCGTCTGGTTCGCTCTTTTTGTCACAGTCGCGGGTGTTTTTCACTATCGAATGACGTCAATTCCAACTGTTCGTTCGCGACAGCCAGATTGTCGCTGGCAGATATACCTCCGAACGTTATACGTTGCCGGCTGCTTAATCATAATTCGAAACCTATTTCGTGTTATCGAATATGCTCAAGGGAATAATGGATATTTACTTACAAAAGAGGCCTTTATTTACATCTTCGATGCCTTACCCATGTTGGCCGTTGTGACTTGGCTTCACTGGATGCATCCGGGAGAAATTGGCTTATTACTTCGTGGTGAAAAGGCAATCCGGAATGGATTTGAACTGATACAAAATCGTAACAAGATCTAGAAGCAATCATTTCGGAAACAGCCATGAGTGCTAGCTAAGTTTAATGCGCTATTACAGTGTGATCGGCACACCAGATTTTAAGTTCATGAAGGCTGGGGATCAATCATTATTCTTATTATAATCCCTTTTCTCTACGAATACAGACCAATATTATCAAATGCTCTGAATAATATTTCTGCTCCTCATGTTGTTGTTGGCGGAAATATCGAGAGTGGTATTATAAAGAGTGCCGGTGTTTTGTCCATAATTTTTACATTGGGCTCAGAATTACGTTGTCCCCCATTCATAAGGATTCTTGAAAATGTGAATTAGCTATTTAATCTGAACGCCCTCATGCAAGATGTAGTGGACTATGTAGCCAGGATCTTTGTGAGCTTCCTCTGACGTTTGCCCTATCTGCCCGCTGTAGAATATTCATTGCTTTAGGCGCAATATTCTTTCTCATAGCTCCACAGTTACAATACCGGCGTAAACTTGAGTTACAAACTCAATACTCGAAATATGAGCGATACAGTTATGTTCTGCCTTGCTTTCTATTATGCCCATGGGAGGCGGGCCTGAGTATGAAAGAAAGTCACAAATCTCCCAATACTAGGATAGGTTATTTCAAAAATTTTACATATTTAAGTCTTCTGGGGGGGCCTGTCTCCATTAGTATGGGTTAAATAAAATGGGAGGAGCAGTATTTAACACACATAAAGTAGAAAATTGATTCATAAATGTAGCATAAGGGGTGAATTTTTTTTTTCGGACAATCCAAATAGAAGCATAATATTCCCATCCAAAAATACACCATGATGCACTTTGCAGAAAGCAATAGGGGCAATGCTTTCATATAGGTACCAGTAAGTGTCCACTTCATTCAGTAACTGATCTCGCTCGCGACTACTGATCAATTGGCCGGTGCTGAAAGGCACTAAAGGCGCTGGCATCCACCTTCTGTTCGCGGCATAGCAAACGAAAAGATAATACTGTAGCTCAAGGTTGAATGACCCATCTTCATTTTGGCTGCTATGCGCTAACATGAAAGGTTGAGAAGGCTATCAATCAAGGAAGAGATGGTGGAATAGCATGTGGACCAGCTTGGAGCTGCGCTCGACACATCTGCTGGGAGAGGGCGTAATTGCCACAACAAAAGGCTGCTTGGAAATGTCCCTGACTCCTTGATATGGGAATGTAGGGATATAAGATGATACTTTTATCAAGAGTGAGTATTGAATTAAGATCTAAGAAGCAAGATGCCCGATACCGAATACCGTTATATGCAGTGGCATTATCGTTGATATTGAACTACCCCCCTAGACCTAAATCTTCAAGTACGTACATAGAAGCATTTTCAGTCTTCCAAGTCCATGTTAGTGGCGAGTTAGATTTAGAGCCATTGCTAATATTTGGCTTGTACGGCAAAAGTGTCGCAGTTCCACCAATAAGATGTCCCAGTAAATCCCAAAGTCAGAAAAGTATGTCTTATTATTGAGTCAAATAGTTGCTTAATCTGTTCACAGTTTAAAAAAAGTCGTGAGTTTCTCGGTGTTTCTCAAGCACACAAAGGGAAGTTAATTTAGGTGCCATATGGTGACCAATTAAGATTTGAGTAGCTATCAATAAAGCCCTTTATATACAATGGCCCTTGCTTGCAAAAGGAAAGAAAAGAGAAATATTTACAATGGCCCCTAGTAGCTCATAGTACCATCCTAGTGAGAAACGTTGATGGCAAAGAAGTGAACATCAGAAGCGCTTGAGCCCTGGTTGTAGTTTCCAACCTTGAAGTAGCTGGAAGGCGCATCAAGCGAGTAGGTGCTAAGAGTTTTGGCTGCGCCGCCATTGATGCTGACACTGAGGACGTTGCTAGAATAGCTAATTGTGTAGGTAAATTGCTGGCCAACTGGAACATTGCCAACCTTAGTCATGACTTCGTTACCGCCAGAGCGAGTTTGTTCCACACCCATAGTCAGATCGCCGCTGGAGTTGTAGTACAGCTCGGCCACTGGCTTGGTGCTAACGTTGTCTGCGATATGAATTTGGCCGACGACCGTCCCATAACCTGAGTTGTCTGGCTGTTCCACAGCTAGCGTCACTGTTAATTTGTTGTTGCTGGCGTTTGGGTCCCAGCTGCTAGGGTTGCTTTCGCGCAACTCAGTGCGGCAGTGCTGGCTGTTGGGTGTCGTGACGCAGCCGGTGTTTGAGGGTGCCCCAGGTACTTTCATGACCAAGGCGCCGTCGCCACTCTCAGTGAAAAAGTAGTGATGGCCGGGATCCTGATATCCCCCACAGCCTGTGAGCTGGGAAGCAGGAATTGTGGTTGGGCTGCCCGTAGAGCCAATGGGAAGCTGTAGGGACCATTTCGAAAGATCAAAGTTGCCACCGGGAGCACAGCTGGGGTTGAGCGCCGCAGAGGCAGCTCCCACAAGGCCAGTAGCAAGAAGAGTTTTGAGGGCAGGCATGGTCGCTGCAGGAGATATCGGTGAATAATTGAGCTATCTCTGGGTAAAAGCTTTTCAGATGAATGCAGAATTGGTAGATAATAAAGAGGATCGTCTTGCCATTTTATATATCGATGCAATCGCGAACAGCACCTGAGACTTGATGATCCTGTTTCTAGAATGAGTAGTTAGTGAGCTGTCGCACTAACACTAAAATGACAGGTACACAAACCCTCCTTGGATATTCCTAAAAGCAGATTGTCCGTCGTGCCGCATACCCGGCAAAATATCTTCCAGCAGGGTTTTGATTGGTGGATATTTTTTTAATCTTAATTGCTAGGTCGTTGAATCCTGAATTTACATCAGAAGCTGAGTCGTTACAGTATTTTAGAATCTATGAATCGGCCAGAACGTAACACAAGCTGCATGATGCTGCTAATGGCATAGAATACATTACAAGTAGTAGTACGGAATACTCTGTAGTAGGCAATAAAGCTTTACATTTGAAGCTAACTGTGAGCTGTCGGATTTGCTCGCTGCTTATGGTTTGGCCTCGCTCCTCGCTATTACGTATTAATAGAGGCATGATGCTTCCTTTTTCCGCCAACATTAATGGCAGTAGGATACAAGAGCAGAAAAAAGGTAATATTCACACAGTCTCTATGAGATTCGTATTCTTTTAAAATTGTAGATTGGTACGGTTCAATGTGCTTAAAATATAAATAAAAGTCGATATAATGAAATGCTATAAGGCAATATTTGACAGTTGTATATTATTTCAGCTACAAATAAAAGCAAGTTTATGCAACAAAAATTTCACAGGCTACGAAAGCGGGTTTTTCTTATCGATTCCAGCTAGGCTAAAGATTTTTTTTTTTTTTTTTTTAAAAAAAGAATTGACAGTTGTTTCGAAGTTGGGTGCATATTGAAAAGGGGCTTTTTCGCTGAATACGTCCCAATTTAAGATGTTACAGATATTCCAACCTTAGCCTTACTCGTTACTAGAGAAGGAATTAGTACCAGCTGGTGGGGAGCTTCTTACGCAGTTGTAGAAAATAAACGTAAAAATAGAGCTGCTTTCCATATATATATACAGGCATATATGCTTTGAAATTTTACACTGGCTTTCGCAATATGTCCAGCTTAATTTAACGTTGTTAATTTGAGTAAAATTTATAGTTGAATAAGTGCTATAATTTAAGTGTTGTAATTTAGTGGAAGCTCTGTATTATAGGGGATATGCCCTATATTATAATACCAGGCGGGGGCAGAAAAGCGGTGAATGGAAGAACTTTAAACACACACTGCGAAATTGCACACATACAGTGGTGATGCTCAATTGGTGAACGGGATGCTCATATTACGGCGTACACATATATTTTCTTTTCCTGTTACTGTTTCCCTGTTCTCTGCTCGAATGCTAAAATACTATTGTAATGTAGCAGGCGGTACCTTAAATTGTAGTACTTCCTATTACAAGCCCCGCCATTAGGATATAGGTTACGCCTGCTGAATACTGGATAGACCCCTCCGCTAATATATATAAAGTAGATACTATACTTTATATCTATCTGTTATTAAAGAATACAAATATGGCATTCGGGGGCACAAGAGATGGAGGTGCGATAGCAATAAAATTTTGAACAAGTATAAAATATCCCCCACCTAAGTTATTTTCATTTCATGCCGGGATTAAACGGAAACTTTTGTCAGTATGCTATCTATGTAGCATACTAAGTCTCCATTTGTGGTTACTGCTAACCACTGGGACATTATCAGAGCTAATTTACAGCAGCCTTGGGGCTGACTGTAATGTCAGATTATAGGTCTAATACGATCGACTTTGGTATGCGGGGTCACTTGTTAGAGTAAGCTTTCTAGGTATTGGTAAATGGTGCACCTCACTGCTTATAATTGTAGTTTGCAGGCAAACCTTTTTGGTCTTACTCACATGAGAGTCAACTCAAACCCATTCAGCCTCGAGTCATGAAGGCAGTTTTCCATACAATTCCTTTCAAGGGATGCCAGCTAATAATAATAATCGAACCTAGGTGGAGACTTGTGTCAACGGCGATTTGTTTACTACCTAGTATGTCATGGCCAGGGAATCATACCACACTTAATGTGAAAAGCGTCGTAGAGAAGCTATCGCTACTGAAACATTGCACCATTTACAATAATTTGTATGCCTATACTAAATTGACTTTTTACTATTGTGGCAACTTTCATCAGCACTGTTAAGCTGGCCTCCTGTTCTAGACTAAAAGGGACTGGATAAAAATATGTAGCGCTGTAGTAAGCGACAAGCCACACACTTTCGGTTCTGGTAATAATACCTATATTTCCTGTCAAATTATAGATTGCAAGCCATATAATTCCATGTTGCTTTTGTACAGACTTGACATTTTTAAATGTTGCGGAAGAAAATATGGAGGTGTGCTTATGATGCAATGATCCAATGATGCAAGATAATAACACAAGTTGGTTGCAGAAGTCAATGCTCAGCGCCAAATTCGAACTGCGTAAATCTTCAGCCTCTTTGCTCCTACCTATTAGCCCTCTTCTTCACATCCACTGTTAACCTGTGAGTAAAACATCGGTAAAGCGAAACATAGAACTGCGCCACTGTAGTGCTTCCCAAAGGAAAGGGTGGTTGGGAAAGAAGAGTAAATGAAATCGGAAATAAAAACAAGAGTAGAATAATGGTGTGAGTAAACTCCAGAGAAATCGCGATTATATTATGAAGCAGAAAAATGGCGATGAGCATTTTCCACCCTGCTCTATCACATCTCGCAGTTCAAGCAGTTGCATCGCCGCGTATCTGGCATCTGTTCGGCTCGACTTAGCCGTAATGTGTAAGCTTTGTGCCGCTTAGTGAATCAAAATCATATCGGAGCTAGTTACTTTTCCTAATTGGGGAATTTCACCTCGGAGAAGTGGCAGCACTAATAAAAGCCTCTCCCAGATTTTTAAATCCCTTGTTATTCCCGAGAAGAGAAGGGGGTGTGCGCACCACGGCCTAAACCGAACATCCGGGGGTCAACTTTGATAAAAAGAAAAATGCCCAATTGCGTGTAGAAAGAGTCGTTTTGGCAAGTCTATTTCGTTAATTTGCCTCTTTTTGTAGAATTCATCGAGTGAAGAATATGTCAAAAGAGGTCGTAGCTTTCTTCATATGGAACCCGCCTCTGCTAGGGCCGCTGTATGACAATACAAAATGTACATGGCATGCAAGAGGCAGGAAAAGCTGTAGGATTAATATAATATAGTATTGCACACGGTGCTCTTATGTCATGGATTAATGGTTATAAACACACACTCCCAAAGTACTTACATGTATCTTATTTATTATAGAAGATTCATCGGATGGCTAAAGTAAACAGCTGTCTGTGATGCAGGTGCTGATTCTGTTCATATGATGACAATGCGGCATTTAGCACATATGTAGCCGCGGTGATTAAGCTCGTTTTAGTAAATGCTGCACATCGCTCGATCACTATGAACGGTGATTGCGTAGAAATCACGCCGCTCTGAGACATGTGGGGAACGAAATGTCAAAATTAATGCACAGTTAGACACTGTAGCTGCTTCGATGCTGTTATCCGTCAACATCCCATGGAATCCCTCGATCCAGCTAGTACCAAAAGCGTACGGAACATTTCGTATTACTCCGCAATCCGGGAAGTTAACGCCGACCACCGTGCTTTTTGTGGATCGCCTGCTAGTAGTTCCTCTGCGGCCCGCCAGCCACATCTCCAAAAGTGGAATATGAGTAGCAGTTTTGGTGTTAGTCTGAGCATATACTGATCCAACAATACAGCCAACTATCTTGATACTAAAGACCTCCTCTCCTGGTATCACATACAAGCTACCTAACACCATACAAAAAGGCGCGGAGAAGAGCTGGCTGTGTGGTTGTTGACCATTAAATTGCAGCAGGATATCTACTAGAGCAGTGGTACCTGCGCGTTGTATGCTGGGCTATAGACGCTCAAAGTGTCTGATCTTGGTCGGCTCAACATTGCTTTATTCCCTAATGTCAGGGTATCCTGCTATTATGTTTGTAAGAGGGGATCATCCATGAAGAATCTTGTTATCAAGCATCTGGTCGAGGCTTTTCGCGTTTCAGGTGATGTTGCTATATTGCTTCGACTCAAGCAAGGATAGGCCTCGCTGTATTCCGAGGAGTCGGCAGTGGACTCCGATGGTGTGACAGGGTGACTCAAAGAAGGTCGTTCGATAGTAATATAAAGATAAAGGAGCACATTCGAATTGTTGGGAAGGTAGTATTGAGCTTCCTCGGATAACGCGAACAAGGCTAAGTAAATGAACAGCCGAGGTCACGTAAAAGTTGGTGGCACGGTCTCTGCGCAATTGTAATGTATTAGTATTTTCTCTAACAAATACGAGTGGATTCAGATTTTTAAATCTATGGCCCTCGGGATCGGACTACATGAAATTGTGACCCCGATGATCAGCTTTCAGCCTCTTAGCTTAAATATAGCACTGCAAAAATAAAATTGTTTGAAGTTAAAAAAACACACAAAAAAAATTATTATTTTAATAGTCTTAAAAGTACTTGTATTATACGGCAGTATAAATTAGCTAACACAATAATATTTATTATATTACAATATTTTATAATACTTATAAAGCCTTACAGTATAAAAATTATTTTTAAAAAAAGTACAAGAAATAATATTTTAAATGTATAAAATATTAAAAATTGGTTTTAAAAAGAATAAATCGTATTCTAAATAATAAGTATTAAGAAATTAAAATTTAGTATTATATAATTTTTGGCTATATTTATATATAAATTTAAAGCCTAAGAAGAAAAATATTAAATAAGCGTTTTAAACTTTACAGAACTCTATATCTTAATAATATACTAAATTATAACTGAACTATAGTTTATATGTTAATATAGCTGTAAATGTACTTGGTTAATATAGTAATAAAGTTTATTGTAAGAAACTGTAAGATATGTAAGAAACTGTAAGACGTGGCTATCTGGAGGGGGTGGCGGATTGTTGATGACAGACCCTATGTGTTCTGAGTTTGTGACGTGATCTACAAGATCGTTAGTGCGACAGGACTTAATATAAAAGATATGGCCGCAGTTGCTTGTCGTTCTTAAAGAATTTCCTAAACAGCTCCCTCAGAACTCCAATATCGACTCCGCGCTCTTCTGCAATAATCCTATAAAAACTATCGCATACCATCATTCTTTCATAAGATATGAACGCTTACGGGTATCCAAAACCGCAGTACGGAAAGCGACTACTGGTTAATATAGTGGACGAGTATGCAGCCTACGAACCAGAGCGTATTTTTGTCTACCAGCCATATTCCAGCAACCTCGAAGATGGTTATCGCCCTATTACCTTTAGAGAAACTTCCAGAGCTGTGAACCACCTTGCTGTCGAATTACTCCAGCAGACACAAGATGCCGCTTATGAGAAGGACAGCTTTCCTACTGTGGCTTATATTGGGCCAAGCGATATACGGTATGCCATAGTGATGCTTGCCTGCATAAAGGCTCATCGCCAGGCGTTATTCATCTCCCCTCGCAACAGTCTTGAAGCACAGCTTTCGCTCTTCAAAAGAACACAATGCGCTCAAATATTGTATGAGTCCTCGATGCAATCCACTGTAGAGCCATGGCTTCAATTCTATCCTATGCCAGCGAAAGCAGTTCCTCCTCTTGAAGTTTGGCTTCAGTCGACGGCTTCTCATGTGCCATACAATGTATCATTTGAAGAGGCTAGATGGCATCCTTTGGCTGTTCTCCATACCTCTGGCTCCACGGGCATTCCAAAGCCTGTAACTGTTCGCCAGGGAAGCGCTGCTATTGTCGACGACCTACGAGAAGTATATATGGACGGTTCTCCTGTACTATGGTCTTACCTTCCGAGCCATTGTTCGAAAATATTCGCACCGATGCCGTCGTTCCATATGGCAGGAGTCGCTTGTATGTCATTTTTTGGAATTTATTTTGGAACTAAAATATTTCTGGGAGTGCCAAATCGCCCTCTAAACGCGGACATTGTTGCCGAATGCCTAAAGATCACGCATTGCGATGCAGCTGTTCTTCCCCCATCTATTATTGAAGATATGAGTACCAACGAAGAACATGTTAGGCTTTTAGCCAATCTTAAGTTGACTGGCTTTGGTGGAGGTTAGAAATATCTTCTACGACATAATTTGCCCTTCCATTTATCGATCAAAACTGACTGTGTACTATAGGTAATCTATCTCCTTCAGTAGGGGATGAGCTTGTGAGAAAAGGTGTTAAATTTGGAAATGCTATAGCTTCTACCGAGTAAGCTGGAAATCTGAACCATTAACCATGAACCATGCTCGCAGCTAACATATTCAGGGTTGCACCATATGTTATACATCATCAGCCCGACCCCAAGTTATGGCAGTGGTTTATCATTAACGCTGAAGAAATGGGTGCTGACTTTCGTCTGATAGCAGATGATGATGTTTACGAAATGTTTATTGTTCGAAAGGACCCAAAAGAAGCTATGCGGCAACCGCTCTTTTATACTTTCCCTGATAAGACCGAGTGGTCAACAGGTGATATGTATAAAAAACATCCAACCAAGCCAAATCATTGGCAATACTATGGTCGTACTGACAACGTCATAGTCTTCTCAACCGGCGAGAAGCTCAATCCTGTGACAATTGAGGCTGCCGTAGTGGGCCATCCTGCAATCAGAGGCGCACTTGTGGTGGGACAGCAAAGGTTGCAGCCCGCCCTGATTTTGGAACCACACGAATTTCCAAAAGACGAGACAGCAGCCAAATCTCTTATTGAGGGCGTATGGCCCATTGTTGCAGACGTAAATAAAGTCACCGTGGCTCATGGAAGAATTGTCCGTGATATGGTCGTTCTTGCAGATCCTAAAATGCCATTTTCAATCTCGGGGAAAGGCTCGATACAACGAATGGCAACTGTCACAACATATAAAGATTTTATTGATGGACTCTATGCACAGCAAGACGAAGGTATTGATATGGGCGATGCGATTTCTTTAGATACTACTAGTCCAGAGGCCATGGCACAGTCTATCTTGGATATTGTCAGATCTCAGATTCACAAGCCAGTTGTCAACATTGAAGCGGATCTTTTTAGCACCGGGATGGACTCGATGGAAGTTATTACTCTTTCAAAGATACTTCGATCTACCCTAGAGACTGCTGGTGTAAAGGTTGTTAAGGATACCGCTGCGCCTCGAATTATTTACGCAAACTCGACAATTAAAGGACTGGCGGAGCATTTATATTCCTCGGCCATCACTGGAAGTTCCGACGAAGATGCTGAAGCAAAGGAAATCGGTGCTTTAGCGAAACTCATCTCCAAATACACCAAGGACCTCCCGTCTCCAAACACGAATCAGCCCAATCCTTTGGATGAACATCAGACAATTGTCATAACGGGCACTACAGGGTCTCTTGGGGCCTACATGCTCGACCTTCTAATAAAAAATCCTCGAGTGGCAAAAATTCTTGCGTTCAACCGTGGCCAAGATGGAGGTAGCTACCGCCAACCAGCATACAATGCATATCGTGGGTTAAGTACAGATTTTTCAAAAGTCGAATTCCTTGCTGTGGATCTTTCCAAGCCATATTTCGGCCTCCATCTGGAGAAATACAACGACATCCTAGCTACAACAGACCGTATTATTCACAACGCATGGCCTGTCAACTTTAACATTAGCGTCAGTTCGTTTGAACCTTACATTTTTGGCGTGCGCCAACTTGTGAATTTCTCCAACAAAGCAGCCAAGAGAGTCCCAATTATATACATATCAAGTATTGGTACCGTTGGTGGCTGGGTGCGTCCAGAACCAATTCCTGAACGCCGCCTCGAGGATTTGACTCTGCCCGCCATGGGCTACGGCCGGTCAAAGTTCGCCGCAAGTTCTATTTTAGATGCAGCTGTTGAGCAATCGGGTATCTTGGCTGCTGTTATTCGCGTAGGACAAATTGCTGGTGCGCGAGCCAAAAAAGGCGTGTGGAATCCCCAAGAGTTTATCCCGAGCTTGATTGCAAGCTCAGTGCATCTCGGAGTGCTTCCATCTCGACCAAGTAGCACAGATGTTGTGGACTGGACGCCCGTCGAAGATATTGCTGGCCTAGTTTTAGATGTCGCCGGAATCACCGAAAAGATTGATCCATCAACCATTTCGGGATATTTCCATGGAGTAAACCCTTCGGTAACTAGCTGGACCAAAATCGCAGCAGTTCTCAAGAGCCACTATTGCGGAAGAATAAAGGACATAGTGCCTTTGAATGAGTGGATCCAAATTCTTGAAGCAAGTTCTATCAACGCAACAGCGGAGGATGTAAACAAAAATCCTGCTATCAAGCTCATTGATGCATATAAGGGCATAGCATCAGGTGGTGGCTACTCTAAGTGGGATATGGAGAGAACCATCGCACACAGTCCGACCATGAGAAATCTTGGGCCAGTCGATGAGGCTTTGATGAGAAACTGGTGTGACCAGTGGAATTATTGATGTTGAGAATAATATCTGCGATGATTTGTTGCTAAGGAATTATTTCCTTTACAAATTTGTTATCTAATTATTGGACAATTGTTGAATTAGTAACAAACTAATAAGAATGAGCATTGAGGGTTACACTTGAAATCCACTTTGAGCTAAAAACTCTTTAGCGCCGAACCCTCGAGAAAAACCTAGTGAAGATATCGCCAGATGTTAAGCACAGTAGATTTTGGAGTCGGGCAAAAAATTGCGGTTTCAAATGCGCTGCTTTCCAAGCTCTCGTCTTCTTTTCTTTCTCTTCTTCTTTACTTCCCTTGCCGACTTGAATGCTTATCTTTGGAAACTATGAGGAATTTCGCTCCTACTAAAAGTATCTTCGTCATGCTATTAGTACTGTGTGTAGTATCCAGCTGCATCCTTTTGCCATTTTCTCAAAGCGTTGGAGCGCGGGTCGTCCCCCTGCGTCGACAGCATGCAGCAACGCCTATCCTACGTCATTCAACCTTCTTATACTCTGTGCTAATACTAGTAGTAGCATTACATTCACGCAAGGAATCTTCCCCATGTCTACTATTGCTGCTTTGAGGTCAGCCACCGAGTTGGCCATGCATTAGCCAGTAATGGGACTGCCAGCGTATTAAAACAAGCCACGTAACGACCGCCAACGAGGGCTGCATATGCCAATAAGCAAATAAGCTAAGAAAAGTACATTTCGACAAAGCGTCGCCATCCAGGCCAGCGCCGTAATACTGGGAAAAGGAGTAGCCAATGAAAGAGCTGTCATTATCGCGGGGCGCGGGATCTCAGAAAGGGTCACTTAGTGCGAGTATGGAGGGCTCTGCATCATAATCACGTCTGTTAGTCTATTGGCTTTTTCTTAATTGCTTTTTTTTCTAGATATTTGAGTAGCCGCGCAAGCCAGTCATAGCAGCCAACGCTACCCTTTCTTCACATCGCTTGCACTCGCTCTTTTTGGACAGCACCAGCTACTATGGAGGAGACTTTAACCGAATTCACAGTATTCCCTCAATTACCAACTGAGCTAAGGATCAAAATATGGGAGTTGGTGCCAAGACCTAGCCGTGTGGTTGGCGTTTTACCTCCAGCCTCTAACTGGTATCGTCATTACTATCGCGCAATTGGCTCTAGAGCAAGCTCAGGCGGGAACCATCAAGGAACAGGATCTTGGCAACGCTACCATTATCGATACATTGTTCAACCCAAAAAACATGCGATATTCCCTCTGCTTCATGTGAATCGCGAAGCTCGAGACGTTTGGCTGCCACATTTTTTTCAACCTTCTCGCCATTCTCGCGTATCGGATCTTGATATTCGATTCGATACGCCTTTCATCAGCTACGATACCGATATTTTTACTATCTTTGATGGATGGCCGTCAAGAGGCATCCCGGTGGATGCTTATCGCAACCCCACGATACTTGGCAATGACGACGAGCCAATGGACGGCTTTATAGCCCTCGACCGAAAGCGAATAAAGAACGTTGCACTTTGTGAAATCCCAGGAGATATAACATCTTTCACAGGCTCCGTTGCCATCCGTCAATTGCCAAACTTGCAAAACCTAACAATCCTGGCTTTGGGACCCAATTCGACCTATCGACCTGCGCCTCTCGCTTCTCAGAGTGGCAATGGAGATAGCCTACCAATACTTGAGATGCTAGCAGTGGATATACAACGAGGTAGCTCTGATATCTATGAACTTCCTTTGGATCTGGTCCATAAGAGTCCATTTCTCAACGGTTCGAGACTACGGCATGCAATAGCTCTATCACCCAGTATACGTCCACTGTTTCGTTATAAAACATTTATTCTATCTTTGCTATGGCATGAATTCAGGCAGAACAATGCAGCGGAAGCGATTTCGGCTTCCTGGTGGGAGTACACAGAGTACTTGTTTGAAGACTGCCGTGAAGACGCACAATGCCCTTTAATGTTGAGCGGCTGCGGCGCTGAAGGCCATACAAAATGCGAAATGATGGACTGGAAGCCTAATTTTGAGATTAATTATAAACTTCTTTATGCAACAGAGTGGAAAGATGAGCTCAAACGTATCGGGGTCATTAGAACATGAACCACCATACCGAGCTCTGGGGAATATGTTTGTGCTATTGTATCATCAGCTGCTGTAATTTTCTTAGAACAAATTGTATATGAGCCTTTTCTTGCCATTTCGGAAAGCAGATAATGATTCCCTCTCGCTTATTGATTTTACGAAGCAGGTAAAATATGCTCGCAATTTATAACATCAATAGTTCCTAGTAACCGGGCTAGTGGACACTCATGAGATGGGGTCGTCAGCGCAAATAAGCCAATTTATCATCAATAACTATCCAAAATATCCATATCCAAGTACAACACCGATAAATAAAGACAAGAACAGAATAGAGCCGTCATATATGAGTACACCAATAATGCTTATCATCCTTCTAAATGCAATACCAATTGTTGGTTGAAGTCTCCGTTGAGCTTTGGTACTTCTTTAATCCGATTTATAAGGGCTGATAGCGTGATGGAATCTGTCATCGTTATCTCGACTGCTGATTTCCAGTGAATGGGAGTCAGAGTCGAATATTGTGTTCGATAAGTGATCATTATCTTTGCTAACCGACGTCTTCCTTGGTGAGACAGACGCCGCATCGCTGGTATAATCTGTGCTTCCTTCTGTCTCCCTAGTTGTGAATTCTGAGTGAGGACCCGAAGAGGTTATTTCTTCACGGTCTGCTTCTTCTGTTGCTTTGAGATCGACTTCTTCAAACTCGGGTTGGATAGGACGAGGAAGATTTCTCGGCGGCAGCGGAGGCGGCACGCGCTTAATGGGGACTACAGCATCGACCGGGGGAGCGCTGATCGATTGTGATCGCAAATCTGAAGGAGAAATTATCGCAACCTCTGACTTTTCGTCATCCTCGCTAAAAAATGTGAGGCTATCGTCTCTGCCCCAGTCACGGTGGATGCTATTCTTGCGGCCTTTGGAACCCCAAGGGCTATCATTTACAGCATTATAGAAATCGTTGGGCTCCTCGTACAGACTCCGATTTTGGAAAGTGTTATTAAAAACAGGGCTCGTGACTGGAGTTATAATTTCGTCAGTTTGTGTTCCGGCATCTGATGATTCGTAATGCGGATCGCCACTCCATCGCAGCCTTGAGTTTGGAGTTGATGCGTAGCTATCGCGGCTGCTTCTTGTTTCCGCGGTTTCCATGCTGTGTCTATTGTGAAACTTGCTGTAGACCGGACTTGAGGGACTTGGATGATATTCAAACTGGCGGCTAGACGGTCTTGAACGAGTCCCAGCCTCCACAATATCCAGTCCCTCCCTTTGCAAGGCCAAAAAGCCATATGGATCCGGGTCACCAGGTTCTGGGATGCCGAACAACTTGTCACTAGGAGCCTCAACATTCACATCACCTGGTGCCGGTTGTCCCTCGAGCTCCTCCATAAGCTCTTCGTCAACATCCGATCGGCCTTCGGCAGCCTTTAATGTCTCCATTAGCATTTTAAGCTCTGGTGGTGGATGCCGGACTTTCCCAGCTAATATGTCAGTAACACCTATCGTCTCTCCATAAAAGCGAGCATTTTCGTCAGTGCGCTCAATTATAATCGAACCGTCGACTTGGACACCAGCGTAGAAACCACGCGACTTGAGATACGTAAAGTTTGGTCTGTTGGCCTCTTTCCATTTGCCATCGTTCTCGAGAACTCCGCCCATGCCAACAGGCCCGGCAACTGCGGTAATCTCTCCACCCACCGTAGCTCGAACTTTGGTGAAGGCATCCAGAGCTTTGCGATTGTTAATTACCAACACGCAATCGTAGATATCCACTCCAACAAGAAACCCCAAACCGGCCGTGTGGAGCAGAATGCCAGATGGTGGGGACCATGATCCGTCTTCTCGTTTGGCGACCACCACGCCGGAACCGCCGGCTCCGGACACCCACAATCCAGTACGCATAACAGTGAATATGGCGAGGCCAACGCAATTCTCAATTACCTTTTGAGGAATTTTCTTGATAACTCGCTGCTTTCTCTTCGGACCGGCGGCATCGGCTTGGCGTTCCTCTTCTGCGTAGAAGCCATCCTCTGCATGGTGCCATGTTGTTAGCGTTGTCCGAAATGATTCAACGAGAGGTGAGACGATGGTCTATAACCGTAAAGCAACTGGATTTTAAAAAGATAAGAAAAAAAGCAATCGGGAAAAAAACGAAGCGTTATTCTGATAGCCCTCTTTGATGGGTGATTTGTGTTTGTTTAACATCTCAATGAAGAAAGACAAGATGATGAAAACCCATCAAAAAGAAAGGTCATACGCACTGCAAAATGATCTCAATATTCTCGCGGCCTTGTCGCTTTCCTTATCTAATGTCGTTGGCCAAAACGCTTCGCTGCCAATGCGATTAGAGAGCCGATTTACGGGTGCTCCGAGCTTATCCGCCCAGCCCCAGACCTTGTCAAAGCCCTTTTTGCTTGTGGTCTTGGTCGTATCCCAAGACGGCAGTTTCGACGTCACCTTTTGCATCTTTGTCGCTTGGAAATTGAGGATTGGAAAAACAAAGCGAAGTCAGGAGAGATGTTGATCCAGAGCTGAAAGAGCAACCGGCGAGAGTTTACGAAATAGACAACTTCATGCTCATGTTACAACCAAAGCTATTGGGTAGTGGCGCAGCGACGTGTCCCGCACTTTATATCATCTAATAGCTCGCACTACCTACTGACTGACTTCCGCTCTTCCCGATCGCCGCCACAGCCCGCTGCTGCTGCGGGTGACGCATTCGACGGATCAATACGGATCAGTCGGTCGGTCGACGCCCAAAGCAAGGCGTGCTTAGATACTTCGAGAATTTGTAGGGTTCTGCGCCTCAGCCTAAACTACGCAACACATCCAGAGCTGCTTAGACAACAGCTCTGTAATCACCAATCAGCGCCCTGTCTTATAGCACGTTACGGAGTACTCCGGTATAGTATGTATATAGACTAGCTAGAGACTACGTGCAGGTAATTGTTTGATGGGCCTGTTTTCTGTCCCCTCTTTTTGGCCTCACTGTGTCCCCTACCGTGTTCCAAACACAAAAAACGGACTACCCTACTCGCCTTGCTGCCTTTCGCGATGACGTAACCAAACAGCCTCGCTTTGTAGCAATGTGTAGAAGATAAAGTGCGAATTGAATCCCCAACGCACAAAAATTGTGTCCATGAGAAATTATAACTAACTACAGTCTAAATCGTATAAGATATCGCGCAAGATGCAGAATTCGGCTGTGTTATAGGCCCCATGGGATCCATTTCTTGGAGAAAGGAGTCACAGCGTATCTAACAGTTTCATGTGCCATGTATTAGCAATAGAGCCATAGTATGTGTGGCGGGTCAATTTCAATCACAATCAGAAAATAATCAGCGCCACCACTAAATGTCTGATACTAGTGGCATACGGGTAAATCAATACAGGTTCAATTTCAACTTGCAGCATCGTGGCCTTTCACTAGACAAGTAAAAGAGCATACGTAATACCTACTTGTGTCGGCTGTGGAAAGCGTTATGCAAGCTTTGTCCATGAAAAAGAATACAGTACAAGGTGCTCTTGAGCTTCACTTGGCTCGTTGTGAACTCAAAGGTCAGCCGAGGCGTCTCCTCTTTTTTTTTTTTTTTTTTTTTTGTCTGTCGCTTTGCGCTTTAAGAAGCATTATTCAACTAAATGGCCTCAATTTGTATGAATGCCCGAGTCCATAGGTTATTTGACTATTTGCGGTAGATACCAGACTAAATTTGCTCTGAAGTAATAGAAATGAGCTTTGCGAAGCCCAAAATTCCCCAGAATGTGAAGCTTGGTGAGCGGGCTATTACTTAACTCAAGAGCACTCTATTACTCCATCAACTATGCGCCTAATGTATTCTACTATTAACAATTTCGGGGAGCTATAGAGTCGGCAATGTCGTTATTAAAATTGATGTGAGAGATGACATTAAACAACGCTTTGATAGTGGACAGAATGTGTATGACAGCGTTTACTATATAAGTTTAGATTCAGCTGCTGGTTGGATCAGAGAGTCGTACGAATACGCGAATACGATATTTTCAACAAAAAGCCTTTTGGCAATTAACATTGACACCAACACCGAGACACGAAGGCCTGAACACAGCTTATCTTGAATATATCGCCTCGAGCGATCGTGGTTGAGACCTCGCTCTTCAATATCGCCGTGTCCGCATCTCTATATCGAGTTGCCGTTAAGGATTAGCTAGATTGCATACGGCTTTACTCATAGTACTTGTAGTGCCTCCAACATCAGCCAGTTGGTAAGTCTAATGTAGAGCTGTGTGATGGAAACTACTTGTAGAACCAAGAATTTTGCTCTCAATAGACGCTCAGCAACGACAATACTGTACGCACAAAATCTCTAACGGATAGTCGCTTTTCCCGTAATATCTATAGATCGATGTCTACTCCGTGCGTAGCTGAACAGCTCGTATTACGGAGAAGTCCGGTTTTACGTATTACTAAGGTACATGCGATGCAGCCAGCATATGTCTGGCGCTTACATGTACCTTTTCCTCGGATGTTTCCAGCAGGCAAGGGCTGAATTTTCTTCGGTACTCGGCGGCCTTCGTCTTCTATTTACTGAAATGGTATAGCGTCTTTTGAGAAGGATGCGGTGCTTTTTTTTTTTTTTTTTTTTTTTTTTTTTTAGCCTTTCAATATAGGAGGTTCAACCCGCGGTAATGCAGACTTGGAGTATTCAATGAAGCGTACATCCCTACCAAGAGATCAGACCCGCAGGGATTTACTGTGCAATTGCTGGCGATACTCCCCTAAAAGCCAGCGTAAGGTATGCCGCTAACCCCCACCTCTGTTGATCGACTCCACGCTGGATCAAAAGCACTGCCAGAAAGCGCAAAGAGCGTAAGGAGTAGACCCAAGCGTAGTTGAATTCTAGATTCATTCTACTGGTCGCAGTTGGACATCTAAGGGCCTTGTCCATGCAGGCTGTACCTGGATTGCCGCCAAGAGGTCGCTGCCGGAACAGCGGCACCTGTTTCCTCGAATATGCTGACGTACTAGCAGCAGTAATCCGAGGAACGATCTTTACAAGGATTCGTATCTAGGCCGATCTGATCTACCGTCGGGCCCAATGCTTGCAATAAGCAAAGCCCGAATTTCCTGCATACGGAGTACGGAGTACAGCATAGTCTACAAATACTCAGAAAGGCAGTTCATCCTTCAAGTCTTAAAAGGGAAGTTACGCATTAATATTACATCCTCCGTATATGGCAGGTGAGTGTGTAAGGATGATGCCATGTCCTTGGCTAATGATAACGAGGGAAGAGGAACTAAGTGTGTCACTGAGGTAGGCAGTCGCTACTACCCTACTTGGTGAAGTCGTCTCATCAGCAACTATTTTGAGGGATCCGTACATACTCGAGCAATGGTGCGATTTTAGTATCCTAGTATGGTATACCCTGTATTTGTATTCTTCATCACATTAATTCGGAATGAAGCGCTTCTCTTGCGGGATTCGCCTATTAGGCCATGTTGTTGGTTACCCGCACTAAGACAAAGCGGACAGGTAGATACGCACATTTATCAAGGGTAAGGCAAAGAGAAGGGGGAGAGTGCTACAGTGTGAAAGACTACCTACTTGTAGTAGGCGCAGCGCTCCGCAATATAAATCAGCTCTTATATTGGTCTCAGCTCTCTCTTCCGCGGCCTGTAAAAGCCAGTTCCCTGTCCTCATTTTTCTAACCACTCTAGCAGACAACCATATTAGTAGTATTCCAATTTTCTCATTCACTCATTCCATATCCTGCACGTATAAGGCTAGTTCAACCGTGAATTTTTCTTAGCTTATAGTTTGAGTGCATTGAAAGAGAGCAAAAGTAATACTTCATAGACCACAGAGCTTTGTGAACTTACGTCCACGTTGCATAGGCTAAATCCTATTCATTAAGCATAAATGATGCTTCAGGCTTCCTGGAATATCCCATGTCCTGTCCTATTCACTTAAATTTATGCGATAACGGCTCTCCATGCAAGGCTATACGAGAGCACTACGAACTCTCCCCACCCCCCATCCAAAAAAAAAAAAAAAAGTAGGTTATCTAGAATAGAGTAGGTTTAACAACGTTACGGCATGGGACAACAGGATAGCACTCTGTAAATCGGAAAATACGAGTATCATGCCTCATCTCTAACCACCATGTGCGTTCGTGAAGGAGCAAATCTAAGGATGCATATTTCCTGACTTGTGCCGTGTCCCTTAACCGATCGCATTTGTCAACGAATTTTAGCGCCTAGACCAGGATTTCCAGCTTCCGACCTTCCGCAACTGACACCAAGTCAACACTTGGAGGGAAAAGATACGAAAATCAAACAACAATCAATACACCAAGCAAGCTGAGGCTCCGAATAAGTTTTAGAAATCGAAAATTAAGAAATGTTGTATTCATTATTGTATACTGCCTTGCGCACCCATAAATGGGTTATTTGGCTTGGTGCGTTTTAATTAAAGTAATGAATAGAAGTAACGGACAGATAGATCTCTGGTAGCGCGAATGCGAAGAACGCAATGCGATGGTACGGAGTACTTTGTCAATTTTGTCAATTTTCAATCTAAAAAGGCTAGTCGCATATAAATAGTTGAGACATACCGACGGTATTTAGCTAGATTGTATATTGTCTAGGGTTTATCTAAAGATACAAGGCTAATAATAGTAGATACATACTATGTTGTAGCAGACTAATAGTAGCAGAAATGGACAGCGAACTAAGACGTATTACAAATGTAGAAGCTGCTTCTGGCCTCACATCTGAATTGCAAGTTATTTATAACTCTCTCTATTCTTATGTGTTCTGAAAAGAAGTTTGGCGCGGCTTTATACTGAGAACATGATATGGGTATTATTGTGGCTTGGATGAAATATTATCTAGTAAATGACTTGCTTGACAACGGTTGTTATATAGTTGATTCGAAATACAAGAAGTGGAAATAAACTATTAGAATCCCATGATAGAGCCGGGAAAAAAGCTACCTTGAGCTAATCTCTAGAAGAGATTATACTCGTTTACGAGAGTCAGCAGGCGAAAGACAAGAGTAGGGCGTGTGGTATCCGAGATTAGAATAAAGTATATTACGGATCAGTGAGATCTCAAATCTAACCCTCCAGTGTTTCATTTGCTAGTTAGCATAGACACTAGCAGACAGGGAATGCTATAGATGGATAACGAAGATTCTTAGCGCCGGAAAATTAGATATTATTCAAAACTCCAGCAGCTCACAACCATACAACTGTCTCCCCCAAACCATTGAACAATTGTTTTATGTTGGAAATTTTCCTCTTGACTGTTGGCTGATATAATTCATCCATTATAAACTTTTGGCATCATCTTTCGCCTTTTCTTATGGCCGAGGTATTACAGCGCTGTCATCATCGTTTTAGCTCCGGAAGCTAGAGCGAGGGGTGCAGGAGAAACCCCACTGCTCTAACCCCTTTGTATTATTCTACCGCTGTTTGTGCTCCTTTATCGCGCCGTCGTATTTTGTTAGGTAGTAACCCAAGAAAAGGAAGCAACATGCTATATTTTGTGTAGCATTGGTACAATTAAAGCTCTATCGTTCACCTTGGCTGCCACGCCTACTTTCTTTCATAATGCTACTAGGACTAATATGCAACATTACTACATCTACTACTACCACCCTCTTACTACCACCTAGTGACATGTTCTCTAACCACTCGTTTCGTCCGCTAAAATCACGATATTTGCCTGTGGAGCATCTCCTGTTTCCCCGATACATATTACTAACTCGCCCTAGCATCAGCAGAACAACTCACTGCAATAGCTTGCCGTATACCCGAAATGTGGCGCTGGTTTTTCCACGGTCGTATTACTGATTGCGCTCCATATGTTTCGAAGTTTCCTTCAACTGTTTTCCGGATCCAGATGGCGGCGAGACTGTTTTATTCTTATTTCTAGCTGAAATTGGAAGGCGGATGTTTTTCTCGGCCCGATGCTACTTTCTGGCTGGCTTTCTTAGGCATCTACCAACCGTTCTTTGGCGTGAGCTGGCCCTGGGCGGGCAAGCCGTCGCCGATAGCGTGGACGTGGATACGTAGGGTTTCTCGGTTTGCATAATTCATAGAACTTACCAAAATGGGTAGGAGAATTATTACTCAGTGCTCAGTGTCCGAACAAGGCCACAAGCGGCTTTGTTTGTGTCCTGCAATTTAACTCGTGGTGATGTCGAGAATAAAGAGTATATATAGGGCGATCTCTGCCTAGAATGAAAAAAAAAGAAGATTATCTAGACTTGGCGTTCGGGTCGATCTAAACGTTTGGAAGGGCGCAGATCGATTTTCTGAAAATGAAGGCCTTTTCCTTTTTGGGCTCTTTGGCAGTGTTGCCTTCTCTCTCGTGGGCTCTGCCCACTGAGGGTGTCTCTAGCAAGCTTGAGAGTAGGGCCTCATCGTGGTTCCTACCCAACATCGACCACACGACGGGAGCCGTAAGAGGTTATGCTCCTGACCTTTATAACAGTGGCGGGTCGCAGAACTACAGCTACCCTGTCTATAAGACAGTAGCATCTGGAGACTCAGCAGGTTTTGTAAATGCCCTGACTTCAGATGGACCTAGCGGCGGCCTGAGAGACAACTGCTACCTAGCTGCAGAGCCGCGTGTTATCTACCTGCCTCCGGGTTAGTTTAAAAAAAATTCCGCTGTTGTTGAATGATATTCTAAACTGTTTGCCACAGGAACCTATACATTGTCGAGCACTGCATTTTTTTACACAGACACAGTCATCATTGGTGATGCCGCTAACCCTCCAACCATTAAAGCGGCAGCTGGCTTCAACGGTAACTATCTTATTGTTGCCGGCCAAGCTGATGGTAGCGCCCGTCCTTGCGGTGGCTACTTTGGCGAAACCCATTTCTCCATCATGAGTAAGTCTAAGCTACATTGATGTGCCGCAAAGAGGGTGGTATATCTGTGATGCTAACGAGGTTCCAGTCAAAAACGTCATCTTGGACACCACGGCTAACTCAGGCAACTCTGGATTTACTGCCATGAGCTGGGCCCTTGCCCAGAACTGTGCTCTGGTATATTAGCCCGCTGTTCTTGTTTTGCCTCATCGTGAATCAGTCTTTTTAACACGCATTAATAGGTCAATGTCAAGATAAACATGCCTCAAGGGGTTCATACTGGTATGCGCATACGCTGATACAAAAGCTTAAAGCCCTGACTAATATTTAATTTGCTTGAAGGTCTATCTGTCGGATCTGGATCCACCATTTCGGTTTCGGATGTCTCATTCAGCTATGGTAACATTGGATTGCACTGGAGTGGTGAGTATTCTGCATCCAACCGCTAGGCGAGATTTTGTGCTAACTTGTTTCCTCTAGGCTCTCAGCAGGGCCAAATCAAGGGCATGACATTCACCGACTGCACCAACGGTATCGTCATTGATGGTGGTAATACTATCACTATTCTTGCACCGACTTGTAACACTGTCGGCCGTTGTATCACTTACAACTCTGGAGAACCCTGGGTCGCTGTCATTGATGGAACCAGCATTAACTCTGGTGACTTCTTCACTAGCGCTGTTCAGTATCCCAATTTTATGCTCGAAAACATTTCCAAAGACACAACCAATAGCAATATGGTTACTGTTAGCGGCACAGTCAAGGTTGGCGGCTCTGCCAGCCTCGGAACTTATGTCTACGGAAACACTTATGGCGCAAACCCGGTCTACCAGACCAACCCGACTTCTCAGGCAGTGAGCAGACCAGCAGCGCTTGCCCCTGGCGGCAAATATCCTATTGTCAACGCCCCACAATACGCCTCCTCAACTATTGCAGATGTTATCAATCTGAAGGACTCAACTCAAAACGGTGGACACACTCTTCAAGGAGACGGATTCACTGACGACACTGCTGCTCTCCAGGGAGCTATTAACACCGCAGCCAGCGCAGGCAAAATCGCTTACCTGCCATTCGGTATCTATATTGTAACCTCAACTATCACTCTTCCCCCAGGAACTGAGTTGTACGGCGAGGGTTGGTCCACCATCTCCGGATCTGGCAGCGCTTTCTCCAATGAGAGCAACCCAACCCCTGTTGTCCAGATTGGTAGCACTCCTGGCCAGAAGGGTGTCGCCCACGTTCAGGACATCCGTTTCACTGTCAACCAGGCTCTGCCTGGCGCTATTCTTCTCCGCATCAACATGGCCGGTAACAACCCCGGTGATGTTGGTGTCTTCAACTCTCTGAACACCATCGGCGGCACTCGTGACACATCACTCAGCTGCACCAGTGAAGCAAACTGCCGTGCTGCTTACCTTGGTGTTCACTTGGCTGCTGGATCCTCAGCTTACATCGATAACTTTTGGTCTTGGGTTGCGGACCACGCCTCTGATGGAAGCGGCAAGAACATTCGATCCGCCGTCAAGGGTGGTGTTCTCGTTGAGGCTACGGCCGGTACCTGGTTGACGGGCCTTGGATCTGAGCACAACTGGCTCTTCCAGCTTGGTTTCCACAATGCTGCCAATGTTCTCATCACCCTCTTCCAGAGTGAAACTAACTATAACCAGGGCAACAACGCCGTTGTTCTTCCTGGACAGCCCTTCACTGCTACTGCTTCGGACCCCAACTTCTCGTGGTGCGGCGGTAGTGACTCCACTTGCCGCATGGGCCTTGCCCAGTGGTATACTGGCAGCAACAGCAACATCTTCCACTATGGAGCTGGTAGCTGGAACTTCCAAAGCTTGACAGGGGTTTATCAGTCACTCATGAACTATATCCAAACGACGATCAGTGGTGCCCATCTCTTTGGTTTCACCAGTGGTCCTCAGACTGGATTTACAATGAGACTGCCCGACGGCAATGAGTTTGGCAATGGTGGAACTGACGGGTTTGGCGGATCGTGGGGAACTTTGATTGCGGGCATTAACAGCCAGTCTTAGATAGTTCTCGGTATAGTCGGTAAATATTGTATATAACATTAGTAAAGTATTTATAGAATTGAAAGCCAATCAAAATCAAATTGATCAGCTGTTACATCTAATTATGCACTAAAGACGCAAGTAGCAAAAAGTTGTCAGATCATTGAAAGTATTCACGAAACCACACATGCCATAATCCTTTATTAAACCACAGATATAGAAGATCGATCATACCGCGGCAAATATCCCGTTGTTTTTAATATGGACCGGCTGAATGCTGGAATGAGGATTGATCATATATTATAAATGTCCTTAATATGGTCAGCAGAAAAGTCATTGCTATAAAGAGAATCTAGTAAGTGTTCCCCGCGGGTACAGAAGGATGATGCCAATCTTGCTCAAACCGGGCCCAAGCTCCATGTTCTGGCTCACTGAGAACAGAGAGGTTGTAAATAACCATATCATAGTACCCATCTCGGGGCACTTTGCCACCACAGACATTCCCACCTACTGCCACGTTCAATAATATGTTCATATCTCGAAGTGGTCGAGTCCCGCTTGGAACTTCGCCCTTCATTACAGGCCTTCCATCAATGTACCAGATCATTCTTCCCTGGCCAGGTACACCGTTGGGCTGTTCCCAGGCAAAGTCATATCTCACAGGACGAGAGTGCATATCGGGAATACGAGTACCTAAAACTCGGTGCTTCTGTGGTTCGTGATGAAACCCCCAGTGAAGACAAGAGCGATTTTCGTGATCTCCGTTCCAAGTTTCTGCGATGTCAATCTCGCCATCGGTGGGCCAAGAGAAAGGCTCTCGAGGCAGAAGCCAGAAAGCGGGCCAGATACCCTCTGCGCAAGGAGATACTATCGTGGCGGTTAAAACACCTTTGTCGCGAGCAAGAGTCTGTCTGCTGACTAGACGAGCTGACGTATATCGCTGCTCTGCCGAAGGCGCAGAATTGTTTGCAAGGGCTCGTACGACAAGCAACCCTTCAGGCGTGCTACACAATAGACAATCAGAATAACAGTCTTGCTACGCAGCCTGCATTCAGCAGCAGTGCTGCTTTTGGCCTCAACCTACTGGAAAGCATTTTGTGGTTCTGCAGTATAAAATTGCAGCTCTTGATTGCCCCATCCATCTGGCCCATTGCCTAGCTTAGCCTCCCACTCAAGACTAACTGGAACATTAGGGTAGAATTGAGGTTTCCAATATACTTCGCCGCGAAATGGGGGCACAGCTGGAGGGTGAGGTGGCACAGGTGGTGGCTGCGACGCTGTTCCTGGCTCAGCGACTAAATGGTTTAGTTCTTGTTTGAAACGACTGAAGTGATCTTTCCATGGCATGTTGATATACGCTTTATGCGGGTGCGAAATAGTAGGCGATACAGCGCACTAGATCGAGCGTGGCCGCTCTGCGAGCCTTGACCGTGAAGGGATTATACCAGCTAAATGCGTAGATCGTTCAGTGACGTAAGGTGAAACCTGGTCTCGTATAACGACTTGGCATAACGTCACCTGACCGCCGGCTGCATCTCACTAGACATATGTAAATTAACGCCACAATTGGCTTGCTTTGGGGCGTAATAATTCATTAAACAGGTCAGCAGGAATATTCGACAGCGTGGCTTGGATAACTGACGCATCAGGGAGCTGCCACGCGATCAGGTGCAACAGGGGAATTTTTATATTATGTATATATATATGGTACAAAGAACCTTATAACTTATATATATGGGCATTATGGAACAGTATTTGAATCAGCTTAGATGAGACCCAAGCTCTCTACGAACATGTGATGTGAATTCTTTGCCTGTTTCAATGTCTACCGGATTCGTCTAACTGAGGTACTTCGAGGGAAGGAAGTAGGGTAGGTACATATGCTAGTTGAAGAGATGGACGCACCCAGATGAATAACAGATTACGATGGAATATAGACAAATTCAAATCATCCAGTCATTTTACATTTCATCGAGAACAATGGCCAATCACTGTGCATCGCTTATTGGAGTGACCCGAGGTTTATAGGCCAGATGTTGTACCGTACCTGTATGCTGCCTCCCTATCAGGTCCCACTCTTTGTGGCAGATGTGTCGCACTCGTCAAGACAGGCTTGAAATACCATGTAGGGAGCAGTATAACTGTAGTAATTCATTCTTCCACTAGGCTAGTTTAACCCGTAAACGGGCATACCCCAAATGCGGCAAGCACTTTAAGGCGCATGTACCAGGCAAAATCCGGAGCCATGCGGACGCTACGGAGTTGGAGGGTTACATGCATGTAGTCTAGAACTGGCGAGGCGCGTGGTAAAGAGTAAAACATATAATATGTGGGTGAAGTATGTTAACTTTTTCATGGACAGCCATCCTGTATTTCTCCAAGAAAGTTAGAGGGAGCGCCGGTTATAAGTCGTGTTTGTGGTTACAGTAGCAGTCTTGCCGTGTTGCTCTTCCCATACATGCCCCGCGGCCTGCACAGTGCCATGATGGATGGAGACCAAATTTTGAAGAGGCGAACGTCTATTCCGCACTCAGGTTGACCATCATATCTCAGGCTTTGCCCCAAATTTATCCAATAGACATAGTAAAAGAGAGAAGGGGATAAGGAGAAAGAGAAGGCAAAATTTTGTAATGATATGAGAGCATCAGAAAAAGAATATAGAAAAAAAGAAGTGGTTGTGCTCATTTCTAGAAACGACGTTTTGACACCTTTGACACTAGACTAATGTTGGCCAGACAAGCGGGTATTGCGCACATGGATTAGTCTGACGCATCATTCGGCCAAGTTTTCCGGCTCGCTTTGTTTGCGCCATCAACACTACTCGTTGAGTTAATTGCCGCTGGAAGAGCTGGAAAGGCCGCATTATCAAACACAAAGCATTGGAGCTGTGAGACCCATCAGCCGCCCAATGCCCCCTCAGTCCCCGACCGATGCCCGAGATTCGCCCGGCTCATCCGCGAGCGGCGAAAAGAAACACAAAGGCAACAATGGCTCTACCAGCAAGAAGCGCGGATACAGCGAAAGCACAGGGCTCGCGAACGGATCCAGTAGCCACGTCGTGCGACGTTCAAGCATAAGCAAGCCCGGACGCGATCAGCGCGACGAGCCCATACTCAAGCACCATAAGAAGCGGAAGCGCCGTCAGGCCGCCGAGGATCGACCAAAAGACAATGTGGACCAAGCCCAAGCCTCATCCGAAGCAACAACATCCTTATCGCGACAAGAGAGTCCCGCCATTGACTTCGATGGCCTCAGCCGACCGAGTATAGGTACGCGCCAGCGATTAGAAGAAAGCGAAGATGAGAGAGCCGCTCGACTTGAGCGTATGAAAGGAGCTGTCAAAACGCTGCTTGAATGTGTCGGCGAGGACCCAAACCGAGAGGGCCTTTTGGCCACGCCCGAACGATATGCTAAAGCCATGATGTTTTTCACTCAGGGCTATGAACAAAACGTATTCGACATCGTTAATGGCGCGATTTTCCAAGAGGGACACAACGAGATGGTTATAGTAAAAAACATTGAAGCTTTTGCTCTTTGTGAGCACCACTTAGTGCCTTTTACAGGCAAGATACACATTGGGTACATTCCAAATAATGCCGTTATTGGTATTTCCAAGCTTCCGCGAATCGCCGATATGTTTTCTCGCCGGCTGCAGATTCAGGAGCGCCTTACTAAAGAAATAGCGAATGCTATTTTCGACATCCTGCAGCCTCAAGGAGTGGCCGTAGTTATGGAGTCTAGTCACCTATGCATGGTTATGCGCGGGGTGCAGAAGACGAGCAGCACAACCATTACAAGCTGTATGCTGGGCTGCTTTGAACGCAGAGAAAAGACTCGGAATGAGTTTCTCAGCTTGATTAATGTTAATCGCCTTTGAGGCGTAGTTCCTTTCCTTTCACTTCCAGTCCTATATTCAACATTCTGCCACTGGCTTTAACGGTGAGCTTCCCCCCTCACACGTCTTTAAGAGCAAATGTTACTCTTGCATCAGCCTCTTTGTGGTCTTATCCTGCATTCTACTATTTTCATTCATTAGAAAATTACTTGACCTGTCTGAAAAGCATGGCATAATAATGTATGCCAAATTGAAATCGCTTTAGTAGCATACAGATAAACACTGAGTTCATTTTCCCATGTTCTAATATCATCAGTAAAGAAATTCATCATACTACTTACGCAGTATCATAAGCCTCGTTTTCTTATGTCTCTAAAGATTTGGGGCATAACTTTACGCTCATGTGGCCTGCTCGCTTGAACTATCTTAAAGCAATCTTTTTTATTTTTTTATTTTTTCTTAAATATTTCGATCTATGTCCAACACGTACCTTATATACTCACTATTGTGTCTGTCTTTAGCAACCGTCAATGGCTTATATGGACAACTAAACCCATCGCTGAAAAGTTGTGCGTAGCCCTTGGCATAGAGTTTTCCTAACTGTATCTTCTGGGTAATAAATTTTACTTATGCTCACTTATATCTATATATGGTTGGCTGAATCAATCTTATTTACTCAACTGAGCCTTGCTGCATGCTAATAATTGCTGTATATATCTATATATGTATATATCGGCGTAAAGGACAGCCATGCTGAACAGGCTTCTACGACGCTTATTGAAGGATTATTGTTCTGATGCATTATGGCTGGTGATTTAATACCGCAGCCGATATACTAAGACGTCGTGGTCTTAGCTCATACTACCTAGGTAAGTTGTGAAAATCTGGGTAGCTATAAGGGAAAAGACGAAATGTTGGTGCGCTCATCCAGCAAGTCCGTGTAATTCTCTTGGAGGTAATTATGACTGCCTTTATTCACCCATTTTATCCATTACGGGAATATAGAGTGTCCTAGAGCGCTTTGGTGAGTTATATATCGGATTCTCTTGTTCTATTCTCCATTTATAAAGCCGTATTGGGTATCAGTGAGACAATTATTAATTTACGATTCTCCGAAGCAAGCTGCGATACAAAATAAACTTGTATACTTATCGAATCACTGTATTACATCATAGTATTAGTATTGAAAGATTTTGGGTGACGGCAACGGTGTGCCTCGACTACCTGCAGCAATGTACACGTCACCACCATGTCCGTATTAATTACCAGTCCTCCCCTGGCAAGGCAATCAAACTACCCTTCTTTGTACCATCAACTCCTCCCAATGTCAAAGCAGCATTAACGACACCTCCCAAACCCTCTCCCGCAACAAGGCCAGCAGCAACTGAGAATGCGTAAGTCTCGAAGCCTTTTGGGAAATATTTCCGCCACCACCACGAGGTGATACTGCCAAACAAAATGGCACTGAGAATAGGTTAGTAAGGTTCTTAAAGCAGTAAGCATTGGAGTAAGACGAACTTAGCATATCCACTATCAATTCCCAAGACCCATGCGACGCCGATTGACATCCAGTTCGGTAGGTAGCTGCGGTACTTTTCTCTGGGACCGACTAGATAGAAGTTTTTGACAAGCGCTTGGATGGCGCAGACAACACCGCAAACGATGGCAAAGATTCCTGAAGACAATGGAATTGGAAGCTTTGGAAGAGTTACAGCCTGGGCGACTGCCTGCCAGGCAACAACTGATGGGGCCGAAAAGGGACAATGCTCAATTGTTTGATCGCGGATGCAGGGATATGCAGACATAAAAAGGACAAATATACCAGGAGCGAGAAAGATGGAGACCAAGGCGCCCGCAGCTTGTGCGTAAAACTGAAGTTTGGGGGGAGTTCGAAGGAGAAATCCGACTCGAAAATCGCTTACCAAGTTAGTAGCGACATCGGCAGTGCCCGAAGCAATATTGCCCGCAATGAGATTGATTCGCTGAGCGTCCTGAATTGCGTAATGTCCCTTTGTAATACCGCCAAAAACAAGCTGAGACGCCTTGGAAGAGGCAGTAAGAGGTGCGGTATCGGTAACGGCACCTCCATAAATACTGAGAAATGCAAATACAAGACCCAAAATGCAGGCGAGGATAGCTAAGCCTGCATTCATATGAAACTGCAGTTCGCAAACAATGCATGCAACAACCACAAAAGTGATCGTGCCGGTCAACCAGACCCAGATGGGCACTTGGTCCTCTGGAGGCGCAAAATCTTCCAAAAGGGTTGATTCTTGATTTGCCTTTGCCGCCTGCTTCTGCAGGAAAGCATTGTTCTTGCCTCGAGACTGCAACGCGTCATTGATCGAACCAGCAAAGCTGCGGAGAGCATATTTGACGCCATCATAAATGACACGAATGTGGATGAGAAATTCAACCAAGCTGTACACGATAAGTACCATGACACCGGGCCATAACATCCAATATCGAGGCGAAGGAACCCAACCGGGGGTACCGATCCCGCTCATACTGTTGAAGTTTACCAGGCCTTCCCACTTTCCTTCTCCAATGGGCTTGCCCACGCATTCACCGTAATGAACAAGCAGAGGTCCAATCAGACCCCAGGCGACAACTGTACCTAGCCACCATGAAACGGCAGCATTGAGACCAACGAGAATACCGGAGCCAAAGAAAGCGGGTGTTAGCTGAATGTACCAACCCCAGTTTTCGATATTGAGCGCCCCATTCTTGTAGCCGCTCCAGATATAAAACCAAGTGAATATATGCCAATTGTGTAATATGCCATCAGCATATTGAGATACCACAATATGAGTAAAGGCACCTAAAAAGGTAAATCCCAGTGCCTTGACTTTACGGATAGCATCGGTAGCGCCACCACTAACGGCATGCATGGATCGAACTATTCAAAGGTCAACTTTGTTTTCATACTCTCCACTCTAACGTAAGAACTTACTGCAAATGGCAGTCGCCGTGGGTGTAGGGAATATCAAGTTTAATTCCCTCGCAACGTTTATAATAAAGAACTTTCGAAGAGGCACGGCGGCAAAGAGGCCGAAGAAAGCACACACAAGGGTAATGGTGAGGATACGGCCGAAGTCGTCTTTGGGGTTATCAGACAACAGGCTGAGGCGGTACATTGCCGGCAAACCAGCAACAAAAAGGCCGGCCATGCCACCAGCGCCTGTTGCAGAGGCTTGGATAATTGAGTTCTCTTGAGGGCCGAAGCGAGTTCCGATACCAGGGACGCCAGGGAGGACTTTGGTTAGGAGAATGATGAAACCTGAAATGGGCTGATTAGCTTAAAATTTACAAAAAGTGCTCTAGTCATGATGATAGAGCACGGAGTGCACAAATTATTCGTGTATGACTTACCATAGCCAAAAATAGCACCAAACATGGTAGCAGGAAATGTGAATCCGGTCTTGAGACCTATAGAAATTGATTATCAGGCATAGCTCCTTCTTATGAGCTAATAACTTCATGTTCCAGGAGACACAAGGACCATGATAAATTGTCATAAAATAATATGCTCACTTACCTAAATATACATTAGAAGCATTGACTAGGGAGCCCAAAACGATTCCAGTGAGTACCGCTCGAACAGTCAATGGGTTAGGTTCAGGTTCGACTCCCTTTGGGGTAGGAAAGCTTGTAAACAGGTCTGTGATAGCTTCATCTTCTGAGTCTTCATCCTCAGGCTTGAGAACAACCTCCACGGACACTCGCTTCTCCTGGACGCCACCTTCGTCGCCCAAATACTCGGGTTTCTCAGTAGGCACACCCATAGTGGCAGCCTTTTCTCGCTCCTTTCGGTACGGTTCTGTTAAACAAAACTGTGCTGAGAGCCGAATTTGTAGGTGTCGAGATGATGATCTCGGTGTATCATCCAAGACAATCTACACAGATGGAATTCGCGGCCTCGCCGTAGTATTTAATGTGGTCGCTGCAAAGCTACAGGAAGGTAACATTCAAAACTAGTGCATGCCAAGGCTATAAACACCGTTCCCAGGACCATCTACAGTTCGCCGGTAGGTCCAAAGTGTACGGTGACCGAAAACAAACAAACTATCATCCTTCAGGAAGGCACCTTTGTTTAGTTAACAGCTCTTTGGTATTGTGGATAGGAACTTTTTGTCGGGCGTTGGTTGCCAGATCATTAGACGAATGCGGGAAACCCCAATCAAAAACAACACGCCTAACCAAGAAAGTGATATCTCCGTATACCTTGCCTTGCTGGAGGGTACACCGTAATCACCAACCGATTTTGATCATAGATAATCGGAAAGAATATGTTTCATTCAGGGCTGTAGCTAGAACCACTAGGGGTGGGAGCTAAGGACGCCGTCTACCTTCACATGGCCTCCCAAGGACATAAGTTCCTTTGAAGAACAGCACCAATCTCTCGATCATGAACTCCAAGGTGGAACCGACGCACCTCCGCGATATTACTTGAGGCGGCGGCAGAATAATTCGCCCCCGTATATTCGCTTATCCGGTAAGGTTGCCAGATTAAGCGCTAGGCGGATAGTGTGTATATGAAACCGAAGCACTGTGAATTAAACTAGCCTGCTCTGAAGCATGGGCTGGCAACTCGTGTTATCACCAGGACCAGATTCTGTTGCTTATAAACCTCTCTTTTCCTTTCTTTTTTAACTAAAGCAGCAAATTCTATGATATAGAGAACATATGCTGCTGGACGTGTCTACTGCGCCCCCTCGAAATATTAAATCTGTCCACTATTTACTACAATTAGTCAAGAGATTAGGGATAGTTGGGGAATTACTTTTTAAAGAAAGATCCACAACTTAATTGCTCCGGGGAATACGTTATTTGGCGCGTGTTGGCATATAGAGCTGGTAGATATTGGCACTTATCGTGTTACGTTAGCGCATGATCTTTCTTACCCAGTACCTAGATGGGAGACAATGAATCGCATTGTACTCCGTATATGCTATGGCCGAAATGGACATGATACATATTATAATGCGGTATACTCCGTATATGAGTGGCAAATGGAATGTTGAATGGGTAGGAGCTGTGCGCGCGCTGATCAATCCCAGCTTGCCTCAGATTCTAGCAGAAGTTTTGTCGCCTGCTTCACCATAAATACGGTTAATACAAGCATGTTCCCTTAAGGCTCCAGCGGTAAAAACTATTGGGAGATATAAGTGGATCTCAGGACAAGTTTTCTTGTATTTGCAGGCACCATTTATAATAGTTTACGTACTACTAATCCACGCCACTTTAATTCCACGGGTTCTCCCATCTCGGCCCAGATATGGCCACGAGACATCAGTCACACAGTATTAAGAACAAGGTCCCGTTTTAACTTTGCTCTGGTACGTTTCTTAAAGCAAATAAGGATAGGTAGGCTAACCCCAAGTTAGAAAAGCGGCCGACTCTCTTGCCCCTGCCCTTAGCCAACGCCACACCACCAAGGAACCTTTGGATATCTTGGCTAGCTTTTTGCAGAGACAGGGTGGTCATGAAATTGGAACCTTTGTAAATGCAAGACCACACGAGCAAGCCATAAGCACGCCCTACAGTGGATACTGACACCAGAAGCGACAAAGTGGCCTAAATGCTCAGCAACGACATCTTCTTCTCTGTGACTGAATTATGGAGTCGTCACTTACGTAGCCGCCAGAGCTTATTCCATCTGCCGTAGTGGAGGTAGAGTGCCGCGTTGTAAGAGCATCGGAAATGATACCAATCATTGATTACTACTTCAGTTCCCGAATTAATCAACATCTTAAAAGAGTCGTGGTGGAGCGCTGCGACGCCTCGGAGAACTGACTGGTCTTGGCTGCTGTGCCAAGCTGTGCCAAGTTGTGCCAGGCTTAGCCAAGTTTAGCTCCCAAATACTGTACATATCTGCGTCTTGGCGCTTTTACCAGGTTAGTTCAACCGCTTTGATGGGCAGTATTCCACGTTCTATTAGTACATATCGTGGACGTTTCAGGCAATAGCCGCCACCCTCACTGCCTTGTGTATCAATCTCGTGAGGGCGCTAGAGAGGGATGGCCAGGGTAAGCTGCGTGACAGTGCAGGATGCACCTACGTAGATGCGTAAGAGTAGTACGTAGTATTGAAATGTTAAAAACACGCGAACGAAGCAGTTGTTTGTACAAAGATGAAAGATAAATGCCCCGGCGTACCCCATACGGATACCTGGTGGCACGTTTCATCCAATTGAAGCTCTGACCCCTTTCTCAGGCCACATGTTCAGTCACCCACCCACTATACGCATACAAGTTTTCCTGGGGCGCACAGCGCAGTCAGCCTTTTTTTTTTTTTTTTTTTTTGGCATAATAACTCAAGTTGAGGTGACCTGTGGCCGCACGTTTAGCATTTCATGACGTGTGCTTATCATTCAAAAAGGAGCTACATCCTATGGCGCTCATTCCTGTGTTCCAAGCACCTATAAACGCCATATAAGAGTCCTTGAATAGTATACGAGTGCTGGTAATGATTAAATATGCCGCTTTTGCGACATTTAGCAGAATATCCGGCGGAATTAACCAGTAGCATATGTCCAAATATACAACTATTAAAGTACATATTTTAGATATGTTAAAAGAATATGGTAATAAATCTTGAATATTATAGTTTTCAAAAATTAAAGGTAAAAGTGCTATATATAAAGCAAGATGGGCGAAGATGCCTAATGCATAACTGCGTTAAGAAGGCGTAGAGGCAGCTGGGGTTGTATAGCCAACACAGAGCAGATTTAAAGATTTTGACAGTCTACTTTTAATACACCTTTGGCATAGATTAGGACGTATGAATGATTACAACAATACCCCGCGCGTTCCATTGAACGATTGTTCTTGTAGCCTAATTTAGAGCGTTTTTTGTGTGACTTTAGTGAAGTTATCTCCGACAAATCATTCATACATGACTACAAGGTTTCAATAAAAAAAAGCCTATGTTTGAACTGTCACAGTTTGTTTATCGACCCCAAATTAACCACTGTGATTTATTGATTCAATTGGGTATAGAATATTTGCCAGCGGATGTTGACAGAGACCCAGATATTCCTTCATTCATGAGACAAGCTATTTCTTGTAGCTTATGATTCACACACCGCTGTTTTCATGGATATTTTCCATAATTTCCATATCCTCCCTTTGGCGCTGGGTAATTTTTATAGTCTCCATAACCTCCTTTTGGAGGCGGATATGCACCATAGCCACCGTAATCGCCATATCCTGGGTCAGCTTCTGGTGCAGCGTTGGGAGCGGCTTCGGCGACCGGACTAGCCAGAGTCGAGGAGACTGCAGCAATCAGAGTGACCCAAAATAATTTCATGTTGGAATCTTCAATAGATTGCTAGATTTGTAAGGCTTTGTGCTGAGTAGATGCTGCTAATGTATATATGGATTTTAATTGTCGATCTTCGAATACACTATTGTTTGGGGAGCGGAAGCGGCTCACTTTTAAACACAAAATACACGAGCTTCATGATCGTCAGATTAGATCATATTGAGTCATTCAATGTTAGCTGAACGACTTTTTTTCTTTAATTTAAAGTATAATTGAAACTATTCATATATGACGCCCAGACGATATGCCTTGAGGAGATAAGTCAAACTTTACTGAAGTACATCGCGCATTTCAGATGGTAACTAAACAATTGGAATAGCGCCACAACTCCTAAGTGCCTGCCACTCGAATAAAATCTATAATAGGAAGCTAGTTATACAAATGGATCGGCTCGAACTAGCTGATGTGTGGCACGCAGCACGTGTGTGAAAAAAAAAAAAAAAAAAAAAAAAAAAAAAAAAAAAGAACGAAAAGAATACTGAACAATGCACAATCAGTAGCAGCGTTGCTCTGGAGAATCCAAAAGCTAGTACAACTCCATGATTATTTATGTCGTCATAGGATGTTACTATTGTAGTCTATGCTTGGAATGTGGGTTAACTAGATGCAAACTAGAGGGGAATCCTCCGTATACGAGACGCCTCAAAAGTCGGCGGAAGAGCCGGTATTATCATTATCGTTCCTTGTTGCTGGCGAGATCGTTCCCTCGTTCGGATTAAGACTGTTTAGACAAGGATTTGGCTATAAATTAACCTTATAACAGGATTTTATTGGCATTAAGAATGTAAAACTAAAATTTCTAAGTGTATCAGCTGAAAATATAGAGTTTAGGTTCAAGTAGGTTGCCTTGTCATTTAGTGTCATATGGTATCATTTGTTTATTTCTTTTCTAATAATCTAATCTTACACATTCTTCCTAATTCTAACTTCTCTTTTGATATCTAAATCTGGGGATTCCGCAAAACAATGGACAAGAGACAACATCTACGTCGACTACTTTCCAGTATCTCGGACGAGTCTGGCGAGGAGGACAGCTTCCTTCAACATTCTATCAGCGAGAAGCCAAATAAGAAATCCGATTTTCGCAAGCCTCTTATAAAATCTGTTTGCGTGTTGTTTATATTGGTGGTGGCTTGTGGGCTCTCTTTTTTGGCCGGAACGTGGGTGCCCACGCGACAACCAACTATTGATGGTGTATGTGCAAAACATACAAACCGATGGTGTAAGAAATATACATGCAGAAATTTATGAGATTCTGACCATGGAAAATTCACAGCACCTCTAATTCGTGATGTGGAGATTCGATACACATCCAAAGAGTTCAATGGATCTTTCATGAATGAAGATATATACCGACAAGTGGGGTCGCCAGAAGTCGACAAGGCTTGGGAAGATCTCGGGGTTGATTGTGAGTATGATGATGCTATTGAAGCTCAAGTAGTGTTCTTAACTGTCTATAGATCGAGCTGGTGTTATCTCATACGAGGATGGTCTCGCTAGCGGGCTGGGCGCATCTTTTGTCCAACGCGCGAAAAAATATGGCGGAGGTTTTCTCGTTAACGTGGAAGGATTACACCACTTGCACTGCTTGGTAATGATTCTCGCCTGAACCATTTCAGTTGAAGTCCCAAAAGGCATTAGTAGTTAACCATCTATCAGAATCTAGTCCGCAAAGCGCTCTATTTCAACTACGATCGATATAAAGAGTTGGGAGAGCATGCCTTCTTGAACGAAGAGTATATCTTACGTCGGCATATTAGTAAGTTTACCAGTGCGGTATAGAAGATGAGTATAATCATGTCTCTAATAACTGTAAAGCACATTGCCTTGACACTGTTCGTCAAGCTTTGATGTGCCATATAGATACAGGTGTTTTGGGGCAGGTGTGGATCGACCCAGAAGAACCAACGGCATTTCCGGATTTCCGCACAAAACATACCTGCAAGAATTATGAAGATATACGTGAATGGGCAAAGCTTCTTCAGGTAAGGACAAGCTATAAGGGTAGATATTCGTTGATTGACCTTCATCTAGGCGCCACCTCTTGATCAAATACCCAAAGATTACCTAGCCCCGCCAAATCCTGACGATGTGATAGTTTCTACGCCATAAACTGGCGATTCATTGTGGCGATCTGGCTATAGTGCATGAATTAGGTAGATTTATTTATTATTTTCCATAACAAGACACTAAGGATTGAGACGAATTAAAGTCAAAATTGACAGATCTTGCCTTCAACGCTGCAAGCAAGGGTAATAATAAGACTATTGAAACTCAAATAACAAGATATGCCATTTCCGGCAATCCGAATGTCAAAGATATCTTAAGCACCTAATTAAACTAGGGACCTAGCGTATATGAAACTTCAGCAACGGGGTCAATGGTACTCATCTGTTGAGTATGGGGTATCAGCACATCCACGCCGTTCATGAATCCAGCAGCGACATTATCGGGATATACTTCTGGTGGCAACAAGTTCCTTTCGCCGTTAGCTTGCGTTCGCCAAAGCGTATGCATCGACTTGAAGGTCTGAAGCAACTTGGGATCGTCGGCTGCGGTGCGATCTACGCCAAGGATTTCGCGCGCCTTAGTACGTAAATCATCATCCGTGGGGATGGTTAAACTCATAATGCACTCCTCGATGTAGGCATTCAATCCGTCCTCAAGCTCCCGCGAGCAGAACACTGAGGCAGGGAATCGGAATTGTCCTTCACAGAGAGCATGTACATAGCGCTCCGCTGTATCTTTGCTGACGTTGTAGGGTCGGTTGTCAATGTATACGAATGTATCTTCTGAGAATTCTATGTGTTTGCCCGCTCTTGGTTTCACGAACGGTGGTTGGAACCCTGTTCCGCCGTCTTTCACTGTCCATGGCCGAGGAGGGGAAACTGGTGATAGGCCAAATTCTCCAGAGGGGATTAGACCAGCGTCGTGTTTGAAACGAGCAAGCCACTCGGCATTATCAGCAGCAGTCTGATTCCACGGATCGTCATCGTCATAGATAATCCAGCGAGCTTGGTGTTGGATCTCTTCATCAGAGGGAATCTGGATGTATTTAGTACAAAATTCGTTAAAACGCACCATATGGCTACCAGCAATGGGATAAAAACACACATGTTGAAGAGGGTTGTTTGGGCTTAAGCAACTCGCTACGAATCGAGTGAGTTCTTTTTCTAGTCTCCCATAACAATTGACATCGCTTAGAAAATATCGCGGTGGCTCATTTTCAGAATTATTATGTTGGGATATTTGTACCGAAGAAGCCGGTATGTTATCGTTTGCCTTTATTGGCAAGGTACCATCAATGGCTTCGTCCGAGAAACCCCAGTGTGACGTCTGGGGAGAAATCATTATTTTGGCTCCAGGATCGCTGTTTTGATTAGGTAATGTTTGTTCTCTGATTTCTAGTGCCGGCAGTGAAGCATCCATTTCCAAGCTGGTGCGGCCCTGGAAGGTATTCAAGTAATCTGGCTTAGTCGATCCAGCCTGGCTGGCAGAATCACCAGCATTGTATATATCGATGTGCGGGTCGCGTTGCATATGCTGTTCTAGTACCCCTTCGGTAAACTGTTGCAGTGGGTTCTCGTGTATTGAATTTTCCTGTATCTCGAATGGATTGTATGCTGTGATGCCGCTATTGGCTATTAGTTGAATTCCACCATCTTTCCCCATATTTGGCGGTAAGCCCGCTCGACGTTTAAATTCTGAGAGCCAATTTGTTGAGGAGTTAATCAAGAACTTGAACCATTGAACAGCCTCTCCACTCTTAAAATTCGACTTGGGCTCGACGTCGTCTATAGCCTTGCAGGCCTGGATCTGCAGTTCAGCATCTGTAGGAGTCTGGCCTAATGCTTGTTTGCATTTCACATAGTCGTTCAATATCTTCTCCTTTTCGCATCCGATAATGCTCAAGCTAGAATTAGCAGATTTAAATGCTTTTATCTTCTCGATTTGCGTTATCCAAGAAAGATTATTGACTGGTTTTCGGCTTCCCTCGTTGATTAAACTTTGAGTAGTGTCGTACGACGGCTTGCAAAGCATGATTAGATCGCGGAACCATGAGATATCAGGACCTGTGAGCGACGTGTCCTCCGTGTCGGCTTTTCGTACAATTCTCTGTGCTTCAATAAGAAGTTGATCGTCCGTAGGTGTCACCCCGGCCGATCCTAAATCTCTAATGTAGTCAACCAGCCATAACTTGACATAGTCTTCTAGCGTCTTGTTGGAACGGATCTCATCTTTGGAGGCTTCGTACGGATTAAGGGTATTACGTTCGTGGTGAATGAGATCTGGAATATGAGTAAGGAATGAACTGATAGAAGATTTCCTGAGAAAGCCATGAAAGGACAAAAAAAAAAAAACTTACATGGTGGCATTCCATTTTCAACAACCTTCAGTACGTCTTCGGCAAATCCCCAATCTCCTTTCCAGTGTGCCATTGATTTACCACTCTTGAAATGTTGTGCCAGATGTTCCACACGCGAATCCCAAGTGTCCATCAAAATACCGCAGAACCCGCATCTGGATCGAATTTTTGGTGTAGATGCTTTCCAGCCATTCATAGGCCACTTCTGAAATTTGACACCGTGAACGATATTCAAATGCTGGCGAAGATGATCTTTCCTATAGAAAGTCTTTCCATCTAGCGATCTTTCAGTGCAAACAAAATCATTATGTTGTTCGGTATGTTCTAGCGACGGATTCTTAGATCCACAGTATACGCATGCCAAGCAATTCCTTTCGCTGAAGAACTGTATCGGCCCATACGGTGTACAGACCCATCGTTCGAGAGACAGATGTAGCGATTTTTCATGTCTTTGCCAGTCATGTTTCGTCTTGAAAGTTTCAGTGCAGAATGTGCACTGGTACGTGTAGATAGACGGCAGTATGGTCGAGATATCAACGGCTTTGGGGATCTGGCGACGTCGACGACGTCGTCCTCGACTTCTCAGCGAGGTTAAAGACTCGAAAGATCCACGAGATACGTGGGAGTAAGCTGAAGCAAAAGAGCCCTTGCTAGAGTTTGATGTTTTCGAACTGCTGGCAGATGAGAGCTGATCGGCAGAGCCCGCAAACGGGTCCTCGACATCGTTGTAACCAGTAAGCGAGCGGCCGATTCCGCCCGTGAACTCTGAAGATAAGGCTGCGGTGGCAATGTCAGTTATGGAAGCAGGTTCTTGGTCAGGTGGAGAATGCTGCCATCGTTCCATAGGGCTCATCTCTCTCATAGCGGGAGTGACGCTTCGTGGAATATTAATGCCATTGGGGTCCCGATATGGACTTGATGAGCCAGAGCTTGGAGTTCGAACTTTGCCTCTTCGTCGGGCGTTTGCCACCCAATTGCTAATTTGTGTTTTGCTTAAGCCCGTTTGACGGACCAGGTTCTCCTTCTCTTCATTGTTTGGGTAGGGGTGACGATGGTTAGAGAGCAGCCAATTCCTGAGAACTCGAAGTGCCTCTCGCGAAAATCTGGCGCCGACCTTGGGATTGTTTCCGACGTGTTTAGCTGAGTTCTCTCCCAGTGATTCATGAAGTTCGGTGCTAGATTCTGAGCCATCGTGAGAATTGATCAACGGCTGCTTCAACGGGTTCGTATCATCGTCAGCCGAGACTGGAGATTCCAAAAAGGATTCTTGTTGAGCCTCAGTCACGCTGGTGTCGGTCGTAAAATCACAAACCCTTCCCTGGGCTATACATGACGTACAGGCACCAAGAAAGGTACCCCCGTGAGCCACCTCGCAATGGAGGCGTTGCTGAGCGCAGTACCCGCATGGAAACAAGACGCTTATGTTATCGATGCTTGAGGAGAATTCTATACAATCATCATAGCCCATGATACCCGTCTTTAGGATGATGGATGGTCAGATATAATAGGCAGCGTAACACTGGACTACGTGGAAAATTAGCCCGGGGTATCTATCTTAGGGCGTGGTGATACAATGAAGTGAACGGCTTGTTGGAGTATGAACATTGCATCCTCAACTTGGAGAAACTTACTAATCGATGCCGTTGGTCATTTATAGGGCGTGATATCGGTATCGCTGATTGGATGTAATCTCTAGCGTCAGCGCTCAACTTCCTAAACAAAATCCACCTGGGAGAGCATGAAGGCGGGGCTGCGGGGTAATATTAGCAGGAGAATATAGCAATCGGCCTTCAAGTTCTGTGTAGAGAATGTTGATTTGTTAGAATAATTACAAAACAGCGGTTTTTTGCTTGGATTTATTAAATATTTCTTGTTATATGCAAATATTATCCTGGGTATATCTTTTCGCTTTCTTAACAGCTTAAATGCAATCACCTGGTTAACTTTTTCCATGATACCCACGCCTGTTTTCTTGCCCCCCTCCTCCGCGAATAAAAAGTGGCAGCGGGTTCACAGATAAAAGGAGAAGGTTGGAAATGTTAAGATTAATATATCAGATAACGATAATGGGCGAAGTTTTGAACATAGACTCTCGCCCATATGTCATTGGCCGCTCTCTGCTCCGAACATGCGTCACTACTTCGCCATTTCCTTTGCAGATGTTGAGTCATTATTGTTAGCCATGACATATCGTGCAGAAAATTGAGATAGACTCTAATATCTCATCCTTACCGTCAAGAACTGGCCGGCGAATTTTTTTTAAGAGAAAATTATGTAGATCGATATACTTCTTCATACACATTTATTGTAATTCTAACCCTGCATATCTAGCTGGAGCGCCTAAGCATTCATCAACTTGGACTAGTTCTGCTACGCTATGCTCCTCTTGAAGTACTAGGCAATAATCGCTGATATGTAATTTGAGTTGGATGCATGAGCAAAAGCCGAAGCTAGCGCAATATTTAAAGAGTTGTGTCTTCTTCTTTGCTCTTCAAATGTACTTTTAGAAGTACGAGTGGTGGAAAATAGTTGTGGCCGCCGCTGATTAAGCCAATGTTGGCTCAGGCCGGCCGAGGCACGCCCAGAAGTCCATTGACTAGCCTCGGCCATTACGACAAGTTTTCTTCATTATTTATAGTCGCAATTGTGTATTTTTATAGATTAATGTGAAACAGAATTACCACAATTGCTTAAGTCGCATACTTGAACTGTATAATTCGGTCGCCATTATGCCCCTTTATGATGTTGAATATGTAACCCCGCTTACACCGGAGCAGCAAGAACAGCTGGCTATTGCTTTCACTGATTTGCATTCAAAGCGTTTCAACACTCCACGTTTCTTTGTTAACGTCCGGTATACCGATGTGAACAATCAAGTAGTATTTCGAGGAGGTTTACGGCGAAAGTACAATCGTGTGGTCATCCGAACACGAGCAGGGAGCAATCGTACTAACGAAGCATACCTGGACCACTGCAAGCAAATTACAACCGAATGGGAGAGAATTATAGGATCAGAGGGTGAAAGAGGACTGCGAACGGTTTGGATAATGGGCGCTTTGACAACGGCTTTGGAAGCTGGAATTGGCCGGCCAAAAGTAAGTTAGCGGCAGCTTTACCTAGTATATTTGACTAATACATTCTGTTAAATAGACTGGAGAAGAAAACCAGTGGTTGAAGGACAATATGGCACACTTTGAAACTTTGGCTGCAGCTGGTGATGAAGATTTTAATGAGCTCCTAAAGGAGTTTAAGGGAAAGAAGTCAAATGCAATCTGATATCCCCATAATTGCAGGATGATATGTTAGTGAATTCAGCTATTCTATTATGGTGAAGTAAAGGTAGTTGTGTCTACACCCTACTAGTGCAAGGCTATCAGCTAGCAAATATAATTGACTGGCATATAGCAGGAGAAAACTTGTTAAGCCAGAATGAAGCTGTTCTACACATCGCAGATTCTCTTGAAAAACTAAGAAATTGACAAGTCCATTTATTGGAAGCTGTTTTCCGCATACTATCGTACGTCATTATAATGGTCACGTTCAATCTGTCTTTTCTGGACTTCTCTTGATGATTGGAGACTCTTCAATGGTCGTTTAGCTCAAAGCTTTGACTCCGATCTCCTAATTATTAATGCAGCTGGCACGGGTCTCACCACCCAGCACGGCTACGTTATGACATCGCTTATTGTAGAGCCCAAAGAAGTTGGTGATGCTATTTATAAGCCTACAATATTTGTCGCAGCTGGGCGTCAACCTCATTTTTCCTTGTTGTTGCTGGCTAGGTATGCCAAGCGGAGGCGGTCAAAAACCTGGAAAGAGTGCTCGCCGGCACGAACTATTCACACAAAGACATGGCAGATGCAGCATCTGGCGCACAGAGCATACTATTTGAGGAAATTAGCGACGAGATACCCCATTAAGCGATGAACACAATTATAGAGGCCATACAGAAAGACTTTATTTACTGCAATGTGGAGGCGGTACCATACTGTTGGTGACCCCATTCATGGAACGAGGGAAGCTTTTTGGAGAAATTGCGGCCGTTGGAGCTTAGCCCGAATCGCTTTGCGTGTATTATATACTTAGGTCACATACATGACAGCAGGAAGGCTCTGTTTCATGCCCTGAGACACTTCATTCCAGTAAATTACTTGTGTACCATACATCCTCGCAAAACTCGATAGTGAGTGTCTCCCATCTTAATTTTAGGTGATATAATGCAGATGCGACCATACACCGCACAGGGAAAGACCCGATTAAGTACCCTTTCTCGTTATGGTATAATGAGATCTCCAACTCATCCTATCATAGTATAGCGTGCGCAATACTTCAAATATCTGGATAAAATATAGCAATAATTATGACCAAGAATACTTACAGTAGAAGTGCTATTGGAAAAAAAGGAGGGGAAGGGCAAAAAGAGGAGGAAAAGACAGGGGCCTGATTGCGGTCTTAACAATTCACATGGGAACTTCTCTACCACATACGGCAGAGCGTGAATTGATTTCAATATTTCTTAAATAGCATCATGAGATTGTTTCATAGTGCATAATCTAAACACTAAATCATTTGTAGAGCCCATGCCACCGCCATATTCATCAACGTTTTACATGAATAGTATAATTACATTGCTAAGATGGCTTCAGCGTCCTTCTTTAGCTTTGTCATAGCTCCAATCTGCAGAGTAGGCCCGATGCTAATTCGCGCAACTCCAATATCCGCCAATTCTTTCACCGTTAGACCGCCGGAAAGATTTAGCAGGACATTCAGTCGTCCATCAAAGGCTTTGACTAACTCAACAACTTCGCTGCGTGAGACACCTCGGCTGGCACCCCATACAAATACAGTAGTAGCACCAGCGGCAAGATACGCACGACCTCTCTCAATGACTTCCTCGAGACCACCTCCTTGAATGAGTGTGTCACACCGGGCGTTGACGACAAAATCAGGCACTCCCAGTGCATTAGCCGTGCTCAGAGCTCTCTTGATCCGATCGGTTGCATCGGAGATGCTATATAGTGTCTTTGTGTTTCCATTATAGTCCTCTAGGTTAATGCCAACAACACCAGCTCGAATGAGCTCCGTTAGGCCGCTTTCTAGCTCATCTCCATATCCGTCTTGGTAGTCAACGGATAGTGGCTTTCCGAATTCTTTAATTGCCGAAGCAATATTTTTAGCAGAGATCACATTAGCAGCCCGCGTTAAAGTGTCATCCTGAAGACCTGCTGCTTCCGCAACCGCATAGCTGGCTGTAGCAAGGGCCTTTGCGTTGGGCAGGGATGCTACAGCCCGTGCAGAAACTGCATCATAGATGTTTGCAAATACTAGAGGGTGATGAGGAGTATGTAAAGCTTTGAACCTTTTGGCGAGAGCATTCAGAGAAGCGTTGGCCATGGCTGGATTTGGCAAATATGATGACGATTGCTTAATGGACTTGATAATCGATGCGTATGTACCTGAAGTCGTGCTATAACTACTCGATATGTTCTGTCAATTCATATATATACTGATAATATATATACTTACATGTACGCGTCTGTGAGTAAGGTATGCAATAGTAACTAATGCCTCGCAGTTATATATCTAATATGTTAAGACGTGCGTAATATCCCAGCGTCAGCTTTGTAAGCATCCAATTTGTAAAATAACAGGTATCTCACGATGCATTTCGACACCAACCGCCAAGCTTAAAATAGCAAAATAATAGCGACACTGTTTCCCCAATACTCTCTAGCACACAAACGCCACGCAGCGCATGAGCAAATATGCGACCATTTTGGGCTAAGCCGCCGCTTTGTCGTGCTTGTATCCTGCTCTGCCGAGAAAGTGGCTGAATTGCACTCAGACTGTGTACCCTCTTTCATTAGCGGTTCTTAGACTGATTGGACATCAATCGCAGAACTATTTGCACTCTCTACATGGACAACTCCAAAGATGGTAATTCGTACCACAGTCGATTTCCAATCGATGATCTACCAGATTTTTCTTCAGGCTAACTAAGATTTTGGTTGCGTCAGCCTATAATATGCTGCGATGAAGGCGCACTACTTGGTCTGACGCAAACCAATGTGGTTTGTGCGGAATTTGGAGAAGCGAATTATCCAAGTTGGTGCTGTTTGGAGATTGTGAGGGGAGGCAAAAAGCCTATATAAAGCTTGCAATCTACGATCATACTGACCACTGAAGCTCTCTGTAAAATGTAAGATTGTCAGACGAAGCCCAAATTCTCCCTTTATCTAGCGTCATCGCTTTCCAGTTGCTGCATACATCATATGATGGTACTGGCCGGACGAAACTGCTATACGAATTTCTACAATGACTGCTCATCATTGGGAAGAATAATGCAGCAGCATGGATGAAATTTTAAGCTGTCGATACAATACATGTAAAGCCTGACCCAACGCTGAGCTGCAGATATTACCACTTCTATCGCATATAGAATTAACACGATTTACACAAGCCAAGTAAATACAGACATTTAGTACCAGCACAAAGATATAATAAGGGGATGGACCGCCTGGCCGACCCTTATGGAACACCTTCGTGTATATGGGAATGCGGTCAACTAGACATCCTGGAGCATCACTTATTCCCATATTGGTGATAGTGCTAATGCCTGATTCCGAATCCGAAAGTAGTCCCAGGTTCCAGGACATTGCCCTGGAATCTATCTATCAAGATAACGTCGGTGAATCGACTTTACTACCATTTCCGGCGTTTCATCCACCCTAGAGCCCTGGCTGAAGCGATACAGTAACCTGATGAGCATTAACGCGTATCAAATAGCGTCAGGAGATTTTGATGGGCAACTGGTAAGGCTAGGCAACTGATAGGATCATGAGCAAGAGGCAAATAACTCGATGGAGCCTGGTATATAGTTCGACCAAACCTGCGTCTCGTCAGCAAAATGAACTACTCCTGAGACGTAAATAGAGGCTGCTGTCAAATTGCCCATAGAGGTTTAGCTCCCCTGGCGTGGCCATAGAATCTCCAAGAACCGGCTGTCGCTAGGCTTAGCACAGCGCTGGACTTGGTTCATTTATCTATTTTTTATTTCCCCAAACCACCAATCGATATTCAGCCATTTGGCTCGATACGATCGCTAATTCTATACGGTTGCAAATCCCCATAGGCAATAGTATGGTATGCGCCTCGTTTGGAAAATCCTAATGCTAAGACCACTTAGAAACGGCATCGCAAGCTTTAGAGCCGGTGTGCAATTTCTCAGAAGCCACCGCACACCAAAAGTTTCACATAATATTTCGTGATGGATTCAGCGATGAGGCTCTCTCAAATGCTATTATGCTCTCCCTAACATTCGCTGCAAATGAATATCACTTCACGCAGGAATGGCCCAGTTTTAAAAATACAACAATTAGGCATATCAATCAGAAAATAGGGTCTTCCCTTGATCCTCCAGCTGTTTCGCAAATGATAGGAGCCATATTACTCTTAATAGGAGTAGAGGTTAGTATTTTGCGGCCTGCTAGTCTTTCATTGCTAAGAACAATATCTAGTGGCGACTGGGGAACAAACCACGAGTAGAGATGCACTTGGCTGGTGTCATGCAACTGCTAAACTTCTGCGACTCCAAGCTAATCCATCTTCATGATGGCATCAAACAGTAAATATTTGAACTAGGCTTCCTTTATGTGCCATCGTATCAGCATTCTAACCCCTGTCTGTAGTGCAATATTCTGGCAAGATCTGAACGCGGCTTGGATCATAGGTTCCGAGCGCAGATTCTCCCATGATATTTTCCCAGAGCTTCACTGGGGGCGCAATCCATTTCTATCGTTTGTATATACCCTACCGCCGGGATTCGAGCCACTGAGACATGTGTTTGGGAGTGACTTGGTCAAGACCATCGAAGACATCTATGCTTTGCAGCATTACAGAGAATTATCGAACATAGACCTCGATGACTCAGCTTCCCTTCTCCACTTGGATAATCATCAAGCATGGATAGAGTCTCGACTTTACTCTCATTTCGTAGCGGCAGACGAGATCAATGGAGTATTAGTAGGCTGTATACTTGCACTATATCTCTGCGCTTATATGCTGTTTTCGGAGGTATGGACAGGCCACTTCATTCCATCGCACATATCTTCAAACCTACTACGTGTCTTACGGGATGCGAAGAAGAGTATTTTATGGGAAGCCAACAGAGATGCAATGCTGTGGTGTACGATAGTGGGTGGCACATTCGCCCAGCTAGGCGTGACAAGATCCGAGTACATATTGCTACTTCACCAGTCTGCATATGGCACGCTCCCCTCCGCATGGAAAGAAACGGAAAAATTTTTAGGGAAGTTTTTATGGTCTAAAAAAGTCTTCTACGGTCCAGGAAAAGCCTTCTGGGATGCATACTCGTTAAATTGACACTTCACCACTGCTTTCGAAGCTAACTTTTCTCCCCCAATACCTAATCTGAAAGGATATATTTGGCATTAATCCGAAGGTGGAGCGTTGACGAGAAAATCATTCCGATTTCGGTCTATAAAGTGATATATAACATCATGGGACACTAATATGTAGTTACTATCTATGAATGTACCCAATGCAACCGTCATTGATGACCTCAAATTAAAAGATTGGCTAATGTGAAGCTTAAAATCTTCCTGGAATAACCGTGCTTAGAGACATGAGTCTTGACGCCTCTGTATGGCGAAAAGCTACCAGGGGCAGGGGTACAGCCTCGACATCATGATAGGAGGGAGCTTGGTGAGACTTGCGCTTACAGGAGCCAGAAGCAACGCTCCGCCGCAACACAGTAGCCAAAAGTGCTGGACGAGCTTCCGACGGCGCCAGCCACGCCCTCTGCAAGGGAAGTCGTACTCTGTAATTAGTATATAGAGTACTTTTTCTCTTCGGAGTTGAAGCCTGTTAAAGTAATGACCGATCTGTTTGTTTATAGTATCAAGGAGGCGGCCGCATATTATGCCAGATCTCCATTCTATGGATGGGGAAGAAGAGCTAGGTGGTTTTTGACTTCGTTTTCGCTTAAGTGATAGAAGAAAAGGGCATAATTACCTTCAGTATTAGGCGTAAAAACAGGCAGCAGTTCATCAGGCAGATGGATATACCGTAGCACAAAGGTGGAGTAAATACGAAAGAAAAATTTGCTGCAAAGCAGTTCAAGCAATACAATTGACAAACATAGTTTATATGTTGCATCAAGATTTGCCTGCTGACCTATTCGAGAGTATTGCTGGAATATATTATACTTGCACTCGAAATCTGTTCTTTACGCTGTATACAGTGTCAAATACCCTCATTATCGCTAGATATTTATGGCAAGATTTGGGGTTGACTGCCTTGGTTCTTTGACGAGCGCTTGGTTCTGGAGACGCATCAAAGCCATTGCGAATATCAAGCGAGCTACGCAAGCGAGCTGAGCTTAACGAGTTAAAGCTGGAAAGGAGAAACGGCTTTTAGAAAGCGCTAACTAGAAAAAGGAATTTGATTGCCGCGCGAAAACCTATTGCTAGAACTAGTAGCCGTAGCTTATTCTGATGGTCGCCAAAATATCGCTAGGAGCGGAAATGTAGCAAAACGATCTAGCGGCGTCGGGATATTAAGTGTGTACTATGTAGCCAAATAGTAGTTATTCTCCAATAGCAATAATTCCAAATGCATGATGCAAACCACAGCTACATAATTACGACTTGATTGCAACTGTTGAACGAGTCATATGCAGCTAATCATAATGTTAAATGTCTATCTTTGCTCTAGAATTACAAAGCCACGCAGGAATGAGCATTTATTTGCGAAATGCTCCCGGGAATAATGTCATTGAGAGAAGAGGCTCTTATTAACGCATTACTCATAATAGCGGACAGCTGAAGAAAATCCGTAACCCGCAATCTTCCCGTCCGCCGTTTCTTGTAGTATAAGGCCTATCTTGGGGCGTTGCGCTCGACACCAACCAGGCTACTTGGGTTGCGTCAAAGATTGGCTCACAAGTTTCTAACGGCAACTATCCCCGATACTTTCTTGCAGGGTTCAGCTAGGTTCAGCTGTCAACGCTTACCGTTACCATAGCCGTTTTCTCGCGTATTTTACACGCAGTAGTCGACGACGGCCACAGCACCCTCTCATACAGCTTCCAATGAGAAACCCACTTTAAGGAAGAGATTTACTTTCCTATGTACTTGCATGTCGGCCTAATGATACCAGGATCAGGCTAAGACTTGCGTTTGTCGGCATATGAACCTAAGCGAACGCCTTCCAATTAGACTTTGTCACAACATCAAACACTCCAACTAATCGCCTGTCGAAAGTATCGAGCTACTACTCACAACTGCGACCATACTATACTATCTTATCACCGTAACTTGGACAGCCAGTTACTATACCAATTGGGTGAAAATGGAGGGTCTTTCTGTGTCAGAGTTAAATCGCCAGGTTGTTACCCGATATTTCCAAGAGTTTTGGACCAATGGGAATGCCAACATTGTTGATGAACTGTGCGACGACAATGTAACTATCTTCTACCCTATGCATGGCCGAATGGTCGGTAAAACTGCCGCCAAAGAGGTCATAGCTAGGTTTAAAACAGAACCCGTGAGCTGGGCTATCCGATATGCTAACAGCAGCAACTCAACCCAGGCATTTCCAGACGTTTCGTTTCGATTGCTTTCCCCGTTTCCTCTAATTGCCGAAAGCGATTACGTAGTTGCACGGTGGTTCGGTGGGGGGAAGCATACTGGGCCGGCATTCTACGAATTGCCTGTTGGAAGTCTGCCTGTACCCAATACTGGCAAAGAAATGCGATTTTCTGGAACTACAATCTATAGGCTACAGAATGGTAAAATCATAGAAGAGACGGGTGAAGAGTCTGGCCTGGTGGCGCTGCAACAGCTGGGTTTGATTAAAATGAATGATGGTTTTGCTCCATGAGCATGAGCTCCCATCTACGCCACGTGTTTTCGTGGCGTATTAACGTTGGGTTCATAATTGCTTGTGTAGAAATGTCAACATATTATGTCATTAAATATACATAATATACTAATCCGGCTAATAACTCATTTACTTTTTCATGTCCGATGCGCTGCAAAAGTTCTGCGAACCTCGCAACAAAGAAAGCGCTGTGGTCGATTCGCTTGCTCCTTGATGCCGCGATAAAGTAAACCCATGTTAAAGAATGTTCCCCCAATGCGTACGGGGGTACCTTGGTCACAGTCGCTTGGAGTCGGTCCAGCAGTTTATTAAGCTCGTCTGAAGATGAATTTGAGTCTGTATTGCTGCTCTCGAGGGGAGAACTGGACGCCGGCAGTGCATATATATAACATGTTTGTGCTACTGCACTCTCTATTGCGGAGAAGACTTCGAAGAGATCTTTTTGGTTGAGCGACAAGGGTTGCCTTCCATCTGCAGCTAGGCTCTCTTTGCTTATAATCTTGTTGAATTGGTAAAGGGGGCAAACAATTGCTTTTAATCTTTCATCGGACAAAAACATATTTGTTAGTCAAGATCCTAAAAAAAAGAGACATATCGATTGAGGCGTACAATTGGACTTGGTCGAGTAAGAATTTAAGCGTTGCTTTCTCGCCTGGATCAGTGCTGAAAGGGCTATCCTTGTGAATCCAGAACTCGGCAAGCTTTAGCAAAGCAGGGCATTCTCTATGGCCACATATCATGTCATCGATCATCAAGCCTAGGATGGTAGCGAGAGGCGCGCAAGAGTCTGTCTCTGGTTGTGCTGAGACGTGCCGCAGTTCGGCAATTGCGGTTGACCTATACCTAAGTCTATCGACCATAGTCTTTGCCCCTTGGGCAATCTGGATGTGGCTTGCAGATGCTGCCAAAAAAGCGCTTCTGACCATTGGGTTATTGAATGCTAGTGGCAGAATGTGTTTGACATATCCTTGGGTAGTTGACTCAGTGACATCCAGTGTCGGGATGATATTCTCATAGACTAGATGAAAAAGAAGCAGATGGTTAGCGAACAAACCGAGCATAGAGAATGCTGCATGATCTCTTACAATTTCGCAAGAGAAATTCCTCTGAGGCATCCTCGATGTTGATGTGTGGCAGCATGTGCAAGCTAGGATATACCATTGGCTGCTGTTGGTATGCTTGCCATTGATATTCATTGCTCAAGATTAGAGAAGCGTCGGTGGAGGTTACATTCACCGCTTGGTTCGGATTCGAAACCGACCACAGGAATATACCAGGACCAAACTGTGAGAGCTGATAGATGTTTAATGCTGGTGCATCTGTTGTGGCAACCAAAGCCATTACACATCTCTTCCAATTGGTGGCTATCCCATTCAGCCTTTCGCCTTCTGCTCGGAGACGCTGGACTTCCTGTTCGAGAGCATTCATATAATCCTTTGTCCTTTGTCTGTGGCTTCTATAAGATTGTTAGGTTTATCCCAGACATTTCATCCAGAGTCAACTTCAAACATGCCTCTGTGCTCGTAAAATCTGCTGCTTTCTCCTCTTGGGAGGCTGGCCCTTCTCGGGAGCGGCACCGGCGACAATTCCATCATCAGGCACCAACGGTGGCGAGAATGAGAATGTGCCGAGAATATTTCTCTGCCGACTTTTAATAGAATTATACGAATTTGCGTTTTCCATCTTGACCAAAGCTTGTTTTGGTCTGATGTCGCCGCTGGGTTTGCCTTCATAGATGAACATCAGACAATCGGTTTATTTGCTCTCTGGGCTAGTCATGTGATTTAGGCGCAGAGGTTGTTTTGTATTGTCAGCTGTTACTAAGTAGCTATGTTTCGGCAGTTGTTCTGTTTAATTACTGTGATTATCGGTTAAGAATAATAGCAGAGGGTATTGTTAGAGATATTTGCGTCCTGCAGGCATTACCGTCAAAGTAGGTAGTCCTAGAGTGCTGCATAAAGATAGGATGTGTGGATCATATAACTAAGTTGAGAAATCGAGTCAGGGATGGCATCAAAGATGCAGGGTCAACCTTTGCAGGGAGCAAAATACGTGAGACACACTGTGCGACTCAAGGCAATTCGGATGACAAATGCGCGTTGCCCGAATAGGTAGCTTCACGGAATCAATGAGAGCGTCTATTCCGGGTGGCATGGCTAGGGAGAGAAACGGCTGGCATTAATCAGCCCATAGTACTAGATTTAAAATCGGAGAGCTCCAGTATACTATGCCTGTATATAATCCTGTTAGTTCTACAGGCTAACTTCTGACGTCGACTCGTCGACAGTGAGAGAAATTTGTTTTCTCCATGGCGCCCCGGGCCTCTTTCCCCGTTTTCTACTACTACTCCGTCATATTTCTTATTGTGGCACGATCCCTATTGTTGCAGTCACCAGAGTGTCTCCCTGCATGGCAGCCTCCATAGTCATAGCAGCTGCTTGCCGCTTCTTACCAAACCGACTCGAGGCCATTGACGCCCGACGGCTTGTCCGCCTGACTTGTCAGTCGGACGCCGTGGCGGAGGCCCTCCTGTGGGTTATGGTGGTCAAAGTCTGAGATGGCTGTGTGCGCAGTTACGCGGTTATCCCAGAGCGCAACCGTACCCTCCTCCCACTTGACCCGAACTTGGAAGTCTTGCCCGAGCGCGATGTGCTATAGATTGAAGGTTAACAGTTAGTGACATGAAAACACGTAGCATGCATCGGCAGTGCGGGGGGTCGACGCTTACATTAAACAGTAGCTGCAGAAGGGCATCTGACTCTTCATGTTGAAGGCCAATGATGCGCTTCGTGAACCCTTTATTGACAAACAAGGCTTTTTCTCCGGTGGCCTGCAAATAAACCCATGCTTAGCATCGTACTCCGTTGTATCACAGATGGTCCAATAGGTTTTATGTTGTAATACTAGAAACAGTGCTAATATACTCACCGGATGGACCCTCACAATGGGATGTTCACTCTTCACGGGTTCCCGTCTAACGTGCTTCCCGTCTCGTCGTGCATTGTCTGCTTGGTTAAAGCCACTATGCTCAGCCCGCAGGCCTTCTAGCAGCGCCTTGATTGGTTTCGACAAGCGGGCGTATGCTGCAGTCTGTGATGCCCAGGCGGTATCGCCTCCGGTTGGTGGGACAGATAGTAGAGTGAGGATGGTAATACCCGGTGGCTGATGTTCATAAGAAACATCCGAATGGTACCCTGTAGTGGTCAGTCTTTCTCTTCGCTGGCGTGCTCGATATTCGTTATCAGGGCCTAGATAGATATTGTGAAACTCGAGATGGTCCTTGACGTGAGCTCCAACGGGCTGGGGGACTGGTTAGTGTTGCTATATCCACCGCTATGTACATATATGCGTATGTATTTGTGTAGGTAATTCTGCTCACATGAACATGCAATGGCCCAAAATATCTCGCAAAGTCCATCTGCCTGTCTGGGCCAATGTCTTTGAAGTCTTGATCGCGGAAGATGACCACTCCCCTCTCAGCAATGAGCAGGGCAAGCTCATTCTTCTGAGTATCGTTCAATTGAGAAAGTTGTAGGCCTCGAATTTCGGTACCAATAACTGGAGTGAGTTTGGAGACCTTGAGCTCAGAGTTGCTGTTAGAAAGGAGAGCAGACTTGGCTTTGTCTGCTCCTAGTCCGCGATCCTTGAACTCGAATGGCTGGATCGCTTCAAAGCGAGTCTCTTCGTCGTAGACAGGGAGATATTGATGATATTGATACTTTGGTTAAACGAATTAGGTAACATATTACTTTTGCGTCTACATGTTTTTGGCGGTTTACCTGCTGATGGATAGCATCATCGTATGCCAGTGTGAGCCTCCCGACTTCAGCGCCTGACTTTGTTATTGTCTTCGTAGTCGACATTCTTTAAGCTGGTGTTTCAACAAATACGCCTTCTGACTAAATGGATTCCGTGAAAGCCTATATACAGACTAATATTTCAAGCCTCTGACGTTTTTAATTGCGCTACACTTCGTATTAAATATATCTAGCATGTGCACGATATTGATAGCGTTTGCTCCTCTACATTCGGAATATCGGCACCTTGCACCAAAATTTCTCTCGATGGCGGCATCCCCAGCTTAAATCGTGATCGATCAGCTATATGGTGAACTGCGGGGTTTGGCGGTTACGGAGAGTATGTAAACGGTTAAGCTATATATGTTGCATACCTATGATGAGCACGCCTTGCAGCGGTCAAATATGGTAATCGTGGGGGGATGTTGCGACTTCAGAACCAGATCTTGATAAGATTGATAGTGGGCTTTACTTTGAGGGTCCTGTTGAAAGAAATGAGATGTGACAATTCTTATTAGGAGCTACATAAATGCTTGCGACACTATTGAGCAACTGATGTTATCACTGGCATGATGAGCGCCGTCGGATAAATCTGATTCGTGAGTCGTGATTTAACCCAAGATGACGACAGCGGGATACGCCGCAAACTGACCAACGATTACTAATATAGTGTGCAGACGACGGATTCAAATGTGTGTACAGGATAAAATAGGCATCCGATCTTCATCTTGTTAGTTAATTGGATTGCTAAGAAAAAGGTATACCAAGTGGGTGTTGCAGCATTGAAGCATTGGTGCAATTTAGATCACGTTAGTTTGTTAGGTAATGTATATAAGAAGAACAATAAGGATTTACAAAGATGAACAGGAACTAGTTTCAGCTAGAAATTAAACAGCGACAGTTTTTTTCCTCGATAATGAAGCTATTATTCGTAATTCGAATATTGTTTACCGCAGCGACTGCCTCAGCTCGAGATCTCTAGGTTTATTGCCAAGCCTGCCACTGTCTGCCATTAGTAGCTCATACGCTACAGAATTTTCCATGGGCAGCACTAGAATTTGATCGCGAAACACTATTTCCTCATAGAGAACCTCCCCGCCGTTACATTGTTTATTCAAACATCTGCCAATTTCGAGTGGCTATAAATAATTCAACGTTTAAGTTTAGATACGATGAAGACCGATCTGTATATTTGTGAAGAATGAAAATGATTGTCTTTAATTAGGTAAATGGACATATGATTGTACCGCTTGTAAGACCGAACGTATATAGTATTTTAGGTTTCTCCTTGTTATTTTACACTTAGCTATCACCTTACTCTTTCAATGTGTTTTGTAGCTAATATTTGAGCCTCTGTTGTACCCATTACTTATCACTATTGAGTAGAATCCTCCAATAAGTCATATAAGCTAGTGACACTTGTAAGAGAACAAATGTCCTAGTGTTTCTCGAGGCCATAAGCTACACTAAGTATGCTGCTTCTATGACCTAGCTTTTTTATGGGAAAATTTCCTTATTATTTAAATGGCGTCCAACTGAGTTACTATCCCAGAGATTTGCACGATTGGTCGCACCAAGCAACCAGATCCATCAGCTTGGGGTGCAAGATTCGCCTGCGAACTTCACTTATATATTTCGTTCCGCGCTAGCTAACAGCTGGATGGAATCTTGGCGGTTTTCTCCCTATCATTGTACACTTATGGAGAACGTAGATCTTGCATAACCGTCATGTAATCAGCGAAAGGCCAACATTCGAGATAGTATTTACGATAGTACGTATTCTAGCGGTTAAACGATTTGGAGATTCTACAGTAGTCCAGACATTGTCGTCGACATAAAAGTTGGACTGCAAGTTCACGTTGCATTGAGAATGGTCTCCTTCAACAATATTTTTGTGAACAATGATGACATTCGAATTGTCCCTTGTAACAATTTACGAGTTGCCATAGATAGACAATCTTGAAAATCTGACGTACTAGATAATGGGCACATTATCTGCTGGGTTATCCCACAGCAATGTTATTTTTATTTTCACTCCAAATAGCTCGGGCATCCAGTTTAGGAGATAGCAGGCAGTAAAGGATTCACAATAAAACTACTCTTAAATGTCATAGATCTGTTGTTTTCATATAACAGGGCAAGTACAGCATAACGCCGGAAGGTATCTATATAAAGCAATAAATCGAGGGCCATGGGTTTGAACAACCAATAGCAAGGTGAGAGTATAGGAACTAACCGTTTTGATCAAACTGTCCACGTACAATATGTTGGCCCTTGATTTCCGCAAGATCCTGGTTTCGGTAAGAAGTTAATATGATGGATGGCTTCTTATGTAGAAAGATCGGGGCTAGGTACAAGCCGCCGTCTTCCATCTTCGACTGAGATTAGCCTGGTTAGGATCCGGGCCTCCGAGGATCCGAGCCTAGTATCTACTAGGTAGTGGACTGTATTATTCAGCTATTCATTATTCGCACTTTGCTACCGGCATCAAATTTGGCAAAAGCTTCGGCGAAGTGCGCCGCTACTACTACCTAGGTAGATGCACTACCTTAATAGCACGGTCGATCTACTGGTAGTTTACCACGAACAAAGAAGCGCATGGCAGCTGGGTGGAGTCTCGCATGCCTTGTTTACCCAGAGAGATACTCATTACATGCTAGATGGAGCATACGCTACATTTATTATCAGGCACCTTCGCGAAATATGGACAACCCTTTACAAGTAGTATGGGATCTAAATTTTCCATTACAATCCTTGTCGTAGACTATTAGCAAAGACGTAAAACGATGTAAGCGATAATTTTATCAATATAATACATACATAAAATATTCGTTGATGACGCAGCGTCCGCGATATCCCGTACTCAGATACAAACAGCAGAGATGGGAGTGAATAGTGAAGTATAAGAGTATATCAATCAACTAATGATACAAATATAACCAACATGGCTTAGATAGAAGGGAACCAATTGTTACCGCTTGAAGAATCATGTTTCTCAAGTTCCATCTCGATGCGAAGAGACCTCAGTCCAGTTTAATGCGCAACATCATGTAGAACAGGAAGACTCAGCATCAACTCGGACACCAACAAAAGAAGGTCAGAATCACAACGTGCACAGCAAAGTGATGAACGCAAATGGGGAATTCAAGTCCGGGTTTCTGTCAATGGGTGGAGGAGAGCCCTATCCTCCAGAACTGCTTGGAGAAAATGAAGCGTATCTGGTCGACTTTGATGGGCCGGATGATCCTGCCCATCCGCAGAATTGGCCAATGAATACCAGGTCAGTGAGAAGAATGCAACGCCGCAGCCTGATTTAACACATACAGGATAATAGTGCATGTTGCAATAAGTTACAGCACTTTCTCAATCTCTTTCGTCAGCGCCATACATTCACCTGCTGTTCCAACAATCGCAAGAGAATTCCACGTCTCTTCCGAAGTCGCAATATTAGTCATCTCATTATACATCCTTAGATTCGTGTTTGGCTGTGTGAAGAATCATACCTTGAAATTATTCCCAGAAATCTTGAACGTCTGTTCATATTGTTCATTGGCCGTCGAATACCCCTTGTCGTTGCTTGTTTCGGGTGTATGATCTTCCATATGTACCAGTCGCATTATTTAAAGACCTTCAAAGTGTCATGATAAATTCTTCTTTGTAGGATCTTTCGGAGTGGCTTTTTGGTTATAAGTGGCGCTATTTGTGCGAATCTTTTTGACAATAAGACCCAAGGGCTTGCAGTAAGGCCGATTAATCACAAAGATCCTTTTAGAGCTGATAAAGGCTCAAATCACAGTTTTCACTCTCTGTGTCTTCATCTAGCCCATAGTTGCTCCCTTTATTGACGGCTTCATTGTGACAAGCTATCTAGGTTGGCGTTGGACGCAATATATTGCAGGCATCATGTGCGCTTTGGCGTTCATCATCCTCAGCGTATTTTTTCTCCACAAGTCGTACACTCCAGTTGTCTTAACGAATAAAGCAAGGAGACTGTGATAGCAAACGAAGAATTGGACTATCCATCCGAAGTTGGGAGAGACGGAAATTAGTTTGAAGGATGTACTCCACCGCTGCTTTCTATGGCCTCTTCATATGCTCGTTGTTGAGCCAATCGTTTTCCTTATGAGGTATGTGCATTAAAGATACGCCTGCCCTCGCTCGATAGCATGCGAATTACTAATCATTGGGATTTAGTCTTTACGCGGCATTCATTTACGGACTTCTCCATCTATCCTCTTTCAGGGCTTTTATAAAATGAGACCTGGTGTATGCGGGCTCCCTGAATTGAGCGCCGTTCTGGACTGTATGATCACTCGTGTAGTAATGATACTTCGGGCGCCGAGCTACCATCACAAGCTGGAGGCAAACAACGGTGTTGCGATACCAAAATGGCGACTACCAGAAGCCATGGTTGGCGGATCTTTTTTGCAAGTGGCTTATTCTGGCTTGGTTGGTCAGGCTATCGGGAAGAAGTCCACTGGATCGTGCCAATCATTGGAGGCGCGGTCACTAGATTTGACATTTCTCTAGTCTTTCTACAGACATTCAATTATCTAATTGATGCGTATACCGTGGTGAGTATCAATGTCGTTAATTTCTATCGTCCAAGCCCAAGCTACCGCCACTAACAAATTAAGCAGCTCGCAGCATCAGTGCTTGTACCAAGTGTTTCTCTGTGTTCGATATTCGGCGCCGTGTTTCCTCTATTTACATCCTACATGTTCAAAGGCATTAGCGTTCAGTAGTCTCTTACGCAATTAGGATGCGTCACTTCATTGTTTGCGCTTGTGCCATTTGTATTAAACTACAAGGGTGTACAAATCCGCAAAATCAGTAAGTATATCCAAAACAAAATCAACAGCCTGCAGCTCTTCCAGAACCTGCTACTGCTAGGAATAGTCAAGAGAAGCAGATGCGGCATTTCTCTCACTTCCCAAACATAATGATATAGACCGGGATATGGCGAAATTTATAAAGAAGCGGAAAGGTCATATAGACATATATGCCCAGGACTTTCCCACGACTTAAAAGGTCTTTTAACGCACAGGACAGAAAAGTCGGCGATGTTTTTCATAGAACTAGAAAGCATATTATATAATACAACTTTTTCGGGATCTGCCATGTTTAGACATAATGCTAGAAACGCTTTGACAAAGTAACGTTCTTACTTTTGCAACCACATCGGAAAATGAGAACAGTGTATGGAGTGTGCAATCGGTCATCTCGTCAAACGAATCTTTTACCATCACTTGCCATCTAGTTGTGGCAATCGCAGTTGAAGAGCCTCCCGTCAACTTACATAGCAACACAAGAAAAAAAAAACCTCAGCAAAGAAGCAATTTCAGCGCCACAACCCTCTACCTTCTAAATTCCCATACTTTGCCGGCAACATCCACGCCCGATCGATGCGGGAACACGGAACGAGCAGGTGGGGTAATGGAGACAATAGCGGATCGATCCCGCTCAGCGACAAACGATGACGTTTTGGTCGTGGAGCTGGGGGTGGCATCGCGACCGCGAGTAGAAAGCGGGGATAAGGTGACGGGCATAACTGCAAGTAAGCCATTGCAATCAAAGCACAACAGGAGATGAAGTGCGAGATTCGCATTGTTTATAAGCACTCGTAGGTGGGTTAGACTCTGTGTGCGTTGCCCAGCTGCACTTACACGCGGTGTTTGGTAATTGATTGGCCAGCCCATGCTACTGAATGCTTGACTTTTAATACCTGCTAGACAGAAACTTGCTAAATGCTTGATCCGCAAACCACGACATGACATCATAATCTCTTCACCACAAGCTGTCTCGGTCCCTCTCGGTGCCTCTTGTCTCTCCAGTGAAGTCCACCCCCTCGTTATCATCCAGTCGTTTTCTAGAAGCAGAATTCTTGGCTATTCCCACGTATCCACTCAGGGCGACGCCACGGAATCTCGAACGAATCCCATCGCGTGCCTTGCCTGCAGAGGAGAGCAAGATGAGGAGAGAAGAGCGTGACAAAAAGTGGCTTTGATCGCCATAAAACCCGCATCCGGCTCAGTCGCCAGTATATATACTATAGAGATATCTCGTCAGCAGCCACGTCCTTCTCTGTCCGCTCACCTCCCGCAGTTCATCAAAACCCATTAGCACTCGTGAATATCATATCCATCGTCTTGCCCGCCATGCCTCAGCCTATCCCTACAGCCAGCCATCTTCTTGACCTCTTCAGCTTGAAGGGCAAGGTCGTCGTCGTCACCGGGGCTTCCGGGCCTCGTGGTATGGGAATTGAGGCCGCGCGTGGTTGCGCCGAGATGGGCGCTGATCTTGCCATCACATATGCATCGCGCAAAGAGGGCGCGGAGAAGAATGCGGCTGATCTGAGCAAGGAATACGGCGTCAAGGTCAAGGTATACAAAGTCAACCAGAGCGACTACAACGACGTCGAGCGCTTTGTGAACCAGGTCGTTTCTGATTTTGGCAAGATTGACGCCTTCATTGCCAAGTAAGCTCTCCATGGGTCATCCCCACCTGTTGGAACAGTTAGATACTGACCATCTTCTTCCCAGTGCTGGTGCCACAGCCAACAGTGGCGTTGTCGACGGCAGTTCTAGTGATTGGGACCATGTTATCCAAGTCGATCTTAGTGGTACTGCATACTGCGCAAAGGCCGTTGGTGCGCACTTCAAGAAGCAAGGTCATGGCTCCCTTGTAATCACAGCCTCAATGTCCGGCCATGTCGCAAACTACCCTCAGGAACAGACTTCATACAACGTTGCGAAGGCAGGCTGCATCCATCTGGCGCGCTCGCTGGCCAACGAATGGCGCGACTTCGCCCGTGTCAACAGCATCTCGCCAGGCTACATTGATACAGGCCTGTCGGATTTCATCGACGCCAAGACGCAAGAGCTATGGCGAAGCATGATCCCTATGGGACGCAATGGCGATGCCAAAGAGCTCAAGGGTGCATATGTCTATCTCGTCAGCGATGCTAGTTCGTATACTACGGGAGCTGATATTGTAATTGATGGAGGCTATACCACTCGATGAAAAAGCTTTATTTTATTTTCCGTATTACCAAAACCCTTTGTAATGAGCCTAACTGTACCATAATGATGACTCAATAAAAGAAAAAATATTCAACAAAATTAAATTGACTCGCCCTCACAAGTAGCTCACCGATTTTAGATAGAAATAGCGGACCTCAATCAGCTCAGCCCTCAATGCAAATAGTACTAGTTAGTGCCTACCCTTGGATTCTTGGTCTCATTTCGGCGCGAGGAGATTCTGCGAGGAGCCATCGCAGCTACGGGTATGCTAAAAGTATTCATGGCCCGATGCCAGGGTTTGACATTTAGCCGTCGCTGAACTGCCGTTGGCAAATTACGCTACAATACAGGGATCAGAAACGCCGGGGAGTAAAGGTATACACGGCTGGAATCACCCTCAGTAGTAAATTCAGGCAGGCAGTAAGAAGAATTATACCAAAGCGCTGCAAGAAGCAGTGCGTACTACTGCCATCAACTCGTAAATGTCTTAGAGGCATTAAACTAAATTATCAGACATCAGCTTGGATAGGGGTCGAGAACGTCGTTCTATTCTCGTCGTCCCTTCTCAACGAACCCCTTGCGTTTCTATGTAATTTCTCATCCACTTCTTCCCCGCGATCTGCCCGTGGCATTCCCCCACCGACGGGGCTGTGGTCCCGGCATGGCTATTGCCAGAAGTACCCAACAGTAGTGTGGTTGCCTTTTTCTAGCTTGATTGCGGCGTGTGGCTCTCGGGATTTAGCGCAAGTGCCGTCTAATACTTGGGATCCATGGGAAGCTGCTGCTAACACTTCCGCCGGAGTATGGAGCAATGCCGGAGAAGAAGGCGCGGTGTTCAAATACGAGAGAATGGAGATAACTTTCAGATTTCAAGTTGAAATGGGTTTATGTGAATGCGTTAAAGGTGTTTATTAAGCAAAAGCAAAGCGTCAGAGTAACCATATCGGTTAACTTTGATGCATACCGCGTCTTTCTTGTAGCTTGCCCTATCAACAAATCCTTCTTTTCTGGCCCTTTTCCTGAATACCCCTTTCATATGCTCTTACCCCCGACGCCCGACGGTTCAAAAGGCTCTTCGCAAGTGCGGATCCTGACAGTGGCATTCGCATCCCTCATAGCTACCTGCCTACTTATGTTCCTCCTACTTAAATATACTTTCCTTACACAGGGAAACAACAACAAACAACTTGGCCCTTGCACGCTCACGGCGAGATCGGATGAGCTTGCGGATTACCGCGTCGAATCGTTATCCACCTCCCTAAATGATCGAGACATTTAATATCCTGTACGCGATAACATGACTATCGGGTAACATTGGCTGTGGATAGATACTACTCCTAATCCCTAGTTTCTGCGGCCGAAGCCTGTCGTGAAGCCATTGCATGGCGTAGCTATTGGCCGAAAGGTCATCAACTCCAGTTCGCAAGGTTTGCAAGTATGCCTATGTATGCATATCGGATGAGCATCGCGATCCACAAATGAGGGGGAATCGTAGTTCTATGTAACCATATTCGAGCTATGGTACACAATACCGGACTTTAGACAGGGGTTCATCTCTGTGGGTCTCAAACCATTGCCTGTGCACTAGGAAGACTCGCTGGAAGATGATATCATGAACCTCCAACCTCTTCCATGGTCGTTAGCCTCATCCTAGCCACAGAAGTCTCCGCCAGCTTCGCTGTTTTGACTAAGAAGCCCTTTTGCTGGACCAACAACATGCGATTTTTGAAGGAATACCGACGGATATTTCCAGCTGCTACAATATACACAACCATGGACAGAACGGTATTCCCCGGGAACCAACGGGCATTGTTCAGTGCCTTGATGCTCAGCGTGACATGGTGTCTTGAACCTGCAGCAAGCGTTCCCACTTCAAAATAGTATTATCAATGGCAATGTTGTATTACCCGAAACTCCCCCCGCCATGTTTATGCTTGATGGTCTCATCGAGCTACGGGGAAGAATAATAATCTTGGCAGAATACTCCCCTACGAGATGCAAATGTCTTAGGCTTATTCAGTTGGGCAAAGATGGTAGTGAGATATCCAACAAAGGGAGGCTGGGCATACTACATAAACGGCAATATCCGCAGCATGAATCTCTGATGCTACCCGCAGGGCCGGCTATCGATTTTGCTTCTCATCTTGGAACGAAGTTAATAGTACTTCCCGAGGCGGCTCGAGGGTTCCCTCCCTGTTTTCATGCCCCTTGATTACCTCTTGCTCTGGTTTTATAAACTCTAATTATTCTACCCATAACAAACCATATCAATAAGTTTCTCTGGGTACATTGATACATCAACAACGACATGTATATCCAGCAACTCGTGGCCTACTGGCCATTGCTGGTTGGGCTGAGCCAAGCAGCGGATCAGCAATCTTCTTTCGATGTACTTGAATATATCGACCCGTTAATTGGCACTGCGAATGGAGGTAAGAGTTTACGCTTCTAATGATATACAATTGTTCCCCTTTTTAATTTGTATTACAGGACATGTCTTCCCAGGCGCAACTCTCCCCTGTGAGTATATTGTGCTAAACAAAAGTAGAGACTATTTTAACAAATGCGGTTTAAGATGGCATGGCAAAAAGTGTAGCGGATGGTAATGAGGAGATTCAGGGAGGTTATGCCTCGAACGATGGCCTAAGTACGCATCTTACAGCACATCGCCGAAAGAAGATTTTCCAGGATTAACCAATATCTATAGTTACTGGCTTCTCTCACATGCACGATAGTGGAACAGGTGGTGTAAGTTCATAACCGCCTACTTGCAGAGACGGGGATAATGCTAATGGCTACCTCCCACAGGGCGCATCGCTGGGAAACTTCCCTCTTTTTGCCCAGACTGGTTGTCTAAACGACGACATCAACAACTGCTACTACCCTTCAACATTGAGAGCCTCAGCAAAAATAAATGAAACGGTTGTGGCCAAGCCGGGTTACTTTGCAATTCAGCTCAATACGTCAGTCAAAGCTGAAATGACAGTCACAAACCACACAGCGCTGTACAGATTCACATTTCCGACGGACGGCACTCCAACCAAGATCCCTTCTAATGGGACAACGCCTTATAGCCCTCTGATTCTAGCCGATTTGGCTGATCTTTCTGGTTCCAGAACTGATGCAATCATCTCCGTTGATGCCAACACAGGCCGTATATCCGGCAACGGCACCTTTAGGCCCTCTTTTGGTATTGGCAACTATAATCTCTATTTCTGTACAGATTTCCAAGGAGCGACGCTTCGAAACACGGGTATTTTTGTAAATAACCGTGCAGGTACAGACCGCAAGAGCTTCCGCACTTATGATGATGGCCAGAGCCCAATCTTGCCCGCTGGCGCTTGGGCTCAATTCCACCCCCCAGCCAACAATCAGATTCTGGCTCGAGTTGGACTCTCATTCATTAGCACCGCGCAAGCCTGCAGCAACGCGGAGAAGGAAATTCCCAACTTTGACTTTGAATCTGTGAGAGCCGATGCCGAGGATGCGTGGCGCAAGAAGCTTAGCACTATCAAGGTTGACAACACGGGTATCAGCGACTCTCTCCAAAGGACATTCTGGAGTGGCATCTATCGCACGCTCATTTCTCCACAAGATTATACTGGTATGAAGGCATATTTTTCAGTCAGATGAATTGCATTATTTCTAACGCCGATTCTAGGCGAAAACCCCCTCTGGAAGAGCAGTGAGCCATACTTTGACTCATATTACTGCATCTGGGACAGCTTCCGAAGCACACACCCCTTGCTTACCCTGGTCGATCCCCATGCTCAAGCCTTGATGATTCGCAGTCTCATCGATATATACCGCCATGAGGGCAAACTTCCTGACTGCCGCATGTCTCTCTGCAAGGGCTTTACTCAAGGTGGCAGCAACGCTGACAACCTGTTGGCGGACTCTTACTTGAAGGGTTTGACAGACGGCATCGACTGGGCTACTGGTTATGAGGCTGTCGTATCTGACGCTGAAGGTAATCCTTTTCCATTAATAACCTGCTCAAAGGAATTCATATGCTAACGTATCTGATTGAATAGTTGAAGGCCAAATTTGGACAGTCGAGGGCCGTGGTGGCTTGCAGAGCTGGAAAAATCTTGGCTACATTCCAACCGACGACTGGGACTTCAGTGGCTATGGACTCTTCACTCGTTCTATTTCACGAACTATTGAATACTCTTATAATGATTTCTGCATTGCAGAGATGGCTCGCGGTCTTGGAAAGCATGCAGACGCAGAAAAATATTTGAAGCGTTCCCGTAACTGGAAGAATATGTATGACCCGACCTCGCGGTCTAAGCTGAACTTGACTGGAACTCAAGACTACAATCTGTTCACCGATAGTGGATTCGAAGGCTTTTTGCAGCCGCGATATCTGAACGGTACCTTTGGTTTCCAAGAGCCTGCCATTTGTACTGACTTGTACAACTTCAATGGCTGTTATTTGAATCCTGGTGGCCACGAGACGTATGAAGCTGGCTCTTGGCTCTACACGTTTTACGTGCCTCACGACCAGGCTACACTAATCACAACACTAGGCGGTCCAGATGCATTCGTGCGTCGTCTTGAGTTTATGCACAACACTCCAGGCTTGTTTTATATAGGCGATGAACAAGCTTATCTTCTTGTCTATATCTTCCATTACGCCGGAAGACCAGGACTCTCCGCTGAATACTTGCACAGATACATCCCTAGCGCCTTCAACGACACCACTGCCGGCCTTCCAGGAAATGATGATTCGGGTGCCATGGGCAGCTTCACGGCACTTTCCATGATGGGCTTGTACCCCATGAGCGGACAGAACGTCTATCTTATTATCCCACCGTTCTTCCCCGAGGTCAGCTTCACCGACCCGCGATCCGGCAAGACAGCAACCATTCGCAACATCAACTTTGATGCTGGATATAGCAACATTTACATCCAGAGCGCCAAGTTAAACGGCAAGCCGTATAACAAGGCATGGGTAACCCACAGCTTCTTCCTTGACGGCGGGGTGCTTGAGTTGACTCTCGGGCCCCAAGAGAATACAAATTTTGGAACTGCCAAGGCAGATCTTCCGCCGAGTGCGTCAACGCACTTCTGGAGCTAGATAGAATCAAGAGACTAGCGCTACATAATGAATAACGTCGAATATTAATTACTTGAATTATTATGACAAAAGAAAATACCTTTTATCGTGCGCTTTTCCTATTCCGCTTCTCCATAGCTTGTGTGCTATTGAATATGATCTGCCTGCAATCTATAATATTACTGTTAAGATCCTCATAGCCGCCAGTCAATTCTCTAAACAATGTAATATGTGCTGATGCTCTTATACCATCCACGGGCCCATACTTGTGGTTCCGTATTTCTTCCAAAACTTTCCTCCCGATTTTCCTTTCCCCATTGCTTCATCCATCTCTACTTTTAATACAGGGTTAATTCCCTTTTGCCTCATCCTCTCTTGCTCTTTGAGTGGAATCTTGTGGACGGGATGGTCGCCTGGTAGCTCCGAAGTTTGCTCATCTATCTTGGGAGTTTTACCCCACTTAAGTCCGGCTTGAGCAGCCAATTGACAATTACTCTGTTCGTTTGTCTTTCCAGGTATTTTTTTCGAGGCTTTATTGGTAGAGAGAGGCATGGTGATCATTTGGTAGACTCGTGTAGTCTTCTGGAATATTTCGTCTTTCGTTCATGTGCCAACTAGGGGGCATTTATATACCCAAACATCCCAACTTCTTTGTTGCAATGACAAACTACCATGATCAACATTACATGCTTCTTCTATGACACAACATCATCTCCGCATTTATCTTTCGCTTCGCTTATACAACCCCCAGCCCTGTGGGGCTACGGATCCTTCAGTTCGCCTATTTCAGGGTCTAACAGGCGTCAGGTCCTACGATTGTCACTAAGCCACGTCCTATGACCAATACATCATAATCTTCAGCGATGACCCACAGAAGCAAGAGGCTTAGATGAAAACACAATTGATAAAATTACTAAGCTTGTTTAATATGTGCTTTTGTTTTAACTGATTAACATTGATAATGCAACGCTAGGTATCTATGCTTGCGCCTTAAGTGCAGTAAACTGTTCGCTGAAAGGAAAGTCGTGAAAGCCTTTATCCTGCTGGGCAGCGAAAAACGTCTCTCTCTGGTACGGCGTCAGAGGAATTCCCTGTTGGAACCGGAACGGCAGATCTGGGTTGGAAGTATAAGGTCGACCAATTGCAATAACGATGTCGTAGTCCTTGTACTCCTCGTCAACGGCCTTTTTGCTAGACTCGAGCTGGAATCCTCCGGCTACAAGAACAGGGCTGGTATTGGCATAGGCTTTGATAACTGGCGTAATGTCATTGCCCTTCTCGCGAGACTCAACCAAGTGTACATAAGCCAGCTTGTAAGGCTTCAACTGCTCGGCAATATACTCGTATTGGGGAATCGGGTCATAGGTAATATCTCCCATAAAGTCGGCAAATGGGCTGAAGCGGATTCCAGTCCGGTCTGCGCCGATAGCTCCAACAACTGCCTTGGTTACCTCCAGCGTAAAACGTGCCCGGTTCTCAATGCTTCCACCCCATTGATCGGTTCGCTTGTTGGTAAGCTCTTGGATGAATTGTTCAAGCAGGTAGCCGTTGGCGGCGTGGATCTCTACGCCATCAAATCCGGCGGCAACAGCGTTCTTGGCTGCTTGTGTATAGTCCTCAATGTACTGAAGAATCTCCTCATGTCTGAGGGGACGTGGCTTAATAGCAGCATCAGGAGACTCTGGTATATCGCTAGCACCAACAAGATCTGAGTTGCTTTCCTTCTTCAAAATCTCCGCGTCGGCAGAACGTCCTAGAGCCCATAGCTGTAGGTAGATGTACGATCCTTGCTTATGAACAGCATCAACAACCTCTTTCCAAGCATCAATCTGCTCTTGCGTGTAGATTCCAGGAACATTTGCGTAGCCACCAGCTTGTTGAGAAATGAACGTGGCCTCGGTGATAGACAGCGAGCCGGGAACAGCTCCCCTCTGTGCGTAGTATTCCTTCACTGTAGGCAGAGGAACATGGTTATCGTCGGCTCTGTATCGGGTCATGGGCGCCATGGCAATTCGGTGAGCGAGCTCACTGCGGCCCACCTTAAGAGGAGTGAAAAGTTTTGACATATTGACGGTAGTTTTGCTTAATTGTCCTATCACTGCAGTAGGAGAATTGAGAGTTTTGAACAGACGGGAGGCTCCGCCTTCTTATCAATATTCTTCTGAGCCCCAACTCCGTCCCTTGATGGTGCTATCCTACTCAAACAAGCTAGTAGTAGTATTCATTGCGCCATTATAGAGATTATAAATCCGAACCCCACCATCGAGCTGCGGGCAGTATTGTATATTTCTTTGGACATCTATAACTAACTATCCGGCATTCGGCACCGTTCGATGTTTAGCTAATCATCGAAAATAACCTTTATTAGTACGTTATGTGAGCCAGAGCGGATACAGCAGGTCGCCTTGAATGTAAAAATGGGATTCGGTCATCCAAGCCATGGAATGGCGCTGCATTGGCACTAAAGTTCCATGCAGACTTCATGACTCAGGCCGAAGCTAGAAGGGATTTTTGCGACGGATTTCACCCCCACTGGTTGACTGGCAGTTATGGGAAGCTCTCAGTGAGAAATATCCATAGAATTCCACACGGTTACTTCTATCAGCAGCCGAGGCTAAACTATGATTTTCTCAGAGAGTACATAGGTTTCTATTTATTTCTAGCTTTGAACAACGCTAGGCACGAGGGATTCCAGTATACTCTGGCCTCTTGATTACCAAGATCGGGGCTAAGATACGCCGAATATTGAGGATTCTGTATAATCCAGCTAAGCGTTGTTGGGCCGCCTTACAAAGCGAGATAACCGAGGATATTGAGCCTGACAAATTACTCTGCAGATACGGCAAAATTGTCGATCGATCAGGCGGAGGCCAAGCATAATAAAGTCTCCATAACCATGGCTGTTTAACCGTTGCGTCTTACGATCAGTTCCCACGTGCCAAATTCCGCAACTCCACCTAGATGGAAAGCAGTGGCTCTTGCATTGAATGTGATCGGCTACAAGGTGAATTACTCAAGCAGTATCAGCCCTCTATTATGGTTCTTACTCAAAGACTTGACAACATAGTATGTTACAGATGTACATAGTATGTTACAGATGTCTATCAGACCAAGTTAGAACATATCCAGTATGACCTGTCGCAAACTATCACCCCACAAACTGAATAGGCTAATGTGGGTTGATATGCAGAAGCCAAAAACGGCGCCTAGCTAGTTTTATTCCGTCCAATGGAAGAAGACAAGCCTGTATATGGATTGATTGTCGTAGTATTCGACAACTGCTACATGTATTCTTCAGATTTAAATACAGATTTGTACTCCTATTCATACACAATGGGATGCATCTAATAGGACTTGACCCCTCCCCTAGACATATTGGAAATGAAGCGTGAGGTAGAGATATAGTATTCGAGCTATATAACATCCTGTAGCGTTAGAACAGCTTGCAGTAATACGTATGTGACAACCCACTACTATATCATACGGTTTCTTCTAAACTGCCCGGTGCTGGGCTTCCTTTACGCCCGCTATCAGGCACAGCAAAGTCTCCATAGTATTAGGGGGCATTGACAACATCTAGATAAAATCTTGTGCATCCGCTTATAGACATGACCAATAATATAACTTCGCGATCGGACTATTAGGCATAGTTCTAGATCGCGACGCACGACAACACTACAATTAAGTACTTTAAAGGGAAGTAAAGCCTATTGCTAGACCGCATGATAGCAGCAGCCGCCCCATCCGGCAGTTGTTATCAGCAACTGGGGTTGCCAAATCATCAACTACTGCAAACTCGACTTCCCATACTTCGTAGTTTGTAAGCCAGATTTTTCCCGTACTCCGCTCCAATTTAATCTTCTAGAGCAAATTTGCAGATGAAACTCCGCTGGAAGATCTCCGCTAAAGATCTCCCGCACGCTATAGATATGGGGCCCTGACTAGCCTGGCGCGACCGGCTATGCCGAGGCACGATTCATATACAGTATGTGCTCAATAGGGGGGAGAAAAAAAAATATTCAGATATAAAAGATTTCAGTTGAAGGACTTAGATGAAGAGCTCGTAGGTCCTATATGCAAACATAGTGCCAACCACACTATTAGCCAGCAAAGTCGGCCACCATGACAGTCTCCGAACTCAAAATCCAGGAGCCAATCACGCTCCCATGCGGTCTCACGCTCCCCAATCGGCTTTCCAAAGCCGCCATGGCTGAAAACTGGGCAGACAAGGAGTATCTTCCTAGTGAAAGCGTGCTCAAGTTGTATGAAACGTGGGCAGAGGGTGGATGGGGATCAGTCCTCACAGGCAATGTTCAAGTAGATGTGAGATATCTCGGCAGTACCTGGGATGTTAGCCCCGATGAGACCATCGACAGGGAGAGGACCCTCGCTTCATGGAAGAAATGGGCAAAGTCGAGCTCCAATAATGGCACTCCTATCATCATGCAAATCAACCACCCAGGACGGCAAAGCCCTGGCTCTACCGGCAAGAGGGGATTCTTTGAGAAGTCGATTGCTCCCAGCGCAATCCCGCTGCATTTAGGAGATGGCATTGTTGCCAAGCTCGCCTCTGCAATCAAGTTTGGCACACCAAAAGAGATGACGGTTGAGGATATTCAGCACGTTATTGCTCGTTTTGTTGAGACTGCCAAGCTGGCGGCTGAAGCGGGCTTCGCAGGCGTTGAGCTCCACGCGGCTCACGGTTATTTGTTGTCTCAGTTTCTGAACCCTGCGTCTAACCATCGCCAGGATGAGTTTGGCGGATCGCCCAGAGCACGAGCCAAGATCATTGTCGATATTATCAAGGCCGTAAAAGAGGCTGTTCCCAAGAGCTTCTGCGTCGGCATCAAGTTGAACAGTGCAGACTTCAGGAACAAAGAGCAGCTTGCGGCTTGCATCGAGCAGTTGGAAGATATCACAGGCGCCGGCGTCGACTTCCTTGAGATCAGCGGCGGTTCGTATGAAGACCCAGAGGTAAGTTTCAATTAAATCTCCATATGTTCTTTGCGTTCTGTGCCTGTATAGCGTCGCACAAAAAATTTTCTAACACTGGCCTTCAGATGATCCAAGGGCCAAAGTCAGCCAGCACTCTGTCTCGCGAAGCTTTCTTCCTTGACTTTGCAAAGGAGATCCGTGGGAGATTCAGACATGTTCCATTAATGGTAACGGGCGGCTTTCGCAGCCGTGAGGCTATGGAGAGCGCACTTCGAGAGGACGCGTGCGACATCGTTGGCATTGGTCGGCCTGCCGTGCTCAATCCCACTTTGCCCAAAAACTTGATCTTCAACAAGGAGGTAAAGAGCGAAGATGCGAAGGCATATGCCAGAAAAGCGCCGGATTTGCTGCTTCCAAAACTTCTGGGCATCAAGATTATGGCTGGAGGAGCTGAGACGGTAAGTAGTGTTTATGGAGCAATTTGCACCTGAATACGTTTACAACGAAAGATTCGCTAATTCAGATGATAGGATTGGTATATGAAGCAAATGCGGTCGATATAGACAGCGTTTCAATTCTTTCTTTTGTTAACCCGGCGCAAAGTGTATTTGTCATAGATGCTATATTAATCCCTAGAGTTATATAATCAAGACTTTTATTTATCCCTCCGAATTCAGTCCGTCTCACGCCGCGGCATATACTGCTACTTAAATCATGGTCCTACACAATGGCGTCATATTATCTGCGACCTCATTATGCAAGGTGTTCCGATTCAGCTTTCAATATTGTGACCCTACATTTTTAACAAAACCAGCATTGGTTGCCATATGACCAATAGTAACCCACATTAACTTCCAGATCTGTGCAACCAGCAGCTGAATCTGCGCAATAATTCCGCCATTTTAGCGCTAATTCTGGAGAGCCAAGATAGCCATTGGTAGCTCATGTTACGTGATGGAAGGCGTTGCGCAATTATGAAAGCTGGAAGGGTAGGGTTACATTGGAAGGAGGCTTACTCGCAAGGTTAACTGTATGCTTGGCGTCTAGTAAGCCTACTCACTTCCGAATGTAAATACTCTCCAATGGCATTTGCGGCAGGCGATTTTCTCGCTCACTTCGATTCTCAATTGCCCTGGTTCGAAAAATGAAAACTACTTTTTTGTCTGTCTTGGCTCTGTGCCTCATTGGCGCATCTGCAGCACCTGGACTCCAGGGACGGAGTCGTGGATTCGATGATGGAGAGCCCATCAGTCCAGATGGAAAGGGTGGCCCTTTTTCAGGTATGTTCCTTTCCCATACAGTGGTATTAATGTCCTAACAGAAGCTGCAAGGCGGCACCAACCATCAGCTGGACTTGCAAAATCCCAATAATCTGGGTGAGCAGTCCACGGACAACGGCGTTGTCCCAAACCTCAAATGGAGCTTCTCCGACTCTAGAACGCGTATCTTGAAAGGCGGTTGGGTTCGAGAGCAAGTTGTCACCGATCTTCCCTCAAGTCAAGATGTTGCTGGTGCTCAATTTCATCTGGAGAAGGGAGCTATTCGAGAGCTACACTGGCATCGAGTGGTAAGCAGAGGGAACAGCTTATGCTTTATCATTGGACTTGGGCTAACCACAGCAATCTAACATGAGAAATAGGCCGAATGGGGCTTCGTCTATGCTGGCCACGTAACTGTGTCGGCCGTCAACGAGAATGGCGGGTACGAGGTTGCAGAACTCGGCTACGGCGATATATGGTATTTCCCTAAGGGAGTTGCACACTCAGTACAGGGCCTTGATGATGAGAATGAATTCCTCCTAGTTTTCGATGACGGCGATTTTGATAAGATTGGGTGAGGCTCCCATTTCATATATATGCATGTTGTTTGACGAGCACGGCAAAGGCTAACATGGTCAAGCACCACTTTCCACGTCGACGACTGGATCGCTCATACCCCTCGCTCAGTTCTAGCAAAGAACTTTGGCGTTGATGAGTCTGTCTTCGACTCCATCCCTGCCGCTGACCCTTACATTATCAACGGGACGATTAGCACACATAACGTCACAGGAGCCTCTCCACCGCTCTCTGGCGATAGCTCCTTCGTCTATCGAACATTGCAGCACTCTCCTGAGAAGATCGGTGGGAGCGGCGGCGAGCTTCACAAGATCGATTCGACAAACTTCCCAATTAGCAAGACGATCGCTGCAGCATTGATAACGTTAAAACCTGGCGCTTTAAGAGAGTTGCACTGGCATCCAAACGTGAGTATCTTCTAGATTTCACAAATATTACCTACCCTCACTTTGAACAATGAACTCTACAATGAGATGAAGAAACAAAAGCATGAATTAACGTGCACATATACGCAGGCCGCGGAATGGCTCTACTTCCACAAAGGCACCGCTCAAGCCACCGTCTTCATCGGCAATGCCGCCGCCCGCACCTTCAACTTTCGCGCCGGTGACACGGCAGCATTCCCCGACAACTCGGGACACTACATCGAAAACACTTCAGATACGGAGGACCTCGTCTGGATCGAGATATACAAATCGGATCGCGTGGCCGATATTTCACTTACACAATGGCTCGCGCTGACCCCACCAGACATTGTTGCGCAGACGTTGAAGGTCCCCTTGGAGTTTGTGGAGAAGTTGAAAAAAGAGAAGCAAGTATTGATTCAATAAATAAATATCACAGTGTCTATAAATCTATGACGTTAAGAGACATTTTATCAAGAAAAAGACATTATATTCAAATCGTGTGCAGATTCATTCGTTAAAAACATAAAGGCTAATTTCTCTTTAATTCAATATATACATATTGCGTCAGGCCTGCTGTCTTCATCTCTGACAAGCCCACACCATTAATTTTATACACGGAAAAATAGACATCATCTTTATTTCTTAATCAGGACAATGGCTTCGGAGTCCTGAACAGTAAATGTAATGTTACCGTTGCTGTCAGCCTGGATAACCTTGTCCGACTCTTGGCTGGTAACACGCTGGGCCAGACCGTTGGAGTTAGCATCGTAGGAGAAGCCGTTGAAAGTAACGCCAGACTTGTCGGTAGCGCCAGCTGCAGTGAGACGCTGAGATTTCCAAGAAGTTCCAGCGCCGACCTGGACAGTGTAGGTCTGGTTGGGGCGGGTGCCAGAGCCAGAGTTGTACTGTCTCAAGTTAAGAACAGCGACGCGTCTCAGCTCGCCGTTGATGTAAGCGGCATATCCAGAATCCTTATCAGCATCCTTGTTTAAAGCAAGAGTCTGAACTTCGATGGCATTTGAGTTGGCCAAGAAGGTGCTGGCAGCCAGCTTGCCGTAGTACGGGGCATTGGTGTTGAGGGTGCCTGAAGGAACCCAGGCGGCATAAGGAGAGCCCACGGACTGGTGGAAGTGAATACGCTTGATAACACCAGTGGAAGCAGCATAGAGGGAGAACTCCATAGCCCAGAGAGCAGCTCCAAAGACGTCAGAGAGGCCAGAGGCACCACCGCCGTACAAGCTGTTGTGCTCGCCAATGATGTAGTCAGCACTGATGGTAGAGGTCTTGGCGTAGTTGACATGGTTGGTAATCGAGTTGACAACCGCAGTGTGGCTCATGAGGGTGCTCTGCAGAGTAACGCCAGGGCTTGTGGCGCCGCCCATGTAGTTGTGCACAGAGACCTGTGAGATCTTTGAGGTCGCGCTACTGCCTTCATCTGGGAAGATGGCGTTGATCTTCAACTTGGCGCCAGGGGAGCTCAAAGAAGGAGCAATGTACTTGATTCTGCCGCCCAAGGAGGGGCATGCAGTCTTGAGATAGCTCTCGAAGTGTTGAGTGGTGTTCACCCACTCGGCGGCGTAGTTGGCGGCGGTGTAGCTGCTGGGACGTCTGCTTCCAATGTACAGATCCGGCTCGTTTCCAACTTCCCAAAACTCAAGCTGGCCCTCAAGTGCTTTGCAAGCCAGAGGCACTGTCGACTTCAGAGTGGCCCATCCGGACGAGTTGTAGGCGCCCATGTTGAACTGATGAGAGTAGCGGGTGCCGGCAGGGAATCCGCCATAGGACTCGAAGAAGCTCTTTCCGATGCATTGCCATGCACCAGGGTCGGCCTTGGGGCAAGAGCTGGCTGTGGAGGTGGTCAAGGTAGAGTCGTAGATGGCACGATCACCAGAGTTTCCACCGACTCGAACGACAACTCCGCTACCTTGAAGGTCGGCCAAGTTTTGCATCAGATTGTGGGAGAAGGCATTGGGCTGGCTCCTGGTTCCTATAGAAGAACAAATATTCGAGTCAGCGCATGCACGTGTGCTTCAAAGACATTATCATGCAGATGCAACTCACCAGCAAAGGTAGGGAAGCCAATCAGCTCGAATGACAAGCTCACATATGAGTCGTAGAGACTCGCCGCCACCAATGACTGCGACAGCAGTATAGACGCAGGGACTGAGTATTTTACCATTGTGACTTTTCTCTCTGTATCTCTCTTTTTACCAGATTACACAAACAATCAATTTGTCTAGACAAGCCTTCACGACCAGGTTCAGCAAACAAAGAGCTCTCCCCAGTCCCATATATATGCCGTCAGCGATGCTACGCTGTCCAGGCACCTCGACTCCTGAGTCCCTGGATCTCATGCAGGACGTCCATCTGATGACAGAACTACATAGAGAGCTACCGGACCCAAGATCAGTTAATCCATCTATAGGAACAATTCTCTGCTGCCCGCCGTCGAACGACTTTGCCTGTTTCAGCAGGAGGGAATTCGCTGGCGGCTTTGTTCAGCGAGCAGGGATTATCGGTCCTACCCTTGCTCGTCCCCCACAACATTGAGGCGCAAAGCCTGTAATAGTGCTGATGTCGCTGTCTCCGGATAGAATTTCCCGGTAATGCCATTGACGAGAATAAACAATATGGAGTAGAAATCCGAGTTATTACGTGTGTGCCATTGTGTGCCATTGTGTGCGTACTAGCAATGGCACTTATTCTGGATAGCAGTGCACCTTCATCCAAATAGAAGATTCCGCCTTGGATTGGATTATCCATAAGGCGTAGCCCATGAATAGCAGCAGATCGACAGTCAGATATTTGGATCGACCATTTGTTCCCATTTCTCTACCAAAAATAGCCACTTGATGTCGTATCGCCCTGCTCGAAAAAGAATTCTTACAGTACAGTACAAAACCCCGCATTCAAGACGGACATAATTGAGGAGCCCATTGGTTTCTAGAATTATGGGGTGCATAGTACTAGAAGCTATTCCGGGCCGACTAATGTTACTATCCTATTCCGAGCACTCAGTATGAACGCAACAGCAAATGCGACGTTTCTCAAAGCCTCCGGTTGCTTTCATCCATGACGGAAAACTTAATGAGACTGAAACGAGCTTCCTGTTTGTTGAATTTTCTGGAGATTTTTCGTGATCTTTTTCCTCGTTACAACGAAACGCTTGATGTCTATTCCTTCATATTGCAGCTCGGCAAGATTATATCATTGATCACGTCAGATCGTAATCGTATCCCGAAATAGCTGTATTTTAAGCTTGCGTTTTAGAGATCTCCATTCCAAGAATCATCTTATCTATGCCCGTCCTCTTGTTTCACTTTCCGTGACCTTAGTTATTCTAAAAAAAAATGGAAATTAGACAGCTGCCATGAATCGGTTTTCGATCAAGATCCCGGCCATCTCATCAAACATTGCATAAGTTAGAGCCAGTGGGCCAAATCTATACCTCCTCCCGTCTCCAACAACGGAAACAAATTTAGAGCAGAATTTGGGTCGTCGTCGTTACCCACAATCCCGTCCCAATACGTAGTATCAGGTGTATGCAGCATCGGCTCCGATAGACCCAAGAACATGGAATCCATCTCTCCCATTCGAGGAGACGGCCCACTCGCTAAACTCTGACTCTGCAAGACAGATCTATCCAATGAGGCGCGGATGTTATTAGCATTAGCCGCTGCCGCATCTGGAGTCTTGGCATGCAAGTTGATATCCCTCAGCGGCGCCGGGGATTTATTTAGAGGCGATCTCGCATCCGGTGCCACTAGGCCGAACAAATGACTCGAGTTTTCCGTGCGGCGCATTCGATCCTGAAGGTCCTGTCTCTCCAGATGCTCCAGCGCCGTTGTGAGCAGCGACTGAGCAATAAGGGAGTATTGCCGCGCATGGGCATCGTTTTGAGCAAGGTGGTCCATGGCTTGTATAGACATCCGCGTATACTTTTCCAGGATACGGCTGAACCCGCCAAGAAGACCAACACCAAGAACAAGGGACGCAGCGAAAAGCCACGAGCTGCAGTCGTTAGCCATCATGATTTAGGGAGTACGGGACAAAAAAAAAAAAAAATAGCCAATATTTGCTGTACAAGTACTCACACAAGTAAAGGAGCTTTCCCGTTCAGGATGCCTCTTTCTATCAAGTCCAAGACGGGGTCCACCATCAAGCTCGCAGCGTCAATGCAAGCGTCCGCCAACTTTGATCGTCCCGAAGCAAGTGCCGGTCTACTGTTTGATGCAGACGACCCATCCGTAAGCCGCTGAAAGAGCTCGTACATCAGGAATGGCCGTGACACAAGCATTACCGCGTAGTAATATGACGACAGCACCTGACAAGCTCCTGTTACCTGGGCTTCATTGCGGTCCGCGGGCTGCGCAATCATATCCTTCAGCGGACTGAGCCATCGTCCGGACCATTCGCGCAGCTGAAGAGAGATTCCCTCGGTTAACCGCATAGAAATCTTCTTGCGCGAGTAAATCTCCAAGATGATACATTCCAGTATAACCAGGATCTGCACAGACGCATTGAGCAAGTTAAATACTTCATTCCCATCAGCATCCACTGCACGGTACGGAACAGTGCAATCCACGTCTGATGTCGAGGGCGGCCGTCCCATGGAACTGCTAAGGAAGAGGTCAAGCACACGCAGGCTCTTCCAGAGGCGATCTCGCTGGCGATGAATATCCAGTCCAAATCGAGCGTTCACTTCGGTCCGGTGCAGGCCAATTGAGTAGGCTGCCCTCGCAGCAATGCCAAAGAAGAGGAAAGCCCCGTTGATCTGGCACGAGCACAACATGTAAATCGTAACCAGAATGAATGCCTGAACTGTCTCTACGCCAAGACTGTCGCTCAGGTCGGTGTATGCCAAATCACGAGCATACTCAAAATACTGCTGGGACAGCGCATCGTCATCCGCCTGCAGCCCAATAGCGAGAACAAGGAAGTGAATTATCGTTGTTACGTTATCTGGCTTCTGCTCCAGGTTTGCCCATATGATCAAGTCATCCAGCAGCTTTGAGTTGTCAAACAAGTCCACCAAACTCGCCGTCGTCGACAAATACGTCGACACAGCGGGTGCAACAGTCGCAGGTCGAACTTCCGGTATTCTCGGGTCTCTCAAAGACCGCTTGGTTTGTCGTGCCGGTGCATTTTCCAGGACCGAGAATCCACTCGTTTGCGGCGCAAAGGCATTCTGACCGATTCTGTTCGTCACGAGCCTCCGCACCGACTGGAAAAAGGACAGCGGCGCACAGTCGCCAATGAAGGTCAGCTTCCCATGGGCGTCACACAGCAGTCGGGCCTCTCGCTGCACTTCAGTCTCGTCCTCCGCCACGGATGGCTCCTGAATCTGGTGCAGCGCCGAAGCCGATGACAACGAAAGTATTCGACTCTGCTGTTTTTCACTCCCCATTGCCGGCGACGAAGGGCCAGCCACCGAAGACACGCGCCTCGAGGCTGCCATCGATCCCGGCGTCTCTATCGGCGACGGCGACCGCACCGATGACCCGCCCCTGGCCGACCGATCCCGCGATTCCCGGACAGACGATGGAGGCGACTTTGGCAGCTTCTGGTGCTGCGACTGCCGTCGCCTCTTCTGCGGTGAATAGCGGCATGTATGCGATCTCTGCCTCGCAACGCAGAATCCGCACGGCAGCTTCCCATCGCACTTTACCTTGCGCGTCTTGCATCCATCGCACGCATTGGCAATGCGGCTGCGGATGTAGCGAACTGGCTCTGATCCAGACGCATGGTCGACGTCCATCTGAAGGCCTCCTCTCCTCCTCCCCCTTGCAGCGTGCGGAAAGAAAGGATAGCCGGATATAGAACAGTGGCGGCTTCAGAATGGGAAATGCGACGCTGCGGATATGCGGCCGACGAAACAGCGCTCGCCAATTGAACTGACTGGTTATTTCCCCCGAAGCTTCAATGCAAGCCTCAATGCATGCAGAAAGCGGCGGAAGGCCGGATGGCGGATGTGCGGATATCAGCAAATCTTTAGATGAAAGTGCGGCATCGAAAAGGCGGAAGCACTGTGCTGAGATGGCCAGATCCTTCGAATTATCACCGTACTAATATGGGGTTTACATACTGTCTAGCCTGAGAACGCGACTGAACTGGAGGGGGAAAAAAAACCAACGCAGTATTACATCCCATGTGTCATAAAAAGGGGGAGTGAGGGTTTTATATACGCCGGTTCCTTTGCTACAACATTATGAGGTATGATTAATGCAGAGATGATCTAGTCAGCGCCGAGCTCTTCTAAGGCGACGATTGCCGAATACAATGGAGCCCGTCTTCAAGATCAAAACTAAACCACCAATCACATTGTCTTTTTCACGCATCAATCGGAGCATTATGAGCAAAGAGGAGACTACCAAACGAAGACACAGACCAAAAGTCAGTCTTCAAAGTCATTTCTACTTCTAAAAGTATGCATACAGCAATCATACAAAATAATCAAGCCCATACGCCGATCCATGGTCGTATTGTATCCGAGACGCCTGTACCCTGAAATCTCATCTTACAATTGCAAGCACAACAAACCTAAGCGCCTATCTATTGCTCTAAGATGTGAAAAGGCAGCAAGTACAAAGTACACTCTGACGAAATTAATATGAGAAGCCGGTGTAGTATAATGGCAGAAGTAATGGTAAAGGAAAACAAAAGCAAGGTCGGTAGCCGACGCGAGTGGTAAAGCCCTTTATCTTATCGGCATACCTCCTCGGCTATCCAGCCTTCTGTGTGAAGATACGCCTGTAGCGGCAGCGTTCGCTCCAACACTATAAGTGACGCGACGAGGCGCTTCCAAGCCGGGTTTATCGCGCTGGGCCGCGCCTAGAGTCTCAAGTCGCATGTTGCCCGCCATGTTCATCCGTCTTGCTTGGCCCGCAGTGAGGTTGTCCGATATTAAGTCTGATGGTGCGCACATCAGCGGTGGGCTCTTTCGGAGCTCCAGGCTTCCTCTGCGATGGCGTGAAATGCCGTTCGTAGCACTGGCCAAGACTGGCATGGCAGGTCGCGGCGCTGGCCTGTCGCCGGAAGCAGAGCCAATCGAAGATACCCTTCTAGCAACAGGGACCGAAGTTGGGGTCATGATAGCAATCCTCCGGGGTTTCTTTGAAGCAATGGCGCTGCGGAGTTTGCGCATATCAATTGTGCCTGACTCTGAGTCGGAGCCAGAAGCGTTCGGGGGGTTATTCTCATCCATGACCGTCTGCAGCGGATGGTATTGAGGACTGAGCCGCGGCACCTTACTATAGGATAGCGGTGACCCGTTCTCTGTCTTGGGAACGTCGAGGGATCTCAGAGGGGGTGTCCTCTCTACGTCGGGAGAGCTTGACGAGCGCAAATGCATGCTCAAAGTCGGAGGAGATGATGATACAGGCAGCCCGCTACCTTCTGCCGATAGTCGCTTGCCTCTGGAAAGGAATCCGGCCTGAAATCTACCGGGTTTAGCGATCGATGATACACTCGGCACATCGGAATCCGGGCTCATTGTGTCGTTATTCATAGCATCATCCTTAGTTGTGCTGTTGAACTGTGACGGCGGGGAGGGAATCTTGCTCTTAACAACTGGCGACGGCTGCGCGGGAGGAGAGGAGCTGAATAGATTCTGTGGCGTCTTCTCAAAGTCTTCCAGTGTTCCGTCTTCCGTCTCATCATCCCTCCATCTGACCCCTCGACTCTTGGTAGCTCGTTTGACGGGCGTGAAGCTAACTCCCTTCTTCGGCATGCCGAGGGCCTTACGCCGTCTCGGCGTTGACTTCATGGGACTCGCAAACACATGTTCGTTTTGTACGGCCACAATAGCCGGGGGAGCAATAGGCCGATAGGCAGACAAAGATTTTCTCTTCCTCAGGGTTCTTCTCGGTGGAAGTGCGTCAGGAACAACAGGTAAGGTGCCATCAGGTTTGACCACCTGGGATGCAGCTGTGAGTCCATCTTGGAGTAGGCGAGATATGACATCTTTAGCATGTTCCACGGCGCTCCCTTCATCCATTGATATAACAGAAGAAAGGGAGGACATCATTTCGAACTGGGCTGTGAGAACGACTTGCATCATCGCGGCATCTCCCACCTTCTCTTGCTCCAAAACTTCCTGGTAGGCCTCACGACTGAAGTTGGCTTTTAGAAGCTCAGCTTCGCGCGTCAAGGTGTCGATCTCGCCAGTGTCGGCGCCTTCAGCCTGTTCAAGTTGTCTGATGCCATGAGCCAAGGCTGTATCGAGGTGGCGTTCCCATGTCGACTTTTCCAACTTTTGATGGCTATGATATCTACTGTTTTCCAGCTCAAGCAGAATTCCTTCAGCTGTCCTTCGGATAGTTTTAAGCCCCTGCGGCATTTGCTCCTCGCCCTCCTTCCGATTGGCAACAGTGTCAAAGGCCGCAATCCACGCTGACAGCAGGCTAATGCGCCTCTCAAAGTGCTTCATTTTTCTCAAGGCGGTAACACGCTCCTGGCGCTCTACGCTTGCATTATCATATGCAGCTCGAAGTCTCTGTGTGGCCTCTCGTGCAATGGCGTCTCGTTTTTCGTACTGCTTTCGGAACTTGGCGAAATTAACTTTTTCAGAGTCTCTCTGCTGTGCTCTTAGCTCATTAATCAGGGCCATTTGCTCGTCAATCTTGATCAAGAAGTCTTTGACGTGGCGGTTGACATTGAAAACATTGCGAGTGACCTTGGTTTGGATATTCTTGGCTCGGTTCGCATATCGCAGGGTGTTTTGGGTTTCGTCGTAGTGGGCGCTTGATGGCGAGACACAGACAATCATGACCGTCTTGCAGTTACCGCCCAAGGAGAATTTGAGGAGTCGAGTGAGTTTGCTGTTGCGGTATGGGACGTGCATCTTTCCTCGCTTGTCACAGAGAGCGTTGATGCAACCTCCAAGGGCAAGAAGTGATTTGTTGATATTAGCGCCCTCCGTAAGGCGCTCACCGCGATTTTTGGTAACGGAAGCACGTTCAGAGCCAGCTAGATCGATAATGCTCAGAGTTGCCATTGTGTGAGGCTCGTTAACATCAGCATTCCTGTCTTTTTGCGCAATGTTGATCTGCAGCACGGCGTGCGATCGTGAGGACGTTGCGTTTGCTTCGGTTGGCGATACAGTTCGGTACTCGTTTCCTTGGACAATCATGTCCATGACTTCTTGGACATCTCGAGGGCGGTGGCTGGTCAACCCAGGCACGGCGACCGCCTGGTTGCTGTCTTCGCGAAGAGCTAAGCCGACCTTGCTCCCGCCCGGCACCAGCAAATCACGAATCGTTTCGTTGTAAATCTCCAGGTAGCTCAGAGTTAGCTCAGTTTGCTTCTCTTGGCTGCGCTCGTCAATCTTCTCAAACAGTTCCTGCATTGTCAAGAAGATAATGCCAGGATGTTGCGCCGTGCCGGTAATTGTATGCGTCTTGCCGCAGCCGGTGGCACCGTAGGCAAAGACGGTTGCATTGTATCCATCCAGTACGCTGTCGAGCAAGGCTCTTGTGGTCCCCTCGTAGACCTCAGCCTGCGTTGTCATGTCATCAAAGACTCGATCAAAGGCAAACACTTGATCTTTAACTTTTTTCGTGGTCGGGATGACGGTTCGGGAGAATTTCTGGACAGGGCTATCTTCTGGCGGATCGAATATTCTATGGCAGAAAGGAACGTCAGTCAACTGATGGATATACACAGCTTGGCGACATAGTCCAAGCATAGGAAAGGACCAATACATACAGGCAACGATCGTCGACAACCTTGATAACGTTTCTGATGCCTCGCTGGTGAAGCTTTGGGGTCGGTGCCGAAGCAAAAGAACCGTCGCCCAGGAATATAGTGCCATCGTCATTCCGCTGCCTTGAATTCACGCCCGTCAGCATCCATTTGGTCGCGGGCAAAGCACAAAGCTAGGGTTGGTTGATGGAGTTGCCATACAGTTGAGCAGCTTCTCGGATCGTAAAGGGCCGTACTCGGACTGAGACATTGCGTTAGCTAAGCACTGGAATGGACGGGGGTTGCTGCACATACCGGCAACGGTGATGGACGACTGTCCAGCGTCTGAGTCGTCGGCCATGATTTACGGTTCCCAAGGCTGGCCTCTATTCCAGCCAGCGTATCGTCGATGATGTATTCTGCCGCATGCAAAGGATTCGACTTGAAGACGTTACAGATCTCAGTTCAATTGGCCGTCAGTGCGAACGATGCCGGGTCAAGTCGCTTCCACAGATGCAGATAGATAATCGGTGACCAGGGAGGGGAGAGGGGCCGGCAGCGCTGAGACTCGAAAAAAATATAGAGAAAAGACAAAAACCAGCCCCAGACGGCCACGCTTCGAGATCAGCTTTACGGATTCGCAGTAGGAGATATCTAATAGAAGTTCAAACAAACACAATGCTGCAGGCATATAAAGCAAACTGGAGAGAGCGAATGGGCCAAGCTCATGTCCTAGCGGAGGCTGAACAAGCAGGTCTCGCACCAGTATGGAGCACGAATATGCATGGCCTAGCTGGCAAGCGACGCTTTGTTGACCCCGGTAGGGAGCGAAAAGGCGTCGGTGTTGCCTGGACAACATCTAGCGCTGCGCCAGGCCCACCGCGTAGCCACATTTGGGCACAGAGTTTCCACTTCAGAGCATATCAAGCATCGCTGCTAGCAATTAGTGCCTTGCTACCCTATAAACTCTGCGAGATTCGTGGCAGATTTAGCCACCTACAGAGTAGCATCAGAGTACATGTAGGTATCAGACAGACCAACGGTTGGGCATAGAGAAAAGCGGTCAGATCCTTTGGAGCATGCCTATTTTGAATCTGATCAGCAAGAGGGGAGAGCAAGCATGCTCAAGACGGAGGCCGAAAGGGACAACTAGTGCGTGCCAAGAAGTGACAAGTAGCACAATTAGACAAAGATTTATATTCCGCCTTTTCATCTTGTAGCCCACTAGTTGCCCCAAGACCAGCACACTTGAGATACGAGCATCGCAGCTGTGGCATCTTCAAAGTACACCGATGCAAAGAGGCAGAGTGAGAGACACTTGGTTCGCATAATTGCTTGTTTCTTGCTGTGTATAAGTCACAGTTTAAATGCCTCAGCACCATCATCTTATATCTACTACCTGAGAGCCCTGAAGCATGATTCATTTGTGCAGCATACCATGTCAACTCGAATGATTCATCCCTCCAATTGCGAGTTCATCCAAAAATTTATAGTTATATTAGTATCATTGTGACATGGGATACATCTCAGTTTCCCACGCGAGATCTGCCTACTGGTGCATCATAACCCGTAGTAGCATGAAAAACCCTCTGTATTATACACAGTCCCTGACGCCTATCCTTGTGAAAGTGAGATCAACCATCATACCTATAAACGAGCGCTGCAATTCGCGTGCCTATTCTCCACCAAGAGTGAGTTGTACTCCTCCCCGCCCTGAATGGCGATACCTACTTTGTAGCTTTACTGGGTAAGGACTAAGCTCCCACTGGCGGTGTGTAGGCGTAGCGTGATAGAGCCGCCATCTTCTCCTCGGGACTAAATTCTGCGTCGTCGTAAATCATCCGGCCCTTCTTGTCCTTTTCCTTCTTGCTCTTGCCCTCGCCTGCCTCATCACCCTCTTCCGGCTTCTTCTGTGGCTTAACGCCAGCTTCGGCCATGCGAATCAGCTGATCAATTTCATCGCCAGAAGCGGCAGCTTGGGCTGAGCCGTTCCAGAAGCCGGGCTGTGTGGGTCGCTGGGGCAAACCTGGTGCGCCGGCCAGATTTGCTGAAGGCCGCGCGGGAAGAGAGTCTGTCGAAAAGTTGTAGGGAGCCTGCCCGTGCGGCTGCTGTCCAGGAAAGCCGGGTTGATTGAACCCCTGCTGAGGGAACGAAGTGCTTGTCTGTACAACACCCTCCATGACGCCACCGTTCGCCGCCACCGCTTTTCGTTGAGCGCGGTACTCAGCAAATCTCTTGAGCAGTTCTTCCGCCGTCTCAATCTTGATCTTCTTTCTTGGGTTCTTAGATTGGCCCGGCGGCGGATTTCCGGTCGCGATTCTGCGATCTTCCTGTGCCTGGTAGAAATTCTGAATGATTCGGTTTCGGTGCTGCTCCAGAACCTCCTGTGGAATACCTTCCATACCAAAAATTTCGACCTCGAGCCCCTGCCTGTTGGGCAGTGCATTCTCGACTTGACTTAGCGTCTCCTTATGAACCTGGTTCAAGTGGACGGAGAGACCTGAGTTTAACAGTAATTAGCAAGCATTTCCCCTCAGCTTTTCCATCTAGCAAGATAAACGCAGGTCTATTTGTAAACTTTGCGCGTTTGGAAACGTACCTCCCGCGGTGTTCAATCGCCGGCCACATCGATCGCATTTGAAGTGCTTGGCTTTTTGGTGGGAGATGAGGAGCTTCAGATCTTCGAAATCACGCTCGCCTGAAGGATTCAAACGGTCAGCTACAGTACGAAGCCAAAGCGGCTCGAATGATGTACATACAGTAGTAGCACCACGGTCGGGAGAGGATTTCCTCGACATCGGGATGGCCGCGCTTCTTTTTGCCCATCTTGATGCGCCGCTGTTGTCGCTGATACCGAAGTGGTGAATGGGCCTCAGCGATAGCTATTGGAAATTTTGTGAGTCTATTTATCGGACTGGAGTAAAGGCGATAGCGAGAAGCTGCAATTCGAAGAGAGAACTGGTGCTGGAATGGGCTTGTAACGTGTAGCTGCTCGCATTGAGCTAACGGCGGATTCGATCTAGAGGCGTTTGCGTCTGCTCGGCTGAATACCGGCTAATTTGGGCAAGCTTGCAGACACTGCCGCCGAAATAATACTGTAGTACGGAGTACTGCACAGAAGGCTATGCACATTACGCCAGATGTAATCATATAAGACACTTTTCGGTTATCAAGGCCAATTGATATATGTGTAAGTATATCTCAGAGGTTGGCAAAATAGTTTGAAGTTGGGAATTTTTAATTTCTTTTTTTGTTTCTTAAAAGGAATGAAAGCACGCATAGCATTCAGTGTGAAACTTCATTTGGTGCCAATTGGTAGAGAATGTACGGAGCAGACAAACCCTCAATTCCCTGAGCCAAGAGCCATATTACCAGGCTCAGCTGAGATTCATCACCAAATAAATAAAAGTCCCATGTAGCACAGAGCTACCTCTTTATTATAAAAACAACAATATTTAGTTCTCTGCTAGTTGAATTTGTAAGAACCGATCGAAAGCATTAAATACAAGCCCGGGCATGGCGGCGAACTTCACCAAGTCTAATCAGCATTTACAAGACGCGAATCGCTACTCGCTTGGTGTGCAATCACATCTACATCGCTTAAGGTGGTATAGATTACAGAGACTATTGTAGAGGTCGAGATATAATGTCAATTTAATAAAAGCATAGAGCCATCTCCCGTCTCCTATATAGGGTGGTTGGATTGGACTACAAATCTAGACCAAAGCGGCGCTGTACACTATCCAACTATGTCAGTAAAATAATCTACCATATTTGCCTCTTCTTAACCCAAATATATGTAGAGTGAATTAAAAATTACATGGTCCAAATCTAAAATATTGGTGATCACAAAACAAGCAATGACCCGTAGGCAGAGGTAAGCTCAAATACCAAGCGGCGCTCTGAAGATATCAAAGTAACAAGATAAATAACGACGAAGAATGAACGCGAGAGTACCGTGGTCGAGGATGAGAGAGCGCTCTTTTCACTTCATATCTGACATGCAGTCTAATAATTAGTTTTAGTTGAAAATCCTTTTTAAACAACTAGACTCTAGGCATTTGAATCTTGATTCATGCGGTAGCACGCGATGCGAATGAGCTGAAAAAAAAACAAAAGCCCGCGATGATACCCTTCATGCAAGGGGAATTCTTCTTCGGATGAAATAATATCTCAACAGTTGCTTCCTGACTAACGGCATCTCAGCTTCATCAAAAGAAGTTGGAGACCGGCATGCCCTTGTTAATACCGGGGTGCTATACTAGCCTCCTCCATCCGAACCGAACCCAAACAACGGCCGCTTGAACCTGGTCTTCCTAACAGCGCCTTAGCCTGAGACTCACAAAAACGGATATTGAATTAAACACTGGGAAGTGATGCATGCGGGTCATGGTCCTACCTGTAGATACGATGTAGTAGCAGCATTAACCTCATTTAAGACTTTAGAGATGTCAGATTAGGTCATAAATTCTGTCGTAGATTATTTACGAGACATCCAACGTGTCTTGGCATTATTCAGGTGAGATGTGCCTCAACACAAGGCTATCTGGAGGCTCCTTGAGTGCTCTAAACTGTCTTGGCAATTGTGTGCTGTTCAGAGTGCAAGACCGGAGAAATTGTACTAGTATGATCTGTTATCTGCCCTCATTTGACAGGTCTCATCCTTCAGCCATGTCCCATGCATCCAAGAAACGAATATTAAGTCTTGGTCACATCAAGTGATGTTTTTTTGTTCTCTTTCTAAATTACCCCTTATATGCGCAGAGGATCGGTATATCAAAATGCTAATAAACAATATGGAAATGGTAGGAGGAGTTGTCAATATCACGTAGACTACATGTAACCATTTCAATTCATCGCTAATCATGACATGAATTATATGGTAACCAACGTGTGCCAAAAAATCAAGATGAAGAGTAGAGGGGGAAAAAAACTATATAATGGCATGCTTGTGACCACATCTGTTTGCCATGTCGGCTCATCGCCAACCTTTACAACTCACTTAAGAACCACAGAATTCCATCATGAAGCACACATTCTCTTCGCTGGCTCCTCTGGCCCTGATACCATCTACTTCAGATGTTGCTTCTCTAGCACCTCAACTGGTGCTGCCAGGAATCCTCGAAACATTTGAATGCATTGCTCTGGATGTCATTGCCGAGCTTCTCCTTGGAGACCCCTTGGCGATTGCTTTTTGCGAGGCCGTTGGGCCTCTTCATCGGAGCTTTATCAAGACCAGAACCACTACCATCGTGAGGCCAACTACGGTGACAGTAACGACCACCAGGAACAGGACCCATCCCACAATCACCAGCCGCACCATAATGTTAGTTGAGCCGGTCGTCACGACTAGAACAATCACCAAGACCCAGACAGCGAGAGCTTGCCCTGCACCAACTCTTTGCGTTAACCAAGGAATCGACTTTGCACACTACAGGAAGACTCTTGGCGGCGGTTTCGCAAACTTCCATCCTGAAGGGTAAAAGGTAAGTTGGAAGATATCAGTCTGTCAACAAGTTTGGCTGTGTGTCCTACATGAGTGCTAATACGACGCTGAACAGTCAATTCATCCACGATACGGATCGTTGACCAACGCCATTGGCGGCATCGGCTTCCAAGACAGCGCCGACAAGAGCGTTACGGATGTACTCCGCTGCCAGAGTCAAACTTCGTTCTGAAATACCGTGGATACATCTTAGTCCGCCAGACAGGCTCGTACACCTCCATTCTTAGCGAGGTCGATGACGCCGCCTTCATCTGGGTTGGTCCCACGGCCTACTCCCGATGGACCGGGGTTAATGCCGATGCAAAGGCTCTTACGACAACGGCCCCGCGCGGGGCACTACACTATCAATCTGCGAGAAGGTCAATACTATGCATTTTGTAACTTTTATGGCTAGGGACCGAGTATCGCTGAGTTCGGTATCAACGTGGTGGCGCTAGATGGCACCACGTTCTCGTCCAACACCACCGAATTGCCCTACTTGGTTCGGTTCTCCTGCGACAGAAATACGGCGCCACGATTCCATCCTTTTAGGCTTGAAGTTTAAGAAGTGGTTTTTCTTTTCTTGCAAGGATTGGTCTTTTGGAGAGAAAGGTTTATATTTGATTCATTTATCGTATAACTAGTAAATCTTGGGATAGATATAATCGCGACGGTCCTGCGATGATTAAATAAAATTTAATTTTAATTCATTTCTTTCCTTAGCTATGACATCTAACTGCAGCTGGGGGGCCTTCTATCAGACCTTGTTGAATATGAACTAGGAGCTGAAGATGTGCTCATTCCTATCCGACCCTCTCCTGATGGCGCAACGTGATATAGCCAATTGCCCCCCTTCATCAGAATCGAGTTTTCCTTCAACATTTAGAAGAAGCAATCTGTTCCAAGATCCTTAGGAAGCCCATCAAAGACAGCCACCAGTACACCCAAGTTAATCGAAAGTCAGAAACGAAGTGGTATTATGTATGACTCATTGACTTTACAAAAATGAGCAGACGCTGTGCGATGATTATTGGGTATGTAGCCAAAATGAAAAGCAGCACCAAAAAGACTTTCACGTTTCATTCAAGCCCTCTCATCGTATAGCTCTTCATCCTCTTGCGGCCACTCTACCGTAAACACCGTCTCTTCTTCCTCGTCGTCATCACCCTCGCCATCATGGCTCTCAAACGCAAACGCAACAATGCTATTGTCCTTCAGTCCGCATTTTGTCGGGGTGTTGGAAGCATCTTCTCCAAGGTTCAGCACCTTCCATCCTCTGGAGGGGTCGGTAGGCACCTGGAGAACGCCATATGTGACATTTGCTGAGTCTGGTATCGGCGTCTTCTCGTCTGGTGATGAATTTGACTTTATTAGACCATCGGGGTATCTCTCTCTAAGAACCGCCAATAGCTCTTCGGTCACGGATGAAAATGGAGCCAGGGCGTCGACGAAGATGAAGATTGTATGGATGCCGTATTTGAATCTCACAGAGAGGTTCGCATCATCAGCATCAGCGGGCGGCTACCAGGTTTAGCATTGTGGCAGTTCCCGCGTGAGGGGGGAATATACCATCTTGATGTGACTGAAAAAGTCCTCACTCGTTGCAATGAATTACACTCTGAGTCTTTTCAAGCTGTCGCTTGATCACGAAGAATGGAGTAAAGCGTGATGAATGCGATTCATCAAGAGTGAACTGAGTTGAGCGGCGATGATTTGGGCGCGAAGTCACGTGAAAGCGCGTTAAGTGCTTTTCAGGCAAAGCAAATGAGCGACATGGCACACGGAAAAACCTGCGATACGGAGAGCAGAGGCCTTATCCTTATCTGTATTTGATATGCCGCTACTCTGTGCATAGCTTGATTGACATGCGATTCGACAATTTAACGATGCGATTGCCATAGCAGATCAGAACAGTGCAGCAACGTACGCTCGATTAATACAGGAGGACCGCCAATTCGCAGAGAAGCTCCTTTTGCGCCTGGGGACCGGGATATCGTCTGCCATCGAGGGCTTTACGGAGATCTCGTTCATCCACAGCTCATCCACCGTCACAGAACCACAGCTACAAGCATGGCGAGATCCTCGGGCAGCGATGGAATTCTCCTCAGCGCTCCTCGATCAAGGGCTGCCAATGCTCCCCAGGCTCAGCCCGCTTTCCCTGCCGAGTCACATCCACGCCTGGCCATCATGACGCCCAGCCGCCTCCTTCTCGGCTCTGTAGCCTCCAGCTTCGTCGGCTTCACTCTCGGGGCAGTCCAAGGCGGACAGATGGCACAGCTACGCTTCCGCGCAGAGCATGCGCACAAAATGCCCGACACCACAGCGGGCTGGTATCTCTACCACAAGTCCAAGAATTATCACGCCATGCAAGGCGGCATCCGCGAGGGGTTCCGAATGGGGCTCAAGACGGGCTTCTGGAGTCTGATGGCCTTGTCTTTGGAGAGCACGGTGGACCGTTATCGGGGCAGCAGCGACATGTTTTCGACCGTCGTGGCGACGCTTACCGTGGCGGGAGCATTTTCACTCTGGCGTGAGTTTGTCTAATTTCCTTGTGTTTTTTTCTTCCACTATTCTGGAATCCCTGCTCTACGACTTATTTTCTTCCCGCTGTCCTAAAGGTGAATGGAACCAGACTAGTCAGGTCTGGCTTTCACCGGCTCGCGCTTTGGCATGTCAGAGTTCCCCACGCTATACTGGCAATCATCGGATTAAGATCGTGTGGCGCCAAAGAAAAAAAAAAGTTGCAAAGAAATGCCAGGAAAGGAAATCAAGACCGTGGGGACCATTAGCTAACAGAAAGCCGACCATCGGCCGGCACCTGGGCTTACAGATCGATTCTCGCTTTCCACCGCTGCTCGCACCGCAAAGTACGGGCTGGTCTTTGGCCTGGCCTACGGAGGGGTCCAGGATCTCGTGGGCTTAGCCCGTGGCAGACCGATTGGGTATGTGGAGCTGATCCGACGTCGGTTTGGCTCTAGGTCACGCGAAGGCGGCATCAGCGACGAAAGGAGCGACGACAGCAATGATGCCAATGTCTAGAACCAACCAGCCATCGCCGTAAGCAGCCGCGCCTGCTCCCTCGTCGTCTGAGCGCAGTGGGGATCGTCTCATCCCCGAGGCTGGAAGTCTTTGTTCATCATTCATCATGCTCGTAACGAGTAACAGTGCCAGCAGGAGGTGAAGGCGAAGAGAAGAGGCCGATATGAAGGCGACGTCATGCGTTCCGTGCAGACGAATCAAGAGATATCCAGCACGTCCATTGTCCCAGGCCAACGCCGCTGATCTTTTGATGCCAAGTCGACAAGCTCAGCTTTGATGGTGCTTGAACCGGCAAGGACAGCTCTCATTCCACAGCCATGCAGCTATTATACAGTTGCTGCACACACTCAACCAAGCAACCAATCAATAGGAAAAGAAGGAAAAGGGGAATGCTGGGACTATATCATGGATCGCGGACTCAAGCGCGCTATCCTCGCCTGCATTGAAAATAGCGATATTCCTGTATGAGATGACGCAGAAGAAGAAAGCCATTGGATGCTTCCTGATGTCATGTCTTACCTACCACTCTGTACTACTACTACTACCGCATCTACCACTACCGCATCGAACCAGATCCCACGTTCACCTGACAATGCCGTGCATCCCCTCACTCACGATGCCCCCTTTGCAGCAGGTCGAGAACGACGACCCCAGGCCGTATCGGAGCTTTTGCAGCATCTCTCTCTCTCTCTCCCTCTCCTGCATCACATTGTGTGTACATTACTCCATAATACCATGTATAGTCCTGCTGTATGTAATACGAGCCTAGTACCTTAATATCACATAGACGAAGCAAGCCGCGACGCTGGGGAAGAGCGTGGGGGCAGCGCAACGCCAAAGGGCAACCTAGCGGCACTGGCTCGCACAGGGTTTCTGGCCTTCCCGCCGCAAACCCGCATTTCTGGCCTCTGCGGCTCCATCGCCATCGCCAGTCCCAGCGGACTTTAGCATCGCGCCCAGCTCCACGTCGACGCCGCCGCCTGCTTAGCCCGCGGCTACTCTCGGCTGCATCCCAGCAAGCTCGCTGCCCCCAAACGCTCCCACGTGATGCCTATCGCGCCCCTCTCGCCAACGACAGGCTTATCTCCAACCCAGCTGCAGCATCTCTGATATCTGGGATGCGTTCCAGCTCCCCTCTGCAGCGGCCTGACACGGACTTTTGTGGAGGAGGCGATTCCCAGACGGGCGGGCCCTTTTTTCTCTCTTCTTCTTCCAGGCAATTAAATTAGGCCCATGCAAGTGCTAGTTCGTATGTCTCCGCTGTGTTTTGTGTGCAGCGGTACATGGCGTGTTGGATTGGGCTGGACAAATCGAAGCTCTCATGATTTGATGGCGGCGGGCACCGGCAATCGGAGGAGGGTGACCATCCAAGCAGAGCTCTGGCCCTGGAGCAGCGAGATCTCGCCTCTCTTCGGCCCTCCGTAGCTGCCGGGTGGCTTTGGATAGGCCCTGGACTGGCTCGATAGATAGCGGCGCTTCGTGCCTGTCCCTGGATACATTAATAAAAAGACATCCCGTTGTTTTCCTTCTCGTAGTGTCGAAGCTTTCTCTCCATCTCTCTATATATACCAACTGCCTTATCTCTCTCCCTCTTCCTCACGAACCCTTTCCTAGCCCTTACTTATCAAACCGGACCTGCATTGAACCTTTGCAGAACCGCATTATACTTTTCTGATTTTCATCTTCAGCCGCTTAAACTATACATCTATATACCTGATTGCATTGCGTATTGTTGCGCCACTAAAGCAAGCCTCGTCTTACACCCACCGCGTCAGCCACTTACTATCAGCAGCTCTCACGCCCGAGATCTGGTTTGCTAGAAACCGCAGCACAAACCGCACACCTGATTACAGTGCAGCTATCCCTCCTACTCCTCCTTTTGTTCTCTGTCGGTCGGCCTATCATGCTCTCCGTCCCAGGTCGACGGGCGGTTCGCCTGCCCGGCCACCGGACTGCTTCCCTCTCCTCCACCACCTCCTCCATCTCCCTGCTCAGAACCTCATCGTTGGCATCACCGACATCATCCTCGTGTCTCTTCGCCATGGCAAACATGACAAGAAAGCACCACTCACGGCGCAGCATCCACTCGTCTGAGCGACGCACCTCCACCGTCGCAGATATCCCAGGAACTTTGCCTCCTCTGCCACCCCAGGACGTGGCCTCCAACCGCGCGCCGCTGTCAGTCCTGCCGCTCAGCATGATCCTCCGCTCGCTGGCAACAACCGTGGTCTCCTCGTCTCCCATCCTGCTGCCTCCCTCGCTGCGCATCATGGTGGCGCTCGCCCACGCCAAGAACCCCATCCTGAATCCTGACAAGAATCCCCTTCTGAGATTCTTCCTGAAAAAGTCATTCTACGCCCAGTTCTGCGCCGGCGAGAATGCGGCCGAGGTGCGGGCTACCATCAGTCGGCTAAAGGACATCGGCTTCACGGGCGTCATTCTGGGCTACGCCAAGGAGGTCGTCCTGGAAAGCAGCGATGCCAAAGACATGGCCAAGGCCAACTTGGGCGAGGAAACGGCCCGGGACATCGAAAAGGAGATTAACCCCTGGAGAGATGGAACTCTGGAGACGGTTCGTCTGGCTGAGCCGGGTGACTTTGTTGCTCTCAAGTATGTATCTCTTCAAACCGCATAATTTTTTTTTCCTTCTATTGTTCTTGAACAATTGGTTGCTAACAGAAGTCACCATCTAGATTTACTGGCGCTGGTAGTCTTGCTCTCCACCAACTCAAGAACCGACTCCCGCCCTCTCAGCATCTGGGCGAATCCATTGACGCCATCTGCGAGCTCGCTCGTGACCGTGGCGTGCGCCTCCTTTTCGACGCTGAGCAGGACATGCTGCAGGATGGTATCGACGATTGGACCATGAAATTCGCCCGCAAGTACAACGATTCCCCAGAAACTGCCACCATCTACGGCACCTATCAGGCATACAAGAAGAACTGCCCCGCTGTGGTATCACGACATCTGGCCGACGCGCAAAGGGAGGGTTTCACTCTCGGCGTGAAGCTGGTGCGTGGTGCATACCTGGGCTCTGATCCCCGGCAGTGCTTTCATGACACCAAGGAGGATACGGATGCCTGCTACAACAGTATTGCGGCGAGCATCCTGGCCAGGCAATGGTCCGTCACCGTCCAGGGAGAAGGCGAATTCCCCAATGCGCACATCGTGCTGGCCACCCACAACGTCGAGTCCGTGCGACGAGCCAGAGCAATCTGCGATGCCGGCGGCGCCAAGTCCGACATTGCCTTTGCCCAGCTTCAGGGCATGGCTGACGAGGTGAGCTGCGAGCTTGTCGAGGCGAGCCAATCGGCCCAGAAGGAAAACGCCAACGCTCGACCGCTGCCCGTTTACAAGTATCTTGTCTGGGGCACCACCGGCGAGTGCATGAAGTATCTTTTACGTCGCGCTCAGGAGAACAAGGACGCTGTCCAGCGCACCAGAAACGGAAGAGACGCTATGTGGGGAGAGCTGGTCAGGCGATGCAAGAGCGTCGTTGGCATGGCATGAATAGAGAAATAGAGCATGTGGATGTGTAAAGACGGGATGTTTTTTGGAAAGGAGTTTGGCAACTTGGGCCTTTTTTTTTTTGTCTTTTTTTTATACCAGCGATATTGCACAGTTTGGAGTTTGGTGGCTTTTAGTAACACTAAACGAGAAATCGGTGGTAGAATGATTATTAGAGTGTCTAGTAAAGTATGATGAGTATAGTTTATGCGAGATTATAGGGAGTTTGCAGAGGATTAATAAACTTACTGGTTTTGCATATTGTGGTCCAACTTTTATCCTTTTCTTACTCACTCCCCTTCTTATTATCCAAATCTTTTCCGTTTATATTCTTTTGTATCTCTTTCTCTTTCTCTTTCTTTCACTCTTCATTCGTCCCTACCCCAAGCTCCTCGCTATGCCCAGCCCGCTGAGCTTAAGAAGCGCCCAAGTACCGTCGTAAACAGAGTTGTCAGGCGTGAAGCGGCCTGTAGCAACTGAAGTCGCATCGGTGCTCTCTGATTACCATCCATATAGCAATTCATGGGGGCCCCTCATAGACCCCGCAGTGCCATGCCACTCAAGACCAGCTTCTCAATCTCCTCACGCTTGACCACCTCGTCCTTGATAGTGTCTAGCCAAGCTAAACCATTAAGCTTATAGTTCTTACGAATGGCCTTGACGTCTGCAATACTCGAGACAATCTCATTGGTGGGAGGCACGATGTCTCCTTCAACGTTGTCCTTTAAGTGCTGAGAAATAGCGTCTGCCGATACTGGGACGGGACTGCTGTCGCTCGGAAAGGTGATTTTGACAACGAAGAGATCGGTAGTGGACGGTGAAACTCCAAAGCGTCGATATGCTTCGGAAATCTGCATATAAATTAGCCCTCTGAGACTGAGACTTGGTCGGTAGCCACCCAAACATAGCTAGCCTAAAACTCTCGCTCACGTTATTGGAAGCACTCAATGATACAACCGTTTCTGAATGCACGTTGGGCGTCTTTAGTGCTCCATTGACTGAGTTGTTTACTGCCTTGAATACCGCCGAAAGTAGATGAACGCGCGAGACGATCTGCCGGTAGCCAAGTTAGCAATCTCGAGCTTTTACTACCCCTCTAAACTTGGATCTACTTTTGTCGCCTGCTATATTGAGCTCGGCAATGGATTGGTGCTGGACCCCAGAGACACAACTTTGCAGATGGCCGCCGGCGCACATCACATCACAGCGCAGCATCTAAACAGGCTCGCTATGCGTCGAAACAACGTACCGTAGAAGCGTCGATAAAGGCATATTCGAAATCGGCATTTCGCGCGAGCAGCTGCTGGTGCAAGAAGCCGGAGTTGCGGACGTTGCGAAAGAGAGCGAGGTAGACTTTGTACGACGACGGCGCGTGCTCGAGCACGACTGTTTCGAGGGACATGGCGGGCAGGGAACAGGCGGCTAAACGGCGGAGAGCGTGAAGAGAGGTTGCAAGATTCTGTCACAGCAAAATGGCGATGGTGGGGTTGAATCTACAAGCATGGTGGGGTGTTTTCTCCGTACGAAATTTCGTTGCTGGCACTGTAACCGATGCAAAGGCCGGCCATCCGTGTTCAGCCAAGATGAGATGGCAGAGAAGCGGGTCGAGCTGCGAACAGAATGTGCAGTAAATTTGGATCGTTGCCTTTTTATGGTATGCAAAACATGTATTTGAGTAGACTAGGAGAGACACTGACGAGATTATGCAGATATATGGACAGATTAGTAGATGCAAAGTTTAGAATGTAGCAAGCAGGGCGTGTATGGCATGTTGTCCATTACAGAGCATCTCGCACCTGAAATGATGCACAAGTTTACCCGCTATCCATAGATCTAGATATGCGTGAGCTCTATATGCTTGAGGTGCCGTTAGACTGGCCGTATGGATACCTATTTGACATCATCTGCCTCTTCCAAAGGACTCTTCGCAATATATGCAAATATGCAAGTTACTTGATAGCAAGCGGCAATTCGCTGTGTCTGCCTCACCTATTCCAGCACCAACATGCGGCACACATATGGGGGGCCTGTTTTGCCTATTCCGTGCACAAGCTCGGGTGCTGTATCTGGGCAAGTGGAGCTGGCAATATCCATCCAGCCGTGCCTAGATCGGCCCCACGATCCGGGGAGATGGACTTGGATGGAGCACATCAATACCGAGTAGTGGACGACGGCTTCTAGCATGGAACTCTCCTTCGTGCAGGAACCTTGCCCTGCACCATGCTACGCGCGAATGCCTCTGCGCAAAGTTATTTTCTTTCTTTTCTCCCGCTATTACACATCAGTTATACATTATACGGCATCCAGATCCCGCCTTGCTTCCTTGGCCGCCCTCAGCCACAAAACTCTCGGGTAGCATTCGAGAGCCAATCCAGCGCCGTGGTTGGATGGATGAAGCCTCGCAGGCAGCACGCAAGGCATCCTTCCAAGGCAGCCATATGCAAGCTGCGCGAGCCCGGCCAATGTGAGGCCACGATGTATATAAGGGGGCATAGCGATGTGCGGCGCGCAAAAAATGCACATGTTTTGGAGGGCAGTTGTTGTTTTCTCTCTGTCGCAGACGTGAAACTTTTGACGCGTCTTCACCTTCATTCGTTTGTTGATTCATTCATTGACATATTGATTCATTGATTCATCCTCCCAACCGCCGCCCAACATGCGCTTCAGCGACATCACAGACATTGATCGCGAGGCAGTCTCCGACTTTGCTTGGAAATGGCGCTGCAAAATCTTCCCCGTCAAAGACGCTACATTCTCCAAGAGAGCCGCCAAAGATGGCAAGGATGGAGTCGCCGCTGATGGAGCTGATGGCAGCGACAAAGATCCCAACTTTGGCGCCAGCCCCATCGTCAAGACCCTCTACGACAAGAACACTTCAGACCTCCACTCGCGCCATGAATGGGTCGACTATCCGCCCAAGCAAATGTCCAAATCCGCAGCTCGCGCGCAGGACCGCGTCGCCATCAAGGTGTACAAAGTCAGAGACCATCACAAGCCTTGCATCTCGGGACGCGTCCCGCTCAAGTATTTCAAGATTGAGGTTCAGAATCACACGCTCGTGGCCGCGCTGGCGCCAATTGTAAAGAAGGAAAACTGCCATCTTGATGTCAACGAGGCGGCCAGCTTTGAAGAGCCCTTTCGCTGCCTCTGGTTCTGCCAAGATGACATCAGGGAGCTGTACAAGAAGACTGACAACTCTGAGCAGCTAAAGTCTTACCTGAAGCTATTTATCCAAGTCTTGGATGACCTGTTTCGCGAGATGACGATCAAGAGGCGAAATATCCAGACCAGCCATCTGGTCGACTTCAGAACAGCCTGGACATTATTCCCCAGAGGCTCCACGGTATACAGCTTTGGAATCAATGCAGAGTTTCTTGCCAAGGTTGAAAGCACTGCCTACGCCAGCACGCCCTGTGGCAACGCATTGCAAATAAGGGTCAAGATTCTCAAATTCAACGGCGAAAAGTTTGTCTGGCAAGAGCGGGGCCTCTCAATCTATGAATTCGAAGGCAACAAGCCGATCCTCGAGCTTGGACACTACCCGCTAGATTTCCATCAGGATGCACAAGACATCAGGCAGCGCCTGACCGTTCGTGGCCGCAAAGTTCTCGATCTTCAAGGGCTCGAGTATCGCTTATACAACGGAATCGCTCTGTATGATGGAAGTGCCGGTATTGAGAAGCACAATGTCGAGGGCCGCATTCTCCTCGATGCTGTTGGGTATAACAAATATCACCTGACTCAAGGCAAGAGAGAGAATGATAAGCGGGCGCATGTCACCAACGACCAATCAAGGGGTTGGGGTGCATTCGACGCCGACTCCAGCTCGACTTCTGATTCCGATACAGACTTGCTGGACAATGACTCAGAGAAACAAGCTGCTATCCGACGACTGGGAGAAAAGGAATTTTTAAAGAATAAACAGTATATGGAGTCTCGAGCAGACGACATTTGCTTTATTTCCGCAATGCTTGGTGGATATGCCTTGAAGAACAAGATGTGGAGTAGGTGATAGATATCCTCCGGCGGTTGGCCGAGCTGGCTAACAATGCATTCAAACAGTGGAATTTTACATCGAGGATGTCGAACCCATGATTTGGAACGATACAGCGTATTCACATCTAGTCTACGACGACCAGCAGAAGGACCTCGTCCTCTCCTTTGTTCAGAATCACAATCCTCACCATCGCGTCGCCTCGGCAGCATCAAAGGCATCTTCATCCGCTTTAACAGTTTCAAATTCCACACGTCCCGCACCCCTGGAAGATGTCATTGTCGGTAAAGGCCAAGGTCTTATTATCCTCCTTTCAGGCCCACCAGGCACCGGCAAGACCCTCACAGCAGAGGCAGTCGCCGACCGTACTCATCGACCTCTTTTCTATCTCCAGGCCGAAGATCTCGGAATCAGCGCCTCGGATCTCGGCGCCAACATCAAGCGGGTGTTTGAAATGGCCACGGACTGGAACGCAGTCATCTTACTAGATGAAGCCGACGTGTTCATGGCTGAGCGTAACCCCAACGACATACGCCGCAACGAATTGGTCAGCATCTTTCTCCGGGAGCTAGAATACTTCCGCGGCATCATCTTCCTCACTACAAATCTTTATCATACAATCGATGCCGCTTTCCGCAGCAGAGTCAGCTTGCATCTCCTCTTCCAGTCGCTCGGCAGGGAAGCGCGCGAGACTGTCTGGCGCAAGTTCCTGCAGCGACTACCAGAACTTAAAGACGTTGGCCTAACGCAAGATGAAGAGGCTAATGAGGACATCTCTTCTAAAGAGGTAGCATTGGATACACCGCTTCGAGATGTTGATATATACCAGCTATCCCTGTGGCAGCTCAATGGCCGAGAGATCAAGAATGCGGTGCGCATGGTACAGAGCTGGTGCGGCCACAAAGGATATGCAATGACGTTGGATAGACTGGAGAGTGGAATCAGAGTGACAAATCCGCATGCGTCTAAAGAGCAAGACATTGACAAAGACTTGTATGATTAGGTGGCACCAAGTTTTAACTTACACGGGCATCCTAGCAAAAAGAGAGCACCTTGATTCTTAGGAGTAGTTGGACGGACTCTTATCTCGGAGAAACAATAAAATACACTAAATAGTTTTATCCAAAAGTATCAACTCCCACTTTTACAATGTACAAGTTTCTTGCTCCGGTGCCATTAATCATCCAATTGCACATCATCTCCTTCAAATCTTCAACTCGACTGCCGTGCCCCCCTCTAGCCTTTCCCCTCCTAGAAGGTGCAACCATCCCGTATCCAGTAGCAAACGCCGTCAAATTAAAATCATAGCTTCATGGATCCATCCCCAAATGACGTTGTATTCAAAGTGAAAATTGATAAAATGTTGATCAAAGTCGGCGACAATCCGCAACACAAGAGCGCGCCGCATCTCCGATATCGGGCCCAGCGGAATTTGGGCTGAGGCCTACGTAAAGAGGTACTCCGTACCTTTGGAGTATAAGGTATAAGAGCATCTCCAAATTTCACAAAAGCCCCTTATGAAAAGGGACCATCTTGTATCATTGGTCAGCACTATCTGCCTTAGACAAAAACCTAAAGGGCCATCACATGCCTCTCAGCCTCAATTTCCTCATCCGCCCATCCTTCATCACCTCTCGTTGCATACAAGTCAGAAAAAACCACCACATCGCTGCCATGTCCAAGACCGAGGGCGCCACTTACACGCACGGCCACCATGCCTCTGTGCTGCGCTCGCACACCTGGCGCACGGCAGCCAACTCGGCCGCCTATCTTCTTCCCCATCTCAAGCCGGACATGAAGGTGCTCGACGTCGGCTGCGGCCCGGGAACCATCACCGTCGACCTGGCTGCCAAGTACGTGCCGCAGGGCCACATCACGGGCCTGGAGAATGCCGCCGGGGTCCTGGTGCAGGCCCGCGAACTTGCAAAGGAAAAGGGCGTGACAAACGTCGAATTTGTAGAGGGAGACGCCAATGCGCTGCAGTTCGCCGACGAGACCTTTGACGTGGTGTTTTGCCACCAGGTGCTCCAGCACGTCAAGGATCCCGTAAACATCCTGCGGGAGATGCGAAGAGTGGCCAAGACGGGCGGCATCGTCGCCGCGAGGGAGTCCGACTTTGGCGGCTTCATCTGGTACCCCGCCGTGGAAGACATGGAGGACTGGCTGGCATTCTACTCGGCCAACGCGCGGTCCAACGGCGGCGAGCCCAACGCAGGCCGCATGATCCACACCTGGGCCAAGAAGGCGGGCTTCTCGCCGAGCGCCGTGACCAGCGGCTCAAGCACCTGGTGCTACAGCACAAAGGAAGAGGTTGCGTGGTGGAGTGGCTTGTGGGCAGAGAGGACCGTGGCGTCGTCATTTGCAAAGACGGCGATTGAGAATGGCACGGGGACCCAGGAGAGGCTGGAGAAGGCTTCGGCGGCTTGGAGGAACTGGGGTAATGAGGAGGAGGCGTGGTTTTCCGTTCTTCATGGCGAGATTATTTGCCGCAAGTAAGGGGGATGTAATGAGTCTTTGAAAAAATAGGCTACTATTGCTATATGAGCAGTAATGAGAGATGAATACATGTCGATATGAAGGCACATGAGTTAGTTATAAGCAGCTGGATGGTAATTCATTATGTGGTATTAATAAGATATCACAACATGGCGGCTCATAAGGCATGGGATAGGTCAGCAAACCAACTTTTCTGTATCTTTTTCTCGTCTATATAATTGTTTTCATCATATGTCTGCTCGCTTGATGCGATATCAGACTGAACGTTAAATTCCAAATGAGCCGCGTCTCCATTGCCTTGTTTTAAACCGCGTGCGCCCTATTCCTGAAGAAGGGAAATATTGAACCGCCATGTTCATAATCATAATACACAAAATCGCATTTCGTCCATCCAAGACGCCTATTGTACATTGTACACGAATCACTTCTTAAGCCGTTTACCGTACGTTTTAGGCCTCTTCCCAAGCTTCTTTCTGTCAAACACGCTTTCGATCGTGGGCTTCGGTAGCCCAGATATAAACAGCTCGGTTTGCTGCGTCACCGTCCTCTTTTCAGGCATCTCCAAACCTGCAGTCCCCTTCGAACTATCCGCCTGTCCAAACTGTGGTTTTCGTTGTATATTGATGGAAATAAAACCTGGCCTTGACCCTGCAGAATCAGAGTTGCGTCGCGTAAACTTGATCGGAACTAGCTCCTTCGGTGCTTTGGTGCCTGCTGCAAATGATACTCTCCGCTCTCTCACGCTTGCCGGCCGTTCTTCCTGAACCTCTGGTTGAGGTTCTTTGGGGGGATCTTCCATGATTATGTCAGAATCCGTGCGCCTTCGTTTAGCCATGCGTTCTTCGCTCCCTTGAGCTTCCGGCTGGGAAGGTTCTTCAAGCTTCTCAGCCGAATCCGCGGTAGTAGCTGCCTTTGGTGGCCTACCACGTTTCTTCGCTGAAGCCGTGACAGGCGCAGGTATCATAAGTGAAGGCTTATTCGCAGCTGAAGATTTTGGCCTGCCCCGTTTCCTTGCAGGTGTCGCTTCTATATCTTCTTGTACCGCCTCAGGCCCAGAGTTCCCATCCACAGCTATGTCCTCTACTACATCTGCCATATGCTCAGACTTCGATCCCTGTGGCTCAGCTTCCTCATCATTTGTGGCAGTCTCTAGGCCCGTAGCTGTATTAACCGAGATATCGTTCTTGGACGGTCTGCCTCTGCCTCGTTTCTGGGCAGGTGCTGTAGGTGGAGAATAAGTATGTAGTCCTTCCAACGCATCATCTTGTTGAGAAGGTGGATTTCGTTGCTCTATGGTTTCTGTAGTAGGCGCTGCGATATCTGCAGTGGTTGATATTTCAGATTCTGCTTGTACTTCTGGCACCGCACGCGCTTCGGTAGTAGTGGCTGATGCCCTGGCATTTTTTGGCGGTCGTCCTCTTTTGCCCGAAGCCGGCGTTACGGTTGGTGTTTCGACAATGGATGGCTGAGGCTCGTTGGCTGACTCCTGGGCCGCGTCACTTTTTCGCGGACGTCCTCTTTTACTCGGAGCTGGTGTTGAAGTTGCTGTTTCGGCAGCGGATAGTGCATGTTCGTCGGTAAGATTTTGTGCTGTGCTCACCACCTCGCTCTTTCGTGGCCGCCCTCGTCTGCTCGGTGCTGGCGTTGAGCTTGCTGCTTCGGTGGCGGCCAATGTATGCTCATCAGTGGGATTGTGTGCTGTGTTAACCACTTCGCTCTTCCGTGGCCGTCCTCTTTTGGTCAAAGATGGTGTTGAAACTGATGCTTCAACTGCAGGTAGCTGAGATTCGTTAGTTGGCGCCTGTGATACGTCTACCAGGGTATTCCGCCGAGGTCGTCCTCTTTTGGCTGCAGCTGGTGTTGCAGCTGGTGCCTCTTCTGCGTGTATGTCGGATTCTTTGGTGTGTACTTGTGACTCGTTTTCCACTTCACTCTTCCGAGGCCGTCCCCTTTTGGCTGCAGCCGGTGTTACAGCCGGTGTCGCAGCCGATGTCTCTTCTGTGGGTATATCGGATTCTTTGGCGTGTACTTGAGGCTCGTTTTCCACTTCACTCTTCCGAGGTCGTCCCCTTTTGCCTGGAGCAGATGTCGCAATCGGTGCTTCTTCTATGGATATATCGGATTCTTTGGTGTGCACTTGTGACCGGTCTTCCACATCACTCTTCCGAGGCCGGCCTCGTTTGCCTGTAGTAGGCGTCCACTCACTGGCTACCTCAGGAGCTACCAACTTTGGCGGCCGACCTGGTCCTTGCTTCGTTGACGATGCTCGCGTCAGCTCTGGGATCTCGCTCTTGCGAGGCCGTCCCCGCCTTCTAGCAGCTGGGGTCTCTTCAGCTCTGTTGATCTCGGCCTCATCAACCACTGCCGGCTCTACCACCTCATCTCCTTCAATGGGAACTTTTTCGTGCACAGCTATCTCAGTGACCCCAGATTCCTTCGGTGCCAGATCTGGCGGCTCTACTGCTGCATCGCTTTTCCGTGGGCGCCCGACTTTTCTCGGAGCAGGTCGAGGTGGGGACGGCTGTCTGCCTTCATCCATGGTTGGACGCTCATTAGATTCCGCCATGAGCTGGAGCTGTTGCTGTGCCTTGGTATCCAGTGAAGTTTCTTCTATAACGACATTTTCGGGCTCGCAGTCGCCATGCTGTCCACTGACGCTGGTCAAGAAATCTTCCTCCAGATCTCTGTGATCGCGCTCTTCTGCGACGATAGAAGGAGATTCTGAATCGGGTGGCGTCAGTTGTGCCGCCTGCGAGTGAAGTGCCTGTATATTCACATCCATCTGGCTTTGCGCCGCCGCTATTTCTGAGCTTCGAAGTACTTCATTCACAATCTGGCTTGCCGTCATGGTGCCTCTCATCTCATCCATATCTGCAGACACATTCAGTAAAGAATAGAGGGGGTCAGAGAGATCAGAGTCCCTCAAAAACACAGCTGGCTCCTCGATTCCAGCCACATTATCTAAGACGCGGCCTCTAGCGGCTGGCTCCAGGTCATACTCAGATGTGGCATCTTGTCCCGAAAACTGTGCGCCGCGGTCGTGATCCTCCATGAGTCCCCGAAATGATTCCGCCGGCTCTTCGTGGGCGAAGGCTGAATACTGAGACTGAGGCGATGACCGGCTCTCAGTATAATTTGCCACCTCGGCTTGCCCATTCACTCCGATGCTATCCTCATATTCATAGCCGAATTTTGACTGCAGAGCTTGAGTAGCCAAACTCGCAATAACCGCAGCATCTTCGGAATCCAAACCATCATTCATCTGCCAGAAATCCGTGAGAGGTGACTGCTCATCCATGGGGTTAAAGTCCATCGCATAAGTGTACCGGGGGATGCTATCGCCCCTCGACATTAGAGAGAAGTCGAAGCCGAGGCCGTCATAAAGACCGAGACTTCAGCCAGCGGATGAGGAAGAGTTTGCGACTGGTGACAAAGGCATAGATATGCATGCGCCTCGCTGAAACATGGAATTTTTGCTGGTGCCTCGTTCCTTGCAAATTAATGTGAACGCGTGTTTAGATGTTACGGGGCCAAGGGGACGCGCCCCTTAGAATGCTATCGTCACGTGATCCTTCAGTGACGTACGTCGCCGCTATCAGGCTACCTATCTATTGATCACAGTGCTACTCGAGCGATCGCTCAGTTTAGAAAATTGTGGTAGGGAGGTGATTCTCTTATGTATTTATGTCTTTTGGCTATAATTCTGGTTATGCTTCATCATTTATGCTCTTAAATGGTTCAAGATTGCTGGTTGTTTGGAAAAGGCAGCCCGGTTGCAGCGGAGCCACTAAATGCAGCGACAACACTGAAGCCATCAAACAGTACGCAGATAAAAAGGACTGGACTGACATATCAACTTATCATAGCTCCCAATACGATAGAGAGAGAAAAAGAAAAAAAAAAAGTCACACAATGGCTAAGTAAAAATCTCTGCAGCGTAGCGCGTCTTCTCAAACCGCTTGAACCACTCCTGCGGCGTGAAACTCTTCGAGGCAGCATCGTGCTCAGCCATATACACAAGTTTCATCACAGCTTCTTTCACTCCAGAAGCCATTCTCACTCCTCCGCAGACGTAAACCTTTGCTCCGTCATTCCACAGCCGAAGGAATGCCTGCTTCTCCGCCAACAAAGCATCCTGGATGTATCCTTTCCTAATGTTTGGCTTGGAGCCAGCGTCTTCTCTACTGTAGGCACGGAAAACCTGAATTGCTCCAGATTCTTCAAAACAGTCGAGCTCATGGTGATACAAATCGTCATGCGATGATCGGCATCCGAAAAAGAGAGCGGCGGGCGCGAGCTCGGTTCCATTCCGTTGCTGGGAAGCTCGTTCTTGGACAAATCCCATAAATGGCGCAAGACCTGCCCCCGCGGCAACCATGACAACTGGTACTTTAGACAAATCGGTGGGCATCTGGAAAATGCTCTTGACTGGGCGAGTAGCTACGTGGATCAAGTCTCCTGGGGTTGAGTTGGCAAGATAGTTGGAAGCCACACCAAGAAAGCTTTTAGATCTGGGCGGAGTCGGCGGCTCGTCCAATACCGAAAACGTCAAGCTGGCATGATTCGGCTCCCAAGATGGCGACGACGAAATAGAGTATGTACGTAGGCGCAGTGGTGGCAAAAGGGCTACAAAAGTTCTAAATGCGAGGGGGATATCTGGGAATTCCTCTAGCAAGTCAAGCAGGGAAACTCTGTTCTCATGAATGCCCTCCGCGTAGGACGCTGTAGCCAAACTGCTCAAGAGGTGCTTTGTCTTCTGTTCAGTAGCGGCAGCTGCAAGGACTCGAATATCCTATCTATTGTCAACTCAAATTCCTAAACGAGGTAATGCGTAAACCATTAAAATGGAAAAGAAAGATACGTAACATACTCTTGGTGTTGCTGGTTGGGACAGCTCAAAGTATGAACTCAGCAGCTCATGCGCTGTCATCGACGTTTCAACCGGTATATGAACAGATTCGTCACCTGAAGCTCGCACGACAGTATCCCAAGCCAAATGGAAACGCGATAGAACTCTCTTAACGTCTCGCGGTGGATTTGCAGGGAGAACAAGAAGGTGGTCACCAGGATGATATGACGCTCCTGGAGGCAGCTGAATGCCCAAGTGCATCTTCTTCCCAATTGCAGATTCTGTCGTTAGGCTCCGTGACTCTGTCACTGTCGCCTGTACCAACTGGGAATACTGTCTCAATTGCCGCGGCTGAGAGACTTCGACCTTGAGCAGCGAGTTGATCAATCGACTTTCCCCATCATCGCCTCCTCCTTCAGCCTGCGAAATTGCCGGCCACACGACACCAGTGGTCCATTTTTCCAGCTCCACAAAGATATCCATCACTGCTGCATCTGCGAGACCCCTATCAGCGAATCTGTCAGCTCCAGCCTTTTCGAGGAGATCATCAATTAGGATGGGAATCCGCTGGAACGTTGCCACCCAGTCGCGGTGGCCACAGCCAAAAACTGTGTACGAAACCCCTTTCAAGGAGTCTGGCTCTACTTTGTTTAGCCATTCGAAGAATTCCACAGCGTTGTCCGAGGGCGAGCCATCATAAGAAGCAGCAAGGATTATCATGGGCTCGGATTTCGGGAGGTTGTTGCAGGCTGCGTTCATTGGTGCAATCGTCCTTGCGTAGAATCCATGAAGAGCAGCGTCCGATGCCAATCTGTATGCCAATGCTTCACAAGTACCGCTGTTTGATCCGAAGAGAATCGTCAGGGGTTTTTTATCTTTCTTGTCAGCCTGTGCCGAAGTTATTGACACCGCTGAGTCGGTCCTGACGCCTTTTGTTTTTGTACCTGATGACTGCAGCTCAGACTGAAAATCTGTTGCGTTTCCCCCACGCCTGAGCTTCGCCTTGAGTTTGAAATTTTCGGGTTTGATCGTTAAAGTCTCTCGAATCTGGAGCTCGTACGTCGGGTCCGCCATCTCAAATACGAAGTTTTGGAGCAGCATCGCAATAATGAGAAGCGCTTCCTGAGTTGCAAATGCTCTCCCAATGCATCCTCTCATCCCGTTGCCAAATGGCTTCCAAGCATTGGGCGGTAGCTTATTGAAATTTTCATCTAGCATTCGTTCTGGCTTAAACTCAGAGGCATCTTCGCCGTAAATGGCCTTCTCTTGATGAAGCAGGGAGAGTAGGACGATAACGGAGACATTAGCGGGGATCAAATACTTGCCGCCAATTATCTCATCTTTGTCTGAACCCAAAATAAAACCAGGTGCCGTAGGCTGAAGACGCAAACTCTCTTTAAGAGCTGCGTTGAGATATGCCAACTTGGAAAGGTGCTGTACTGTGATTGGCTCGCCTCCGCTTACTTCGTCAACTTCCTGGCGTGCCTTTTCCATTGCCCGAGGATTTTTCATAAAGTAGTAGAAAGTGAACGATAGGAGTCCAGCTGTAGTTTCATGGCCGGCGATGAGAAATGTGATCATATTGTCTATAATGGAGTCGTCGGATAAACCTTCGCCGGTGTCGCGGTCGCGGCCTTCCAGAAGCGCGCCCAGCAGATCGTGGAATTCCGATCCCTTCTGTTGTTTTCGTTCCTGAATAATCTTTCGGCACAGTTCTCTCATGTAGGATGTGTCTTTCTCATATCGGTGCCACGATCTCTTTCGGAGAGAGTTGACGAACTGCGGTAAGGATGCTTGGGTGCTGGACTCTTTCAATATCCTCACCATGCTATGGACGAACGGATGTATCATCACTTCGTTATGGAAACTGTTAAATCTGTACCCCATTGCACATAGGCCGATCGTGTCGAGGGCAAGACGAGTGAAGTCTGAGGTAACATCAATAACATAATCTTCGCCGTAGCGAGCCCTAAGGTTCTCAGCCGTCAGTACAATTTAAAGCATCAAATATCAACTCTACAAAAGCTTACCATTTAAGACACAGCTGTTGAGCAAGATCTTTCATCTCTGGAAACATGTCACGAATCTTGATCGTCCCGAAAACAGGCATCAAAATCCGATGGGCGATTGCCCAATTGCGCTCATCGTTCCTCGCAGTGAACAGCCCATCGTGAACGACGTAGCGCAGCTTGTCCAATTCGGCTGCTACAATTTTGTGAAATCTTGATTCATCGCAGAGTTCGGTTACAAGCTCGGCGCTTTGTACAAATATGAATAATTCGCCTCCAATCGCGAATTGGCATATCGGTCCCAGCGGCTCAATTATCTCAATCAGAGACGCCAGTGGATATTCAAAGTCGATTTTGTGCAGGATTCCGATTACCGGGAGACCTTGTTGTCAAATTTATATCAGTAAACATCCATTTTCCATCAGGTACACTATAGAAAGGTTATTTGGATGTATCTACCTTTGGGTTTTGGAATCTCAATGATATTTAATCCATTCACAGCCTTTGATTCGCGTTCGCTCTCGCGCCTCTGCGTGGGAGCTGCTTTGTTAATACCGGATTCCAGTACCTTATCTCCATTTTGACCTTTGAGTTTCGTCTTGAGTCTTTGAGCATATCCCATTTTCTGCATAAAAGAATATTAATGTAAGAAAGAAGCTGTATGGTGTTTCCACCCAATTCGTAACATCTTTGTTCACGGAATAAATTGCAAGTTGAGAATCAGCCAGACTTGGTTGTTCCAATCGAAGTAGTTTTCATGCGCTATGCAAGACAGCACGTCTTCATCAGCACTTGTTTTAGCCACATACTCTAGGTACTACTTTGAAGCGCCGGCTTGAGCTTAGAATTAGAGCTTACACGTACGGTATGCCACACGCGCGGCTCGGCTGCCGTTAGTGGAATCCGCGGATGCCGTTTAAACTGACTGATCTGTCACTTTTCAAGGCAGGAATTTGTCAATTTCTAATCCAGCATCGCGCCAGCCGTTTAAGATATATTATTGTTGCAATGCTTGTATCTATTGCAGCCAAAGGGCATGCTCCTTAACTTGCAAGGTTTTCTCGCATCTGATGTAATACTCAGCGAGCAAATCTCCCGAACCTTATGCCAACGCTCTAACTCATTACGACGTGATCCAACTAAGCTCATCTTTTAGCTACATATGCAACTGATGGTCCAGAACTTCTTGTCCATTGAAATCGACAGGAACGTGTAGGGCGCCCGAGTAACTTCAGTTTACGACCTTCAAGCTCACGAAGCCCCTCAACATTCGCCTTCCGAGGCTTTTCCTCTTCAAGCAAAGCTTTATGCGGCAACAGTTTTTATTATTCTGCCAGTTTCTCTTTTTTTTTCTCATAATTTTCTCTATTACGAGGCTCAATACACACAGGTGTAATCTGCCTTGCCGCCATATTGCCCCATGTAGCTAAGCCACAGAACGTGCAGAAGCGTATCCAATGCCACATTTCCGACTGCAGTGGTCAAGGCCAAGAACAAAAATATGCAGGCGGCTCTCGTTCAAAATCCCATATGTAAAGTTGAATATCAGGATATGGCAACTACATCAGAATCACCGTCGTGAATGGCCGGTATTCTCAGAGATAATTTCCGTCTGAGATATCTAAAGCGGACAATAAACGGCGAAAACGAATCCCCCGCCTAACCGCCGTGATGAGCTCAAGGTCTGGACAACAGTTATATAAAGTCTATAGAACGATTGCTATCTCGTGTGTTTTTAAAATTTTATATCATCATTAAAATATTCTTCTTAATACACTAACATTTGGAATACTTGCCAACACTCAACATGATGCCAGCTATTTTACCGATGCTGATCTCCTTGGCAGCGCTGGGGTCCACTTCACTTGCAGAAACAGACCAGAAACTGCTTGGACCATCTTTCACGCCGCCAACCAACGTCCTTTCAAGCAATCTGGTTCAGGAAGCAGTGTTGAAAGTTACAAACGCGCTCAACAACGCGATCCATACTGGGAAAAGTACTTTTGGCACCTTCAATAGCAGCACAACTTCCTTTTCCTTGACTGCCATTTCACAGCTGGACTCTACGCCAATAATCGACTTCCATCACACTTCCGGCTCGTTAAACATTTCTGCTGGGAGTGCCTCGAGAATCACAAGCGATACGGTCTATCGAATTGGTAGCGTGTCAAAACTCTTCACCGTTTACGCTCTCCTTCTAAACAATGGAACCAGTCACTGGAACCGTCCCGTTACGGATTTTATTCCAGAGCTGAAACATGCTGCTCAACATCATGCACATGATTCTTCGGCTCTCGACTGGGTTCAATGGGACCAAGTCACGATTGGTGCTCTCGCATCACAGCTTTCAGGAATGGGGAGAGATTGTAAGTTTTCCTCTTTGTTCTGGCTTTTTTGTCCTTTTGTTCTGTTTTCGACTTCGTCATCATCAAAACAAATATTAATACGCATGAATGGAACCACAGACGCCTCAGGCGATCTAGCTGTTCAAAACTTTCCTTGGACAGAGCTTGGGCTCCCCAACCTTCCCCCTCAAGATATACCGTCGTGTGGCATCAATGATAATCAAGTGCCTTGCCCTAGAAATAGTAAGTACTCCCTGGAGCGTGACTTCTTCTTTGTCTTCCTCCTCCTCGATCATAACGCTAATCCCGCGGCTCCAGAATATTTTTCTGGCCTTATCCAGAGGCATCCCGTTTTCCCGCCCTATGGCACGGCTCTGTACTCCAACGCAGCTTTTAGGATCCTCGCGTACGTTATAGAAGCTATTACCGGAAAGTCATATGAAGAAGTGCTTAAGGAAGATGTGTTTGAACCATTGGGGTTGAAACATTCAAGCTCGCTACCACCAGTTAGCAGCGGGGCAGGTGTAATCCCCGATGGAGATGCAGGATGGAGCCGCCTGTACGGCGATGAGGTTGCGTAAGTCAAAAAGAAGTCCCAGTTGATGTAATATTATAAACATTTCGGGATCAATTTCTGACCACTCTGTGAGCATTATAGTACAGGGGGTTTACTTTCTTCAACAAAAGATTTAGTCGAATTCGGACGAGCCATCTTTGGCAATAAGCAATTATCTTCCATGGAGACTTTGCGCTGGATGAAGCCCGGCTCACTCACGTCTTCGACAACTTTCTTCGTAGGCGCGCCCTGGGAGATTGTGCGAACCCGCAGTGGCATCAAGTCTGGCAGCCTCGTCGATCTCTATACCAAGTCTGGCAGCGTTGGAGCTTATAACTCTCTGCTTGTTCTCATACCCGATTACCAGGTCACGTTAGCTGTCTTAGCCGCTGGCCCCGACGCCCCTACAGCATTGAATATTGTCACCGAGACCGCTATTCAAACACTTGTTCCAGCACTAGAAAAGACTGCCAAAGCTGAATCATGCAGCAAGTTGTGTGGAGAGTACGCCCCAGCTGGTGCTTCGCGGGATTCTTCCCTTGTCATTTCCACCGACGACGGGCCTGGCCTTTTGCTGAAAGAGTGGACTCACCAGGGTCATGACCTGATCGCCGCTGGACAAGCTTACTCGAACGCTACACGCGGTGGCGAAATCAAATCCTTGAGACTATTTCCTACGGAATTGCGAAGCGGAAATCAGGCTGCGTACCGGGCGATAGTTGATGCCACTCCATACCAATATGAACCATCAGTTCATTTTGTCTTTGATCAACAAGCCAATATTTGGGGAACGCCGGATCAGCTAATGTACGGTGGGATTGCCATAGACGATTTTGTGTTTCATTTGGATAGCATGGGGGTTTCAGCCGCAGTCGAGCCGCGTGTGTTGAGAGATGTTTATCAGAGGCTGTAGCAATCTCTCCAGAGCCTGATGTATAGCAAGTAAGACTTGATTGTTTGCCTCTAGCCCTGAAACTCAAATTAATGCATGTGTCTAGTGCTCAGAAACGAAGAATGTGCAGTACATCCTGGTTGGCCCCCGATACCCCTGCTCCTCCCAGTTGATGCCGACAGCATAGATGTGCATGCTTGCAAGAAGCGATGGCAGATGATAGTTCAAATATTGTTTCTTAGAGGCAAATAGAGATTTGTTTCATTGTAGTCAGTCTCTTTATATTGGTATGTGCGTTTAGAGGAAATTCCAGCGCTACTATGCACATGAAAAAAAACTGCGAGGGACTGTGATGCTGACCTCATGCCCTGACTGCATCCTCTGTATCTGACAGAAGATGGAACTATATGTACATATCTTGCAGCGGCTTGATTTTATTCTCCGTTATGGGGAAACCAGACGAATGATGCTAGACTTGCGCCGTTGGACAGCTGTGAATACTTTTTGAAATATGACGAAGAAAAGCCAGGTAATTTAGATGCACAGTGTTTCGTAGAACTGCGGTAATATAAGCTACGGAATTTTACCCTTTGGTTCACAGTTTACTCTGATTGACTCAGTCCAATGCCCAGCGTTTTTAAAGCACAGACCTAGTGCCACCATCAAGAAGTTGTGGCTTGAAGCTGACTTGGTGCTCGGACGTGTTATATCCCCCGTAAAAGCAACATGATATCACGAGCGGGGTGCTCAAGTTGGGAGTAGCAAACATCAGCCCCCTGATAACAGGCCACATAGGCGGCCAATGCAGCGAGCATATGTACCTCTTAACCTCTTAGCCGCAAATGCCAGTTCAAATGAGAGACAATCCAGAGAGAAATTCGGCGAGAGAGGGGACCAGCCACCGCGCTAAACACATGAATGGAGTGTACACGCACGAAATTACTGCTATGCGTTGTAAACAGCTGATTGAAAGTGTAGAGCGTTTGAACTGACGCCTGAGTGCGTCCCTGGCCTGACCCCAGCCTCGGCTACAGGGGCCTCCCCGCGAAGCACTTTCTGCGTTTCTCTGCCTTTTTTTTCTTTGTTTCTTGCCTTTGGATGTTTCTTGTCATTGTTGTTTTCTCTTTGCTTTTTCTGATCAAAAAGTCCCATGCAGGTGCATGTTTATGCCAGCTCTCTCTCCCCAGCCTCTTCTCGCTTCCTTCTGCCTCTAGTTTTATGCAGCCATGGAGGGGAAGCAAACAAGTTTGTATCCAATAACAAGGCTTTGTTCGCACCAGGTTTTGCCCATCTATCCCACTTTGCTTACCTACAAGTCCTGTCTACCACGGATCCAGAAGCCGTCGAGCTCGACGCAAGTCATGCAAGGGAAGATTGAAGTCAGCGACGGCTCAATGGGAATACCCGCCCCCTGTTCCTTGCCAAATCCTCCGAGAGTGTATCCGTACAGTACGCAGTACATGGCAGTCCGGATACACGCGACTCTGTATTTGTACGGTCAGCAGAGTGTAGGTACGACAGCTCATAATCAATCTGTGTTGATTAGATCGGGTAGCAGAACGTAGATCGGATATTCGCCGATTTGAAGCTTTAATGTTTTTTTTTCCTTCTCCCCGTTTATATTGGATCCCCTGTAGCCGGAGCGCTCCAATCGGGTTGTATTTAATTTCATGTGTAATGAACTGTATCGTGCAAGGTCCTCGACGTGTTCAACACTTGTCTCGGTGCCATAGGCTCGGATACAATAAGAAAAAGAGAGAAGCGAGAAGCCGAATTCATGGATTCATGAGCAAATATATATACGTTTTCACGCAGCCTGTTCTGCCACCAATCCCAATGTTTCCCGGTTTCAATTTCGTCTTCCCCTTACATCCCACCATGTCGGTGTGGCTTTTTCCCCCTCTCTTTCTCTCATCAACGCTCAGCTCCAACCGAACACTTTAACTGCTGCTGCTGCTGCTGCTGCTAGTCCTCTGTACTCCATGCCGCCATTTTGTGAAACTTGTTCTATGCAGGGAGGCTGCCCCCCAACCGGGTCGGGTTCCGAACAGCCCCCAAGCCCACTCTCATTATGTGCTCGGTGATTATGCAAATTCAACTACTGCAACTGCCAGAAAAAATGAGGCAACCATCCTCCCTGCAGTGTTCTTGCCAGCTCGGGTCCTAGTTTCTTGCGATCTACATGCATCCAGCTTACTCATATGGTGGCACGGTGCATGGAATCGTATTTGTATGCTGACTGCCCCATGAGCAACCAGGTTTACCGCGACTGAGTTAAAAGCCATCCATTTCCAATATCGTCAGTCTGCATGCACTATTTACTCTAATATCCTATTGGAACGCTCGTTTTCTCGCCAGATGGGTGAAACTCGTATTCAAAAATCATTTTGTAGGCGCTTACCTGGCCCCTAATGAGGCGGCCACCAAACTACTTCATACAGCTACAAAAGGCAGTGATAACGCAAGCAGCATGCATACATAGAAATGCCACTTTCCGAAGAAAGATGATTTAGCCTTCCATCATGTTCATATATAGCCATTCAGCGGCCCATGGATTTCTATTGAGAGTGCCCTCCTCACTTTCCCTTCACTACTGGCCACGCAGTGCTACTTCTTCGCTCCCTATGTGCGGCAACTTGCAACATTATTCCATGATCCTCGACTTGGGACGAAACGTCAATTCACTTGCCTTTGCAAGGCTTGGACAGCTTGACAATTTCCCCTTCTTCGAGAGTGAATGACCCGTGAATTTTCCAAAGACTGCTCCTCTATTTAGTTACAACAGGCCCCCAATTTCCTTCCCCGTAGCTTCTTCCTCTTCACAAAACTTGACTGCTGGTTACAGCTGCACACTTTGACCTTTTTCTTTCTCCCCTCACTACTACATATTTCTCAGCCCTACTCGCTTACCACTTTCACATTTTCTTCCTCATTCACACACACTTTGCCGGTACGTATCAACATTGAAAATCCCTTTGGAAATCTGCCAGGTTTCTACCAGACTGGCTACACTCTCATACGACGCTGGGGCTTTTTTTTTACTACTCTCTGGAAAGTGAACTAGGCTGACTGATTATCTGTGGCATCAGGCATCAACTCCCTGCTGTTTTGAAGAAATCATCATCCAACGATTTCTTCTTCTTCTTCCTCCTCCTCCTCCTCCTCCTCCCCATCCTCCTCCTCTTCTTACCCTCGTGAGGATGGATGCCCCAGGCTACAACGAGCCCAAAATGGGCCACTTCGTTTTCAATGAAGCCCCTAAGCGGTACTCCTTCTCCCACTCTCCTGATAGCATCAGGAGTGCCACCACTCCCGGCACTCCAGATGATGTTCGAACCGTTTTTGGGGATCCAATCCCCATTCCTGGTGCCCAAGCCTCTTCTGTTCCTACCACCGGTGCCACAGCAGTTCTCAGCGCTTTTACCCATCAACCCGCCAGTTCCCTCACGCCAGCGAACGAGTTTGGTAGCACTGCTGCAGGCAGCTCCAAGCAGGCTCCCGGCCGCGAGGTTCCTCGCTTCATCAGCAGCAGCTTTGGTCTTAGCAATCCCTCCTCTCAGATTTGGGGTCCGCCAGCAACGCGTCTCGGCAAGAGCACCGATGTTGACAAGCAGACTGCTGCCGCTGCCGCTGCTCACGCACGATGGGGCTCTTTGGACGCCCACATGGACCCCAGAGATGTGTTCGCTCGCCAGGAGAACCTGATTGCTCGCCCATCGCCATTCATGGCTAACCAAACTCGTCTCCCTATGGCAGACAGCATGCTTTCTCGCCCATACAACCCCCGAGTTTCTAACCGGCAATCGTTTGGTTACCAAGCATTCGCACAGCAGAATGAGCCCCTCCGCTACAACCATGAAGCTGAATCAACTCCCATGGAACGCCATATATCCGCTACTTCCAACATGAGCAACTCGTCCTTCGATCTTTCGGAGCTTCAAAACGCTCTTCTCAGCTCTGCCTGTTCTGAGTCTGCTACTAGTCAGCCTCTGGGAATCGACATCCTTCGCATATCTTCTCCTAGAGCCTCTCCTATCCAACAATTTACCTCTACTTCTCTTCCAGCTCAAGTGCCAGTTAGCGTCGCGACCGGAGGCTTCTTGCCCATGCAAGCTGTAATGCAGCAGACTCCTCCTCGAGCCTTCACCACTGAGCTCTCCACCAGCGCTCCCAACACGTCGAAATTTTCGACTCGATACCACGGCATGCACACTGAGACCAACGCCAGCGCTGAACATCTCGCTCCAGAGGAAAACTGCGCTCTTTGGCTTACCAATCTCCCTCCTGGAGTGACTATTCATCAGCTTCTCAAGGGTATTCGTAACGTCGGCCGTGTTTGGTGCAGCTACATCAACTATCCCGACTACGTCACTCACCAAACGGCTGCCGCCAAAGTGGTCTTCTTCACTCCAGAAGCTGCCCAACAGCTGCTCAGTGTCTCTTGGACCCGAGGTCTCTTTGTTCAGGGTTACCGCGTCAAGGTTTCCCACAACCGAATCAAGTACGGCAGCCACGCCATTGCTGGCAAAATGTCCCGCGTCCTCATCATCACCGGCCATGCCGAGTTTGTCAACGAGGCTACCCTCACCAAGTTCTTCAAGGACCGCTTCATTTTCCAGCTCGACGAAGTCACTGAGCTCATCAAGGCTGGAGGACGAGCCGTTATGGAGTTCAAATTTGGCAGCTATCGCTGCCAGTCTCAGATGGGAAAGATGTCTCTGGAGAAAGATCGCCCCCGTGGTCTTGAGAAGGTTGAGTTTGGAGACGACCCTTGCGAAGTTGGCGACACCATGTCGTCGTACGGAATCGCTGCGGAGAGAATTCAAGGCAGAGGTCTTTAATCGATGGTAGGAAGTTGGCTTTTTTTTCTTCTAATAATTGTGTGGTCTTTGGAACTCGGAACTTGGAACTTGGAACTTGGAACTCGGCATCGGAACTTGGAATTGGAACTCAGAATTTGGAATTTGGAATTTGGAATGCGATGGAAAAGTGTGTTTTAAGCACCACTTGCTTACTCAGGATAGACCTTCTCACGTTGCCTACGATTTGGCGGCTAGCTGATTTGGCGTTGGTGGATTTATCTTGCTCGACACAAAATTCAGGAGGCACTTCATGATAATATACTGGTTTAAGAATTCGGATGTCCTATTAGTTTTCTTGAGAATTTATTCGGTAGACAGACAATCAGTCAGATTACAATGCTCGGCCTAAGGAACTATTTGATGCGTAAATACTGTTCTCCTCGTTATCCTCGTCCACCTATGCCACCCAGCCACGTTGCTCTCTTTTCTCTCTTTCTCTCTGTTCGCTTTTTCTCTGCTCGCCGCTCTTCTGCTTCTTCTTGTCTATCTCTTTCTTGCCCTCTCTTGACCATATCAGCTTGCAACATCATCACCTTCCTCTCAATCTGGCTCTCCGTCAACCATCCTCTGCCTCCATCAGGCGCTGTATCCTTATCCTCCGAACCGCTATATGTACCTTGTCCGACTCCTAGCAAAATACTTAGCCCCTCTGCTTTCCCCATGAGCCAGTCGCCGTGTTTCAGGCCATCTCTCCAATGTGATGGAAGCACTTTGTAGCCAAGGTATGCCCCAAGAAGAGCACCAGCAAAGCATGCATTCGTATCAGCATCACCACCTCGCATGATGAGATCGGTTATGAGGGTCTCGAAAATAGACATTCGTGTGGAAAGACTGCTCTCCGAGGCAGCAACCTTTCTCATGGCGAGGCGCAGCAGATGAATGCCCGAACCAAATGTCTTGTATGTATATCCCATCTTGTACATGTCGTCGAGCTCAAGCTCAGTAAGGTCGTTGGCTTTGACATGCTTGTTCAGCTCCTCCAAGTCTAGCTCTGGCTCGTCTTTACAGTTGGCGTCTTTTTCGATTCGGCGCAGTCGGTATGCGGAATACCATGCGATTCCTTTCCCAACTATATCGTCGATATGCTCCTCCTTGAATATTTCCTGCCGTATAAGACCTCTGATAAGCGCTGTGCCGACGGCACATGAAATGATACATCTTGGGTCGACGTGCGTAACAACAGAGTAGTCGGCGGCAATCTGAAAAGTTTCTTCGAGTGTCTTGTTGATACACATGAGTCCCAGTGGGTGTGTTCTCATGATGCTTCCATTGGGCGCAACGTTGTAATTAGAATTTTGCCAGTGTTTTCTCGCAGTACCTTCTGGATCATTGAGGTATATCTGGTTCCTAACAATAGCTCCCACGGTGTGACCCAGGCCCAAAGGCAGAGTATCTAACGCGCGAAGGCCCATTCTAACCCAGACATGCAAGCGAGAAGCAAAGTCTTGCGGGTCCATTTCCTTTCCGTCTTTGTGTAAGAAGGAGAGCAGTATACACATTGCATGATCGGTGTCGTCTGTCCATTCTCCAGGAACGTTGGGGTTCCGATGCGCGTCTCGACGAAAGGGAGTGGCTTCAGATGGAGGACAGAGAGTGAACTTTTGTGATAGGTATGTGAGACGAGCTGTATCTGCGGAAAGGAACTCGGTATATAGGCCGATGGCGTCGCCCAAAGCCGAGCCAAAGAGACAACCAACAATGCGATCGTGGATTGTCTCCCTAGCCATTTCTTCGAGGGCACGCTGCGGCAAAGCTAGGGCCGTCATTGTGGGATATGTTTGACGACTGGTTTAGAAATTGCTGATGGATGATGGTCTTGCAACTCTCTGGTTCTTTGGGTAGCAGAACAGAGCGTCTTAAAGTAGAGAAAACCCAGGACAGCCAGATGAGGTATGAAAATGCGTTGCCCCCAGGCTCCGTCACAATCACAAAATGCCCCATCAGTCCATGACGGGACAGACAGCAGCCCAGCTATTTAGCACAGCCTCTTTCAGCCCAAGCAGCATGACCCTAAATCATGCGCTATAATTTGGCAGCCCGAGGAATAGGACCGCAAGATATTCATCTAACTCTGAGTAAGGTTAAATACTAGGCAGACTTACTAAGAGCGCAGCTGAGATATCTTCCTAGCCGGCGCGGCTTGTGATGGCAAGTGCCGCTTGCCTGAATCCCTGCACCTGGTGCCTGGGTTTAGGCTGGGGATGACTCTCCAAAGGGCCCACCTCCGCCTCAGAAGCAGGGACCAGGCAGCTAGGGGGCTGAGTGACAAAAAAGGGCACATTTGCGAAATTTGGAGGTTTCATTTACATGTAGTATTAATGTCTGTCTTGATGGTCGTGGATGAACAAGAAGGTAAAGAGCAAACAAAACAAACAAAGCAAACAAAAGGACAAAGAAACAGAGAATGAGGCAAAATGGTATCTATCTAAATGTCAAACACATTATAGCTCTAAATGCGTAAAAGAAAAAGAAAATATGAGAGAAAAAGAGACCAAAGAAAAAACCTCTCCTCTACTCCATCTCGTCCTGCTCTCCCTCCAGGAAAATCTCATGCCCGCTGCCATCATGCATGCCTAATGCAGTTCCACAAGCCAAAGCTGACATTGCAGCCACTCCCCACCAACCCCAGGCCACCATGCCGATATCCAGCCCATAACCGTACCACCAGCCCCCCACCACCGGGCCGACGGTGCGGAAGAGCGCAGATACACTCTGCCCTAGGCCGTGGATCGTGCCTAGAACGCTGGGGTGCGGGCTGCAGTTGTTGAGCAGGATGATGCTGGCCGGGAGGGTAAACGTCCGGGCCATGACCTGGAGGAAGAGGATGCCGATGATGCCTAACCAGATGAAGCCTCCCGAGGCGGGCTCGGGTGCCGGCGACCAGGATGGCAATATGGAGAGATAGGGGGCGACGAAATATGCCAGTGGGAAGAGAAACAGAAACCATTGGAAGGATCTCATTGTGCCGAGACGGGCTTGGATGGGGGGATACAAAGTCACCTGCAGCAGCATGCCTATTATGCCGAGGAAAGACGTCGCAACGCCAACTGTCGATGCCGGCATTCCCAGCCCACCTGTGAACAAGAGAGGGAGATCTCGACGCATAGGGGTGGGGGTCTCTGGGTCCCTTGCAGCCGGAGCAAGATACCGGGGAGTTGACAGGAACAGCGACCACATGTTGCCAAAGGCGCCGAGATGGAAGTCGTAAAAAGCACCAGTTAGCAGCGTGAATAAGACGTTCCGCGTCCAAAGGAGGCGAAAGGGGAGCTGTTTCAGCGAGGGCGCGGGCTTCGACACAGGTATATTCTTGTCTTCGAAATTCTCCAGAGTGTGATGCTCCCAGGCGGGAACGCGAGCATAGTTGTCAGACTGTTTTTCACCCAATAAGGCGGCCTTGATTTGATTTCCGAGATGGAGCCCGACGTCGAACTTGTTCTGCCGTACTCGTGATGTCTGCTTGGTTGTCAGCTAAATTGCTCCTTTTTTTTTTCTGCCTTTATCGCAACGTTGAGGGATTACATGACAATCTATGACGACTTACTTCTTCCAAAAAGAGAAATACTATCAAGGTTACAATGGATAAGCTGACGGCGTTGACGAGACTCGGCAGGGCATATGGGTAGTCCCGAATCCACTGAAACCCAAAGACGGCATTTTCTCCAAAAAGTCCAGGAAGAGTTTTGTTGGAATCGGCCAACATGCCTCCCATGACTAAGAATAGGTATATCAGAACTGCGATTCCTCGCATTCAAGTTTGTTTAAAATGCAAGAGCTTTAACTTACTCGGGCCCAGAATCCCAGCAACGTTGAAGCTCATGGGAAGAATCAGAAATGCTCGAGATTGATACTTCTTCTCTTTGGTGATTTCGGCAATCATGGTCCGGCTGTCGTTCGAATTCCCCCGTTAGCCATCTCTCCGATTACTCAATTCCCCGAAGCAAAGGCAAAAATACTCACATAATGCCCACAGTCCCGTTGATGGCACCACCAAAGACCCTCCAAAACGCGGCCCAGGCAAAAGTCGTCGCAAAGCCGTAGCCCAAGCACGATATAGCCGTTCCAGCGAGTCCAATCACCAAGACCCATTTGCGGCCACACCAAGTTGCATCGGCAGCTTTACCCCATAAAATGGCCGTCATCACCTGGGCGCCGGTGAAACATCCTTGCAATATCCCCGCCTGCTGAGAAATATGGGCGTCTGTAAGAGAGTCGTCGAAGGTCTTGAGCTGGTAGAAGACGTATGCTTGCAGCGACGCCACCTGCAGGAAATCGACGAATCGAGAGAGGAACAGGATAAGAAGCTGGTCTTTTCGCGGGAGAGACATCCACGTCACTGGTCCTGAAGAATTCTTGGCTTGTGCTTTCTCCATTGGCGTCATTGGCGTCAGCGGCCGCAGGGACTCGAAATCGTAGCTAGAGCGGCCATTGGCATTGGTATCGTCTACTTCGTCGACAGTGGGAATTACTGCTTGCCCAAGCTGCTCATTGGGAGACCAGGCCCCATCCGGCAAATCTAGAATTTTTCGAGGTCGAAGAGGATCTAGCAGTACTCCTGAAGCAAAGTCGTTGCTGGCAGATCTAGCGTGCGAAGACGCCATGGCAGGATGGATTAAAACAGTTTATGAAGAAATTAATAAAAGAAGGTAATGAATGATAAGACGGATAAATTGGACAGTATATCTTGCAGTAAGAAAAAAAAAGAATAAAAAACAGACTATGTACGAGATTACAAAAAGAAAAAAAAATACTGCGGGAGGTTAGTTGGCGATACCAAAGAGAAGCTGCAATGAAAGTGCGAAATTCACCCCGCCATGCCGTGCCTGACACCCGCTAATACGTTGTGATGACTTTTGCATCGGACCCGAAACGTCCCGTCCACCAGTCATTGTTTTGGCTTCGGCTATTTTCTTTAATTTTTTTTTTCTCTTCCTTTCTAAAATGGAAAAAGTAGGTCTGAATGAGTGAGCAATGCCCGGACACGGCGGTTGAGAGACGCGCAAACCTGCTGTGTATGGGAACGAGCAGGAAGATCATTTGAAGACGGTATGGGCTAGATGGATACCGCGCGATTCCGGCAGAAGCTTTGCCAATCAAGGGGAATAATACAGCTGGGGATGGGTTAGGGAAAGTCTTGGCATTTAAGCTTAGGAGAACTGAGGCTCCGCTGGCTCGACATTGCGTGTATTATCCAATATCTATCAGGAGAATGGCGTGTGAGGTTGTGGTGATGGACGGCGTGGGCACAGCAAACAGGCGCTGATCATTTGTGGGTTTCGGGACATCGGCGATGCTGCTTCATCAGAGACTTGTGAGGGTGAAGGCAACATCAGTCTCACAAGACGCGTGTTTTTATGCTGCTTCGCAAAATTTCATAGCGAGATTAACAAAGACTTTGAAACGATCAAGCTCTTGTTTCTTGATTCAAGAATCCAACGCAATCTGAAACTAGCTATAGATCTAAACCCATCTTCAAATGCCTTAATTGCCGCTGCCTTTGTCTTCTCACTTTGCTGCTTTCAACTGCTCTTTCTTCCACAAGTCGACAAAGCGAGAATCCGAAACCCAATGGGGCGTGCTTGACGTCAGAAAACGGCGTTGCTGTATGCATCACTGCGCATTTCGGGGTAAAGATAATCAGGGGCGCCACATGTGGATAAGAGTAGGAACGCATTCGTCTAGTCAGGAGAACCGATTATCGTCATCAGCGATGAAAAGACGGGACGTAAGCGACCAATCAGTCTTTAGCATGTCATTCGACGGCTACCACAATAGGAATGAACGGCTGGCTGTGCAGAAATGGTTGTTTGGTAAATGTTCAACGGCGTTCCGAATCTACTCACATTCATGACAATTGGCATTCACAATTATTTCTTCTTTTGTTTTATTTCACTCACGATTTACAGAGACAGTTTTCATTCATGCCAGATACTATGAAATTACCACGTAAACAGTGACGCAAGCCACGTTTGACGTCCGCACAGCAACAACGCATCAATTGACTCCGCTGTAGACGGACAATCAACGCCCACAGCCCAGGCGCGACGTTTACAGGCCGATCTAAATATTTCTCCTATTTTATGAAACAAAGAGCAAGATGAAATCTCCATTCTGCCACGTAAGCTATCGTCGTGGAAGTGCCGATCTCTTTGCGGCTGGACTATACAGTGCGGAACTCGGTAGCCGACGAGCCGACGGCGCTTCTTGGCTGTGGATCATTACCATAGAATGGCCATTGCCGAAACTATATTCAATGTCATTGCAGCTTGTTTTTATGCGGTCCCTGATGATCGTCCAACAATTTTGATGATCAACATCAGCCTCTGTATTCTGGAAGAAGGGGTCAACGTGTTTGTCTAGCGCTATCTCTTCTAATATACCGAAAATAGAATACAAGTCCCGTTCCAAGAGAATACTCCCGTTGAAGAAGACGCAATTGTCTTGAAACTACAGAGTAATAATACCTTTTTTCGACGTTCAAACATGCCTAAAAGAAACAAGAGGCAGAAACAACATTTGCTCGCGATATATATCCTTTGGTCTGATTTGTATTTGCCGATATCAAGCAAGTTCGGTGGCATCTGAAAACAGGGATGCTCGGGACCTTTCTATGGATCCCGCCCTCTCTGCTACATCGTCCCCGCCAGGCGGGCACCAAGAATCTCAAAACCGGGAGCAAACCACCTGCGGTGGATAACACTCCTCGGACTGTGCGATGCAGACAGACACGACACATAGAAGAGACCCAATCGTGTTGTCACTACTGACTCGATATTGAGCATGCTAAACTTAGCGGGCGAGATAGCTCGAGTTCGAGGCAAAAGGAGATCCCTGTGGTGCATGCATAGTGACGGTAATACGGCTTCCAGCGCCCAAAGACGAAGATCACAACCATGGGCGTCAGAAACACCAGCAGTGCTACTACGAGTGTCCACCTCCAGGCTGAATAATCTGATATTCCTGACCTGCTGCAAAATTGTGACAATTATCCCTGGTAATGGGATCCGCAGACAAGAATATCTCCTTCGAATGGCATATGGCTTTCCTCATCGGTCATAGACCCTTTGTGATGGCAATGTAGACTATAATTGCCTCTCCTCCCATCCAATACTGAGATAAGGACTCTGTTCGTTTTACTCCTTTTTCCCCTTATCAAATCTAGCAGAGGTTCTTGCCGCCACTCGCTCGTTGTTCTCCCTCTTCTTGTCACTCCTTAACTATTTGAAGCGTGTTGTAATATACCACTGTTAATTCCTCACACGCACCCTCCATTTACACCATAATACACCGAGAGACACCATATATCCTATATAACCGTTAAGATGGCGTATTCTTCCAAGTACACTCCTCGGCCACGTACCGACATCTTCACCAGCGACACGGATATCAACCGTCGCAAGCTCGGCCGTGTAGTCCCCATGAAAGTTCTCATCCTGGGCTTAGGACGCACCGGTACTGCCTGTATGTCGATTTCCATTTGAGCCGATACCATAGTCTCGGCCTTTATCCAAGAACCTTGTAACATAAGCTATGATGCCGTTTCTAACTTCAATTAGCTATGCGAGCGGCTATGAAACAGCTCGGCTATGTCGACACATACCACATGATGAACTGTTCTATCGAAAACCCTCCCGATGCTCTCATGTGGATGGATGCTCTCTGCGCCAAATACGACAAGAAAGGCAAGCCCTTCACCCGCGAGGACTGGGATCAACTCCTCGGAAACTCTCAAGCCGTGTGCGACTGGCCAGCCATTGCTTTCGCCAAGGAACTCATCGAGGCTTATCCAGAGGCAAAGGTTGTTTTGACCAACCGCGATGTTGACTCCTGGCACGCTTCTACCATGAAAACGGTTTACTGGCGTGTTACCGACGGCGAGTTGCGCTGGCTCTCCAACTTCGACTGGGCGGCAAGCATGTACTACCCCATGCTGAAGAAGTTTTTCGATACCTTTTTCGAGGGTGACTTCCCCAACCGCGGTAAAGACGTCTTCCGAAAGCATTATGAAGAGGTCCGAAACCTGGTGCCCAAAGATCGCCTGCTGGAATACAAGGTCACAGATGGATGGGGGCCTCTATGTGACTTCCTTGGCGAACCGATCCCCAAGGAGTGCTCGTTCCCCAATGTCAATGACAACTCAGACTTTGTGACTCGGTCCCGACGCCGCAACCGCAACCAGATGAAGAATGTCGCTTTCCGATACTTTGTCAACCTCATAATCCTAATCATTACTGTGGTTGCATTGTATCAGCTGGGAGTGTCGCTTGGACTAATCTAAACCAAACACTATTGCTCCCCAAAGCCTTGTGGCTTTCATGCTTTGGCTCAGGTCTTCTCCAGAATTTCTTCCAAGGCCGCTCCACGTTAGGCGAGAAAAGTATAATTTATATAACGACGTCGTTGAGATTTGATTGAGTAGGATACGAGATATTTACCTATATTTTGACTCAACGTCGTCAAAGCCTTTATCAGCGGAAATTTTGATCTCAACTACGACTTGACGGCATTGAGGCAAAAGTTTAGGCAAAGATTTTATATAATGCTATTTTTCAATCGGATCGCGGGGAATGAGCACAGCAACGTGGGCTATAGAGGGTGGCCACGCTGGAGTTTCAGGAAACACCGCTTGCCATTTTGCAAATTCGGTACTTTTTTTTTCTCAATTGGGAACGGAGTTTTGGTCTGCTTAATGAGCCCGGGAGGCTCTGGAGGGTTATAAGAAGTATAAGCCGGCGATTTCGAGCTATACATATCGCTCCGATGGCGTTGGAGAACTTGTTCATGACTTTTCTAGAATGCTGTTTTAATTTATACGACAGTCTCAACGTGCAAGAGACCAAAATTTTAATCTTCGTCCGTAATTCTTTCCTTACTCGTGATGCCATTAGACATTTTGCCAACCGGGGCTGTCTTCGCTCTCACTCTTGCATGGTTTCTTACATGGAAGAATATGCTGTATGTTCTGTGTTCGTGCATCCACTTCCCGAGATTTTAAACACCAAGAAGCACATGTATCTCATTACTCATACGTAAATACATTACATTGCTTTCAATCTCGTCACTATCTCTAGCTGAAGTAATAACTATACCTTTAGACCATTCCGATATAGCAGTAGCCAATATGGTGTATATTATGCTTCCTGAAGCTCTACCCTCCAGAGACAGAGTCATCTCTGACAAAGACGTCATGCAAATACTACAATAAGCAAATGCCATATCCAAGAGGAATAAAATCTGCCAGGTAAATCTAATACTACTTTACGTCATTCCTTGTTGTAAGCTCTCGTATCTGCAGATACGTCCTTTCTTCTCTCTCTCTAGCACCACAGCAGCATCTATGTAAACAATGAACCTGATTAATGAGCAAGCTTAATTAGCCTGTGTATAGTATTGCAACTATGGTCATTTTCTTGTTCAATAGAAAGAATAGCAGCTACTACATCTCTCAAGTCTTGCACATCAAGCTGCAGAATGGGAAATAGGAAACTGCGCTCAATACCCCTTGTCACAAGATGAGATCCTTCAGCATCCCTTATTAGGCAGTTATATAAGTATAATCGATGTGTAATAATAAGTAAATCAGTAGTGTCATACATAAGTCACATACAAGTGCAATCAGCCATAACTTCCTTTGTCAGTCGTCAGTACCCCTATTTACAACGCCAGCCAAAGCGAATGATCTATGGACTATTAATCATCTAACCATTTCAATTCAAGTACCATATGATTAATTTTCCTAACTCTTGCAATGATTCTCATCTTCGGAATGCAACGGCTTTAATGAACAGCAGTGATGTGCTGAAGAAATTTTGCTTACACGTGAGCCAGGCTTAGTCCTCCACGTCGTATGACCTCGTCTTCGGGCAGTTTCTCCTTCGGACGGTTTCTTCCTCGGGACGAGCCTTGTTCCGACGATCTGATAGTATTTTTTGCAAGGGTTACGATCATACGACGATACCCATGGCACCCAGTGGATCAAAGGGTTCGATGTAGACCAGGCTTGTAAAGATCGTGCGGGATCACCTCACCATCATTCGATCCTCTTACGGCGACAGACCACAACGCAGCAGTGTATCCCGGAGGCCCCCGTCCTTACTCCGTACTATCCCATTCAACTAAATTGTAACCGCGTACTCCGTACGGGGTATGAAATCTTGTTAATCATTGCGGGATTCCCCGTGGGAAAGGATTTTAATGAAAACTTTTTCTGACAACGTGAGTATCACTTCACCCTCCCCTCTTCGGCTAGCGATGATGGCAATATCTCGCTCCTCCGCTGAGATTTCACATTCCATGTGGCTACTAAGACTCACCCGTGGTTCATGAGTGACAACTCAATTGCATGATCACTAGTAGTGGCATTGTGATTACGGCTGAGATGGCCACAAACAAGCCTCTAGCAAGGCTCGGGTGCTTTTCCGGCACCTCAGCCTGGTCTAGAATTGTGCCATTTCCAACAACAGCCTTGAGTTGGCGCTGTATTTCTCCGTGTATACAACCGTCTAGCTCAACCTTAACCTGGCATGATTACTACAGAGACAATGGCGTGGGCTACCAGATTTGCTCTGCCACCACTTACACCCCAAGCTATTGACGAATGCTAAAGTAGCATCGACAGCCACTCGGTTCGCGACATCCGCATCACTAATCACCTTTTTTTTTCTCCTCGGCAGGCTGAAAATGGATCACCTGAGATGTGAGTTTCATGTAGTGTAAGAGAATTAGCTTATGATTTATGACGGCTTCTTATTGAACAATGCACAATTAATACAGCCAATACGTATATGCCAGTTTTGACTCATTCCCAGCTGAGTAAATAAGCAAATCGAGTCTAATACTTAGTTTAATAAGCCTTTGTAGAGACAGAAAGTGCCCACTTGCCGAGAATGGGGGTTGCTGATACTGATGGTATGAGGTCCAGCTAATAGTATGCATTTCTAGATATGAGTGTAGCAGATATATGACTTGTTTCATCAGTATAAATCAGCCAATGCGCTGGTGGATTCCCTCTACGTACTATATCCCGCCCTTGTTTATGATCATGGTATCATCTTAGGCCACTATAAGTGTTTTGACTATGTATCACCATACAATCATAAATGATATGCTCTTCCATCGTCGCGCCATTGTAATGGCACAAGAGAATCCCCAGCTGACCACCAGGTCCAACAGTTTGTTGTACTAGACTAGTTAATAATATTTCAGTAGCAATTAGCTCCCAAGTCCACCAGAGCAGCGTAAGCATTAGCAACGACTGCCGAGCCGCCAGTCGCCACAACACAACACAATAAAACTACTTTTCACAAAACATCATAGCTCCAAACGTCTAACGCCTCTAATCAGGAACTAGTTTCTTGGAATCAAAGCACATGTGCCTTTTCCCATGGCATATCTCGATCTGCTACCTACCCCGCTGCCACAATTCATCCACGGGGCCTGGAGCTTTGACTTCAGTGGCGTTGAGGTTCAACGCTGTCCTGGCTTGTCTGGGAAGTATGCTGCCACCGCCTTGGTTTCCTTGGCATCTCCAGGCTGATCTCTGATAGAATTGGTATAGTCAAAGGGAGCTCAGGCCAATCTCTTTGTTGTAGCTTCCCACACAAGGCTGATCACTGGTCAGCCGGTGGCTTAGATTGAATGGGCAAACTACGCCATCTTGAAGCTGTTGCTTGAGCGGCGAGAATTTGGAGAACTAGAGCTATGTGCGGCAATCAGGGCGCTCATTAACTAGTTTCGTAGCTATGAGTGCCTCTTTTTTCGACCATGTCCGTGGCTAAGGGCGCGTGAACTGATTTACGGCCTGCTGTTCACTCTAGGGTAAATGTGCTGTCTAGATGGCGTCAAATGATGAGTCTCGAACTACGCCCCAGCTTCTACGTCAGCATCTTATTATGTATTATCCGAAACTCAAAGCCAGATAGCGCTGCCAAAAGAACAAATAAGTAACGTTCTTACTGATTTGACTGTTAACGGCGCGTCCTTTTAGCTTTGACCCTTTGTATTGCCAAGAGTCACTACGAGATTCAGGCAACATACTCTGCGGTAGTCACTAAACAAATATTGAAGCCAATGCCATCTACTACTACTGGGTATACGAAAACACCACGTGCTGCTTCGCCCCCAACACCAAAATTACTTTTCCTCCCTTACGCTTTCCTCTTTTCTTGCACGCTCAAGGTCTCATTGCGGGCCGATAGAAAATACCAAGAACATTCCAAAGCTCCAGTTCCAGATACTACCATCGGATTCTCCGGCCCCACATTCCCGGGCTCCGCCGGCCGTGTTCGTGTTCCCAAGACAGGCAATATTGGGGCTCGGGATGAGCGCAGAGCGCGGCAAAGCCACGTCAAGTGAGCAAAGCAGTAAGTCAGTTACGGGCCTAGGCAAGAAGGAAAAACCCACACCAGGAAAGAATACTGTAGAGAGAGAAAAAAAAAATTCGCTAGGGGTCATGCACGCTCGAAACAGTGGGCAGCTGAGCTATTGACAGGGCGGATGCGACTAGAGCTGCTACTAGCAGAAACTGATTCTTATCCAACAACTAGTGGCCGCGATGCAGTCGTAGCAAAACGGCATGGCCGGTTTACCGCCCAAGCTGAAGATAGGAAACGTAAGCAGTCTAAATCGTGCCATAGCCCAGCGTTTACTGTGGCACCGCGAGATCCCATATTCCGATAGGAGTGGCGTGCCGTAGATGACTTGCAGGTAGCCGCGGACTAGCCACGCAAGAGCCGCCTCAGCCATATTGCTTTTTTGCCTCCGTTTAGTTTCTCCAGGCGCTGATGACTCTGTTTACCTCGCAGTACTGTTACTATTGTTGGAGACACAATATTGCTCCATTGATTTGATTGGCCATGAGGCGTTCTTGTGAGTAATTTCTAGTAGTACATATAATAAAATGTGGATGTGAGTGCCTAGTCCTGTTTCTGCAGTGCCGCCATGCGATTGTCTCACTAAATTGGAGGCGAGGAACATGGTAGAGAAAATTCGTTCGAGGGCATGACCTAGTACACACGTATGGTAGTGTGATAAAACTGGCATCATGCAGGGTTGCTGCAGGCAGAGGATGGTAAAACTTGCATGTAAATTAAACGGTTTAATGAGCAAGCCACTGCTGGCGGCTGGAGAGCTGCATGAGCGTGTGAGCGTGTGAGTGCATATGTGTGCAATGGTGTAGTATTACAGAGTAGTCTGCCCAGTTAGCCAAGGCGGACTCCTTGCTCCGCATCGGCTCGTCCGTTACTGATGTCTATCAGATCTTTGAATCGAACGAGGAGACAAGAAAAAAAAAATTGCATCATGTCATGTCTGTAGATCATTGACGCCATGGAAGTTTAGTGTTTTGATGTTGTTTGTTTGATAGAGCATACTGTACTGCTCAAGCCTGTTTGAAGATCCATGCTCGCTGTTTTGCCTCAAGTAAACGACCCATGCGGAGAGCCCTTGTTTAGCTTGTTGTGAAAAGACGGCACGATCCAGGCCTAGCGAGCACAATGGCAGAAACTGTTGGCAGATCGTGGTCGGAAACTTGGCCGCAGAACTCCAACCGCCGTCATTTCCCCTGTAGTCTGCCGCTGGGATTGTACATAATACTAGTAGTAGATGGCGTTGCTCAGCTGAGAGCCTACAGTACACATTTGCCACGACGTTGCAAAGCCGCAATTAAAAAAGATAGTGGTCGGTAACATCATTGGATCCCGAAGCCGCCCTCCACGCCATCTACTCGCCTTGTGTTGCTCCCAGGTTTACCAGATCCAATCATTCGATACCCTGTTTGGCCCTAGTGCGTGCTGTTGTTGGAGGCTGGAGCATCGAAACTTCTGGGATGAAAGATTTGTGTGTCACCCCCCTTTTCTCAAGTGATGTTCGGGCCAGGCAGGGACCAGACAGACAGTTTGAGGCCAAGAGGCTATCTCTATGTCACATTGATGGATTCAGAGCCAGGACCATGCCATTTCCGAACCGCGTCCCAAGCAGGATATGCTCTGCGGATCCAGGCAAAAGAGGGCTGGGAGGCAATCTATTCAAGTACACACAAATGCCCGTAACCGGCTAGCACTCTATATTTTGTCAACAGAAAAATCAGCCAAGCCTAGCCCAGGGCGAGAAGGGCATGTGAGCTCATTGGGCAGAGCAGAAGTTTTCGTATCATGGCAGCAACAGCATGATACATACTTAGTAGACTGCAGTATGCTGCTAAAAGCAAAGCATTATACCACCTGCTGTAGCAGTGTCTGCAGACGAAACATGGCTCCGAATTAGTAGCACACACTCACACACACACACACACAGAGAGCCCTTTTTCGGCAGGGTTCCGTATGACTGCCATGGAAAAGGAGCTGCGACCAACATTGCATCTCATAGTTTAGCTGGTACAGTAAAGTGATTAAGCGCCTATCAGTCAGTCAGTTTCAGCCGTTGAAAGAACAGAAGAGAAAAGGAAAGAAAAAGCCACATAGCCCTGCATATGCAACACGCTGTCCCGATCGAAGAATGATGAAACCATCGGCTATCAGACAGCGCAAGTGTCATCATCAAACCTCGACTGATCGCCGCGCGGATCGCAATGCAAGCAGCAAAGCCGAGAGCCCGTGCTCGCCCGTCCATGCAAGTAGACACACGCAACGCCGTCAAAGTGAGATCGACGGATCCCAGCAGTGAAAGGATTCACGCCGAGTCAAAGGGAGCACAGGCCACCGCAGCAAGGACCGCCCTTGCTCTTGGGCCTCGAGAGCTCCAGAAGGCCAGATCCCAGGTCTCGCTTGGCGGAGGATCCAGCGCGAGGCTATACCAGGGCCGGCTAGATGCGGGCCGGCCACATTGACAAGGAGGAGAGGAAAAGTTCTCTGAGAGGCGCAGGGCGAGAAGAAAAAAAGGAGACGGCGGCCTGGCAGACCGCCTATTGGCGCGGGATGGTACTGGGTACTCATGCCACGTGCGGATACAGGATTAGTCGCACGGATCGCGCTCTGGAGCCGCAGCTGGCCTGCCACGGCCGCAAACTGTGTACGTGGCCGCACACGTGTACAAGTACCTGCAGCGACGGGCCAATCACGGCGCCAAGATGGCCCGTCTTTCGCTCCGGGTTCTAGTAAGATCTAGACAAACTCTATCGAGTCACGACGTGTGCAAATATTGACTGGAGCGCTGGAGTCACCAACGGCATCACGGGGCCCTTCCCTTCCATCTTCATCTCCGAGACAACTGGATGGATGTCGGAGGGCGACCCAGAACGGACCAGACCCTTGCGTTGCTTGCTTGCACAGCGCTTTCGCATCATCAAGCCACCAGTCAGTCAGTCGCCCATGGCCCTCCTTCGCGGTCGTAGCGCAGAGCTGCACTAATCGCTAATCCTGCTCCAGGAGCGTCTCGAGCGTCGCAAATCTGCAGGCCAGCACCAACGGCTGCCAAGTGCATCAGGTTGACGGTGCAGCATGGCAGCGGCGGGCACCGAGGGCGCTTCCGCTGGACGCCTCTTCCAACCCCATAGATAGGCCATGCTCGTACCATCATGTATGCTTGTGCGAGTATGTTGTAGTACGGCCAGCCTGCAGCAGGACAGCCTCACTGGCCAAGGGTGGGACCACTTGCTCTCTAACCAGAAACAAGGCTGGCGAAGCATTGCATAAGAGTTGGGCGGGGCCTTGACGCTGTGACGCGACGGCTCATTGGCTCATGGCCTCTGCATTGCTCTCTTTGCAAGTTCCTGGCATCGCGTCCCAATCAGACGACGACGCCGCCGCCACTACCGGATGCAGGCGGCCGCTTCTGGCTAACAGCTCCCGTGTGGTCCATCATCGGCTGAGCAGTTGGCTCATCGTGCTGCGGGCGATATTGGCCACGTTTGCTCGCTCTTTTGCTTGATTTCGATATGCGGCATGCGGCCGGGGGCAGGCAGCGAGGTGGTGGACGACTGATTGAGCAAGTAAACGACAAGACTGTGGCGACATGGGAACCGAGCCTGGGTCACTGGATTCTCCAGAGGAGTATGGAGCACGGAGTACACGCTCCCTTGGATGACTAGCTGCTGCTTGTTGGCAGCAAAGCGTACAGCAGCCGGTGCCGATGCTTACACGCAACAACTTGTACATGGAGCATCTCTCTAGGGGCCGCCAGCGACGGCCAGCGCAGAGGAACACTTGATGCTAACACCGGCCGTGTTGTCGACCACATGGCGCCTAATATTATTAGAAACCTGCACTGCATTCCTCAGATTTGCCATTGGCTGGCCCCTTTTGTCTTTCTTCTTCTGATTTGGCCAGCAAACGCTGCACAGGTTAATCCGAAAACTTGCACTCCTGAATCTTGTCTGACACCGCAGAGTGCTCGTACGCCAGCACTCCTAACGGGGAGACTCATACTGCGCTGGTATGAATTCTGCAGCACTATGCCAGGATACGGGACGTGGGCTGGCATAGCATTCAGTCACTCAGGCCAGTCACAATACGGCAGCGATCGCTATCTGGCTCCTGCAGCACTCCAAAGTAGGTGCTTTATTGGCTCGTGGTCGTCATCGATGCTATCACTATTGATGGGGAAATGCATGCACACAGCTGCATTGCACAGCGGAGCAGCACAGTGTCAGCTACGCCATTATTTTTTTTCTCCTCTCTTTTCTTGCTTGTCCTGTTTCGCTTCGCTTGTCCCTCACACCGTTCGTGTTGCAGGCTTTCCTACCCACTCCCTCCACTGTATTGATGCTGGTCTAGTTTCTACAGTAGCAACACTGCTACCAAGATGAAATGGCCGCTTGCAGTCATTGTTCAGGTATTATACCCGCTTATGTTGAGTGCTGCCACGGCACAATAAAATGAGCTACGCCATGTAGCTTCCCTTCCGTGTCATGATGACTTGACGAAGGAGCCTCTAATGGTTGGACAAAGAGACCTACTGCTGCTAACACGAGCATAGTACATGAGAGACTACCTAGTACCTACTTGTAAGCATAATGTAGGCCAGTGTAGGCAGATTGGCAGGTTGGCAGGCAGGCAGGCAGCAGGCAGGTAGGCAGCATTGCTTCATGCATTTCAGTCTGGCTTTGCTGCCTATACCCACCAGACGCCCTGATGAGGGTCAGCATGTTTGTGCCGTGCCGTGTTTTTGCCGTGTGTTTGGCGCTGCAATTGCACAGGCGGCGGCGAGAGAGGAGCAAAGGACCCAGCGCATTATACAGACTGCCTACGAAGCACACAGAAGAACTAGCTGCTGCTGCGGAGCACAGCATACTGGGGCCAGGACATCACCCCGTTTCTTTCACAATTCGCCTCCGCCACGGAAACTTTGCTTGTGGCCTGACAAAGATTGACCAGAACCTCCGTCTCAATTCCAGCAGCCACACATTCGACAGCTTAGAAACGCATTGAGTCAGGCCTGTTCCCTCTGGCTTTCTCACAGACGGGAAGGGTCATGCCAGTCACGCGGCAGACCATGACGCTTTGCCTGGACAGCGAGCTGTGTGGGTGGTGTGTGGTGGGAAGAGGCCAGCCAGTCAGTCAGGTCTAAAGCAGCGCCTTGGTTGATGAAAGCGAAAGGGCGTTGACCTGCGGTGGCCCGCCGCAGATCCGACATGCTCGCCCCATTACGGCGGCTCAATCTTTCACTGTGACACCGTTGAAGCCGACTGGATCGGGGGGCTGGAATCGCCTAAGTGTTTCCTTTGGCCACCATCATTGACGTTGTGAGTGGGACCAAGGGTCGCTAGCGCAAGCCGAGCAGAAGGGGTGTGTGTGAGGGAGGGCGAGCGAGCAAGCGGATGACACAAAGTCACAGCGAACCATTTCATTTGGTGTGTCAGAGCATCCTCGCCTTCTCGTATATTGCTCAGCGTCGCGCCACGATCCCTGCCTCGCTAGTCCCGCGCCCACCAAGGCTGGCGATGAACCTTGTAGCGCTGGTTTAAGAATAGCTGGCGCATTAGTCTCCCCCCTGCCGACTAAGACACCACCCATGCCATTCATCTCTTCCAACAGACCAGGGTCTGATGAGCTTTCGCAGGTGGATCCTTTGGTGTGGATGCTCCACGCAATTCACAAGCCCCGAGACGAAGGATACGCCTGGGGTGCGTCTCTGCTGGGGTCTGAACGCCGCCTCGCACTCTGCTACGCTACGGCCTACCCAAAGATCCACGCCGTGTCCTAAAGGTGCAGCTTGATATCTACCTCATGTTGCCCACTCTCGGCCGAGGACTCAATTACACGCATCACACGTTCACGACTTTCCTTCAACGCCCTATCTTCCGTCAATTCAACTTTCTCTTCTGGATTTCAGGACTCCAGGCCATTTCATCCTCTTATAACCTCTCTTATCAGTCCGGCAACCTCGTCACCCCGAAGCAGTCAATTCAACGCCGTTCTTGACCCGTTCGTTCGGCTGTTCGAGAACTTTTTTTTCTTTGGCCTTTATGCGACTGCTCCTGGTATCCTATTGGAAGCTCAACCTGTGATTCTAGGGACCTCCCTTAAGACCTCGACAGCTTCTAAAAGGAATAACGCATCAACCATTCCACTCTTACCTTGAGGACCTTTTTTCTTATCTCTTATTTTCTTTATCTTTATCTCATTCGCCTTATCTAATATCAATCTCTCCATCCTCTGGTCTGGCACTTGACTTGAATCTTTGGACCACTGAACCTTTTGGAGAGCCCCCTACAAGTCGCTTAACATGCAGCACCATGCCCCGTATGGATATCCCACTCCCCCGGCCTCTCCCGCGTACGACGACCCCAAGTGCAACGTCCAACAGCCCTTTGCGACACGCACTTTCCAGCCCCGATGTGTACCCCTTGCCCCAGAACAGCGTATAGGACGACTTCTTGAGGGTAAGCTCCAGCTCACTGACATTCTTGGTACCGGCGCATATGGTGTCGTTTACACTGCCTTGGATATCAACACTGGAGTTCGGTATGCTGTAAAGTGCCTGAGCAAGTACAATGCCGATGGAACACCACTGGAACGCCGCCAGATTGCCTACCAACAGCGAGAGATTCGCTTGCACTACCACGCATCGGCGCACCCAAATGTGGTGTCCATGCTGAAGATTGTGGACGATCCTGACTGTATCTATGTTATTCTCGAGTACTGCCCAGAGGGTGACCTCTTTTTGAATATCACAGAGCGCGGTCAGTACGTTGGTAAGGATGAACTCTCTAAGAAGGTGTTCCTTCAGATCTTGGATGCCGTTGAGCACTGCCACAACTTGGGTATCTATCACCGGGACCTCAAGCCTGAGAACATCCTTGTCACCGACAATGGAGAGACCGTCAAGCTCGCCGACTTTGGACTGGCCACCAGTGAAGACCGCTCCGAGGACTACGGATGTGGCTCAACCTTTTACATGAGCCCAGGTAAGTACTATCAACTGTCGAGTATCTAGAATAAAAGGACATCGGCTAACGGAGAAAATTGTTAAGAGTGCTTGGACCCTTCCGCAAGGAAACCATACTACATGTGTGCTCCCAATGATGTCTGGAGTCTGGGAGTGATCCTAGTTAACCTCACTTGCGGACGCAACCCATGGAAGCAGGCTTCCTTCCAAGACTCTACCTACCGAGCTTATGCTCGCTCTCAGGATTTCCTCAAGACTATCCTTCCCTTGACAGATGAGCTCAATGATATCTTGGGACGCATTTTCAACCCCAACCCCGAGCACCGGGTCACTCTCTCTGAGCTACGGAACAGGATCATTGCATGCTCCCAGTTCACCGTACCAGCAGTGGCTCCCATGAACGTGCCCACACCCACCTCTACCCAAGACCAATACGTTTCCAACGAGGACGCAATTGTCAATGACTTTTGCGAATCCCTCTCTTCTGCTTCCGCGACGTCGGATGAAGGCTCACTCATCTCCAGCGTATCAACTCTTGATGATCTTGATAACGATGAAGAGGATGATGACTTCATGTCAGACCAGCAAGACCTGCCTCAGGAATACATTCAAACATACGAGCCTGAGGAACTCTGTGAACAGCAACCCATGTTCCACGGCCAGGAGTTTATTCCACAACAATACACTGGCCCTGTTCTTCACGCTCCTATTGTCCCTGTTCCTGTAGTGGAAGCACCTATGTCGCACATGCCCTGCCAGCAGGTCCCGGTTCCTATACAGGCACCCATTCCTGTGCAGCCTGCTTGCACACCGAAATCCTTCTTCCACTTGTGGGAGGTGGTAAAATACGTTCAGCAGGTGCCAATGATGCAGCATCCTGCGCCTTTCCACCAACAGGTGTCTTTCTTGTCGTCGCTGCATAGCTGCTACTGAAGACCACGACTTTGTAATATCTTTTCGACACCGACTTTCAAACTTTTGGCTTCACTGAACATAATGTATCCACTATTTTTACACGGGCATCGCGACCCAAAGGCTCGAAGCCAAACTGTCGAGAACTCGTTATCTTTTTAATGCTGCGCCAATCCGGAAGGAAAAGGAACGAAAAGGCGTTTCGACAAAATTTCAGCGACAAAATTGGATGTCTCAATTTGAGATATCAAAAGCCTAATATTCGATTCTTTCTGTGTTGTATCTATCGACCATTTTTTTTATAACTATTCGCCTACGCACTGGTTTTTTTCTTTACTAGCGAGGAGTTTTTTTCTTTCTAATTTTTATCTAAAAGACGAGGAGTTTGGGGAAGCGTGTCCTTTATACCAAAGGCATTCAGCACCGGCGCAAAGAACATATATGAGAGAAAGAGGCATACAGGACATTTCTTTTTATCTGGAGAATGAGAGACGGGGAGTTATTTGTCAATTTTTTTATGGACATGAGACGGAAACGACACTTGACGATTTGAAAAACACAAAGCCGATTAATGGGGAAGCTCGATTTTAGAGCTGGACTTCACAACACTCATTCGCTACTGGAAGCAACAAAATGACGATTTCCAGTCAATTTTTTTTTTCTTTTGTTTACGATGGGCAAGGAACCTTATGTATGGAGGTTTTAAGACGCAAGGATTTGTTGGTGTTCTGTTTGTGAGAGATCACACAAAGATAGAAGATTTTTGGCTCGTTAGCCTACGCGGAGATACCGCACACGTTTTTACTAAGAGGGAGAGAGGCGGGCAAAAGCCCAAGCCTATCAAAACAAATATACGTTTATCAGACACCATAGTTTTCTACTTCTATTTTTCCAATGTGCTATTTGACCTGTCCTTTGATCCTATTCTCGAGGCATGCAAAAACGTATAGAAGCTAGTCTACTGAGCAGCTCTGAGTGAGATGGGACAAACGTGAAATGGCGACTAGCTAGAATGAACATGGCAATGGTGTGCTTACTACTATGTTTAGTGACGTGAAGTATTGATCACGAACACGGCTACAGGCTTGGCCAATACTTCAGTCAGCGGAAAATGGGCGCCAATTTTACTACCTAACCAACTGCCATTGCTTCTCTCACACTAATGGACCACGCTGCCATTCTACTGTATGGGTAGGTAACATGTGGTCCCAACGCCAGTTCATCCCCTGAGCTAGTGGCCGCAGGTTCCGGGACCCAGTCACAGATTGACAAGATAGAAAGAACGCGCCATTTTTGGAATAGACAGGGGGTGTGAGGAGCCAACGCACATTAGTAAACAATCCATTGCTATGCAGTGCTTCTTTCTCTCGCCCAGTCGTAGGTGAAGAGAATGAATGTGCTTTCGTAAGGTGAATCAGCGGAGAAGCAAAAGAAAGAGGGGGGTCCTTGTTCTAATCATGGGACTGGCGTGGCGCCAGCCTAACTTTCCCTTCCCTTCAGGTTTCTTTAGAGGCAGGAGAAGGGATGTGGATGACGCTAAGCTCTGGAGCTACGATAGACGAATGCTAGCGTTTTCAATGATGTGGAGGCTTATGGGATTCTGGATGATGAAGCAGATGAGCTGTGCTTTTTGTTGGAGAAAGCGAAATTAGCGCGGATGGATTGCAACCCTCCCTGCTTAGCATGGAAACGACCTTCCCACTAGTCACAAAAAGCATTGAATCGACTACTCCATAAGTGGTGCTAGTTCGTAGGTTGGCGTTGGGTAGGAAAGGCAGAAATTGGCTTTCGGCTCTGGCTGGCTCGATGTGACGCTGTGGGGTGGTAGGAACCGATATCACAATCTGGATTGGAGCCCATGACAAACTGCGCTTGGACAGGACTAGATTGGGCTGCTGGAAAAGAGGGGACGGCAAAGACCCAGACCACCCTTGGAGGGATAAGGGAAACTGGGCTGCGATTCGCAGACGGAGGAGATTGGAGATGACGATGATATGAGAAAGGAGCCAATGGCCTGGATAGGCGTCGATGTGTGTGGAGAACAGTCTCCAAAATTATAGAACGACAAGAACTGAGCAACTGATATCTGGGCTGTGTTGGGTGGGGATGAAGAAGGGGGGCTGGATGCCGTGCTTCTAATTGGAGAGACGGATGGTTGTTTCGGGCATAGACAAGTTGGGGGAAGAAGCTGCTTGGTGCTTGATGCTTGATGAGGTGGTGTGGTGAGGTGGTATTTTCTGCACATGCAAGCTAGGACGTGCCAATGACTGCATTTCGAAGGTAGCCAAAGCAGGCTTACAAGTCGTAGCAGCAGCATTAGCGTAGTGTCGATGCAAGAAGAGCTTCCATGGGATTGGACGGACACGAGCTTGCAGGAATCGAGGCAGAGCCACGGGAGATTGAAAACAGCTGCTTTGTAGCACACATACTGCTGTAAAGAAGTGGCGAGGGCGAGGATCGTGCCTGGTTGGTAAATACAAGGATATTAGAGTGGGCTTGTTGATTTCTCGACTTGCACGGAAGAAGCCTGGCCCAAAGCCCGCTGGGCAGATATTATCACTGGGTGTGAGGCGAGAGGCGATGATTGGGTCGATTCACTACATACGAACGATTTGCAGCTTCCTGCCAAGGGTATCTTGGTGGTTCGCGGGCAGAAACTGGAGGGGAGGCCTAGACTAGAATGATGTTGAAATGCGTGTGAGAGATGAGGGGGTTTTTACAAATACTGTAGAGAGATATGCCTATGGCGGCCGCGATGATGCCATGAGGCCGGGCGGATGCAGTCATGGCATGGTCTCTCTGCCTATTGCAGTAGTTGCTATCAACGAGGCTGTTTTGGGAGTCTTGTGTGATATATGGTTGGTTTGATGAGAGCAAGTATTTGGCCCCATCTTTAGGCAATCGAGATGCAAAACATTATCCAGTATATTCGAGAATGGCAACTTGCTTTGGGGGCATGACGAAGCATGGTTTGGCCAAATCATCGGGGTCTTCCCTAATAATACTACTGGTTCGTAGTCTACATCCTACCTTATTCAACGGCTATTTGTAGCATGAGAATATGCGGCATGGTGTCATTACTTCAAGGCAGGGCTAAGCAAGGGGATTTTGATGCAAGCCACCGCGATGCAAGGAGTCTAGATGGCATGTGCCAGCATCATCTTCCCGCCGTCAAAAGTCATCACATCATCCTGGGCCTTGTTCGCCTTGCTCCAACGCGTTGGATTAAGGCTGAAGATTCCGTCCCAGATAGCATCTAATACCTAGAACCGCCCTGGTCTTTGAGGGGTAGTTTGCAAGGTGCCCATCCTACAATAATAGAACTTGCTCAAAAGCCAAACTTAATTAGTGCCATCAGGGAATAACAAGGCAACGCCAGGAAGAGCGTGGACACAGGGCGAGGCAGGATTTTGGTGGCTTAGGAGCTGGGAAGCTATGTAGAGCTAGTAGCATGGCCTGCCTTGGCTTGCTATTTTGGCTGGAGTCTCAGCCGGTGTCACTGGTGACACTACTGCTGATGCACGTTTACTATAGATTTACGTGTATTGCTAGTATGGATAAGATGAGAACCGGCTATGCTCGTTAAAGAAATAGAGGGTGAAGATTGGAAATGCGCCAGGGGGGTAGGCTACAGTGTAATATTCTCTTCGGGGTATGACTACGGTGTATGCTGAGAAGTGTTGTTGGGTAGTGGCTTCTCTACCACGTTGACATGTTGATATAACCAAGGAATTCAGGCTTTTCTATAGGGTAGAGAGATTTACTGCTAGTACTAGTACTGCAATAACCCGTTTACATCTACGCAGAGCAATAGAAGTTTCAGCCAGAAAATGAGCCCGGTTTGATGTCTAGCCTACGCCCATGCGAGTATGCAAGATATGTGCAAGTGCAAGTAAAGTAAGCCGGGCTCCGTGTCCCGGGGAGCGCCATCTGTCTTTCCTTTGAGACCAGGCTCTTACATGCCTGTAAGCCAGTGCACCGATTATCAAACAGTCACAGGCATAAAGGGAAGCATCAGAAACAAAAATAAAAACAGCCATGAAAATTGGAGGCCATAGGGAGAGACAAATACACGCCCCCGTTGTATGACGGGAACCTCACGGGACCATAAGACACAGCAGCATGGGTGACGGGGCTCCTCTCGTGCATCGGTCAAGTTATGACCGGGGATCGTGGTTTGAAATTCGGAAGAATGACATTTTTCTTTTCTTTTCTTCCCCTTCTTCTGCTGTTGGGCATCACCCCTGATCAAGCCTCATGGCAGCCTAGCAGAATAAGACCAAGATGCTAAATCCCAGCCGGCTAACATGGGGGGGTCAAGCTATTCCTGGAGCCCAGTCTCCCAGAGCAGACATGTCATCTTGTATTACTCCATAATCGAGGTGATGGTGATGGGGACCAGAGTCAAAGCTCTGATCACACCGCTACTGAGGGGAAGAGCTGAAAATACAGTGGCCGGGATGATACATACATAGCTGCCAGTAGCCGTTGGATGTTCTTACAGTAGGCAGCTGAAAAGCCCATGAATATGACTAACTTGCTAGTACGACCGACGGGCTGACATAGTGACAGTCAATCAATGCTAAAGCCAACAGCCGAGAGAGACACACCGAAAGCCTTGCGGGTTGGTGGAAATTGCAGTGCTTGGTGATGCCTCTGGCTGATTTGTGGCTGTCTGCAGGATTCCTTAATCATTTTGCAGCATCCTATTCTTTTGTTCACGGAGCACAATCATGCCGTGCCGCATCCCACAGGGGAGAACCAAGCCGCTGTATGTTGCCGAGCGGCATTGCATGCTGTGCGAAGTAAGTATTGTACATAGTATGAGTCGTCGTTCAAGAGACGAGGACCCAGCAGGAAGCAGCGGCAGGTCGAGGCAGACGCAAAGGCAGACGCAAAGGCAGAAGCGAAGCAGTGGTAACGCTCTCACTCACTTGCTCACTCAATTACTCGCACTCGGCTCAGACTCAAGCACAAGGCCATCCCATCCTTTCTCTTCGTCCACTCCATCCATCCCGTTCTTGCATGAATTACAATGCAGTTGCTCTCCACCTTCGCTTGAGCAGAGGCAGTGGCCATCAAACCAATCAAGCATACAACAGAAAACAGCAACTAACGGGGCCAAAGATATCCTACCACTCACTGCGACTCTATACTCCAGAGGAGGGGGGCAGCATCAGCTTCTCTCCCGTCGCCACGTATGCGCACCACATGTATAGCGCCACTATGCATGTCTCTCCAGGAGGGGGAAGAGCCAAGGTAGCAACAACTAACACGAGTAAGGCGTAGCTGTGTGGCCAAAGGCCATGTGCGCGGAGCATGCCGGTATCTGCTCTTGTAGGCTGCTGGGCAGTAGCAGTAGCAAGCATGTAGGCCTACAGCACAATGCATCATGCAGAGAACCTCCTCCCAATGTATGAAAGAAGACAAATAGACGAGGAGGCAAAAAGAGGGTCAGGCGGCATTTGGGCTGCGCTACTGCTGTGACACGAAAGAGCACGCAGTCACATGCGGTGCTTACTGCTTGAGGGAAATAGTGGAGGTTAGGACAGGACGGAAAGAAAGAAAATGAGGGTCTGCTTTGTGAGCTCTCATAATTGTACCTTGTTGCTGTAGTGAGAGGAACTTTCAGGTGAGAGAAAGCAAACAAAACGTGAGAGTTGACAGCCTGAGCAGCTCGCTTGGAGATTCCTGCTTGGGTCGCTGTGCATGATTTTGACCCAAGTTTGTTGGTTTTACTTTTACTTTTATATTCAATTATTTCTTCCATGAATTAGATTGGTTGTGATACTATCTGTATGTCAGGGCCAGGAGCGAATGACTCTCCCTTGCAGCCGGGAGCATGAGTGTCATATCTGTTATACATGATTTGGCATATCTTTGTAGGGGAACCCCTCGTGGAGCAGCAGAAGCGTGGCATCAAGGAGTATCCGTAGACTGGCTCGGGCAACGACGTCTTATCGGGTGCTTAGCAAAACGACCCTTGCATCAAAGCGTGGCAGCGATGCGGTCAGAAGGAGATCCCAAAGTTACCCGTCGCTTATTCCTAGGCCTTTGCCATTTGCCTCCCATCTCCTCTTTCTTTCTAGCAAGGCACGGGATGAGAATTGGCATGCAAGAGCCGGGCTGCTCCACAAGTCCCTAAGCAACTTATCGGTCTCGATGGATCAGAATAGCATATACAGTGCTACGGCTAACGCTAGCGAAAGTAATGAGATATTGAGCCGTGATTTTGAATGCTGACTTGTTTTCGGCAGGCCAGGGTTGAAGGAGGGGTCCACCGGCAGTTGTCTTCGTATGGTTTCCCTTATTGGTAATGTCCTTGGATTGACATTTGTAGATGAGCCGAGACTCTGTGAGATGTAAGGGAAGACGCCATAGCGTTTAGGCCCATCTGAGCCGGCTAGCAGTACATAGTATCCGTTATTGCAAATCGCACAATGACATAAACTTCAGCAACATCATTCATCGGCACTCGCTGGAAGCCATCAGCGCAGAGTGAGCTGATGGCTTCCAGCGAGTGCCGGCGCGCTATGCAGCAGGCTCGGTGATACTGTAAGTGCGCCCCCTTGTAGTTCTCTATTACTCCGTATTAGATGTACTCTGCATTTGGCCGAGACTTGGGCTCAGCTATGGCGTTGGGCTGCAACGGATGGTACACCAATAGCGCCTTGTACAACTCAAAGGCGACCCAGCCACGGTGCATCGGGCATCTCCAATACACTCCGTCATCTTGCTTCAATGGTTTCAGCAGCCCAGTCCGTCGGGCACGGTGGATCAGCAGAGGCGAACGCCAAAGGTGTGCGTTTCGTTTTTTCACCGTGGACACCGACGTCTGGCGGGATGTCCAAGCCCGACCCGATGCCATTGCACTGGAATGGAGCCAATAGAGGAGTATGGTAATTGGCAGTGATAGCACAGACAGAACCAACGAAGACGCCCCGTCCGCCGGGTTGGACTATTTGATTGCTAACAGACTGGCCCTGTCTAGCTGATATCAGCCTAGACGGAAGCCACCGTGAGATTATGTGATGGACCGGGAGAACAATCTGCAAAGTGGTGGCAGTGCGATCCATATCACGGAGCGGCAGAACAAACAAACCGGCTGTCGCCAAAACATCAAAGGCCCCCTCCAAGCACGGGATGGCGTTTGACATGCACGCTTGTTGCAACAAAGAGGCTCGAAATGAGCCATCATGATTGCTAAGCTGCTATTACCTTTTCTCCACAGCTTGGAAGTTTAATATCAGCAAAGTTTGTATCAGATCGGTCACGGGTTTTCTTTGATGGAATGACGGACGGTGGGGGGGAACCGCTCCGGGATGCGGGTTGAGATGCGGCGGCCGACCGGTACTGCCGGGAAGTGCATACGTAACAACTATGACTTCGTCTCTTAGGAGGAAGAACGACGAAAATCCACAGTATTAGATCCACGGAGTTTTGGAGGTTTGCGAAGCCGCGGAGTTGAGACCTTGGGGGCGTGGACAAGTAAACGGGAGGCTAAGACTCTAGTCTATTGCGAAACTGAACCAGTGTTTGGGGAGGAGCAATTTTGAGATACTTTGATGACGGAGGTTCCTTAGTTTTAGCCAAGTCCTCTGTTAAGATCCAAGCCTTAGTAACATAACCTGTAACTGTGAGACCGTCGAGGTATTCCTCTTGTATATCGGCAGGGATGGATACACCTTTTCTTCTACAATGAGGTAGTTGGGGATGATTTCATCAGTGAGAAGCCACAAGACCGACGATGGTGGCGATTGGAAGCATATATCGAAGTTTTAAGATCTAATTCTAGCTCTCCCTTACAAATTCACGCACCGGCAGAACGACTGCATTCCTTCCATTAATAAGACGCATCATCACGGACCAAATAGATGCTGATGGGGTTAATTCGGACACCCTTGCCCTTTCCAATGTGTAACCGGAGAACACGGATTCAGGCTTACACCGTATATGAGATGCCAAATATTCTCAAACAGTGCCCGTTAATCTGAAACTGGGCGGGATGCCTCTATAGCACGTGTAATACTTGGAATGACACTCCGCGATACTCTCGTTCGAAAGCGGCCCAGAATAAAGATATGTCACTGCAATACTCAATCGGTTTGAGCTGCTTCTTATCACGGCTGCCGCGGGATGGACAGACATTGGCCTCATGGTTCCACAGCATCCGGATGACGATAAGCGGTAATATGCTTAATCAAGCCGGAAAACTGACTGGTGTTCGCACCAGAAGATTTTTTAGGAAACCAGAGAGATTGCCTATCCTAGAAATAGCTGGAGATGCTAGGCATCTGCGTGCGTGTTAGATTTGGAAACATGAAGTTTAAGTCCGCGTAATGCTGAGAGGGCTCATGCTATTGTTGTTGCCACGAGTTCTTACACTAAGTTTGAGAGGAATGTTATACATTGACGATTGATGATTGATGATGGGGAACGGTGACGAGGCCAGCGAGGACCGTGATTCTTTGCCGTATGTAAGAAGGTGACATGCAGCGACTCAGCTGTTTGGAGAGGCGAGGGAGTGTCTTGAGTAGAATAATGAACAGCTCTCTGTCTTACAAATGGATAACATACTAGAAGCCTTGAGTGTTACGAAAGACAAAGCCTTGCCGAGCAAAGTTTCAGGTCATGTGGACCTATGATATTCTGTACGCTCAAAAAAACTCTAGTTCTAAGAAGGTTCTATTTTTATATAATCAGCACGGCAGTATGAAGCCTTCCGGGCCTCCTGAATCATCGGAGGCTGTGATAGTTCGGCTCCGGTGAGACCACTTAAGACGGAAGACCGGTGTGGGGCCGGATCGTTGGGATGTAAGACCACAGATGAAATATTTACCTGTTAAGAAAAATGTTTGATTCTAAGAATCTTGTGGTTGAACACTGCCGTAATGTATCTTCCTAGATGTAACGGGTGATGAACAATATCTGCAATAACGATAGACTGAGACCTAATATTAGATGACCATCCAATACAATGTTGCACTAAAGAAACGAGCATATCTCTTGATGAGTACTTGTATAGAACAAGAATATATCACAGCATGTCTATAGCGCTCATTTGAGACTCTGGAGGGTGTTGATAAGTAGTAGTGATATATATGTGTTTCTTTATAGTAGACTGTCCTCAGTAAGTCTCGTGCTGTCATAGAAGTATTTCACATCATATTTAAATATATATATATTGAGATAATTCTACCAAGAGTAGACATTCAACGCGTTCTAATAAAACCTCTATCTTGCCGTGATAGTCAACACCAAAAACTGCGGTCAAACAAAATATCCGTTCAACAAAGTCTCATCTCTACACTATACCAAGCTTTTCACAAAGAAACAGCAGTCGTGCTTCACTCCACTCGACGACTTTGCATAATTAGGGCAAATCCCCCACTCTGTCCATCCAGTCTTCAAATAAAACTCTCTCGCTGGCGTCTCCTTCGACGTATCCAACAACAGCATTTCCAATGCAAACTCTTCGCGAGCAACCTTCTCCACTTCGTCCATCATCCATTTCCCCAGTCCATGCCGCCGATAGTCAGGATGCACCATCAGCTTCCTGACCTCGCCCTTGAAAGCGTGCGTCTCCTTTGGCATCCTCGCCAACTGCACTGTAGCGACGACTTTATCACTACCAGGAGGTGTCGCTATGAGCAGCGTGGTCGTAGCGCTAGGTCCCATCACAGTCGGTAGGAGCTCAAGCCAGTAGCTGGCAGCCGTGTGGTCAGAGAGCGGCGCCAGGAACCCGAGGGACGAGATGTCGGGTTCATCATTGATACAGTGCTGGAGAAGTTCCCGGAGTGAGGTGAGGTGCTTCTCCACAACCGAGGCATCTGTCACGGAGGACAAGTTGAAGGCAGGCTCGGATTTGCTCCCCATGCTGGATAATAGGAATCGAACGATCTAGAACGCGATGCCTCTTATGCCGTTGGGAGGAGACCGGCGAGTTAATGAATGAAGAACACTGTGCGATGCTCCCTTCGTTTGGACCAACTTCCCGGATCCGAACGAACTCGTTATAAAGCGTTGGATGGCGATCTTTGAGTCATTCACAATTTGTGATAAGTCGATTTGGAGCGCTGGCTATCAAGTGTGTTCCCCTCGAAATGTCCCCCTTTTTCGATAAGGAATTGATTAAAAGATTCTATTATCAAATCGATGTTATCATAGCTGAAGGAGGACAAGGAAAAAGAGTCATCGACCACGATAAGAGTTCCGGTCTTCTTCCCACTCTTCGGTGCTTTGATGACCGACCGGAAGATGTGACTCGGGACCAAGTGGAGGCGGCTGGTCCCTAATCGGCATCAAAAGCCGCAGATATGCGGGGACTTGGATTGACCTCTGGCCATTGTCGATTGTGCCAAAATAGGCGCGTTGTATGTATATGCATTGTAGACAGTATCGTAATTTACAAGATCTAAGGGGAAGAAGCGAGATAAATGTCTCTTGCACTTGTAGATTCCAAAATTAATCGCATTATATCTCGAGGGTTGTTGAGCGAGGAGAGTATGAGCGTGGACCATTCTATAGCTAATACTTCAGCGAGCCGCTACAAATAGCAGCAAATACAGCCCGGCCTTCATCCCTTCACTGCTACATCGAATCGCGAAAGTTTAATTCAATGCATTATTTGTTTGCTTGAGAAATACTTTGCAACAAATTGCCTTTGGAGTAAGCTATTGTGAAGTGATGAAAACCACATGGGCCTGTATTGCTGGCTACCTAAACAAGCTACAGCACAGTCGATTTATTATGGAGTACTGCTGTCTCGCATATGCGCGTATTGCAGCAGCGCACTGGCCGTTCGTTGTCCAGCACTGGCCTGTAGAGAGTCGATTTGCCTAATAAACCAGTTTGATGGCTCATATTCGATGCATTGTTGGCTGAATCAATCAGTCTAAAGATCTGGACCTGCCGATCATGAGCCTAGTGAAAGTGTGATAATCATCTGCATGTGATATCTTCAGTTTGGGGTTTTGACTTCGTAGTACCCACGTAGAGTGATTAAATACTGAGTATTGTTTCGAACGTCTCTTCATGCCTATGGAAGAGGCATCAAGTGACGATAGAATTTGCATTTGACATTTCGTATACACATGATTGGCCGCATATCGAGTATCACCATTGCAAGCTCGCATTTGATCAAGGACGGAGATGGCATTATAGTTTTGATTCGGCCATAAAACACCCAGTAGGAAACTTTCTGTGACAATACAATCACATGTACGGGCATCTCAAACCTAACAGCACCCCCTAAATCCCCAGTTTAGATCATGGTATCGCAATCTTAGCGTCTGTAGTTGTCAATATTCACGCTGCTACGACAGCCAATTTACCCCAGAAATGCACAAGTAATCACTCAGTGTGAAACAGTGTCTCATCCTCATCTTCGGGCTCATTATGTGCGAGAGCGGAGGAGCCCTGCCAAACTCCTGTTGTTCGTGACGACTAATGACAAAAAACTTTTCTGATACACTGCTGTCAAAGAGCCCAAACTTCGGATTAGCACTCAGTACACCGCTCACGAATATCCCAGGAAGTAAACATGAGAGATAACCTTGTTGAGCGGTCGACTATAAAGCTCTCCTGAAATCCCACGATATCTTCTCCTTTCTGCTCATCAAGCTTTCACACAGCACAATCTGAAGCATCTACCACTCTGCCACTTTTTCAAGACTTTATTTTATTTCTAACTAGAAATTTCACTATCAAATATTTCAAAATGTTCTCCTTCATTACCACCACTATCTCAGCTCTTTGCCTGGCCCTCACTACTTCTGCTGCTCCCACTGAAGCAGGCGTTCAAGCAGCTGCCTCTCAGACTGGCGATATAACCTGGTACAACACCGGCCTTGGCGCCTGTGGCCAAACCAACAACGACAGCGAGCTCGTCGCCGCCGTATCCCACTCTCTTTATGACCGCGAGCACCCCTGCGGCCGCAAGATCCGCATCAACTACCAGGGCAGGTCCCTGGTAGTGACCGTTGTCGACCGCTGCCAAGCTTGTGCTGAAGATGATGTTGACCTCTCTCCTACGGCTTTCGAGAATGTTATTGGCCCACTTGGTATTGGCCGTGTCACTGCTAGCTGGGACTGGGCTTAAGTCAGCCTATCTTGGCCGCTCTCAATGTGATCTGGAGCTTTTTTCTTGAAAGGAATTGATTTTATTGTGGCTGAGAAAATGAAAAAAGAAAAAATGATAAAAAAAATGAAATATGAGGCAGATACTGTTAAATCCATTGAGAGATAGCAATAATTTGAACGCCTACAGTTGTAACTTTGTTTCATTTCTTCTACTGATAGAGGAGTTCCTGCTGTGGTGCTCTTTATCTGTGATCCCAATTTTGACCCTTCAATTGTATTATCGAACCTCAAACCAAGTCATGTATAATGAAACGAGTCTACATAGCTTACATTTGCTCTATCTGCGACGAGCTTGCATGCCGTTCAACACTTGGCGCTTCGGCCCGTCCAACCCCACCTTCCGGACCCGAGCCGGATCAAGCCGAAGCCAATGATATGTCGAGGCATGGAATGTCGAGACATTAATATGATACGGATATGAATAATGAATAAGGGCATATACGATGATATAAATAATATTTATTCATAACGCTGCCATTTCTCACGACAATTACATCTTGCTTGGCCACTCTCCTATCTCTTCCATACTGTATGTAGATGCCATCCCTGTGGCGTTCTTGGCGATAACTGAATCTACTTTATCTCTGACTCTGTACGCTGCATGAATTCGTACGAGAGAAACTGAGGAGGTAACTTACAGGCACCCCCTAATTGGCCTGCGTCTTTTGGCTCTCTTGGAATCGTTTCATGGCTAATATGTTCCCTAAAAACGCATAGTATTCAAGGGGTTTGATTCGCCTCGCGATGGACTATCAACTACCAAACACTCTGCCCAAATTAAACATGCTAGAAAAGTACTAATAATATTTCGGTAGAGGGACTTAAGCGTCTTTAGGCTTAATTGCCAAGTCTGCCGAATGTAAGGCTGCAAACATCTTTGCTTCAACTCTATGCTTACAAGCAATTTCTCGGACCTCAATCCATACCACTCCCACTCTCCACCGCCCCCCCCTTTCCCACTCGCCGAAGCAAATCCAAGATCAACCTAACTAGCCATATTTTCTTCAATTTAGCTGATTAGATCATACATCCATCACAGGAACGACAGAGAGAAGGGTAAGACCAACATACTCCACCACTAGCTAGATAGTCTGAAAACCCCAGCATGCCGAGAACAGAACGGCAACACTCCCGGCAAAAAGACTCAATAGCCTCCTGCCTGATTAGTCCTTCTGATGTCCACCAAACAGCTAGTTATGCCAAGAAAAAACAAGCTCAAAACAAAGCTCTAGCTAGCTCCTCCTTCGCATCACGCCCAATTCAGCCGCTAAAGGAGAAAGATTAGCGCCGCTTTATGACATCAACTAAGTAAAGTTAAGCACACTCTTCATCTAATCGATGACGAAGAGTTGTATCATGAACAACAATTCCAAGTTTTATTCTTCTCTAGACGACAAAATCGCAAATCAACCCAAAAATGTCTTGCTTCTAGCCTTGATCATCTTTTCTAGGTCTACTCCCCCATCAACACCAAAATCACCATCCCGCACATCATTTTTAGTCTCGCATCTCTTCCTCTGTGCTATCGTCCTAAGCTCTTCTCCTGTCTTAGTGTCATCGAGTATCACATCTCATGTCACACGCTTGCACCTTCTCCCTGTGCACTCAGAGCAGCCTTGTTAGTTTCAATCCTCCTCGTACCATTAGAATACCCTCTCACATACCATCCGGCGCATCATCTATATTCGCCACGTCTTCCATCCCATTTCTCCATTACACATGGCATCATAAACAGGCCTAGTCCAGTAACCTTGCCCATACGCCTTCACCCATATCCTCTCATCAAATATCCCTCATTGATCACTCAACCCGACCCGACATCCGTCATACCTTGTAAGACAAGACCCTACGTCTCGGGATATTGCCACGTCCGTGCATCCCCAAATCCCAAACACCCTTGGCTCCCTACGACCCTAGTCTTTCCAGTCGATACAGTGCTTAGTCGCATCCGCCGTCATACAACAGCTACTAATTATTTGCTAAAAAACACAAAACACGCTCAGCTGTCCAACTCGCCTAAATACAACTTGACTACTCGCACATCACAAGATTTGCCGAACGGTAAAAGGACGAAAATTTCTCAGTCCCCCCCATGAATGCGGCAAAAGTTGGCCAACGTGCCATGTAGGAAGCCTAGTTGTGAGGCGTGTTGCACAAACATAGCCTGTACACGTGTAATTGCATGACACCGCATAGTCTTACAGGGGACATGAGTGAGCGTGTGTGTGAGAACGCCTTTGCTACTCGCTTTTTTTGTAGACGTGTCCAATTCTTGTGGTGCTAGAGGCTTAGATTGTATGCCAGTCTAGCTCCAGGCATGATTCGCATGTGATATCTTCTTATAATATTAATCATAGCATGATATATGAGGTATTACACTGAGCTATCTAGAGAGTAATCAGAGACGAAACGTGTATACAGTAGCAATGCGCACAGAGTGTCTCATATATATGCCTTGACCTTACGGAGATATAAGCGATACACCTGTATATCTGCAAGGCCATAGGCGTCTCGTCTAGGATATAGAAGTTTCATAGTGATAAGCAATTCAAAACACTCCTACGTCCGTAGGAGCCCCAAGCCTTTTGTATAGCGTGAGCAAAGGTATCTTTTCTCGTCAAGGAACAGAATTGTAACATAAACAAACCACCATAATAGGAGCCAATTGAACAAGAAAACAAAGCAAGTTGGGAAAATCCTTGGATCTGTATGTAGTGAAATCTCATTCCTCTTATATTCTGCAATCAACGTCTATACCCAGTAGCCCTATCGCCGGGGTACTCCGGATCGAGCGACGAAGAATGGATGTTTGAGCGCATCAGCTGGCTTCAATCGCTTGTCAGGATTCAAAGCTAAGCAGTGATCCAACAAGTCGATGAAGTGATTGAGCTCTCTGCTTTCAGCATCGTTCATACCGCTTGAAGCAGCCAAAAGTCGCGTACGCAGGTCCCGTGTCGGCTTGACAATGTTTAATGGTCGCAGCGCCGTCTATAAGTGTAATACGTTAGCCCTAGTCTCATAACAACAAAGGAAAGAATCTTGGCCCAAAGGAAGCCACAGGCCGAGGTTTAGTATACATACCTTGCCAAGTACTTTGTCGCGCTCAATGCTGATAAACTGTCCCTGGTCGTCAAAATGGACACTTGATAATTGACCACGTTTATATAGCTTTGGCGTTATTCTGCCACGAATCTCCATGATAGTCTTAAGCATCTGATTATTGCTGTCTCCCGTGAACAAGATCTTGCCCGTGTAGAGTTCGTACAGAGTGCAGCCTATAGACCACATATCCACTCCATAGTCGTAAGGCATTCCTAGGATGATTTCAGGGGCTCTGTAGAAGCGGCTTACGAGGTATGGCGTAATCTCAGTATGTGCGGTCGCGGCATCGGAACGATCAATAGCTGTTCCAAGATCGCATATCTTGAGGATGTTTCGAGTCTCGTTGACCAAAATATTGTCAGGCTTCAAATCGGCGTGGATGATGCTGCATTTGCGCATGTGGGCCAGGGCGACAAAGATCTGGTATGCGTATGCTTTTGTTGCTTTCAGGTTGATGCCTACGTTATTGCCAAACTTGCGCAAAACTTCACGCAAGTTCATGCTAAGATTCTCAAAAGCCAAACATAGATGGCCTCGATGGTCGAAAGAATGTTCAAACTTGACAATGTGCCGTCGGTTTTCGGGATCCGCTTCGTTGAGCTTTTGAAGAATAGCAATTTCTGTATAGCCTCCCTTGCGAAGGGCGTCGTTATTTCGCATCATCTTGATAGCGACGAGCTGCTTGGTAGTGATGTCAACTGCACGAGCAACTCCCGAGAACATACCCCTGCCGAGTGTAGCCTGGATCTGATAACGGCCTTTGAGAATTTCACCGATACGGATCTTGTAATAGCCATCCTTGTCGTCACCTTCGAGAATGCCTCCCTTATCAGCGGCCTCTGCGGCATCGTTGGCTTCAGCAGGTGCTGCCGTCTCGTTCGCCTGGGCCTTGCTAGCATACTTTTCCTCGTCAAAATCTTCCGCAAACATGTCAAAATCGTCATCATCGTCTCCCTCGCCTGCAGATGGTTTTTGTGGAGTCGCACTGGGCGCTTCGTTTACAGGGTTCTGCTTGAGCACGGCTACAGGCTCAGGTTCGCCGTGGATGACGACTTGTCCATGACGCAGTTCATGTCGGCGCTCATCTTCCCTCATGTCGACAGTAGGGTCGTAATCGGCAGCAGAAGGGCCGTCCTCATCGTTAGCTTTAACTGCCCCATGAGAATTCATGAGATCTTTGTCGTCGAAGAGATCGATGCCTCCAGGAGAGGGCGCGTCATGCGACATGGGCGATCGAGGCGACGGAAAATCTGACCAGTTAGTCACTGTTAAGGAATCATGTTTAACATGGTACATACTTGAACCTGGAGACTGGGACATTTTGCTGTCTGAACGCTGAGACTGAAGCGGTGTATCCGATTGCAAAGATGCGGGTGACAATGCTTGAGCTTTAGAAGTGGCAGCTCCGACAGCATGAAGAAGGAGAGGCGTTGCAGAACTGGATTTTGCTAAAAGCTCACCACGTCTTTTGCGGCGGCGTTCGATTTCTGCCTCTTCATCGAATTCTTCGGCTTCATCGTAGTCTACCTCGGGTTCATCCGGCATCGAAACCTCCCTATTCTTGCATCAGCTTGTCTTGTCGTCTAAATTTTGCGCCAGGAAGGGGAGAAAAAGGGGGGCATTCAGCTCACCTTGAGATAGCGGCAGACACAGAACCGTCGTTTTGAGTCGTTTCCTTCTGAGTTTTAGCATCATCTTCCAGTGCCTGGTTTGTATCCCCTGCGGAGGCTTTCCTAGCTGCAGAATTGTTGCCCCGAGTGCTCACATCAGCATCATCATATCGCAGTGTCCGTGAATCGTGTCGGTCAGAGTAGCCTTCTCGGACAAATCGATCCCCGCTTCGCTTGTCTCCGCGGCGGTACTGGTGAGGCGACGGGCTCCGTGGCCGAGGCGATCGTTCAGAATATCGATCTCGGTCGCGATGGTATCGATCCCGTTCGCGGCTTCGATCGCGCTCTCGGTCCCTACGACTACGCCAGTCATAACCCTGGTTCGCAATACGTGATGCAGGCCGGTCGAGATCGTCATATGCAACGCGGGATCTTTTGTATTCATCCCTTCGATGGTCGTCGTAAGCACCGCGATCATGGCGAGCGTCTTGATCTCGGGCTTTGGAGGGAGGGAGGCGATCCCTATCATCGCGCGCGCGCTTGAATCCTCGCGGCGAGCGGCTTCGTCGAGACGAGTTGTTGTACTTTGATGTCGTATCGAGATCGGGCGAGGGGTTTCTATTCCGCTGTCTGTCTTTACGGTCAACACCGTTTCTCTCCGCGTGCGACAGTGAAGTTGCCTTCAAATCTCCAGCTCTCTCTTCAAGAATTTCACCCTCATCGGAACTGGACGTCATTTTGATGCCTTTCTTATCTGAGATTTTCTTTCTCCTCTGGACCTCTTGTGGGCTCCCTTTCAGTATCAACAGAGAATGTGTCAGTAATTGATCAGGATAGCAAGCGCGTGGCAGGCGAAGAGTCCAACCAGGTCAGCGTTTTGACTCGCCCAAGAACTTGGACACAAGATAGTGGCGGCACACGATGGCTCTAGGAGGCTTTGCGGTAGTTTCAGTTATGCCTCCAAATTCAAACAACTAGATAGGAAATAGCTGACAAGGCACAAAGAAAGAAAAACGCGGCGAGTCAGCTAGGCGACTGGAGATGGGAAGCGATGGCGAGACGGTCTTGAGATAATGGCGGTTGGGTTTCAGATAACAGGAAGAGCGGCAAGGATCATTCAGCCTAGCGTGATTATGTAAGTAGTGTAATCCCTGCAGCCGGTCTCACCGCCCAACCTTTTGGGCTGGCCTCTGGAGGCCTTTTTTTTCTGGGGCTGACGATCTGCCACCTGCCACCCGCACCTCAAAGAACCAACATCTCGGCCTGAGATTCTCTGCAAATCCGACTCGCATTTTCCTCAGTGATCATATCTATTAAGTCAAAATGGGTGGTTCTAACCGAGAAGGTGATTTCATTTTCCTCTCTCTCGTTCTGCTGATTTCCGCCCCACCAAACCGCCCCTCCATGGCTGCTGACGATGGAAATTTCTAGGCGGCAAGGCCAAGCCCTTAAAGGCCCCGAAGAAGCAGAACAAAGACCTCGACGAGGACGACTTGGCTTTCCTCGAGAAGAAGAGGGCTGGTACGGCTCCCCCTCCTGTAGCCCGACTACCGAAAAATCCCCCATGTCCCGTGGAAGCGCAGAACGCAGACTGACACTTAGCAGACGAGAAGGCGCGCAAGGAGTTGGCTGCCAAGGCCGGCGGCAGAGGCCCTCTGAACACTGGCACCCAGGGCATTAAGAAGAGCGGCAAGAAATAGACGAAAGGCGACGAAGCAATATGTTATTGAGGAACGTTTACATGAGCCTGCTGCGACGTTTGCGATAATATGGGAAGCTACAAGCGGATGCCTGTGGGAGATGACTATTCACATGGAAGCGACTGTTGGATCATGGAAACGCCACATCCGCTCTTAGGGATAAGATTTGTAGTTTCCGCAGGGAATGTTACCCGGCGTTAGGAAATATATACTTTTTATACACTGATTGGATATCTGCGAAGATTTGCGCCGTTCGAGTCTATTCTGGCGATGCGCCGAGAAGCGCGGCGCTTTAAGGAGCGATTCTACAATACAGAAAGAAGTGATGCTACATGAAGATCAGCTGGGCTTGAGGCTTGAGGCTACGAGATGTCGACTTTTGTCCATATAATACTGAATTCTATGTCTACTCGGCATATGCCTGCATCTTGCACATCGCTCAGCTTGGCAGAGGAAATTTGCAGAGGCCTCCCAAGCAAGCCTCGTTTCTTGAACAAACTTGAACAAACATTAATGCCACAATCTGCATTGTTTTTTTTTTTCCCTTAATCACACAAACAGTCCGGATGCTGCATCCGAGTTAATATCAGTATTCTACCACTTACAGTGAAGCCATACCAAGACCAATGCCTGCCGATCTAGCGCTACCAACTACGGCCTGTCATGTGCAATCGTCTCCGATCAAATGCAGCGCCAGTCTCCGGCCAGCACCGAGGCCCCCAACCATTCCGCCGAAAGGTCCACCCAGGCCCGAATATCTCGAGCGACATGCCCGCATGAAGACTCCCAACAACTCACTGAAAAATTCCGTTCCATTTCGTTTGCCAAGATGATAAAAATGTGAAATTGATTCTTTTCAAATGAAACATAATACGTTTCTCACATTAATCAATTTTCTTCTTCTAATTATATAAGAAAAAGAAAACAAAAGAAGACAACACAAGTTAATAAATTACAATCACCATGGCGGCGGGCAAATCCACCAACGGCGCCTCATCCTCGTCATCATCAGACGCCCTCCGCAAGCGCCGCCTCTCCGACTCCCTGCTCTCAGCCGTCAAGCACGCCGAGCAGAAAGTCGAGCAGAAACTCCTCCTGCTCTGGGACGATCTCCCCGCCTGGCGCCGTGACAACGCCTTCATCCTCTCCGGCTACCGGCCCATCCGCCCATCCTACACCGAGTCCGCCCGGTCCCTCTTTTACCTGCACAACGAGTCCGTCAACATCTGGTCGCATCTCGCCGGCGCCGTCATAGCCATCGCCACGGCGATCTGGCTGTATCTTGTGATTCATCCGCGCTATGAGACGGCCAATTCGTCAGACGTGCTGGTCTTTGCCTGCTTCTTTGGCAGTGCCGTGGTGTGTCTGGGCATGAGCGCAACGTATCATGCTTTGACGGACCATAGCCAGGAGGTTTCCAGATGGGGAAATAAACTAGACTACACTGGCATCGTGGCCCTGATCGTGGGAAGCTACGTGCCAACGCTGTACTATGGCTTCTTTTGCCATCCTATCCTGATGGCGGGATATCTGTATCTGGTGAGTGGACATTCGCACAATATTCAGACCAAGTAGATGTGCTGTGCTATTTTACTATAACTGAAAGATATTTGTATGTGTAATCTCTGACACATGAAAACCACCACAGATATGTATCCTAGGCATGGGATGCGTGGCCGTCTCTTGGGTTGACAAGTTCAGGACACCTGCCTGGAGACCCTATCGTGCTATGATGTTTATCAGCTTGGGCCTGTCTGGCATCATCCCCATATGCCACGGCTTCTTTAAATTTGGCTACCAAGCTCTCGAAGATAAAATGAGCCTCAGCTGGGTCGTATTGCAGGGCCTCCTGTACATATTCGGCGCAGTTCTTTATGCGGTTTGTTGCCCATCCCGTTACATATTCAGCTACGGTCTCTAACCTTTTTCAATCTTATAGGCTCGCTGGCCTGAGAGAGTCTATCCTGGAGCTTTTGACATCTGGGGCAGCTCCCATCAGATATTCCACATGTTTGTCCTCTTTGCGGCGGCAACACACTTCTACGGCATGGCAAAGGCGTTTGATCACCATCACGCGGGCATGGGTTCCCAGTGTTTGTAGGTGAAGGAGAAAAAAATTTGTAAAGAAAGTTTTGGAACATAGTACTACTGGCACATATATTTATAGACATGGCATTTGCGCCGAGATTCCACTTGATAATTACGCCGTTCCCTCGGGGTATTTCTCCAGCCCTAAATCAATTACTCGTACAAGTCCCGAACCCATGGCTACCGCCGCCCAAGATCCATGGTCCTGGTTAGGATTCCACTCAATGGCAGTGATTCTCGTCAGTGCTTCGTGTAGAGTGGCGCGAAATGGGTCAGTCAAATCGCCAGCTTCGTCATCGTCCTCTTCGCCTTCGCCCTCCTCTCCTGCACCCTCGGCAGGCTCCTTGGCCCGTAATTTCTTGCCCTTCTTCGCGCTTGGTTTTGCCTCTGGTTTTGAGTTTCTGTTCTTGTCTACTGCAAAGCCATGCAAGACACGACAGACGCCCCGAACCGCTGCTGGTGAGTCCGGAGGAAACAGATATCCCGGCCGGTGCTCATGTTGGAAAACTCGTACCTTGTCCGTTGATTCGTGCCGGTTGCTGAAAACTTCGGTTTGTGCGTTGAGACACCATAGAGACCCATCTGTTGCACCGATGAGCAGAAAAGGGTGAAGTCGCCCGACAGCTAGGCATGTGAGAAAGCTATCCCCAGTAAACACCCGCCGGCAGACAGGGAAATGCGCATGATGCAAAAATCCAATAATGGTATTTAGCGCACTAGCAGACGGATATATGGATAAGAAACCAAGAAGATGATCACTGTATGCCAAGAGACCTGGTTGTGTATGTACCAGCGGTCTTTGGGCTTCGGTAGTTTCGTAGCTCGGGGCCTGGAGATCAATGACTCTGGCAGTGCCGCCCACTGGGATTGAAGCGATGATATTTGGTAATGTTGGGTATCCGGACACCATATCGATGATGTCGCTGTGATGGACTGGGTGCCTAGATAAGATACGCTGAGGATATACCGACCACAGAGCAATCGACCCATCCGAGTAGCCGACGGCTATTCGATTGCAATTGACCCACGCTATTGCAGTAGCTTTTATGCTGTACTCATCAATCAAGTTGAGCACTGCAAACGGCTTCTGAAGTTTGTCTGCAGCTTCGTTAGCATCAAACAAAAATGACGAGGAGAGGGCAAAGAGCGGATGATCCAATTAGCTTACAGTAGGCTCCCTCCTCTTCGCTGTCAAGATCCCCAGCATCCGCAACATAGACATTTCCATCGCTCGAGAGGACCGCAATGTGATTGCACGACGGGCTCCATCTAACCCTTCTAGCCCTTCCGTAGTCCAAGCACAGAGTCTTTCGCAGTGTAGCGGGTTCTTTTGATGTGCGAATGAATTCCTCATCTGTCTTGGTGCTCTTAAACTCCCAAATCTGGATAATACCCTGCTGCTGGAATCCGGGCCTCACAGATTCTTCCTCGTAATTGTAGAAGTCTTGGTCGGATTGGGGTATAATCGCCAGGGCAAGCAGCTGTTTTGGGTTCTTGTCTCGCCGAGGCGCCCAATCCATGCCCAAGACAAGGCCGCCAACATCCAGCATCCATCCGCATTCTATCTTTTCATCATCCTCATCCTGATCAAACGGTATATTGCTTTGTGATAGGGAGCAGCTGGTTCCTGGTTCCATTCGCACTTCCTGCTGCGTTTCAGGCGGTCCTGTCAAAACAGGCATGCTCAACTGCGGAAATCGGTACATTTCAGACTCTTCGGGAGGTAATTCTGACCACACCTCATTAGGTGGCAGGCCCTTGCTCACTTGCTCATACCATTGCTTGGCAAGACGGGCCTCCTTCTCAAAGCCACCCGGAATCCAAAACCCCTTGTCAGTCGGTTCATCTTCGTCTTGCGGCACCTTTGGCGGGTACAACGTCCATCCGCTCCATCGCTCCAGCAGCATGTGAGCCATCTCTATGCGCTCGGGCCGGGGCCCATACAAGGTCCTCACTAGAGCCTTGCCGCGCATCCCTCTCTCGTACGGCCCAACATATCCCTTGTGCTGGCCTTCTGGGGGGATGAGCTCAATGTCCAGATATCCCGTCACTTTCATTTCACCAGGATCGGAGAGCTTGGGGGGTTTTGTTTGCTTGGGGCGCTGGCGAGAAGGTCTCTCTCTCACATTGACTTCGCTGGCGCTGTCGTTCATCTGTACATCCTCTTCATCCTCATCTTCGTCCTCGTCCTCTGCAGCGCTCCGCTCCTCCGCGGGCGCTTCGAAATTGTCGTCATTCTCATCGGCAGTTTTGCGACGCTTTTGAGTCTGGCTTTTCTCGTCTCCTGAGCTAAGAAAGTCGTACTTGTCAAGAGTATATTGTTTTGTGCGATTCGACCTTCTGGTTCTCATAGTGCGTCGCGTGTGAGAAAAAGTTGAGTTTAGAAGTCTGAGAACCGCGACCTGGTGGGGCTTCAGGTGCGAAAAAATATACTTTTGGTGGTAGCAGCTGGTATGGAAAAGCCAGCCTCACACCAGAGATGTTCACGATAGTTTCACTTAAAAAATTTAAAATGAAAAATACCTTTTTGGCTTATGATTTAGAGTCCGAGTCTAGCTCATAGTATACGGTAGTTTGCATGAGCTGGTAGATAGGCTTGCTTGGTAGCTTCCATCTTTTTTCAACAACGGGACCGCTGAATTTTAATTGAGAGTAAAAACCATTAAAATGTAGCACAAGCCATTGCGGCCATTAAGATTTTTGGTATAAGCTTGGGCATAACAGAGCTGCAAAGAATCTCCTGAGCGCGTTTTCTTCCGACTCTTTGTTATTAAATCATCTTGGACGAAGCAATATGAATGATGATGCTACCCTTGAGCTTTTGAGAACGCCCGAGTAGCCGATATTTAACCGAAAGCCATATCGCCGCCACCTCTCATATTCAAGCCGCTGGCCCTACACCTGACAACTCCATAGTGTGTATTCGACGCTCAATTGGAACATAATGAGCGATCTACTGAGTACTCCGCCCCAAGATCAGGGCCATAGAAGAAATAAAGCGTCTATTACTCGTGGTATGTGCAGCAGGTGTCCGCAAATTCGATGACGAATACACATGTTTCGCTTTACAAACAACAGCCCCTCCATTCTCCATCGCTGCTCACGATGTGCACTGCGGGTATGGGACGCCGCACACATGCTGACATTTATACATAGCAACAAGACCAAGATCATCCACCAAAGGACCTTTGGATGCCGATAAGTTAGTTTTATTGGACACTTATATCACTAAACTTGATTGACACCTCTGTCTAACTGAGTGTTAGTGGGCTATTAACATCTCCGGCGGCTTCTGCTTCTCAGCTAAGCCCGACTCTCATGTCGCCCGCACGATCTCCCTCCAACACAGCACATCCTCGACAGGCTCCACCATCTCCGACTCCTCAACTGGGAGAAGCGAGGCCAAAGGACTTTGCGTTTCTCTTGCAGCCTGAAATCTACCATCCCCTAAACTTGCAAAATATCCCCCCTGCATTTAGAAATTCACAGAAGCAGCCTGGCCCAGAAGTGCCGATAGACCAACTGCTAGCCAAAGGCCACTTCAGGGCAGCGGCCATTGCGGCAGCCCAAGAATTGACTGGCTCAGTCATAAACGGGAGTAGCATCGATCCTCATGATGCCAATAGGATCTTCAGGCTTCTGTATACCCGGCTTGCCTGTCTAACTTTGATTGACGCAACGTCACTTGCAGCCCAGGAGGCCAAGGCGCTAGAAGACTTGAATGATCCTCGGAGATATATAGATGACATTACAAATGAGCATCTTGCGCCGTGGGAACTGCGCGTGCTACATGTACGGCTGCAGGCACTGGGATTTGGAGATCCTCGCCGAGCTGTGATGAGTTACCATGATCTTGCCAGAGAAGCCAGAGAGAATATCAGGAAAGCGTCTCTGGCACATGATAACTCTGCTAGAGAGCTCTGGAAGTCAAGGCTCCATGAATTGGGTATCAAAGTAGCAGGGGCCCTGATTGAGATGGACGATCTTTCCGGCGCGGCACACCATCTCGGGAGTCTAAGAGATCGAGGCGACGGCAAATTGGCTCTGTCAAAGGCACTTCTCTGGTTACACCTCGGCGACACACGGAATGCAAAGTTGTGTGCGAGCCAGTGTTCTGAGGATACCGAGAACGTCGAGAAGATTATCTTGGCTCTGTGTGACATGGCAGACTCGAATTATGAACTGGCGTTACAGAAATGGCAAGAGTTTGACATTATGGCGGTAGATGAGATGGTTGGGGTCAATCAGGCCGTGTGTTTAATCTATCTTGGACGGATTCAGGAGGTGAGATTTGTGAATACTATTGGCTTGGACAACACTCGTGCTAATGTGACTTGTAGGGGCGTACAATACTGGAGAAATTGGTTGACTCAGGCTTATCGTCGCATACTTTGTTATTTAATCTATCGACAACATACGAATTATGCTCAGAAAGAAATCGGTTATTAAAGGGAAGGCTTTCGGAGAAGGTTGCTAACATGGAGGAATCGCCATTTGGGTGGGAGAAGACGAATGCTGATTTCAAGCTCTGAATAATGAACGCGTTACACATATACATGATATATCTCTTGGATGGAATGAATATTTTGCGCTCTTTGTGTTTACTAGAATATCATATTAGAATAACTGCATTTGTATCCCAGCGAACTCATAGCTATTGTGACCAATCTAACCAGGTGTTTCTTCTACATAAGAGACAGCTTTTCGTCGACGTGCACGGCGGCAGCGCCAATAGTTCACAAAAAGGGCGAGGTATCAGGTTCATTTCCTGTAATGGAGGAGTTGACCGATCTTGAATATCTTTTACAGTGAATCTTCTAAATATTTCACATAAATAGCCGGGGCTGATATCGTAGAACCGATCCCAAACCCAGCGAGGGGAGAATACCCCGGATATCAATACCCCACACCGGGGCTCCATTATACGCCGCGAGCCGCTGAGCCTCGGTACTTTAAGCTGTACTTTAGTAGTTCATCCCGCCTCAACAATTCTTCTTGAAACCCCTTCAAGACGCTTCATAAAGAGTCTTTAAATCCTTCTTCATATATATACCATCTCACATTTGAAACAATGGCGGACAGAGTCTCACAGGTCGTCGGCCACCTCAATTTCCCAAAGGGCCTCCTCGCCAACCAAACCGCCATCGTCACCGGCGCAGGCCAAGGCATCGGCGCCGAAACAGCCCGCCTCTTTGCCAATGAAGGCGCCAAAGTTGTCGTCGCAGACATTGACGCCAGTACGTAACAAATGCAAAAAAAGTATAATATGACTCTCTGTCCTAATTTGCTCTAAACTGCAGAAAAGGGTGATGAGGTCGCAGAGTCCATCCGCAAAAACGGCGGCCAGGCCATCTCCTTTAGCGGCGACATCCTAGACTCGGCCTACATCAAGGCCCTCATCGCCAAAGCCGCGGAGTTTGGCAACGGCAAGATTCACATCCTCGTCATGGGCGCCGGGTACACGTGGGACGGCGTCGTGCACAAGATGACGGACAAGCAGTGGGAGACGATGATCGCCCTGCACTGCACGGCGCCCTTCAACATGGTGCGCGAGGCGGCGCCGTACTTCCGCGTCAAGGACGGCGAGCCGCGCAGCATCATCACCGTGTCTTCTACATCTGGCGTGCACGGAAATGCCGGCCAGATCAACTATGCGTTGGCAAAGTCTGGCCTCATTGGCTTCACAAAGACGATTGCCAAGGAATGGGGCCCTGCGTTTGGCGTGAGGGCAAACTCGGTTGCTTTTGGATACATCCAGACTCGCCTCACAGCCGCCAAGGAAGACGGCGGCTTTGTAGTTGGGCCGGGCGGCGAGAAGATTGCCCTTGGTGTGCCAGGGAGAGGCAAGCCTGGCTCAGCCCCCCCTTCAGACATTCCTTTGGGTCGGCCCGGGACCGCAACGGAAGCGGCAAGCTCTATTCTGGCTGTGGCGAGCCCTCTCTTTTCGTATGTAACAGGCCAGGTGATTATGGTGACAGGAGGCAGGAACATGTAATATGAGTGATCCTTGTCGCATAGTTGTTGTGTGGTCAAGCTGTAGCTATGACATATATAGCGTTGATTTCTGCAAAAAAATGGCAATGGTATATTTGATTAATTAGAAACGGGACTACCCTTCTCAGTGATATTAACGCCGGCCCATCCAACTCGTAGCAATCCATATGATACATCTTTCTTTCTGTCCTTTGTTTTTTTTAATCCTTAGACCTTTAGCCACAGAGAAAATACACCCTTGGCGTATTCAACAATTTCATCGCCGCCCAGCTTGCTCTCTCCGTACACTCGGTCCACGAAAGAGATGGGCACTTCGGCAACGGTGCATCCCATAGCCTTGGCACGAACCATCATCTCCATCTGGAAAGTGTAACCCTTGCTCTCCGTGCTTGAAATAACCTTCTCCAGAACACTCTTCTTGTATAAGCGGAAGCTACCAGTCAGGTCGCTAACGCCCGGTCGCAGCACGGTATCGGCGAACAAGTTGGCGCCGCGGCTGACAAACTTGCGCTTGAGGTCCCAGCCAAAGACGCCGCCGTTGCCAGCGTAGCGGGTGCCGGTGACGATGTCGTAGTGGCCCTTCTGCTGCAGAGCAATCATCTCGGGGATGAACTTGGGGTGGTGACTGAAGTCGGCGTCCATGATGATGACGAAGTTGCCGGTGACGAATTGCAGGCCGTGGACGTAGGCAGTTCCGAGACCTAGCTTTCCGGAACGAGTCTTGAGGACGACGTGGGGAGCGTAGGCCTTGACGAGCTGGTTGGCGACTTCTTGGGTGCCGTCGGGAGAGCCGTCGTCAACGATGATGAGTTCCCAGTCCAGGTTGCTGCAAAAGGAAGAAGCAGAATTGTCAGCGCAAATATTCACTTCAATGCTTCCCTCCCGGTTTTCTTGTATGGACGAGTGGCTTGAGCGTTCGAGGATGCGATGAACCACCTACTTCTCTGTAAAGGTGCGATTCAGCAGCCATGCCACGATGGGGAGGTTTTTCCTCTCGTTGTACGTCGGCAGAATGACCGAGTACTTGTCCTTGGTGATCTTTGCAGGTGCCATGATTTCGTCCTTGTGCTGGGAACAGAAAACCAGAAGAAGGAAAAGAGAGACGCGTTAATTGGCGATAAAGGAGTGTGCTGAAGTTGGGTTTTCGCGCGTCTGCTGCAGCTTGATAGCTGTCCTTCTGGAAGCTGGCAGGTGGCCGAAAAGTGGCAGTTCAGGGGGCCGCTGGCTGCGATGACTAAGCAAAGTGCAATTGGAGGATGGATGCCGACTGCCCGCTGGAGGAAGCTCGAGCACTTCAACGTGCTCGTCTTTTTCTCCGATGCTGCAGAAGCTGATGATTGCGGTATAACGCATCGAATATTGATGCATCGCATTCATTCTTTGCACAGGTGATTTGCACGGACTGACAAAAAAACTTTGGTCTAATTCCTGTGTTTTGACTTTTTTCCTACGGGCTGACGATTGGCAGGGCTGGGGGATATAAAGTTGCGACAGTGCCGTATTGGACGCTGCAACAACAAGTTTACACACAAGACACAAGCTGCGATGCCGCAAGCCAAAGCGCCCGACGTTATCCATTGGGAGCTCTAGACAAGGCGAATCGTTCCATCCATCATTCGTCAGAATTGCAAGCATGGAAAATTCGGTGACTGCTGCTGCCAAGCTTCCAATCGGCTCTCCGCTCTCTTTAGCCACATGACAGCCTATGCTGGGATATCCATGCTGCCCTGCAGAGTTGCCGGCTTCTAATGTTCCATTCCAGGCACTGTCCAACAAGTACCTGTTCAAAGCCAAACAGACGTGCATTGCATTGGTACATCATGGCCGGAGCCCCGCCCAGACTGACGGCTGCACTGGTGACTGGACGAATACGGAGCTGAAAGCTCGAGGTGGCGTCGCCTCCAGACCAAGGTTGCAGGTTTCCCCGCAAGAGTTGCTCGTTCAAACCACTGTCCCGATCGCGACAATTCACACAGTCTCGCCGCCGCGTCTGCTTGGTCATGCTCACAGTCCCTGGCAGCTTCTGCGGCCTCAAGCGCAAACACTGTGGAGCTTGTTAATGACGAATCTGCTTGCTGTCTGACCGCGCAAAGGCAAATCAGCGCTGCTTCCATACCCACAGGCGGCGCCGCCGGCATGTCTCCTTGCTGCCCATGGCCTCGCAGCAAGGTTCCTCGCTACGGTAAACTTGCGGGCGAGCGACTTCACCTCGGAATTATGGTACGAGAGTAGTATCGACTACCTGTGGAACCGGGACTGACTTCCTGCGGTGAAGCTGGTCCTGGATTCTCGTCTCTACCTCTTCTTCCTTCAATCCTCCTGCTTCCCAGCGCACCCTCGCCTCTGCTGACATCAATTTTCACCTTGCAAGCAGTGCGCAACTCCCCGACCACCTTCATCTACGCCGTGTCCAAGCATCTCCATTTAGCCCACTATCATTGGCGCGCGACGCCTATCTGATACTTACGTCATAAATATTCTCCATCATGGCTGACGGCATCGCTCCAGCTGTTGACAAAGGTACGCTTGTGTCATGTCACTGTATATGCGATTGGGAGTAACCCGCGTCGCATGTTGTTATACGCACTCTCAATTCAACTCAATTGATCCTCCCTGCTGGGGAAATGCCCTTTCTTTCCGCCATGCGACTGAGTGATGGCCACCGCTTTGTAATGTATAGCGGCCGGAAGTCTTGCTAACAGCTTCATCAACAGTTGGCGCGCCTGAGCCTACAGCCCCCGAGGCCCAAGCTGGGGCTCCGACTTTGGAGACAGCCAAGCCAGAAGCCTCTGAGAATCCTCCAGCCCCAGCTGAACCTGCCAAAGAGCCTCCGATCATTGCTGAGACTAAAGCACCTGAAGTGGCGAAGCCGGCAGAGCCCTTCAACATTGTTGATGCTTTCAAAGTGGCTCATCAAATTCCACGACCCGTTGAGGTCCAATCTGTCCCTGAGACACCCGTCAACCAATCGGTGAATGGATCACCAAAGCCAGAGCTAAATATCCCCATGGAGACAGACGAGCCTCCAAAGCCACAAGAAGAGCCCGTGATAATCACTAGTGTTCAAGAGCCGCTGCCGACTCCTGCAGCGTCTATCCCGAATAGCGATATTGGGCCTGACTCCATTATTGATAAACCTGTGACTCCAAATGGCGAGTCGAAGACGGCCGAGATGGCGGGCGCTCTTCAATCTGGCAATGACGATGACAAGTCCGATGTATCAGAGATAATCATTGGAGAGAAACGCAAATTAGCCGAGGTCCCAGCGGATGCTCCTGCTGCTTCATCAGCGGCTGCCGAGAAAGAGGACTCTGACGAGAGCGAGCCGGCAGATAAAAAAGCAAAGATTGACAATGGTGAGGCGAGCACCAATGGCGGAGCTCCGAGGAAGCCGGGTCGTCCTAAGAAGAACAACAAGGAAAAGAAGACAGCTCCTCCGGCAGTGGGGAAGACGGCGCGCAAGACTCGGAGTCAGGGGCCAGTGGAGGTCTGAAAGTGACGGCTGAAACAACGACTTCACGTTCCTTTTTTTCCTCTCTCTCCTTTGTCTTCCCTTGGTTCTCTTTCTCTGATATATGCTTAACGCCACTTGTTTTAGTGCCAAAATGGACCCAGGCCCCCGGTGATAAGGCGAAAAATGGTTCGCTTGCTTGCTTGATGATAGTGTTGAATTTTTTTTATTCATGGGGTGGTCGCTGTATATTTGTCCCAAGCTAACTAAAATGTTCGCCCATGGTATGGCATGATACGGCTTATTCCTAATCTTAGGTATGCCTTATGTAACTGTTTGGCTTTCCAATTTTTAGTATTTGCATCCGTGTTGTAAGTAGTGGGAAGCTTGATAACATACGGGGCTTTAGCACTTATAGTAAGCGATTCAGGTCTACTTGAAGATTTCTGAGATGGCATAGGAACATGGATGTGATTTGTGTGCTTTACTCGATCCTTCATCCGCCAGGTTGCATGATTTGACGTTAATCTATTAAATAATGGATAAAGTAAACTATGGCCATTGCAAATCCTCTCAATTCTGAAGAAAGGAAATTTGCCGAAAGCAGTAGCCACCAAGTAGGGAAATAATAGCGAACTTTCTCAAGGCCATTAGCACACACAGCTGTAATTACTATTACGTGCATTGTCATTGCACTAATGAGTATCTGATTCTAAGCTGTGTGTGTATTTTCGTCTTCCTGTCCCTTTTTTTCTAGCTCTCCTTGGGTGGATAGGCGAAGAGTGTCTGTACATGCTTACCATCAACAAGAAGAGCTCTACTAGCATAAAGATGTATGCAGCGAAAACGCTGGTCTTGCTAAAGACGTATTTACAAATAGCGCATGTAAATGAACATATATATCATTTGTAGTTAGAAGAGATTAAATCGAACCCCAGATGCACGGCGCGTATGGAGAGGACACGAGATACAGCCCACAACCATCTTCTACATGCAATCAGCACACTGTGTGGTTATACTTTCTATAGGTGCTTATACTTTGAGAATTTCCCTACCAAGCACTATATCATCTAGGTAATACCTTATGTATAGATTAGATTTACCCTCTTCGCTTTATGGCTCTTACAAAGTTCCTGATCTGTCATCAGCTTGAATCATATATCTATGAGCGAGCGCTTCAAATTTTAAGATTATCGAAGCCATCCGAGCTTCTAATTGTAGCTTTAGTGGCTGGCAATACACTGGAGGCTATTAATATATGATATCGAAGTATAAGCCTTTTATGTGATTGGAGTTTATAAACCTGAAGCTATACTTCGTATACGCGCCACGTATAGATATAAATGCACATTCAGCTTCCGACTTCAACATCACAATCCAATCTCCAAGACCACGCTCATCAGGCAGTCCTCCGGCAAACAACAAAAAAAAAAAAAATTAAGCAAACAACTATTTTACAGCAGAGTAGTATTACAAGGCACAATGCACTTTACAGCTCTCACCTCCTCCTTATGCTGCTCACTCTCGTTCTCATAGGACATCCTCCCCAGGCAAGTAAAACCGCCATGGTTCTGGAACACGGGCAGCCTCGCCAAGAAGCTGTGGACCATCCGCGGCATGGACGAGATCGAGAGGGCCACCACCAACGTCACCAACGTCTACCCCCTACGACCGCCGCTGCAGCAACCAGTACGCCAACGACGACATCGAGCGCTGCCCCCGCCCCCGCTCGAACCGCTCGAGAGATTGCGCACATCGAGCTGGGGCGGTGCTATACGACGAGGACAGCGTCCGTGTCGCTGCGCTTGTGGGACACCAGGCTGGGCGTGAGCCAGTAGGTCGAGTGCAGGACCTACTGGCGCACTAGCTGCCAGGGCATTGCTTCTTTGCCGCTGGTGTTTGAGGAGAACTTTCAGTGCCGCGACATGGTGGAAAGGGACAACTATCATGGGTGGTTCAAGTCACTTATGTGTGTATATCTTGTGCGGCAGCAGGTGTGGCTGAAAGATGTGAAGCAGGGTTGATATAATGGTAGAGAGATTGGCAGAAACATGGGAGACAAATATGAGAAGAAAATAGAATCTCATAACGACAAGCACACAGCTATATCACTCTTTGTATATACTTACCTTGTTATATCACAAGAGTCAGCGGTAGGTTTCTGCTATTGTTGCTACTGCATTTACTCTACTGCATCTGTTACTACGATATACATAATGTAACGAGACCATTTTTTTTCTCTTATGAATTCAACGTTCTTAGTACTACTTTTGTGTGCGTTTCCACTTTGCGGTCCCAAAGACATCATCAACTGAACAGCTCTCCCCCCTGTTCGCCCCGGACAGACGGACAATAAAAGAGGCCTTGGTGGAGTGATGCCTCCACTCATGAATGGCTCGCCGCGGGACGCAATGCAGGGGCTTCGCTGCACGCTGTCGCTGGGATTAGATTCAGGGGAAGAATTGAAAGAGTATGGCATGCGCGCAATCCCATCACTGCCAATTATAGCCACAAGATTCAAACTTTGCTCGTATAGATATTGCAACTCAGGACACGACTACGGAGGCCTCTATGTATATGTGCGACTGATGAGGAGACGAAGAATAGAGTAGAAGCACTCTGGGCGCGCTGATTGCATAAATGCGAATGTATATCGCATGATGGGAAGTGAAATTGAAAACGGCCACTGCTTACATGTACTTACATGTAGATAACGGTGCCCTGCGAGCTCTGTAAACGTCACTGGGATAGCACCGAAGAAATCATCCCCAGCGACAGCGGGTACGTTGTGCAGATTCCAGTAATGGACTAGAGTGCATTCAATCGCCCGAGGCCAAGCAGGGATGGTAAGCCCCAATTTGAGCTCAACGACCGCGATAACCGTATCGACAAGGTGCTATGCATAAACCACCGCCTGCAGGTGTTATTACGGATGGAGTGCATACGAGGCACACCAACCTATATTTAACAACATGGAGATGCGGCCGGTACGATCTCCCCTCTTGCTTGTAGAAGGACATGCGAGCTGGTGAAGATGCAGCGGCAGCAGCAGCGGCGGCGGCAGTACGTACTGATGCAATAAATACTACCATCCATTCGTCAATCGACCAGTCAACCAAGACACAAGCCCGGGGTAGCTGGCAGATCGTCACCATCTGTGGCGAAGCACAGATCGGCTACAGCCGCCCAGCTCTTGGCCCTGCCGCTGCCAGGCCCAAGCATTCTGCGTGCTTAGGCCGTTCTCTGCGCTGAGATAAGAGCCAAGAAATACCTAGTACATACGTAGTCATAGACGCTGCATCATTGTTGTATGTAGCGTCTTTTCATTTAGTCGTGAGGAAGGCAAAAAATAGCAAAGAACAGCGCGGGCGATTCCCGCGGCTTGCCCTGTGTCTTCCGATCGAGATGCTGGTCGCACCGACGGTGGTTACGAGTGTCGATCGCGGACATGGTGGCAAAAGACAGCAACTTGGCAGGCATTTTGTTCACGCATCCCAGCGAGGATCACTCAGAGGCCACCCCGCCACGGCGATGATCTGTAGAGTCGGCACGACTGTATTCCGGGCAAGCAGCTGCATTTCTCAGATGACGGTAAGCAAGCACTGGGACGAGTTATTAATACAAAGCAACACATAAATCGTAGCAGCAGCATATACGAAGCATGCAAGAAATAGAGAGATGATGGAAGATAAAAATATCTATATTTTTGACGTTGGATGCAAGAAACCGACTGGTCACTGAGGATGTCATCGAGCAAATGCAGCTGAGAGCGCTACCAAGTAGCGGCATTTAGGTGGTGCGGTACCTTCCTAACCGTGACAGTAGTGCAGAGTTTATCTGCATGGATGGCACTACCAAGGTACCTAAATATGTTGGCTCAATATTGCTTAGGTATAGTAGGTTGACAATCTCCAGCGCCCGTCTGTCCATCTACCTATAAGCGCTGCTGCCATCGAGCAAATGCCCTGCACGAGATTTTGCAGCGCTGTCATGCCTCGTGTCCTGCTGATGACTAGCATCTTGCTTGACTGACTGCCACGGCTCGTATTCATTCATTCGCGCCCCCCGACCCACTCCGCCGGTGCCTGGCATCAAACAGCCACCACCGGCCCAGGGAACCAACTCGATGCTAAAACAGCAGCCAGGCGCTAACGCTGCAGTGGCTTTAAGGGGTCGCAAAAATAGCAACCTTTCAACGCCTTTTTCTCTCGTCGAGCCCGTTTTAGTGGCCACCGCGCCCCGTCCACGGCCAGAGGGGCGCTGGAGAGGAACCCACAAGGGGCAACGCGGACAGGGGCCGAGGCCAATGGGAATGGCGCGCGTACGGTCTGGCCGTTGTGCGCAACACGTCCACTTGGGCCAAGCGTAAAACAAGGCGAAGGGAACGAAAATGTCTGCTGAAACAAACGTCTCCATTTTTCCAGTCAAGGCAGTAAGCTGGGCCGAGTAATTCTTGGCTGCCAACGCTGTCCTGCACTGTAGCGCATCGAGGGTGCTGTTGCGCCTACAATTTCTGTCTTTGTTGGTTGCATGCGTAGCGGTCCATCTGTAGCTAGTACATCAAGGATACGAAGCGTTGCACTGCGCTCATCACCGGATGCACACGTATCTTTGAGTACATACTCTTGTCGCTATCGATTATCATCCAGGGCCAGCACATGCGTGACCACCTTCTTTTTTCCTCGCAAGCTCTGTAGATTCTTCGACTACTGCTTCACCTTGGCCCCAATCTCCATCTTTTTTTTTTTTCCCGCGCGGATGGATACACACAGTCGATGGACGCATGGACGCAGCCGCCACTGCAGCAGCCTATTCGAGCGGAGCCTCTCCCTGGACACTTGTCTCGCTTCTCCATCCCAGAGCTTGGGCCCCGATGCCATCTGTGATCCTCAACGCTGCCAAAGCCGCGCGAGACCATCCCCGTCCAGGAATCGAGCCCATCCTGGTCGGGTTCCCTCTTTTCCTGCTCACCTGTCCACTCGAAACCCCATCGGATGACCCCTGGTCCAGCCGAGCTTTTCCTCTTTCTTTCCTCTTCCTTCGTTTTTTCTTCTTCATCCAAATGCCCGGCTCATCTGCGATTCACTAGCGGAGAGCGTCTCTCGTTTTTTTGTCTTGTATAACGGCGCCGGTGCCTTGGCCTCTTTATTCTGTTTTTTCCTTTCCTCCTTCGTTTTTCTACTCTCGTTTTCTCTTGCTGCTCGCTACCTGATTTAGCGACTGGGAACGGACAGGCATCTTGCGAAGCGACGTGCCCCCTGACATCACGCTGGTGACGCAACTCACTCGGATTGCGCACTTCTGGCGCACGCTCTCGACGCGTTCCTCCTCCAGCCCTCGAGCTCTTGATTGAGCGACGACTGGCCGCGGAATCTGCTGCTCGACGCAGAATCGCTTGCAGAATTGTTTCGACCGCTTCCACTGCGTGGAACAAACACCCGCCTGGCATCGAATTGCGCTTTGTTCTCGCTTATTAACGCCCGTTTGATTTTGTCTAATTTACAAATCTTTCTGCCCTAGACGGGCACACAAGCCTGCAACATGACCTTTCAGGAGCCCATCCTACAATGGCTTCGGGCGCGCGACAACGAAACTCCCGCCGAGGAGCTTCTGAATCTGCTTAAAGATCCCTTTTCAGGCACGGTCAGTTAGATTCGCTTAGTGGGCGTAGCACTTGCGAGCTTATGCTTTCTTCCTGTCTTCTCTGCTCTTTGTCTAATCTCATTCCTGCAGCTTGCATCGGCTTCCGTTTACTCTGCGCTGGGTACTTCTCTCGGCTTCACAGCCATAGTCGCCCTGCTGTTCTCTTTCATAAGACCCTACAACCAGAGTGTCTACGCACCGAAGCTAAAACATGTCGACGAGAAACACGCTCCGCCGCCTCTGGGCAAGAAGCCGTGGTCATGGGTCCTCCCCTTGATGAGCACTCACGAGGAAAAGCTGGTTCAACAGATTGGCATGGATGCCACCATCTTCTTGCGCGTTATGCGCATGTGTCGCAACATCTTCGTGATCCTCGCCATCATCGGCGTCGGTGTACTCATCCCCGTCCATTACAAATTGTCCGTAGCAGATTCCACAAACACTGTCCAGGACTCGACCAGTTGGATCTTGGAAGTCACGCCCTTGAATCTCTGGGGTAAAAATCTGTGGGCTCAGGTCGTCGTTGCTTGGCTCTTCGACATCATCGTCTGCTTCTTCCTTTGGTGGAACTATCGCAGAATCACGCAGCTTCGTCGCAAATATTTTGAGAGTGAAGACTACCAAAATAGTCTGCACTCGCGAACACTAATGGTAAGCCCTGCCAATGATTCAACATTGCGATCCCCTGTTTTCCCTCTCCTCTCCCAAGATGACAACAAGTAACTGACAGTCTGTCTGCCTCATTAAAAATAGCTGTATGATATTCCCAAACAAGGATGTTCTGATGAAGGTATCGCACGTATTATCGATGGTGTCGCTCCCAACTCGTCTTTCGCGCGAACTGCCATTGCCCGAAACGTCAAAGATCTCCCCGACCTCATTGCGGCGCACGACCGAGCTGTTCGCAAGTTGGAAAAAGTACTGGCCAAGTATCTCAAAAATCCCAATAACCTGCCACCACGGCCAACCTGCAAGCCCTCCAAGAAGGATCGTTCATATGGAACCTACCCAAAGGGCCAGCGACTGGATGCCATTGAGTACTACACTCAGCGAATTCGAGAACTCGAGGTAGAAATCAGAGAGGTTCGTGCCAGTGTTGACAAGCGAAGCTCCATGCCTTTTGGATTTGCCAGTTACTCAGAGGTCGCCGAGGCGCACGAGATTGCCTACCTCACCCGCCGAAAGAAGCCCCATGGCACGACAATTAAATTGGCGCCCAAACCCATCGACATCATCTGGCCGAATATGCCATTGTCTAGCTCCACTCGAAGCCGGAGGAGATGGTTCAACAGTCTCTGGATCATCCTTCTCACCTTCTTCTGGATTGCTCCCAACGCCATGATCGCCATCTTCCTTGTCAACTTGAGCAACCTGGGCAAAGTCTGGAAAGGATTTCAGAATTCTCTGGAAGCAGACACCAAATTTTGGGGCATTGTACAGGGTATCGCCTCCCCCGCCATCACATCCGGTGTCTATCTGGCTCTCCCCGTTATTTTCCGCCGCCTGTCTATCAGGGCAGGAGACAAGACCAAGACGGGACGCGAGAGACACGTCATGGCCAAGCTCTACGCCTTCTTCGTGTTCAACAACCTCATTGTCTTCTCTTTCTTTAGCGTCATCTGGTCTTTCGTTGTTTCCGTCGTCAATGACGCTGACAATGGCGAGAATGCATGGGATGCGATTATCAAAGAGGATCTTGCTGCTAGTATTTTCATTGCCTTTTGCAGAAACAGCCCATTTTGGATCACGTATCTTCTGCAGCGGCAGCTTGGTGCCGCTATCGATCTCGCTCAGATGTGGCCGTTGATCAGTGCCTTTTTCACAAAGACATTCTCTAGCCCTACGCCCCGGGAGCTGATTGAATTGACAGCGCCGCCGGCGTTTGACTATGCCAGCTATTACTGCTATTTCCTGTACTACTCGACGGTCACGTTGTGCTTCGCGGGCATCCAGCCACTCGTCCTCATAGCAACGGCGCTGTACTTTATCATTGATTCTTTCCTGAAGAAGTATCTGATCTTGTACCGCTTCGTCACCAAAACCGAGTCAGGTGGTTTGTTCTGGCGTGTCATTTTTAATCGCTTCATCTTTGGCACCATCTTGTCCAACGGCGTCTTTTTATTGACGTGCTGGGTTCGCGGAGAGGGAACGCACATTCAATTCTTTTGCGTGTGCCCCTTGCCAGTCCTCTTAGTCTTCTTCAAGATTTACTGCGGAAAAGCCTATGACGACCGGATGCGATACTACAAGACAAGAGGAGCAGCAAGGCCGGGTGGTCCGACTGCTGCGCAAAAGGAGAACAACCTCCGAAACGAGAAGCTTGCTAGCCGATTTGGCCACCCGGCTTTGTACAAGCCGCTCATCACCCCCATGGTTCACCAGAAGGCACAAAATCTGCTTCCGTCCATCTACTCAGGACGACTGACGGATGGTAGGGAGGTGGGCCCTGCCGGCGACTTGATGAGCGTCAGTGGCTATTCAGACATGTATGCCCTCAATTCCATGCAAGGTGGCAAACCAGGCAAGGCGGCCGATGGAGTGCCCGGATTCGAGTATGTCTCTGAGTCGCAAATGGACTTTGAGTACTACAAGAACAGAGCAGAGTTTACTGAAGAACATGGCGGTGGCGAGATTTACGGCAAGGAGTTTGACGGGTACCGGCCCGGAACGCCCGGCTCGCTGGACAGCGGCTCCAGGCCAGGGACGCCATCCAACCGCCACGCCACGCCATTTTCGCCAGGAAACGTGAGACTGCCGCCGCCCCATGAAACGGCCTACCGACCCAACCCCTATGCCGAGGACTCGATCAGCAGGCAGCGCAGTCCGCTCTATTCTCAAGAGAATACCAGCTCGTCTGGCTTGGTGCACAACGCTGCGGTTCCTGCCATGGTGCCACCCACATCATATCGGAATGTATCTCACGAACGGTCACAGAGCCCTGCTATGGACGGGCCTTTTAGAGGCTACCAAGAAGTTCCCCTGGATCGGGCTCGGAGTCCAGCAGTAGGCTCGCCAGCCCAAACCCCTGGTGTAGGAATTGGTGGGCCACGAGGATATGCTGGCGTTCCCCAGCACGAGGACGTAGAAAGTCCGGAAGCGGATCCTATGCAGTATAACTACTTTAGAGGGGGGTCTCGACCGACAAAGCCTCCTGGACAAGGCTGGTAAGGGCTCTGGGCGAAGACCCAAAAAAAAGTAGAAGAAGAGAGAAGAAATATTGTGTTTTTTTTTTTATATTGGAGAGATTCTGCATGGCGTTTACGGGTTTTAGACTAGACGATTGACAGACTATTGAGATGAATGAGAGACAGAGAGGCATAATACTTTCGATTCAGGGAGGTTTTGCGATACATGGACAGGAAAATCCACTATCATCTTTTCTTCTTTTCGTTTGGATAGGACATGAAAGAAATATACTTACGACACTATTTTTTTATTTTTATACTATGATTGCATCGGTTCGACGTGTATTTTGTGTTTATTAAACATTAATTACATGATTATCATTTGATCTTTGGCTATTAGGGTGAGAAATATTGGTGCATATATGAATGCGTGCCATCATCGCCGATCCCACGGCAGATGTTGGTTTTTATTAGCACTCCCTCTGAATCATTATTATAAATATCGTATTCCTAAAAAAATGAAAATGAGAATAGAATAAGAAAAGAAGAAAATCCATCTCATCTAGACAAAAGAGCTGCCAGTCTCGGAGAACTTGTCAGCATATCCTCGTAAATCACTTCTCAGCTGGTCCATCAACTCGTCGTCCACAATTGTATCCTGCCAGGACAAGCTAACAGTGAGCTTGGATCCTGCAACGCTCGCCACGTCAACACCAATAGGAGGCCCGGCAACCATCGCGCCGTTGGAGAATAACATGCGAGTGGCCTTGGGGCTGTTGTTTGCCGTCTCAGCGCTCTTCAGCACGCCAATGTTGCTAATCTCCCACGACTCGGTGCGCGGCTTGCCGTCCTTGCCGCGCCAGAAAGCGTCCCAGTCGCCAACAAACTTGAGCATGGCCGTGATGTCGTCTCTGGGGGTGAGGGCGAGCTTGGCAGCGAGCTCTTTCTTGACCTGGAGGGCGTTTTCCCATATCAGCGCGTTGATGTCTGCGTCGGGAGCACGCAGGGCTGAGATGGTCTTTGGGGAGAATTGGTGGTCGCAGGTGCTGACGAGGCAGCGCAGAGTCGTGGATCCGGATGTCTTGTCGTCGGGCTTCTTGGTGAGATATGGCCTGAGGTTGATGGGCGTGCCGGATACAAAGGCGGGAGATTCTGCGGGAGACGAAGAGAGACGCTTGGCGAGCGAAGCCAGCACGAGGGAGTGAAGCAGCGCCGTGAGCGTGACGGAGTGGCTTCTGCAGGCGTCTAGAAGGACGGACAAGGTCTCGGGGGAGATGTCGACGGGCTTGATGCGTGTCTTGAAGGCCAACGCGAAGTCGACGGGCTTTGCGCTCCAGATGGGCTGCTTCTTGGGCTTGAGGAACGAGGGGGCGAAGTGGTTCCACAGGATGCTGACCACGAAGCGGAAGGAGAGCGTGAAGTTGACGGCGGCCTCGAGGGGCTCGGGGAGCGAGGCTGGTTCTGGAAAGGAGAGCTCGGTTGGGATTTCTTTATCCTGGTCTTGGTGGGCGGCCAGGGCTGAGAGCAGCAGCTCGTGGAAGAGGCGGCCGCTGGTTCCGTCCATGAGGGAGTGATGAAAGGCAAAGAAGACGTCTTCCTGTCCGCCGAGCTGGGACAAGATAGCTTCATTGTTGCTGGTGGGCCGTAAGATTGTGATTCTCCACGGTGGGCGTGTTTCTAGGTCCTGCCATTTCTGGTCATGTTCCCAGCCTTGATGCTCGGCGATTTTGTCTTCATACTCCTGTGCCGTCTCACAGGGCACTGATTGAACAGAGACGTGGTCACGCAGATCAAATTGCGGGATGTGCGTGAAGTGAGCGTTGCCAGAGTCCTCGCCGGTAATGCCTACGCGGAGTGCGGGCTGCTGTTTGACAATGGAGGCGAGGGCAGCGAAGAAGGATGGGCTGATTTCGACGCCTTGAGGGAGAGAAGGTGAGGATTGGGGGTAGAGATGGCGGCATGAGACGGTGACGCAGCGGTAGATGCCGAGATGGTGACGGGTGGAGGAGAAGTGTTCACTGAGTTTTGTTTAGTTGGTATAACGTTGCGTAGAATTGAAGATGTATGTATGTATATAAGACATTTGGAGTTTACATGTGAATTGCTCACCTGTGGCCGAGTTTGCGGAGAATCTGGGGACTGGTGGAGTTGTCGGCAACCATTGTGATGGGTTTGGATCTGTCCAATTGGTAAAATTGACTTTGGCGAAAAACCTGTCTAAATTGGAGTTTATGGGTAAGAGGTTGCGGATGAGATTTGGTTCCTGGATTGAGATCGGCCCCTTTTTGAAGGTTGGCGGGTTACAGTATTAGAGAAAACTTTGACGACTTAAAAAAAAAAAATGACAATTGGATACAAAAGATGGAGTAGATGACGCCTTCTATTGAGATGTTCACACGTCCAGAGAGGAAGAGAAAAGCTAGAAAAGAAGAGTAAAGGGTCGGTCAAGGATGAATAATAAATAAATAATGTAACATGTTTTCTCGGGATGTTTGAGACACCCGAGAGGAAACGAATAATGGCTTTCGTCCCTGTTACAATTGGGTCAAAGGCGGCCTCTCGTTCTAACTGCTAGTAAGCAACAGGCACCAAGCGATAAAAAGATAGGGATGGGCACGGCATCTGCTTGTCCGGAGCTTGACCATAAACAGTATACGATACGATCAAGTCGCTTGAATTTTTCTTTGGTGACGCGGATGCGCTAAACGAATACCCACTACAGAATGGAGTTAAGTCTACGGGGAAGCAACAAGAAGGATTTATGGCTATGCCGTGTGCATGATAGTGGTATTATGTGGTATTTATTAGCAATGGCAATGAACAACGAGTGCAAGCCGGGTTGGATGATATTATGGCAATGGTTATTATTGATTTTTGTTTCATTCTATCTTGGAGAATGAGTCGTACTTACAGTACTTACAGTAGTAGCGTTGGCTGATTTTAGCGAATACCCGTAAAAACTTCCAGTTGAACTACGGAATACGTAAGTTGTCCTTAGTGTGACGGGATGCATTGATGGGCATACTTGTAGCCACCATCATGGTGGGATATAACGAGAACAATGATTAGTTAAATGGGCGGATTCGCAAGTCCTTTGTTTTGTTATTTTGTTATACGCATCTATGAACTTAGGTTCAGCCATACCATCGAGCTCTTACACAAGTACACGCCGTCTACCATTAGACTCAACGCAACAATACTAAAAACGGAGGATTGTCAGGCGCTGGCGCGCGTCTCATTGGCCGCCACACGAGCTGGCTTGGAGTTTGTAAGCTGGATGATTTAACAGCGCCAGTACAGTAGAAGGGATGGACTTCTGTAGGAATTACGCCGGAGACTGTGGTAAAGTTTGAAAAGCGAGACCAGGCATTAGTTTACTTCAGCTTATGTCCAAGATGGGATTATACATATTGCCTTGTGGTTTTCACACTGAACAATGCTGTCAGGCTTGAAGGGTTGGTCAATTTGCTGCTTCGAGCTGTGGAATTCTTCTACAGCCCATGACTATTCTAGTGATGGGTCATGCGAGCTATTTATTTTGAATGAAAAGCCAGGGAGTTTGGTTCTGCAATTTACCTGACATAAGCCTATAGAGCAGCACATCTCGGAGAAATGAAGGGGTTTCGAAGAAAGAATGTTATTCCCGTGACAACAAAAGACTGCTATTTGGCCGTTTCCCTTGAATAGTGCATGAGTTAAGTTGGTGCAGAGCGCGAGGATATTAAGGGCTATTGCCGTCATCTACGCACTACGATACAATATTGCAGGATTATCATAGTCCAAGAATCACTTGCTATCAAGCACTTGAAAAAAGCTCACGTAGATATATTAGAATATACTTAGCATAGCCAATGCTGATGCAAGCTCATCTCCTTCCACCGTCGCTACACTGCCGTCAATTGCGCTTAGTTGCACATCATAAAAGTTACATTTACCCAGCCTGCATACGTAGTGTATCTTGCGTCCCTTCTCGCGGCTTGCCAGCTGTCTCTTACTGGAAACTCCACAATCGCACCGTGGATTGTTAGGATCGTTTCCTCGATCATCAGCAAATGCAAGGAATTTCGAGCAGCAAGTGCATTTGTAATACGGCCGTCCTGCGTTTCCGTTTCGATTTGTTGAGCGAGTTATGAATTTCTTGCTCTGTCCTCCACAATGACAACAAGCAGGAGGCTCCTCAGGGGGTGGCACAAGAATGCTCCTTGGCAGAAGCCTGCCGTTGACATATATTTCTATGCGGACCTGCTACGGTAAGCTGAGATTCATTTCGAATAAAATATGATCCAGTACCATTTTAAGATATTGTCATAAGATGTTGTTCTAAGGGAGATGAATAATTGTACACACCTAATATCCGAGAGACTTTTTTTTTCCATCGGGGATGTGTGCCAATTTTATATCTATAGTGTCCACCGCGAGCATCAATACTTTTCGACGCAGTGGAATGATTTTAAAGTTATGGCGAAAGCAATTGTCACACAATCGACGGATGCGGATGGACCTACATCAATGCATCGCAACAGAGAGAAAACTCAGAACCTCATTTCCGCAATCGTATTAGCGAAATTTCCACAATATATTTTTACCAAGGTGAAATATCACAGCCAAATGCCAAACAAAGAAACCATGCGGAAGGCCGTTCTATGGCCTATACAAACAAAAACTATTCAAGCTGCCATTGGTCTCGCCGATGAGTGTGTTTATCAGTATTTTTTTTACTCCTTGCATTAGCCTACTATGCTTACTCACTGATGTGCTATGTCTCGCGGTATCTTATGAGGAACAAAAAACTTGAACCCATCTTCCCGCGCTGCAGATAATCCGCTGATTGAGGGAGACGTGATTGGAATCAATAGTATAGACTTTTTTTTTTTTTTACCTCAGCCGGATCATTCACTTGTTTGCATTGCCAATCTCACAGACCTTATGGCTTTTATCTGTATGGTCATCTTTGAACAGTATGTATTATCTGCATCTAATCTAACATTGGCCCTTTTGAATAGTATATTGTTAAGAAGGCAGACACCTACTTCGGCCGGGTCTGTATACATCGTTGATGATGTTTCATAGCCCGAGACATTCTTGGTAGTCTAGCAATTGACCAAAGAACCGTGGAATCATCCATACTCAACCACGAAAGATTTTTTTTTTTTTTTTTTTTAAAGAGCATAACAAAGCATCTACAGTAGTAGTCAAATTACGTATCTAGGCTCCATTTATAATGAAATCTGCTAGTACAGAATGTTGGCTAACTAGTGAGCGTGATACCGACAGTCGCGGGTAGCTTTAAACTGACTGCAAGATTCTTTATCCTTTTAACTTGAATCTTTACTGCTCTCAACAGGGCTCAATATCAAGGCTTAACTGCACGCTTGTAACGCCCGCGGCCAGGGAAACACCACTTCAGTACGGGGGCATCCCTCGAAGAAGCACAAGCCGAGCAGCCACCTGCGGACACGGAGGTGCTGGAAACCGTCGCCGTATGGAGATTTCTTACGGCTAACCTCAAGCGAGACATGGCGGTCGATGTCGTTGGCGTCGTGAGTCTCTGAGCCTGGGTTTCGGAACCATGCCGAAGTGAAGGCATACGCCGGCGGCAGCTGCACCTCGTCCTCGTATACATTTTCGTATTCACTCATATCATTATCCTCGCACTCAGTCTCATATTCATATTCGTCATCACCAGACCACACAAATACTGCACGGTAGAATTCCGTCTGTCCCGTCGGGTTATATATGCTACCCAGCCTCAGCTTTCGGCCTGCCTCAATCGCTGATGCCAACTCGTCAGCCATGTGATGGAAATACATCTCAGTAAAGGAACCGAAGTCCTCACTGGCGTCAAACTCCGCATCGTCGGCAAGATATTGATCAATGCGTTCAGCAAGAGGAAAGTGTTCTAGATCATTCAAGCAGTAAACCAGCTGCAGTAGACGCCTTCGTTGATCCCGTTCTAGTCGACCGTTCGGCTTGTTGATCCAGGGCAGTTTCCACCCAAATGTCTTGGTGTTAATGACACGGCCCAACTTCCACAAGTGCCCCTTTGCCAAGATGCCATGCGCTGTCAGTTCCACGTCGGTCAGTCGGCAGCCCTTATTAAATGTGAGCGTCTTAGTGTCATCCTCGGGCGCGCTGAATGCTTTAAACAGTTTTCTCTCGAGAAACGCCGACGTCGTTAGCGAGGCCACTGGCGCTGGGCTGCTGTCGCTATTGTCGAGAATCTCGCCGTTGAGCAAACACATGGCCAGCACCGACAAACTCAAGCTACAACCCTGCTTGCTGAGAGCTTCATAGTCCAATAGCGTGGTGTATTGACAGCAATTTGCAACAATGGCCAGCCGGTCCCATGGCTTTTCCATCCCGCGCTTCTCAATATCAGCGACTATTGTCGGTGTCATGGCGCTTGACTTGGGCAGCAGCTCGGTATACCTCCCCGCCGCTCGCTTCACATGTTCGATCCGACTCTTGTCGTCCGGCGACAGATTTACCCTGTCAAGTGCCAGGCACAGGCGCGTCGCCTCCTTGGAGAAATTGATGGACCGTATGCATAGCTCGCCTGGCATGTCACCAAATAATATCTGATGCTGTAGCTTCTGCCGCTCTAGTGATCCGTCATGGCGGATCAGCAGCCGCATTTCCTTTCCGCCACGATAGTTCTCCTGGAAAGTCCAGGCGCGGCTCCACCAAAGGTCTCGGGTGATCTCATGAAGTAGCCGCAAGGCCGCTGTCGCCTTATTAACAGTAATTGCTGGCGGGAGCCGATATGGATGGCTGCCGTACACGAAATTTCCCGAGAGGATGCCTTTGAGGAGGCCCAGCTCAGATTTACTCTGCAGCGGACGGGCTAACAACGCAACGGGGTGCTTGCTGAGCTGATAGACGAGGTCCATGGCCGGGAGAGCATCGCGCTTATGAGTGCAGCGGTCATGGATGGCGCAGGCCGCAACGCCGCGCGTATCTTGGCAGATGCAGTGGGCGTCGATCCAGAGGAACTGAACCTGGGCGTGGCGCATGTAACCGAGGACGCGATCAAAAACGCAGTTTCGAACGGCCGAAGGTTTGAGACGCTTGTCATCCCAGTCCTCGACGAAGTACCGCCCGCTGTGATCATCTTCGGACTCTGAATGCTGCCAGGTATATGATAGCGCGACGTACTCTCCCTCGTCGAAGGCGTTGATAGACGTGCGGCGCAGCTGTGTGCTTCCGCCTTTCAGCTCGAGACACTGGAGCCGGCTGATAAAGGGGAGAAACTTGGCGTGTCTTTGCTGATTGTGCTCGCTGCCAATATCAACGAGCTGCGAGATGATGGATGTTTCGTGGTCCTTGCTGATTTCGCAAAGCGACCGGTCTTTATCGTCATTGCTGGTCATTATGCTGTCTTGAAAGATCGAGGGCTGTTACCGTTCTGAAGTCTATGTTCGCGCCCGCTCGCAAATTACTCTTAGACAATCAGCGATTATATAGATTGTCTTCTTCACTCGCATTACAATCGAAATAGCTCGCGTATTCGAAAGCGTTCAATATTTGTTTCGGCAGCAGAGTTACTGCTGGGGAATAGCACTTCCCCCGCTCCAAGTACATGTGCATGTATTCTTTTTGCAAATTGGTAATTGGCCGCTTCAATTACCACATCAATTAGGCAGCAAGGCTTTTTGAGATATGACAATCTATCAAGGCATACTTAGGTACAATATAGAGGCCAATAATATGTTTATAACTACAGTATATAACGGACTATACATGGGATTAGTTGGATTATGCTACAAGGCGCCAGGTTCCAGAGTCATCAATATAGGTTAGTGATGTATATTTGAAACTATTCATAAGTCTTAATGGTGTGAGCTGGTCGATTACATTGACTTTCAGATGGTGACCTTCAACTTGGGGGTGCCACCTACTCGAAGTTGCCAACTGTCTTGGCCACGCTGTGCCAAAGCCATCTTTGTATTGGCAAAAAGGCCCTGCTTTGCAACATTCTGCAGAATTGCTACCCATGTGCAATAAGGATAATGTAACGATCCGTTATACCGTTAAGCCAACAGGGCAAAAGACTAGACTAATAACCACTATTGTAGCAGTTACTGTAACGGAACCAGCGCCCTATAAGGGTTTCGCAGTTACGGTGAACCAGGTCGTAACAGATAAAATATATACATCCTACCTAAGACCGATTATTTTTCAACATTATTTTATGTAAAGTATCTGTCAACGGTCTAAACCACTCTCGGAAATTTATTCCACTTAGTGATAATATTGTCCACGTTCTGAAGTCGATATCTTACAACAGGTAATTCCGAGACGGAAGGTCCCGGCAAAGTGATAGACTCTTAATTTTCTATTCATATGAAATATTAATTAACTTGAGTTCAATGATGCAGGTTTCCCACAAACAAGCAATTTTAGTTTCAGTGTCTATCGCCATACACTAGCATCATCCACCCATTGCACCAAACGTGGGCATGTACTCGGTCCAATTTGTCGCGGTATAAACAGATCCGGGCATCTTCCGAAGACTGGAAAACGAAATTGCCAGTATTATCAGACGAGAAGCGCAGTAAAGAAACCCAGTCGAGTACAAAACACCCTGATTGACACCGCGGGGAAGCAGCGGCTGCCTGGGCCACACGCCAGTTCGAGCTGCATCTTCGATTTTCTTGGTCTCTGTACCATTCACTGAATTGACAAGGCGGTGAAAGTTTTGAACAAATCCCTTGTCATCGTGTAACTCAAATGGTTCCGTACGTAAATTTTCAAAGTTACCTTTCAAGTCCAAAAAGTCTCGAAGATCAATCATGAGCGAGTTATCTCCTGTCTCGCAAAAGATTGCTGAATATTTCTTTAGTTCGCCTTTAGCGATGGCATTCTCTAATTCTTCGATTGCATCGGTGATCCGAGATGTACTGGAGGCGTGCCAGGAATATTCTTGCATTAGCCTTAGGCAATTTCCCGCGAATAGCTCGGGATCTCCAGATGTCTTTGTAAACTGGGCAAAGGGGATTACAAGCAGGCCAAGGACGGGGCTCGCTGCGGAAATGCACGTAGCTATTTGCCAAAGCAGCTTCTCTGCATCAGTAGGAAACTCAAACCGCCAGGCAATTGCATGTATAGCACCAAAAAGCCCAGAAGCTAGTGCCAGTAAATATACCGCGGGATAAACGTCATTGTTGCCTTTGTAAACCGGTATATTATCGTTCGAGATTCTGGGTGCCTTCTCGGACTTGCCACTGTCAGTCTTCTTGGAACCAGTTTGTTTATTCAGCATGATTGCCCAAAAACTATCAAAAGTCTTCTCTGACTGTAACGACGAGAACCAAGGGATAGCCTTTTGAGCATCATTGTCCTTGTTTTGTGATACGTCGTTAGAAAGTGGTGTATCAGTTTTGAGCTCAATCGGCCGTTCGATATTTTGGGGTTTATGAAAATAGGTCCAGTATATCAGCACGCCGCAAATGGCAAAGGAGAGTGTGACTGTTTCAAGCTGCGAAAAGTCTACACCTTGAATATGTCGCGTAATGACGGAAAGGATGAGTTGCGAGATTTGAAGAGCAGCAAAGAGCTTGGCCAACCAATCCTGCTTGCTTTTATCTTTGATATCTTCCACTGTGGTCTCTGGGTTTGCGTATGAAAGGTCCTTCGCCTCCGCCAGGTGTTGAGCTGTAGCCAGAACTCGTCCCTCTCCATTGACATACATGAAACCGCCCATGTTGGCAAAATAGCAGTGAGCCAAAGTCCATTTGGGCTTTTTTGATTCGTCTGTGTTATCTTGGTTCTCAAAATTGTCGTCATGTTGCCTCTCCAAATTTTTGACGTCTCCGCTCTCCAAGTCATTGGCAGGTTGGCTCTCCGGATTTTGGTTTCTTGACTCTAAACACCGGCGACAGGATGGCAGCCATGATAATGTTGGTTTTCGAGACTACCAAGGCCACTCAACAGACTTTTTGTTCTCTTCCATCAATCGGAGGGCTTTCCATGCCATGTGGAATTCAAACATGGCGTGAATCAAGACCAATTCAGGGAACAGCACAGTTATTATCATCCACTTCATCTTCCTCTTGCTCTTCTCCCACCCGCTATCGTCTGTAGCCGGAATATTGAGGTGTTGGATGCTCCATGTACAGGCGATTATAGTAGACAAGCAGGTGCTCACAATGTTCCAAGTGCCTCGGTAGCAACTCCCAGGCTGCCAGCCAACCGCCTCATCACTCGAAATTGGATGCACAGTGCAATTGCGGGCAGCTGCAAGCATGGGCAGAGAAGCAGTCAGCCATAATGAACGTTTAATCATAATGAATGTTTAATCATTGGGTCTAAAGGCTCTGTTGTTTCTGCGGAGTCTTTCAAAATCTTTGTGGGTAGAGAGCTAGCTGTCTGAGATGCGGTATGAGCTATGAGATTGGGCGATTGAATATCAGATTTCTCTTTTTATTGGAAAGGTGTATGGCTGTAAGGCTGGCGCTTAATGCTCCATTCTCACTGGCTGAATAACCCGAATGTCTCTGCAATTGCTCCGTGGCATTGATTGATAGGTTGAAGCTGTTGGGCAAAAATGTGTATTCTTAATGCTCCCTCTACTGAAATTACCTCCGTTTTATAGGGATGTCCAAGACTCTGCAATTTCGAGCATCTTTTATTGTGTCAATTTACTCCAAATCGAGTGGTTAATTGAAACAGGCAGCACAAGATACGCAAAATCGGCACCGCTGGCGGAGTCAGCTCCAACCGTTACGCCAAGCAGGCTGCGCAGGTCATACCACGTTAGCAGGATCAATCATGTCCAGTGAACGGCCAGACGAGGCTGAGCTGATTCGAGCGGCGATGAGCGGCGACGCAGAGAAAATTAAATTTCTTTTGTCGACGGATCGCCCTTTACAACGTCGGCCGACTCTGCTTAGCATTTCTAGCAAAAAGATCGCTTTAGACATCAATGCTATAGATAAGATAGGAAGAACTGCATTGCATTGGATAGCAAGCCGAGGTCATGAAGATTGCGTGGACATAATCATGAATCATCCAGGGACTACATCTCTTATCCTTAACAAAGACGGGCGAACGCCCCTTCATGAAGCAGTTATGAAAGGTCATACGAATCTTGTGAAGAAATTTTTCGCATACGACGTTTTCCACGACCGCGAAAACATCGACAAGGTGGATCAGCAGAAACGAACAGCCCTGCATTGGGCAGCTTTAGGAGGGTACGACACAATATTGCAGATGCTCGTGCAGAATGGCGCCAATATCAAGCTAAGTTCCAATGATGGGAAAACTGCGCTGCATGTAGCTGCAAATACAAGCCGCGACACGACAAAGTGGCTTCTGCTTCGTGCCTGGGTCGCGCAAGGATGCGACGAGGGAGTCATTCGAGAACTCCTTGATGATGATAAAGTTCAAACTGATGCAAAAGACAAAGATTCGCGGACACTACTATCATATGCATCCGAGAGCGGAAACGAGGCAATCTTCAAGCTGCTGGTCGAGACGGGCGCTAGCATCGACGCCAAGGATGACGATGGTCGGACTCCGCTACTCTGGGCAGCTGAGAGTGGGCATGAGGGCATTGCCAAGCTACTACTCGAAGAAGGAGCTGATTTTGAGGCAAAGAATGAGAATGGTTGGACGCCGCTACACCGGGCAGCTGCAAATGGGTATGAGGGTCTTATTAAACTGCTGGTTGAGAAAGGAGTAGATATTAAGGCGGAGGATGAGTATAGCCAGACGGCGCTGTCCTGGGCAGCTGCAAATGGGCATAAGGGTGTTATTAAGCTGCTGGTTGAGAAAGGAGCAGATGTTAAGGCGAAGGATAAAAATGGCCGGACGGCGCTATTTTGGGCAGCTGCACATTGGCAAGAGGGAGCTGTTAAGCTGCTGATTAAGGAAGGAGCAGATATTGACGCGAAGGATGAGTATGGCCAGACACCGCTACACTGGGCAGCTAAGAGTGGGCATGAGGGTGTTATTAAGCTGCTAGTTAAGAAAGGAGCAGATATTAAGGCGAAGGATTATAAGGGCCGGACAGCGCTATCCTGGGCAGCTGTAAATGGACATAAGGGAGCTGTTAAACTGCTGATTAAGGAAGGGGCAGATATTAAGGCGAAGGATTATAAGGGCCGAACAGCGCTATCTCGGGCAGCTGAGAGTGGGCATGAGGGTGTTATTAAGCTACTGGTTGAAAAAGGAGCAGATATTAAGGCAAGGGATTATAAGGGCCAGACGCCGCTCTCGCTAGCTACCGAATGAGGACATGGACGCGTTGTCGAGCTATTACATCATAAAATCTAAATAACTACGAGACTTTGATTATTTTGAAAATAGTACCTATAAATCCTGCTATGGAGATGCTATCCTCGATGTATCATATCCTACTCCACAAACTTAGACCCGTAGTCATGGCTTTGTAGTGCGATGTCTCCTTAGATTAATTTACGGTAAATTGAATCCAGATAGACACTATCAAAGCTAGAAAGTGAAAATTTAGCTACTGCTGGTTGTAATATTGTTCTTCCCACAGAAATTACCTACTCTCCTATACTGCAGAAAGGGATTCAACTAGAGTACCGAGTAATAACGGACATTTTTCCCGCTCCTACAGCACCATACTAGCAACAAAAGCTGAAAAAAGGTGCTCAGAGGTAAAAGCCAGTGCTACATGGAATCTCTTTCCACAGTCAATATGGTTGGGGAGTTGTAGGGATATAGATCCAAGAGCACAAAATATTAAGTTAGAATGGCTACTAGAAACTCTTTGATTTGCAATTCAAAATCTCCAAATGAGCGATAGAGATTAATATAGTAGCACGAAATGACATGTAGATAGATAGCAGCGCTACGTGCCAGCCAACATGATATATCCAGACCTAAGACTTGATAATACCTATTCCCGCACGCAATGCTGCTTATCCGTTCCATTATTGTTCATCTTGCGACTTGAGAATCTTCAAAGCATTAGACAAGTCTTCAATCTTCTTCCCTAGCCGCGAACGATTCTTCTTGGCTTGTTTCGTCTCGCTAGCGATCCGCTCGAGCTCCCCAGGCTCCAAGTTGATGACCCAATCCTGGGTAAAGACTTTCAATGGACTAGATGGACCAGTCAACAAGTAGTAGTCAACGGCCAATTGAAAGACGTTGTCGATAAAGCGATCGGCCGCTAGACCGTAGTAAGCTTTAAGAATGTCATGGATATCTTCTTGAAGCTGCTCCACATTCGGCTTCCCTGCAGCAGCCTTGGCAATATCGTCCAAGCTAACCATGTACTGAACGCCTCCGAATTGCTTAGTGTCCCTCCTAGCTGTAGGACGCAGCAGCTCTGTGATTCTATGGCCACGAGCTTCCATTCGAGCTGCAGCAAACTGTCGGTTAAGCGTATAAGGCTGCTTACGCTGCTCGACTTCTATTAATAGATTCGCCTTAGCCATTGCTGTCTTATAGCGCTCCACCAGTGTGTCGAGGATAGCGTACCATAGGTGGTTGCGAGCTTGTTCTTCTGTACAGACGGATCGGAGAGCGGCAGCGATGAAACGATGAAGGGTGATGATGACCCTGCTCATGTAAATCTTGGTTATATCTCCCCATTTGTGTGACTGTTCTGCAAAGGAAATAGAGACCAAATATGGGTTAAAAGTGCCAAGATCCATACCCCTAAACTGTAAGTGGACGTCATTGATCCATGCAGTAAAATTGTCCCGTGGTTTGGGAATCTCTTGGATAGGGATAATGATATCGCCGAGTTCAGATAATTCTTGTGGTGCAATCTCGTCCACCTTTGCCTTGTCGAGCAGCGCTCGCAAGTTATCTACCGTCACCCCGGCAGGAGTTTCTTCCCAATCGCGATGGGCAGGTCTCTCAGGTCTCTTAGCCACCGGTTCAGCTTTCGGATCTGCGTTCTGTTCAGCTTTCGGTTCAGCTTTCGGTTCAGCTACCACAGGCGTCTTCGGAACCCCAAGATCCTCAAAATGTCGTGAATGGGCGCTCTCTCGAAAGTCGGCATTGAATACATCCGTAATGTTCATCACTTGGGTAATAAGGCGAAGCTCGTCCTGTTCAAAAACCGGATCTGCATTGTAATGGGCTGCTAATGCTTCCCTAGCACGTTCCTGGAAAGCCCCAGCAATGTGGCTGAGGAAACTGCGCTGCTCTCGCTCATCTTGACGAGGTAATCCAAGGCTGTCCAATTCTCTCTTGCAATCTTTGATTTGATTATTGACATCCTGGAGTAATTTGGGAAACTCACGTCGCGTAATATCTACCAACAGTGATTGAAGCTGCTCTTTGAGGGCTGAGATACCTACTCGATCTTTTGGAAGATCGGCCCATGGCTGCGTTTGGAAAACTCGATCAAGTTCCGACTGCTCTTCAAAGCCGCCATCTGCTCCGCGGTTTCGTACAAGGAAATAGCCGAGAGTAAGTGAGCGTTTCTTGTTCAGAACAAGGTCACAGACAGCAGCCTGAGCACTGGGTTCAAGTACCAAGTCAGGCTTGGTGAGCACACCAAGAGTACGCTCACCGTTCTTATCAACATCCTTCGCAAGCTCCAAGATCTCTTGTGTAGCAATGTCGACATTACTTGGCAACACTGCTAAGATAATTGTGCGATCGTCTTTGATATAGCCCTTGACCATATCCTTCACCAAAGTCATATCGTCTCTCGTGGTACCCTGAGTAGTAGTGCGGAAGATTCCAGGGACATCAATGATGGTGAGGTAGTCCTCGCGAGGCCCGCTTATCTCAATCTTGAGGACGTCTTTACTGAACACCTCGCCTTTTCCTGTTGATAGATCCGTTCGTAAACCCATTTTTTCATTGGCCTAGTTTCTATTGAGCTGTCGGATTCGACCACGACTATTCAGGTTTTACTAACCTTCTTCAATATGTCCGTGAACTGCTTTCGAAATTCAGAACCTGAGGGTAGCTTATTGCGAAATCCTTTGAGTTGCTCCTTATGCTCCTCCGTTGCGTTTGGCCCAGGAATGATGTTTATAAGAACGCTATCATTGCTATCGCGTCGAGACGTGATTTGCGTTGCGTGGCGAGTGCAAAGGCTCTGGTCTCTAGGAAATGGAATTCCACTCAAGCTCTCCAGTAAGGAAGATTTGCCGGAGCTTTGATCTCCGACTACAACAAGCTATTTTACAAATGAGCATTTGGGACATTGAATGATAGCATTTCCTTTTCAAATTTACCTGAGGCAGAGGCACATGTTGACCAATATTCAAGTCACGGAGTTTATCAACCCTTTCAAGCAATGCCGGGTTTGATAAGATGACGGGGTCTCGGCTGATAGTCATATTTCTTAAAGTTTTTAGGGAGAACATTCAGGATGATGAATGATGTGCTTATTTACTGATCAAATCTTTGCCTGAGAAGAAGATGGAGGACATTTCAATTATATGTTCAAGGACTAGCATTCATTTGAGTCAAGGCAGGACCAAGCTACATCGTAGTGACGTCTGTTTTGCTGTACATGGCTTGGATCGCGATTCGCTCATTTTGAGGCTCCCATGATCACGAGGGGTATGGAGCGTTGCATCATGCATGGCTATGCAGCAATTTCGCTCTGTTTCGTTAAAATAGCAAAGATGTTCGCGGGAATCGGAAGCGAGCGATTTGTGACGGCTGTGATTCAAGAATGAGCCGCCTTTTTAATTAATATCCGATACCTGATATCATATGCACACATATGTACGTTCCCTCATTGGCCGATTTTGATGCTTCGTCCGCATCAAGCCCCGCCGGAGATGTCGTTATAAGCTGCAAGAAAATGTTCTAAACCTGCAGTTGGCTTGATAAGGCACACATTGTGAGCATCTCACCTTCCATTGGCTACATTTGATGCTCTCGTACCCACACCTGAGATGGCCATTGGCTGAAGCACCGCATTCAGCGTAGCATCAACGATCATGCCAGGAGTAGGCAGAGGTAGGTAGGTAGAAGTAGGCGAGAGTAGTGAAGTGAAAGACGGGTATAAAGTCGATGGTGCCTCGCTGAAAAAAAGAAAGACGCTCTTACGCTCCTTAGGCCTCGCCTCAACCTCAACCTCAGCGGCGCACACTTTATTCATCTCGTTTACAGTCCTGGGCATTGCCCAGGACTGCACTGCTTCTTATCTCCAGACCTCTTCTTTAAACAACAAGAGTCGGGTCTCCCGGGCTCTAAGCAGGGAGACTCGCATCAGTCTCCTCCTTGTCAGACAACGAGCAGCGTGTTAGTAGAGCATTCAGTCAACACTTCCCCTTTTGCCGTCCGGAAGGCTGCGATCCTTCGGCTCCCTCGTTTGAAGACTTTGAGTATTTATTCGGTATCGACTGTGCGGGCAATGATGCGATCGAGACATATAGCGAGCGCGAAAGTTCCCCGTCATCCACCGCCTACTCACCATCGTCAGAGAACGAGAATGCCGACAGCATTCTTTTGGAATTAGGAGAATCATTCGGAACTCAGCAAAACCGCTTCTTAGGCCGCGGCCACGGCCACGGCCTCAACATCCCCCATTCTCCCATCATCGACCCTACCCACCACCCTTGGGAAGAAACCTATCCTCCCTTGGAAGAAACCTTGACCCCTTTGGAAAATTTGGAAGACATCCAGCAACAGCAGCAGCAAGCCACCAGTCCAATCTCGGTTAAAGAAACAACAACGGGCTCTCAAGACAATGACACCACTCGACCCCGTTGTAGTATGTGCGACAGGAACTTCGCTAGCAAAAGCATCTTGGCGCGGCATTTCAAAATCAAACATGCAGCCAAGCGGGACTATTGGGTTTGCACTGTCAAGACTTGTTCCAAATACATGAAGGAAGTCAGTATGAAGTATAATTTCAGGCGGCACTGCAGAACGAAACACCCGACGGTGGATCTCAAGCAGTTTGATCTCTGAGTAATGTTGACCGCAGCTCGTCCCTCACGCTGAGGCCACCGGACCCTGTTTGGGATCGCGGGGTCTTTGAGGTGGCCTCCAGCGTGAGGGACGAGCTACCGCTTCACCAGTCTCACCGTCAGCGGAATCTCTAAGGCCCGGTGACGGTGAGGCCTGTGAAGCGCATCACTTCATTTTCTCTTAGACCTTATTATAAACACAATATATACGCCTATTCTTTAATGCTGCACCATCTCAACTGTCTTTTGTGTGTTCCTTTACGCTTGTGTAGATATGTGTAGTATACAGCCCAGCTGAAAATATGCACCTGTGCTAGCTACTTGTCCAGCTTTGGTGCTCAGGAGAAGCCTCTTAAAGACTGTAACACTTCTTTTCATTTTGAGGAGTAGTTCTAGTTGTACAACTGTTTGAGCCTGTAGTTCACTGTCTATTTGCGCTGAAATGCCTCGGCCTAAGTTAGGATACTTGTGTGAAGCAACTTGCAGACATTTGAACCCTGGTGTTGGCAACTCTTGAAACACAGAAAATGCTTCAAATTAGAGTTAAATACAGATTCATCTATATCTAACAACTTGTAACTACATGTATAGAGTAAACAGCAATTCATACTACAACTGACTTATATCGCAACCAACCTTGTATGCACTGTAAGCCTATTAGTGCATGTCCTGAGCACAGACCGTCGACAACGAGCCCGCCTAATTTAGCTCACTGTCTTCCCCCAGAAAGCTACAGGGGCTTTGCCGACCGCTAGTTCGGGCCAGAACGCGCTCACCTTCAGATATCCATCTTCACACTATTTTTTCAACGCTTCTCCAGGGGTCCGACACATCGCTTCCACGCACAAATATAGCTTTGCACCAGCATTGCGACGTTCGATACACGTCAGCATTCAGCTTACCAAAAATACATCGCATTCAAATTTCCACCGGCAGCGATCGAATCCATCCATCGTGTACCACGCTCGAGCTTGGAGCTCCGTGTCGCATCTCATGACGCGCCGCCTCCTCGACTGACTCAAGATTCACCGACCGCAAAAGAGCTGCCTGCTGTAGCAACCATGCGCCGTTCTGCCATTGCATTTAATTTAATCGATTCGTCTTCATCACAGTAGCTAGCAACAAGCTGCAATGCAAAGCGGGAGCCACGCAATTGGCGCCCGGCCGAACGGACGTCCGACGCAGTTCCAAGTGAATCACGAGAGCCGCAAGCCGTTATTCTCCAGCAGCACCGCGCGGCCCGATGACAACGACGAAAATGGGCTGCACGTGTACACGGCGAGGACGCCGGCCTTTGGACGAGGAGGAGCTTCAGGGACCGCGGGCGGTGTCGACAATAAGAAAGCGAGGCCGTCCTCGGAGAACTTGGCCAACGCCAGCGTGGTCTCTTCAGGGGGCACGCGCATCCCGCGAATGAACAGCCTGCCGCAGACGCGCCGAAAGCCTATATCGCTGCGTGAGGCCATGGAGATGGCAGAGGGCGAGGAAGAGGCGGCAAAGCTGATGTCAGAGGCCGGCCTGGACAATCCTGTTCCCGTTGACGGGTCGCCCAGCCCTGCGCCGCGGCCCTGGAGAACGAGGACAGCGTCCGAAGTCTCAGAACTGCGGCGAATACAGGGAGAGGACCATCTGGACACGAAGGCGCGAAGCAAGATCCCGTCGGTGCGCAATCCCAGCTTCAGTGCGACTCTGGTGGGAGGCAAGGAAGCTGCGGTGGGAGCATCGCCAGCAAGGGCCACCCTCCTCAGCGGCGGCAACGGCCTCGCACGGCAGCGATCGAACGAATTTGCTAACCCAGCTCTTCGTAACGCACTGCGATTGGGCCCTAGAGCTGCCTCGACCATTGGCGGTGATAGCAATGGCCTTCCCGATCTAGTCCCAGGCATCGAGGATCCGTTGTCTTCTATCGATCCTGCTCTCTCTGCAGCAACCCTGGTTCAAGAATCTTCTCCAGATAAGAGCTTTGCGTGGCAGATGGATGAAGATTTTACCGCCGGCGAGCTGCAAATATCCGATAGTCCTCGAGTTAGGGTCGGCGTTCGGCCATTTGCCAGCCGGCTGGGATATCGCGACGGTGAAAAGCAAGACTTTGACAGCTTACCTCGAATCTCCAACCCAGGTTCACGCAACACAAAACTAGACGAGATACGATCACTAGAGCTCAAGGCAAACGGCAGCCAGATACCATTTGCGGGCTCAGCACGCCCAAGGCCAGCAAACACAAAGTTGGACGACATACGCACAAGAGAAGGTCAAGTAGAGCGCCAGATTCCGCTGCCGAGCCGACACCTGGATACGTTAAAAAACACGAGACTGGAAGAGATCCGGCAGCGCGAAGCCGACGGAGTATCGAGACGGGCATTCGCCGCAGCTCGCCTTCAGGAAATCAAAGAGCAAAACGCCATGGCACGCCCCCGGTCACCCGACGACGACTTCAAATCCCGTGCGGCCTTTGGGTTGGCACGCCGGCGCCTGGCCAAAACTGATGCGGCTGATGAAGCGAAAAAGGAGGAATTGCCACCATCACGAATTGGGGGAGGATTTGGTTTTGGGGGGGTTGGTGGTATTGGTAAGACGGTATCAGATACGCCCGCAACAGCCTTTAAGCGAGACCTGAGGCGTGCAGAGGAGAATACAGCAGCAAAGCTGGACAGCGAAGAGCATAAAAAGGACAGCGCGATGAAGCCCAAGCTGTTTGATCGAAAATACGACGACAGAGACCTGTTGCGACGGCTGGCAAGGGCCGCCAGCTCCCCGACAGCTGAGACCGAGTCCCGCGCAAAGCAGCTGCCCACCGCTGCGCCAGCTGACGAAGAAGATAAACAGACCGCTACCAAATCAATCGCCGATAGAATCGCCTCTCGCCTGTTTGCTTCAAAGCGCGCTTCTTCTCTTCCCACGCCTGAGACTAAAGCAGCGACTGACGGCAGCGCTAAGGATTCCGAAAAGCCAAAGCCTACGGTGGGATTTGCCGGTCTGCAGCGCACACGATCGATTGAATCAATTAAGAGCAAGCGGTCCAGTATGCAGTCAGAACCGGACCCGACAGATAGGATAGAGGCGGAGATGAAGTTGTTTGCGCCTTCGGACAACCATTCTGAACGCGGCTCTCTTCGCGCGCCCTCCCCTCCTTTTGACGATGAATCGGATGATGGTAACGTTAGGATCAAGGACGAGCCCGAAGCAGAGGCGACGCCGAAACCCTCCAAGCCGGATCCTTTATCCATGCCGACTCCAAGAGTGACCGGCGCCTATGTCGAAACGCCAGTTACGGTAAAGACAGAGAAAGCAGTGCTCAAATCCGAAGATATCAAATCATCTGCGGAACCGTTCTTCCCGGATAGAAAATTGACCTTTTCTTCCTGGAGAAACAGAGATCAAGACGCAGCTTCGGACCCCGGCACGACTGATGACGGCGACTCTGTAATCTCAAAGTCGGCAGTCGTTAGAAAGCGAAGGGCAAAGTCGCTGCCTCAACGCAGGCTGCCCATCAAGAACTCGGTCAAGCTTCCCTCTGTCAAGGATGACATGATGGAGCTGCGCCGCGCATACAACATTGACGACTCGACATTTGACGATTTAGATGAGATTCTATCTGGCAGGAGTCTAGCCAGGGCTGCTAAAGACTTGAAGAGCGGCAGCTTTGGCCGGTCCTCGGCAGTCGACCTTGATCTAGACCTTGATTCAGAGTTTGACTCTGCGGACTTGATTAAGAGAGAAGGCAAAAAGGACGGTAAATCGTCAAATTCCGACGGCGAAATTGCTGCTTATGAGCGAATGAATAAGACGCTGCAAACTGGCCTTTTACGGATTCGCTCGGCAAAGCAAGGCATCGAACGCATCGAGGATCGATTCTCACGAGCCCAACCATTCTCGCAGGGAAAGAAGAACATGACTAAAGCCCCTGAAGGCCACGAGCACCATGGTCACCTCAGCCCTCAGGCAGGATGCCCGTACTGCACGTCGCCGTCGGGTGCTACTACAGTCACCTATCTTCATCTCGCGCTGCCACGACTATACCACCAAGATCCTACTTTCCGCCTCACCTGGCTTGGTCTGCTTGTTTTCATTCTCTCAACATGGTATGCCGCCGAGTCAGCCATGTGCGCCATGTACTGTCGACCAACCACCTGTCCTGCTTCCAAGTCGCCTTGCGTCTGGTCCTTTGATGACCCGACAGATTTCGGCACGGCCATACCCATCAAACTGGACCAGTGGATCACGGGCGGTGGAGGGCGCCAAGTGGCATCAGTTGTATATGAAGAGGCTTACGATTGGATTGCCGATATACAAGACCTGGCTTTGGGGCTCGACATTGAGGACGTGGATATGGAGACGCTCTCACCCGAACAGAAGCGTCGGCATAGACGCCGTCTGAGGAAAAAGGGCCTTTTGGCTGCTAGAGAACCGCGACCGGAAGACCAGGCGAAATGGGACGAGTGGCGAGCAGCAAGATTGGCAAAGGAGCGAGGTGAAGAGGTGAGGCCTCAGGTATATAGCAAAAGCACAGCGGCGCCGACAGAGGATGAAGAGAGTGGATGGGTTAAGGTGAAGCGAAGCTGGGGGAAATGAGGGTTTTGGAGTAGTTTTTGCGTGCTGTGGTTCGTTATATTTTGTAGTTTTATATGCTCTTTTTTTTTTTTTTTTACAATAAGCTTATTAACGAGATAATGATGAAAGCTGGGGAAATGAAGAATCAAGTTGGAGTTACGGAACTATAATATATTGAATGTGACAATAGTAAATACATTTTGTGTTTTAGGAGTGATCTTGGTACTTGGGTTGAAGATGCTACTGTAATTTTAATCAAGTTCGATATTCATCATAGGTGGTAGAACAATGGTTGTATTTTTATAGGCTTCTAAAAAGCAGCTCTCTCGTGACGCCAAAAACACCCTTTATCCAGCAATGGTATACAAAAAGAGACAAGAAAAGGAAATTTTGGACAGCAGGCCGGGCCAATTAGTTGTCCAGACCACCCCATTCGTCGTCCTCATCGCCCTCTGCCCCGTCCATATCCTCATCCTCACCCTCATCCTCATCATTCTTCTCTGCCCACGGCAATCTCTCGTCGTCGTAGCTGTCTGCCGAGCGTTGTCGCAAAGACTTGACAGGACACCGCTTGAGCGTCTCCACCAAAGAGCCAACCTTTTGCACAAACGCCTTTGCGTCCTCATTCCCCTCCTGCGCAGCAGCAATGGCGCCCTCACGCTCAAGCTCATCCACCCACACATCCAGCACATGCAGCCTCAGTCCCAGCGCAACCTTCTCCTCATCCTCGGCATCAAAGCACCACCTCGCAAAAACACCCGCAACCTGCTCCGTCAAAGCGCCCTTGTAGCCCTGCTCCTTGACAAGCCGCACATGCGCGCCAAACACCCTCCTGACGAGAAGCAGGAACTTGTCCAGGCGCAGCGCCTCAATGTGCGGCCACTGCGTGCCGAGGACGGACCAAAAGGCCGCGAGCCAGGGCTCGACGCAGGCGGGCTGCAGGCCAAAGAGCAGGTTGGCGAGGTCGGCGGCGAGGGCCTGCTGGGGGCGCGGGCGGTCCGTCATCCAGAGGGCGTAGTAGAGGCCTGTCCAGAGCTTGCGGGCGTCGATGGGCGTGAGAGACTGGCGGGAGGAGAGGAAGGCTTGGAGGGAGGAGAGGGATTCGGTGCGGAGTTTGCGGTCTGCTCTGCAGTGTTAGTCGAAAGTTCTCTGTGTATAAATGAAAGAATTGCGAAAGAAGAAAAAGGTCAAAGAGAGAGGGAGGGCAAAGACGGACCGCTTGAGGCGAGGTTTCTGATAAAGGGCATCTGCTGCGCTTCTTGCGCAGAGACGGCGGCGGAGGCAGCCATTGCGATGGATAGAGGTTGGGATTGATGTGCGTTGACAAGTAAATATGAATTCTAAAATGCTACAGCAATTTCTTTGTTTTATTTCAAACGCTGGGCTCGATTGGGTGGAGTTGAGAAGAAGAATGGTTGGTCAAGAAAGATGCAGCGCAGAAAGAACGTCCTAAGCATAAATTTTGCCTGGGCCATGGAAAAAATCGAGGTGAAGCTTCGGTGAGCGGTGCTCGGTGAGTGGTGGTGCCCCACCGCGGCTGACCGAGACTTTGGGCGAGAGACAGAGACTTGTACTTGACTCTACGGCGCTTAGCAGGTAAAAGGCTTGCAATCCAATAGTAGTACCGTATGTCATATGCACATAGTCTACCGCTTGCCAGAGTACATGCAGGCAGGTAATGATTATTCATCTCCAGGTAATCATCTGATTTGATACTGTCCTACAAATCATTCCAAATCACTGACTGATACGCGCATCCGATCCGATTCCACAGGTATCAGGTACACACCTGCACCCACCGCCCAGGCTGCCTCTTTTTCGCCCTGTCGCTGCCCCGCGCCCGGCCATCGCGGTGCCTCCCACGCCTGAACGTGCAACAAGCGCCGCACCCCACATCCGTCATCGCCTCCGAGTCACAGGTACCTGCCCCGACCGGCGGAGGAAGATTCTCCATTTCCTGCCAACCAACCAACCAACCCTTCTTTCGTTGCTTCATTTTTGCTTCATCCCTCTTTTTCTTTTCTATCCGTCTTTGTCTCTTTTTCAGGGCTCGACCAGTGTGCATCCAGTCTTCGCTTCCTTGATACGATACGACATTCGTTCGACAGAGCTGCAGACGATCATACGAGCGAAAAGGAATAAAAGAAGCAAGGCCGCGAAGAAAGAAGCTCCCTTGACATACAAACAGACACCGACGTCTCCATCTCGACAAGCGTAGACCTGCCTCGCATCTCTCGAGAGCATCAGCAATCACACAGACGGTCTCTCCAGCTCCTTCAGTCACAAACCATCTCCAAAATGTCCACCAAACGCATCACAAAGGTCAGCCAGCCCCCCATCTCCCCATCAACACCAGACAAACAATCAAAAATACTAACATTCCCACCCTTCCAGGAATTCGCCGAAGTCTCCCAAACGCCCCCCGAAGGCTTCATCGTCTCCCTCCCCCCCAACGACTCCGTCCACACCTGGCACATCACCCTGCAGCCTCCCCCCGCCACGACCTTCTACCCAGGCCGCTTCGGCATCCTCCTCACCCTCCCCACCGACTACCCCTTCAAGCCCCCCGTCGTCAAGTTCGTCACCCGCCTCTACCACCCAAACGTCACAAACGACTCCCTCGGCAACGTCTGCCTCGGCATCCTCAAGGCCGAGAACTGGAAGCCCAGCACAAAGATTGCCTCCGTGCTCGAAGCCATCCGGAACCTGCTCATCGAGCCCCAGCCCGACGATCCGCTCGAGGAGCGCATCGCCGACGAGTACCGCAACGACAGGGCCACGTGGGAGCAGAAGGCCAAGGCGCAGGTCACAAAGTATGCTCTTGAGGACCCGGTCTTTCCGGCGACGGCGAATTAGAATCTGTCTGGGAGTCTGGAGAGACTTGATTTAGAGTCACGAGCAGAGGGGTAGAAGCTGGAGGCGGGATGGACGTTTAAAAAAAATAAACATAAAACAACCAAGATGGGAGAGATGGAAGAGAGAGACAAGGATAAAAAGCTGAGAGGAGCTCAAGGATCCACAAGTCGTTCAGTTGTGTTTGGTGCATCGGCGTCATTCAATGATGGCAGCGGGCATAAAATGGAGAGGGTTCCGCAACTTTGGCTTTGACTCTGGCTTTTGATATTGACATGGTGGATATTGCGCAACGGACGTCTACAAGGATGGATGGAACAGCATTGCTAAGGCTAGCAGCAGCATGGTATTTAGTGTTTGTTTTGTTTTCTCAAGCAATAGAAAAAAATAAGAGCTGGCTATCGCTGGCTTGAAATCTCATGACTTAAGAAAACGAGTGTCTCTCACGAATACTTTCTGTAACTCTGCAAAAACAATGATACAGCCCAGCAATGCCAAGTATTAACTTCACAAGGTTTCACTTCACGAGATTTCACATAACACATACAAGCACACAGAATCTACAATAGTGAAAGAATAAAAGTCTTCGTTTCAAGAATTCATTCATTGGCCGTGCACAAACCCGTGTCTGTCTATAGGTGGTATAACACGCCAGTGTCTTTTGCCATATTACTCCCCCCCAAAAGCTTTTTTCTCTGGCCCTTATTCTATCCAAGTCAACACACAAAAATAAGAAAGAAAAAAAAGGAAAAATAAGATTTTTGTACATGCCCATCCTTCTATGCTGCGCACCACAGATGTAAGAAATAAAAGAAAAAAGGAAAAGGAAGAGAAAAAAAAGGAAGAAGAGGACAAAAAAGGTAGAAAAGAAATAATGCAGACAAGATGTATACAAAGCAACACAAAAGCTGTATTTCTCTTTCGTCTTTCTTGCTCAAGCACTATCCCCCCCCCCTGCTTTTGCTTCTTCTGGTTGTTTTGTTTGTTTGCAACAAGCATCCGTCAAAGTTCCTCTAACAAGGGGACCTGGCACAAGTTGCAGCCGTAACCGTCGTCATGGTATTTTTGATGAAACCAAAGGGTAGCGCTTCTTCTCTCAATTCCACCAGCACGCCCGTATGATGAAAATAAAAAATAAAAAAATAGTAGGAAATTTAGAGAAGAAAATTAAGGATAGTGGGAGGAAGAAAGAAACAAAGGAGAAAAACACGCTGTGTTCGGAAATACCTGGTGAAAAGGTAGATGAAGGGAGGGAAAATAAAAGAGGTGAATGAAAATGCTTATGCTTCAATGCATCGTAGCCGCTGTCTGGGCCTTTGGATGGCATCTCCCTCAAACGCCTGCCGTGCTATGGGTAAATGAAGAAATGGAAATAGAAGAAGAGAGAAGAAAAAAAAGAATTATAAGGTATGAGAATCGAAGTAAAACCGAAGAAGAGGAAATAAGACGCCGGTGGTATCAATGCAAAAATCTAGCCTCCCCAAGCTCAATAGCTTCTTGTTTCTTTTATTTCTTCAGGCCAAAGAGGCCGCCCTTCCGCTCCCCATCAGCCTCTCTGCCATGAGCTCCGTGGTGTGTTGCAGCCTTACTGCGAGACCGCAAGAGAAGATCCTGCTGGGCTTTATCACGTCTTTCTTGCCGGCGCTCCTCAATCACTTCTTGACTGAGGTGGTTAAAGCCGTTACGCCTCTTGAAGCAAGTCTCCAAGACTTTATTCGCGTCCAGCATCTTCCTAGGCAGAGACTGGACTACACCAAACATTTCCATTGGGTCTCCAATCGCCTTGATTTCGGCTTCTCCCAACTTGAAGATGGCCAGAGCAACCCGGAAAAGAGTCTTGGATCCCTCGTAGAAGAAGACATCCCAGACACGGAGCGTTGTCTCGATGGGCAGTGTCCCGATGTAGCAGCTCATGAACCAAGCAGTCATGCAGAGGGTGATGGGAGGAAGCCGCTCAGATGACAGCGCCAGATGGGGTTCCTTCCTCTTCAGACGAAGCGTCAGCGGCGAAGGCGTCAGCGGTGACTTTCGCATTGACATTGATTTGCTGGTCATTGGTCTGGACAGCGGCTCGCCGCCATCTAGCTCTCCTCCAATCTTATCCCACACAGCAGGCATCGTGTCCCGGAGCTCCGTCATCAAAACTCCAAGATCTACCTTGGAGCCCTCGAGGCTCATCTCGTGCGTGCCAGGGAGATAGATGTGGGTGATGACGTTGAGCAGCCAGAATGCCTGTTCCTCTGTATCCACAAAGAGAAGCAAAAGGCCGGCGATGAAGTTGAGGCTCTGGCAGTATCCAATGCGAGGGTTGTAGACGGCAAATGCAAGCAGGACGCGGCGGAGTGAAGCAATAAGCGGCGGCTCGCCTTGTAGCCCAACGGGGCCAGGTCCGCTACCGTCCAAGGCCGCTCCCCTGACCGTAGATTGGCTTGCCCTCTCGCTGCTAGTCGTGGTGTCGAGCATATCGGCGGTGGCTTGCGAAGGCTTGAACTGAATATTATCAGGGAATGTCCGGTGAAGATCGCGCTCGATGGCCTCAATGTCAACATGCTTGGCCTGTCTCAGCAATAGCTTGTCGTAAAGGCCGCCGTGCTTGGCCAGAATCGCTGGGCCGCCTGCGTAGTAGAACCACGCAGCTCCTCGCCAGTCCGGCGGGATGCCTTTGCGGACGAAACGCTTCGTCTTGGCATTTGGAGATGGGAAACGTTGGGGGCGGTCGGTCATTAGGGCGCTGTCCTTGAGGTAGGAAACCCACTTCTTGCGCCGACGGGCGAGGTACTGAGAGTATCCCTTGTCCCAAGCATCATACTGGGCTATGCTGATGAACTGATTCTCCTTTTTGAATCCGTACCGGTCACGCGCTCCCGGCAACTCAGGCTGAGGGACCGGGACACGCGCCGATGAAGGGGAAACCGATCGAGATTCGGGGACAGAGGGAGGTGAAATACGAGAAGGGCTTGGGCTGGGGGTGGCGCCTCTTGTGTGAATGCCGTCCGAGTCCACACCCGACTCTGCCGTTCTGGACGAGTTGCGATTTTCTGGAAACTCTAGATCGTTGTCTAGGTCGTGTTCCGGGTCGTGGTCGAGGTCATGGTCGTGGGTGAGAGCAGGCACCGTTGATGTGAAGGCGGCGCTGGAAAAAAGCATCTTTGATTGCCTGATTTCCATGTCTAGGGCAGAATGCTGAGCAGGCACCGGAGGCACCGGGTCCGAGTCAAACTCGTCATCGTGGATGCGCTCAGGTACCGGTTCGGACCTGGCGGTAGCAGGACGGTGCATAACGCTAATCATGTTGTCTGGGACAGCGTCCTGGAGCTCGGCCGATTCTTCCTCTGTTGCTTCTTCCTCTATTACCTCTTCCTCATGTGTATGTAAAGTTGAGTGTCCGTGCTCAAGCCCGTGCTCGGGTTCGTGCTCAAGCTCGAGGCCACGGTCGTGCGTTGGCTCTAGCTCTGATTCTAGTACCGTTTCTAGTTCTGGCTGTTGCTCCTGCTCCTGCTCTAATAGCTTTGGCAAAGAGTCCGGCTCTGGCTCGTGCGGGTATGGATCGTATGCAGAACCGTAGCCAATGTTATATTGGTCGTCGTAAGGGTGGTGGTGGTGGTTGTTGGTGTTGCTGTGGCGGTTAGAATGAGTGTTGGGATCAAATTCTTCGTTTGCAAAATCGTTGCCGTCGTCGTCGTCGTCGTCACAGAATCCTCTCTCGTACATGCCCATAACATCTTCCAAGCTCGGCTCGTCGGCGTCTGCTGATTCTCCGTAGAGCGACAGAACAGAGCTGTCCTTGGTCAGGACGCTGCTTCGCTCGGTCAAGGCAGTGGCGGGAGTGGACGATGATGTAAGCTGTGACCTGAAGCTGGATCGCAGTTCGTCGTCGCTCATCCACGGAGCTGGCCCACTAGGCGTGGGAGCGCTTATGGAGCTGTCAATGCGGTTATTGTAGGCCAGATACTGGGGGCGATGGCCGGCAATTGAAGAAGGAGGTTGTGCGCCCGCGTTTCTGGAGGAGCGGCCAGAGCTCGATTCGAGGTATTGGTATTCGGCAGTAGGGGGAAAAGATGGAGAGGCGGCATATGAGAGTGAAGGTTTTGAAGAGTCTGAAGGCTGTCGGGGGCGCTGCCAGGAGGGCGTGGAGGCAGGTGAAACGCTGGTCATCTCCGGCATGCGATCCGAGGGAGGGAGGTAAGCCAGCCGCAGGCTACCTGGACCGACAGGGGGCGACCTAATACTGGCGCTCTGCTTCCGGGGTCTAGAAAAGTTCTCGACGGCAGGGGTCTCTGGCGTGCGCACCTCGGGGCGCATGGCCTTTGTCATCACAGCGTTTGCGGAATCCAGACGCAAAGGCTCTGGCGGTCCTCTCCTGCTGGTCGTCATGTCGCGCACGGGATATGTCGCTGATGCAGGCGCTGCGTGATGCTGATGCGCGGGCTGCTGTGGCTGGAACTGGGGCTGAGGCGACGCCTCCTGCTCGAACTGGCCGTACCGCTCATACCAGCTGTTCTGCGAGGCCGATCGGGGAGGGATGGGAGACACTGGACTGCGCAGCATCATGTGAGAGCCGGTTGCGATCGAGTCATAGCGCGGAGAGAGCGGCATAGGAGAGAGCTGCGGCGGTCGTTGGCGGTTGTCGAGGCTGCCGGGCTGAGGATGCGATGCTAGAGGCGCTGGAGGAGATTTCAGGCGAGATGCGTAGTGCGAAGCCTGGTGGTTGGAGAGGCTCTGCTGGCGGCCATGGCCGCCGCCAGGCTGAGAGACGGTCATTGAATTCATCAAAGGTTCCCGCCGTGAATGCGCAGGAGCCCAGCAGCGACAACTGAAGGCGTTTGCCGGGCTCTATGAAGCCACCACGAGAGCACGTGAGGCTGTCTGCTGTGCAAGTCTGCTGTGGGTGAGGCTGCACGAAGTTCTCGGGCCAGGCCGCTGCCTCGACAGCGATGCTCGCCGACTGGATTCGTGGATATTGCGGTAGAGAAGGGCGCTGCCCCGTGCCATTGCCGCCTGTGCACGCAAAACTGTGATGCTTTTTTACGGAGGATGAATCGGAGAAGAGGCCCGTCGTGAAAAGGTCTGGTGCGGATTCGGCTCTAGGTCAAGGCCTCATGCAGCTGGGCGCGGCTGGCGGGCTATTTTGGTAAGGCAGGCTGAAGCCGAGGATAAAAAAAGAAGAACGATGTGCAGACCTGTCACACAAGAAATCCCCACCACAGCTCAGAATAGAAAGAGAGGACGAGCAGGCGCAGGTTTAGTCAGTGAGGTGAGGGCAGTCGTGCTATACAGAACGAAGCTTCCCCACGGCAAAGGAGCGGTAATAGCGTGCGAAGCAGCCGCACGTTAGGGAGGGACCAACAGCAAGGACAGAAACGCCTGGTTTCTCGCGCGGCAGCAGACCGACTCGGGCCCGCCAATAGCTTTCCGGCGCGCGTGGTGCAAAGAGAGGGCAGCTCGCTGCTCTCGATCGGTGCGATGAACGCCCACCGCTGGTGTTGTGGCGGGTTATCGTCGAAGTCGTCGAGCCGGTGTCGTCGAGCTTCCAGTGCAGGGGTGACGAAAAGTCACCGTCATCAAAATCCTGATACCCCGGCCGCGCAGTGGGAAAAAAAACTGGAACAGGGTATTTAGGGAGCCCGCTGTCAAAGAGAAAATAAAGCGTCTGGGTCAGCTGCAGGCTCCAGTGGCATGTGCCCGACAGCAGCGCCTCAGACCGCGATGGGCAGTCGTGTGAGGTTTTGGAGAAGCAGAAAAGGGCTGGGGAAAGACGCGAGCCACTGTTTTTGAGGGGTTCTGGCGGTGCTCAGGGCAGACTGCAGGCTGAAAGCCGTCCATCCATCCAATATCGCGGCCGCCACCCGCTCGCTGCTGATGGCTGCAGGCCCAACAGCAAATGCGCCGACAAAAAGGAATGCCGCGCCGACCTACAGCCTATGCTATGGCCTGGAACCTGCACGCACTCAGGCGGCGGCTCCCTACAGCAGCAGCTCCCTGGGAGCGCACAGCGGCTGGGACGCAATGCTGCACGCTGCTAGCACATGCAATAGCCTACAGTAGTGCTGGGCCGGGCGCCAACAGAACGACAGAGATGGAGCAGGGGACGGGCAACCCCTGGAGAACGGAGAGCTGGCCCCCTGTCAGTAACGGCCAGGCATAGTCCCTTTAGCCCCAGCTGCTAAGAAAAACTAGAAAAAGAAAGGAACATTTGATCCAGTTATTAGACACTAAGAGATGAACCTAGCAGGGCCAGAAGAAAAAATTGCACTCAGCACAGCTCAGCCAAGCAGCAGCAATCAGGCACCGTCCCCGCCGAATGAATCAAATCAAAGCGTGCATGAAAGTACATGTAGCCGCAGCCCCGGGGCGCTGGTAATAAGCTCTTAGCGCACCGGACCCCTCCCATCCGGCCATCCGTACCGCTGCGGCCCTTGCATTTGGCCTGACGTTTTACTGGACCTGCATTGGCCTGCCCGCCACTATGGCCGGACTTGGTGCGCCTAAGGTGCTCAAATCCCACATCAGGTTGACACCGGCAAGCTTGTGGTGGCATTAGCGTGGATGCGGTCCGGGGGGAAGCAAATTTTAGAGAGAAGAGCCAGATGGAGCCGCTGAGTTTTTCTTTCTTCTTCTTCTGCTTCTGCCATCGTCCCACACAATACGAAGGCGGAGCATGTGGGATAGCATACAACAGTGCATGTACTTGTAGGTATATGGACTACAATTAATACCACATGCATGGTGAGTGTCAGGCAAGGGCAATCAACCGCCCCAATGCAGCATAGGAGAACAAGCTGCGTAGCTGAGCACAAAAAAAAAAAAAAAAAAAAAGATGCATTGTGGCCTCTGCTTTGTCTTCCCCCTTTACTGTTTATACACACTTACAAATACGCCTCGGCATTTGGTAGCTGCTCAGCTCAGCATAGTACCTAATAAACGATGCAGGATGCCATGCTTCAAAGCCCAGAAAAATAAAATCTCCGCTTCCTCCATGATCTTCAGAGCTTATGCATCGAGCCGATGATTGGTGTAGACTCGGCGTCAGCTGCGTCATCATTACTGATGTCGCGCCCGTCCTCAGCAGTTTGACGTCGATTCTGGGAAGCTCGCTTTTCAGCTCAACTCTCCAATGCTAGTTTTTCTCAGCTACATGTGCCTAAATTAGTAGCGTCTCATGCCGTACGCACCGCAGAAATGGGTTGAAGACAAGGGGGCCGCCAATAGCAGGCTGGAAAAGCTGCGTGGCCCTCGGCACAGCCCTACGGGTGTCGTTGGCCATCTTCAATGCTGTCTGCTCGTCATCTTTTCTGTCTTGTCTGTGTCTCTCGCATTTCCTCACCCCGAGACACGTCTGAGAGCGACAAAGGAATGCGAAACACGCACTTCAAACCAAAGGGCTCCTATGGCCAGAGGATGTCGCTGATCGCGGCCTGTGACAAGGGAAGGAGAGAGAAAAAGTTCCACTGGCCAATATCGACTCCTGGTTCGTCTCATTTGGTGAGCATGCGGCTGTAAGGGCGCCCCTGTCCAGGCTCAATTTGCTGAAGAGGAGCTCCGGGCACCCGCGCGATCTCCAGGCACGCCTTTTGCTCCATAGAATAAGTAAGTCAGCTTCGGATGAATCTCGTCAACAGCTTACATACATGTCCGTAGGTACCTGTGAACACTTACATGCAAGGCACAGACTCCCTCCTTGCATGCACTTTGGGCACCGTCGTGTCAGAGCTGGAGGCGTTGCGGTAAGAGCATGTCCTAGTCCAATCCATTGTTTATTTACAAACCGCATGCATCGTGTTACTGTAGATACTGCTACTACTGCTACTACTCAGAACCTACAGTAGTATACTAGTATTCGTATATCGGCGTTTTCCTTTTCGAGAGAAAACCTCATATGGTGCAAAAAGCCAAGCTGGTCTAGATCCGTCTCCAGCTGCAGTGCTGTAGTTGTTTGTCATTCATACCTGAAGGAATGCATTCCTGCCTGTTCCGACTCGGGCCATCTTCAGCTGCTTCACTCCGCCCAAGGCCCGGAGTGCCAATCACCACCACGCAGACCCCGGCTGCTTATTATGAATTGTATACGGAGTACTACTCGGGCCAGCCGTTAGCACTCCGTGGTTGACTCGAGCACGCGGAAAATTGCCGACTTGGCGGATGTGCATGCCCTGTGGCACCATGCGGTCCAGGGCCCGCAGCCTTGACATCGACAGACTCAATCTCAATTTTATTCTTCCCTTTTCTCTTCCCCCTTCTCTGCAGACTGTCTCCTTTCATTTTTGCTTCTGATCTTGCCCACTTGACTGAATGCGTACACCAACCCTAGTGCAACACGCGGAGAAAATACCCTAAACGCCAATATTACGGCCTGTCATAGTGCTGATCTCGCTAGAACACGCCGGGTATCGCTGCTGTCGGCCCGCTTGGCAATCGGCTAAAGCACCTTAGAATACTGGATGTCAACGGGGTACCCAAGGTACTGCACGTATACGCAGAGGCAGCGTGCACACTCCGTCCTCCTTTTGGTGACACCAGACCAGAGCACAGCGTCAAGCCACTGACTCGTGGCGAGAGCGTCAATGTGCATGTATGCATACTAGGTGCATGTAGGAATCCGAATGCGTGCTGGCACAAGGCATCCTCCCCTTTCTCCCTTGCATCACCTGCATCATTAGGGGCTGCTCTGCTGTAAGAGGTTCAGGTAAACCAGCCACCAGCGGCTCCAGCTTTTTGCACGCGTGGCGCCGCCGCACTTTTCAGTACGCGTATTGCCGACCTGGCTCTGCGACAGCTGAGGCACGGCCTGCGTGTACAGTACTTCATAATGTCCGCAGTGCTTCGGAGTAGGCCTATTTGCTTTTTCTTTATGCGACGGAGGCGCTGCATACGTGTACATAAATTAATTGGTTTCCTAATCCATAACCTCGCTTCGCTCAATATGCTACTAGCCGTAAGGAGTAGAGCAGGAAAGGAAACAAAGCGCAGAGAGTAGAACACGGGTGGAATTAAAGAAAAAAAAAAAACAATAAGTTAAACAGATGGAGATATTGACAACATTCGGATAGTACCCGGTGCGGCTTCTACATGCAGCTGCTTAAGCATTAAATACAGGTCACAGCTCCAGACGAGGCTCGTGCCTCTCCCCTGTTGCTCTTTCAATCAATCTTAGATCCCCACGCGCTTCATCATGTTCCGAGATTGTATCAATCTCGCCCAATTGACACAATAGAAAAGACGCAGTATAAATCCAATAATTCCCCAGATCGCTCTATCTTCACAGCTCCTTTTTTTTCTCTCTCTCTCCCCCTTGCATACCAAGTATCTGCCCCCAACCCCAGCCTCAGCTCCCTTGTGAGTCTCGGAGACCGACACAACCAATGATGTCAATTTAATTGAGAAACTGCATGTAGCCACCGAGGCTGCTGGCTCTAATGCTAATGATCCTTCATGGCTTAAGCTAGTTCCATGGCGAAACAAACAACTTGCCACCGAGGCAGAATGAATACGTACATGTATGCATGCTTCAGCTGAAAAGAGAAAAGAGAGGACAAAGGGGGGGAGAAACAAAAAGGGAGAAAAGTCCAGTCTAATATTCTCTGATACTACACCAATCGTGGGACTATACGTCATCACGTTGCCATATATCTACTAGGTACTATCGCTTCAACTATCTTAATAAGCGGCTCTATAGGTTCATCAACAGCATACCAGATCACTTGTTGTTGTTACCGGAATTTTATCTTAACAAATCGAGGATAATATGGCACCAAGCTATGTATAACGCACCCGGTAGACAGAGGGTCTCTACCAATTATACCTGCTAGCTGGACGACTTGTTACGATGTATATCAACGCTTTGCTGGCTTTATAGATCTCATCAAGCCATACCGGTAACTAAGATCAATATTGACGCCAAATGCTTTTATTTCAACAACGGAAAATGCGCAGCTGTTAGGATGATAAAGTATCACGCTACTACTGGTGTAAGCCACTGAGGTAGATTCAATTCTTAGAGGCCATCAGCTCAGAGGCTACCTTTGTGTGCATGTACTCTCCAAGCACATTCACTGCTCAAAGCAGAAAGCGTTATTTCCGCCTTCTCTATAGATTCAGACTGGAGATGAATTTTATCTATGACAGTTGACGGACATGACACTAGGATACCCTTTCCCGCCTTTGTTTCACAACTTTGTCACAGCGACTCTACGCAAGTAGCTACGCTTCCCGTAAATGCAGTGATGCTCGCTGATGAACTTCCAGCAAATGGACATCTTTGACCAATATCCTAGCAAGCTTCGTACCTACGTAAGCTGAGATGCGATATGGACCTCATAAGAACTCTTTAGATCAGCACTCAGCGACTTGGCATGCTTGTTCTGCGATGCCTATCCTCGCTCAGCAGATTGAGTGAAGCCGATAAAATCACGCCCTTCTGACTTCTTATTCTTTACCGCTAGCTTAATATTCTGCAATTTTGAGACTCAGTGTATAATAACGTGCTATGCGCTGATTGTTGGAAAACTATATTCTACAACGAGCTGCAGCCCACATCGTATACGGTTGATGCACTTGTCATTTATGAGATAATATAAATAGCACGAGCAAGTAACCAACCCAGGAAAATTGTTGATTCCTATGAACTCGGCACCGAAATGCAACCGTCGTATCAAACGGCCTGGCAACAACATGATGATCGCGATGAAGCCCTGTGGGTTGAGGATACCAACGTCGAATTCGAGGATTAGGTGGATCAGATGTGGTCAGCGTTCGAAGAAGGACTCCAAGGAACTATTTTTACTTTATCTACAGCTGCAAGTCCAACAACAAAGCTATCTAGTTGTAGATTTTTCTTTTCTCCATTTCATAGAAATTAAACACCTCTATTTACAGCTAAATTCATATATACTCGCTGGTTTCAGCGTTCTAAAATACCAAGCCATAGGGTTAGTTTATATGGGTGTTATTTCCGCAAGGAGGCGTACTTGTTAAGACATCCCTATTCGCTATATGAAGTACTAAAGATGTGTTGAGGTTTGGGACCTGGAGAGGCGTTATGATTGATTATTGTAGGAAATATAAACTAAATAGTAATAAAAGCTGTATACAAAAAGGAGTTGATTAAGCAGGAACGCCAGCGCAAGAAAATTTTATCCCAGTACCAGTTGACAAGGCTGTAATGAGACATTAAAAAGACATGTAAGAGTAAACCATGATGTTATAGAAAACTGTTTATACCAGCATGGTCAATAGTCTAATAGCTTAAATTCACACAACACAGTCAAAATATTTTGAGTTATTGACTGAGTTATATTTATTACATTCACAAGGCTTCCATTCATCAGAGCTTTCATTTCCAGCTCAGTCGTCTCCGTCGCGCTCAGGTCGCCAACATAAACTTCTACAACGAGGATGCTGTAGTTCTTGAGCAAGGGGTGAGTGAGGAATTCATCTGCCCTACTGGGCTTGCATCTATATAAGGCGGCAACTGGAAAATCGGAGCTACGCGGGATGAGGAACCTTGGGAGGAAACAGTCGACACTAATGCCTTTGGGTGGATTGAGAGTCAATCGACATGGATGGTGCACAAAGAAGACGACAATGCAACTTATACCAAGATTGCCAAAGCTATCGCAAACGGTGTCAACAAGACGGATATTGGCAAACTGGTTAAGGAGCATGGAGAAGAGGTTAAAGTGGCTACTATTGGGCTATATTAATGTGACGGCCTCATTCTCATGCTCGGCACGACGACATAGGCTACATGCCGGCCGATCTGGATAAATAGTGGACTGAAAGACCAATCATTTCACGACACTGTGAAATGTGCACGATGCTTTCCAACGTGCCCAACTGGGTATATATGTTCCTCTAATGTAGGATGCACGTCTAATACAAAAGCATCCATTTATGCCCAACTAACCTGTATCCTCTGGGTGCATAGATGATTTCCCAGCCTGATGTGACATTACGCCATGAATTGAGGCCTTGTTAAAAGTACTACAGAACTATAAGAGGGGACTCGACGTATATCTCGGATGTCGATTCATAGAATTAGCAAGGTAGGATCCAATGCTAAGCTATAGCCGGGAAAAGAGGCTGCGTGTATTGTTGCAAGGCAAATTTTCATAGATGAGGCCCATTGGAGTATCAGTATCTACGAATTACATGTACATATAACTTCATGTACACGTACACGTACTAATTCCCAGTGCAATCCCTCGTATTGAATGTCAATAGGCCATAATGCTCGCCATACGGAGCTATTGCTGTGTATTACCCCAGGATGCGCTTGCATGGCAAACCGCCGTACCAAGTGGATCTTTTTATAGTGCCGCCGACGGCCGAATAGCAGAGAATGTGGTGTCTAGAAGGGGAAATCAGCCAGGACAACGTGCATTGGTGCGGCCCGACGATAGGCGACCCATTTTGCACTTTTTGCTTCAGGGGTGGGCAGCCCGGCAAAAAAAAAAAGAGAGAGAGACACTGAGAGACACTGAGAGAGAGAGAAGCGAGGGAGGAAGACGGAGAGTGGAAAGCTTCCCCCACAGATGGAATGCAAGCACGCGGCTTTGTTGGTCCTTTTTGCCCCCTTTTGTCGCTCACCGTTTTATTTATTTATTTATTTTCCCCCTCTCCACTTTCACTTCCTCTTTTCCTACTTCTCTCACCTTCCATCGCACCAATGGGATGCGATGGCGGTTTGCACATCCTAGGTACCAGCAAAGCATACACTGAGACTGCGGCTGAGGCTGGGCGCGCTGCAGCTTGGAAATCAGCACCTCTTCCGGGACAGCAGAGGCTGGTCTGATCTGGATCTGCCGCGTTGCTTCGTGATGCGCGGGAGTCACGTGGCATGATACAATTGTTGCTGATCGATGACGCTCGACGGTGCCGTCCAGAGTCGCACGCGGCTGCAGGTACGTACACTAAGAAGTCCCAGGATGGCGCACCCATTCTCGCTCTTACGCAGTGCTGTTTTGTAATGCTGCGCCTCTTACATGCATGTGCCTTGCCATGGACTGCTGCTGTTTCCAAGGGGGAGAAGCGAGTGAGTGAGTGAGTAGATGGAGCTCCTGGCCGTACAGAGCTTGGTGGTTACAAGCACCGTCTTGAGTCTGCAGATAAAGACACAAAGGACACAAAAAGGCCGTGTTCTTACTCCCGGCCCAGCGAAGCCGGAGCCGTTGCAGCCTCCCAGCAGCGGAATGGGGGGGCGTGAGACTTGCTTCAATGTCTACAGTATTGCATGTACAGCACAGCATATACAGATGTACCCTGGAGCAGCCTGGAGGATGGAGCTAAAGCGCGGCGTGCGTGACGGAGCCCGGGCTCAAGGTGTCGGCAGCGTCCACCGGTCTTTTGCAAGTAAGCTTCTGCGTCTGATGAGGTTGAGCAAAGGGAGCCCCGTTTGCGGAATAGAAAGCTGGAGCACCCGACGCACCCCGCGGGCGTGCTGCTAGTCCGCATGCAAGTCTTAGCCAGCGCGGAGCTCTCCCTGGCGTGGCTCCTGTGGCTGTGAGTGGTCAGCAGAGCTCTCGGGCTGCTCCAGTCGCCAGACGGCCACAGCTCCAGCGGCGCTACGCCCACGCCCTCCAGCGCAGGATTCTGTTTGCTGCTGGAAAGGCTCGCTGGCGATGGCCAGGCTGGGCGTGGCTGGGCGACTCGAGTCTCTGGCTCTGGCTGCTGGCTCTGGCTCTGGCTCTGGCTCTGGCTCCCCCTCCTCACGCCTCTCTGCTCTCTCTTGCTCTTCCTCGAGGTACTTGCCGTCCTTTGTCCCTCCGGCGCTGGGCCCTTCTCCACCCTAAGCAACGGGCGTGTCACTCCGCCGGTGACGACGCCAGCCAGACACGCTGAGCTCTCCCACGCCGAGCGCTCCCCGGTACCTCGCCTGCGTTATCCGAGTACATCGCCTCGACGTCGCGCTCGCAGCCTGCAGAGCCTCGCCAGCAGTACCGCCGTCTTAGCATTTAGCACTACCACTGTAGCAGCTCCCCTACCTTACCTCACTTTTCCTGACCTTGCCTAGCAGCCAGCCCAGTTGGAGTAAGACTGATACGGAGAACGCTCCCCCTCCCTCTAGCTGTCTGTCGCGCGCTCTCGTCTCGCTCGCTCTCTTTGTCTGGCTCCCCTACCTGGTCTTCTTTTTTCCCCTTCCCTCTCTCTCTTTCTTTGATCCGCCTCACGTATAAAAGGCGTCCACTCCCCCCGAGGATTCTGCTCCACGTCCCTCGACCACGTCTCGGTATCCCCAATTGCATCCTTCAGTCTACTCTGTATCCTTCGTCCGTGCCCATCCGTCTTATACACATCCTCACACACCATGTCTACCCGGAAGCGCACCCGTGACGAGGAGGACGAGGAGGAGCTCGTCTCCCTCCCCGAAGAAGACGATGGAGAAGAAGAAGAAGAGTAAGTGACTGACACGCCCTATTCTACCCTTTGGCCATGGCTTTGCCCATGTGCGAGATGCGCTCGCGTCCAATTGACGTTGCTGCCGGCCGTCTTTCGCACAGCCCACCCTGCATTCTGGCACCAGTCTGGAGATTGCTACAGCAGCTTTCCCAGCCTCCTCTGCGCCCATCCTCTCTGTCACAAGACTGCCGTTTGCATTTCGCTGGTCGCTAGAGTTGCTGATGGATACAATTGCGCTAACTTTGCTGGTAGATATATCTCTACTGGAGATGAAGAGGAAGGCGACGATGACGACGCCGAAGAGGAAGAAGAGGACGTTGATGAAGATGAGGAGGAGGAAGAGGGCGAAGGTGAAGCCGGAGACAAAGAAGCTCCAGTGAATGGTGAGTTGAAGCTACCCCAATCGCTGCTGAAGTTGGTGGCGACAGCAGCTCTTGAAGCCTGTGGCATTGCGACTAGGCGCAACGCCGTCGCGAATAGCGCTTCTGCTGCCGCTACCGCTTTCTCCAAGTCCAGGTCATTGAGGCGACGCTAAAGCTAACACAACACGCAACCAGGCGCGCAACCACCGCACAAGAAGCGCAAGACCGCTGAGGAGGAAGACGTCGACAACGGCGAAGCCGCCGACGAGGAAGACGCGCGGGAGGTGGAAGAGGAGAAAGCCGCAGAGGACGATGCCGAAGAGGCTGCGGAAGATGAGGCCGAGGAAGACGCTACCGAGGACGCAGCTGAAGCTGCCGCCAAGGACGACGTCAAAGTGCCCGAGGTGCCTGCAGCAACGGACACACCAGAGCCCAAGGCTGTCACTGCCGGAGGCGACGAGTAAAAAGAAAAGATGGGGAAAAAAAACGGGACGTAAATTTGGTCGTCTTTGGAGTTGCGCGCACTGGACTGCCCAAAAAAAAAAGGCGGGAGCAGTTCCGTGTACTATGCTTGGCGATTGTATTATGGGCATCTAGGATAAGGCATGGATTTGGATGGGGTATAACAGGCCCTCTCGGTCATTTAGGTAATGATTCTTATCTTACGCTGCGCACCTCGCAGTTTTGGAAATAAAAGAAACGTAATGCCCGCCGACATAGGTTTTTTTTTTTTTTTTTTTTTTTATCATTTTGCCCTTTCTTCTTCTTCTTTTTTCTACCTAGGTCGCAACTTTTGCATGGCCTTTGGGTACCTGGGAACTGCGCATGTGCACGGCTCGCGAGGTCTCGCTGAGTTATACCGCTGATTTCGGCCCGTTCCGGACGATAGCTGAGTCGGCTTCTTGAATTGGCCTTGGCAAAAGGCCCAGTTATCACAGGTCCTGCGGTTATACACATATAGGCAACTAACTATGTAGGCTGCTAAAACTTTGTAAAAAACAAAAACGCGTAAAACATTTCTAGTTAGTTTGGAACTGGTTGTTATGTCCGCCGAGCGAGGTGAGAATTTGGGGACCTGGCTTGGCTTTATATACCGAGGACATGCAACACGAATTGATTGAAGCAGTGCATGTTAGACAGGTCATAACCGTCTAATTGGACTGAAGTTATCTAGCTAGAGACTTGAATTATCTAGTTATTTAGTTAAAAGTCACCTAAACGATATATACAAAGGTAGGGAAATTCGAGGGAGCAGTTGGCGCCCTGGGTCTTCAAGCTTAGCTGCTGGTTTGACCGATACTACTACACCACGGAGTAGACAGTCCATGTTGCGGAATATAACTTGCGTGTTGTAGTAAAGACGAAGCGAACACGAAAAAGACCCGAGTAGATCAAAGGGCGTGCGTGGGGCAGCGAAGGGAAAAAAAGTATATCCTATTGCCTTTTACTCTCTTTCACCTTATATCCGGACTGTTTGGTAAGATTTCACTTGCCCAAGATCCAGTCCATCAATTCGTCTCTAGCATTCACTCATTCCCCTCCTCTCATTTCCTCACCATCCCCCCAAACACAATGTCTCGCGCCCTCGCAGCCGTCAGGTCCGTAGACCACCTCGTCCTAACCTGCGCCTCCATCCCCCGAACCGTCTCATGGTACAGCAAGTACCTCGGCATGAAGCAAGAGGTCTTCACGCCCCCCGCCACCCCGGACACGCAGCGCGTGGCCCTGAAATTCGGCACGCAAAAGATTAACCTGCACGAAAAGGGCAGGGAGTTTGAACCAAAGGCCTCAACGGCGCTGCCCGGCACGGCGGACCTGTGTTTCTTGGTGGAAGATGGCGTGGACTTGGACGAGGTGAGGAAGGGCTTTGAGGAGGATGGCGTGGAGGTTTTGGAGGGGGGGAAGGTTGTTGCGAGGACGGGGGCTGTGGGGAGGATTAGGAGCGTTTATGTGAGGGATCCGGATGGGAATTTGATCGAGTGAGTGGCCTTTTTTGTGTTGTGTTAAGACGGGTTTCGTGATATACTGATCTTGGGTGATGCTGTCTTAGGCTTTCACAGTACGAGACGTCATGAGATGGCGAGACATTCACAATGAATTCTACACATATTTTTTTGAGTGCCTTTATTATTGACCGTCTCATATAGAATAGAGATTTGAAGTTCTGCATGTTGTTTCAATTCCGGTCACGGGCTATCCAGCATTAGCCCTGTCAGTGAAAACTCAGTGCTTCAAAAGAAGCAAAGCGCTTCGTTAACTCATGTATATCCATTTCGATTGAACTGAATGAAATATATCCTGGCTGTCAACGCTCAATGTAACGACAGCAATTCTATCTGTTTCAAGCAGGCTCAAACAAACATTCTAATCGCTCCCCGGCCATCAAATGTATGCCGCTGGAAGAACAAAAAAAAAAAAAAAAGAGACAACAAAACAGTGAAATTTATAAAAAACTTAAGAAAAAAAAAAAAAAGGCTCGCCCCTTATAGCTTTTGCGGAGGCTTCCTCTTCCTCTCCCGCTCGTCCTGCTCCTCCCTCAATATATCCGCAATCTGCTGCCTCAGCTCCTCCGCCAGATGCTCCGCCTCCTCCTCATCCAGCTCCTCCCGCTGGCCCCTCCCAAACATGGTGAAGCTCTCGCGATACCTCCCGCTGGCGCGAATCTCCGGTCGCGGGATCAAGTGGTAGTGCATGTGCGGCACGACCTGCGCCGCCGCCGCGCCATTGTTCTGCACCACGTTCCAGTCGGCGATGCCCGTCGCGCGCACCAGCGCCGCCGACAGCAGGCGGATGTAGCTGCCCAGCTCGCGCGCCTCCGGGTTGGTCACGTCCGTCAGCTTCGGCCGGTGGGCGCGCGTGCACAGCAGCAGGTGGCCGTGGCTGAGGGGCAGGATGTCGAGGAAGGCGATGGCCGACGGCGTCGACAGCACGACAAAGGACGCCGGCTCGGTGAGGTTGGACGGGAACGGGTGCGGGGGGTCGATGGCGCTGAAGGGCGGGTGGGCGGCGGCGATGGCGCAGAAGGGACAGTCTTCTTCGCGGACCGTGGGCGGTGGAAGAGACGGGTCGAAGGAGGTGTGCATGTCGGCGGCTTCTTGGTGTTGTGGTCTTGCTGCCTGTGTCTCTTTCATTGGCTTGGTGTTGATGGGCGAGCTGCAGGACGAGATGTAGCGAGTGGAATATTTCCCAATCAATGCTTGAATGGTATCGCGTATGTGTGTAGATTGATGATAATGAAGAAGAGAGGAAAAAAAAAAATAATAAGCCCGAATTGAGTCGTCGCAGACCGTGTTCGTCACTCTGCGCTTCTTAGCTTGGCCAGAGTCGCATGATACAGCTTCGAGAACCACCGCTGGGCCGGCTAAATCACCAGACGGATGAACCCTGCAAAAGCTCGGACTTCACCTCAGCACTGCCCGATTTTCTCTCTTTCCCTCTCCTTCTCGGCAATTTGCGACGGTGGGCATTCACGGGTATCGCATGAACTGCTGCAGATGCTGCATCTCCAGGCATTGTATGGCAAGAACATGGGGTGAAGCGCGAGCTTTTGCCGAGGTACGGAGTATACTACGGCCTATTGCAGCGTCAGCTATGATTGGGCGCGTATTACTAAGGTGAAGCAGTAACATCATCTAACCCAGATGGAGTGTTCGCGTAAATGGTCAAGTTTGACAGTGGGAATAGCTGAATATGCAATTCAAATACTTTGTATTTGTCTAATTGCCACATTAAGTGAAATTTCTTCATACCAGAATAAACTCTTTTAATTGATTTTTTCCAGCTGGTTCAACATACACCGTCACTTTCACAACTGCTTCCTCGCGTATTCACAAGCTCCCTCACCGCCCGATTCTGCCGGACAAAATTCTCCTCCACCGCCACTATTTTCTCTCTCTCCAAACTCCCGCCATCATCAGCCAATCTCGCCCACGCCATCAAAACCAACCACCATCCTTGCGTTGCTCCCATCGCCCTCCTCCGAGACCTCATAAACCACAAACACTACTCCTTTCCACAACGATCACAGCACACCATGCCTCGCGAAGAGTACCAGGTCCCCACCACCTCCGGCGGCGCCTCAGCCGGAGCCATGACCCGTGGTGCAACCGGCGGAGAGCGACACGACAGCCGTGCCGTCATGACCTACATCTGCGGCGACTGCGGCGGCAACGTCACCCTTAGCAAGGATGCGCTGGTTGCCTGCCCTCACTGCGCTGGGCGCGTGCTCTACAAGGAGCGCACTAAGCGGTGAGTTCTGTTCCCTCTAGTGTATCTTGGGGGTGATGTAAGGCTGACTTTAGGGGGATTTAGAATGGTGCAATTCGAGGCTCGATAGACGGGCGAGTGGCAAGGAGAATATTACATTCGAGACGGCATGAGGAGATGAAAGCACCAAAATTGAGAAAAACAACAAAATCATAGATCACACTCGAGGAGTTTTTGGGATACAACTAGGGATAATCAAAGAGCACAAAGGAGTCAGAGAAACTTATTACTTGGGAAATTTTTTTTAAATCTAACTTTGATATTACTTCTTATTTTATGCAATATCCGTCCCTTCTTCTCTCTCATATCCCCCCAAAGCACTGGCCTCTTGGCGCGAAGCCTTGAATCACCTTAGAAATCATGATAAACCGAGTCCTCTTTTTATATCTTGTGTTTTTCGCCTGATTTTTCCAAATAAAACGCCTAAACTTCCAGTGTGCATGTATGGCTTCCAACAAGCCGATGTTGCGTTACCGCTGCGTGTGTAGATACTTGGCGAAACTTGCGTCACCCAAGATGCCTTCGTCCTTGCCCTCCATAGCGGCAGCATACCTCGCCTGCAAGCCCTCCTTGGTCGTTTCGTCGTCTTCGTCGTCATCGCCAGAGTCGGCATCGCTGGGGACATCCACGTCGTCGTCGTTGATCTGGATAGGCTTCTTCTCTGCCGCGTCGTTGGCAACCACGGACATGCCCTGCATCATCTTGTCCAGCTCCTCCTGGCGGGTCTTCTTCTTTCGCTCTTCTCTCTCTTCGCGTCGTCGATCCAGTTCGGGCAGATAATCTTCCAAGAACTCTTTCCTCTTCTCTTCAACAGCTTCAAAAAACTCATCGATGCCAGTTCCCATCCTTGAGCTGACTCCCACCATGCTGAGATGTGAATAAAACTCCTCCAGCACCAAACTCATCGAGTTGAGCAAGCTGCCCATGTAGCCGCTGCCACCGCTTCCGAAACCTTCTTGTCCGCCGAATGTGTCAGAATTCTCGTCGCGGCGCAGAGCTTCCTGGAATGCCTCAAAGTCCGTCATCCATTCCTTTGCGAATGAAGCATCCTTGACATCAGTCTTGTTGAAGACCAAGATCATGGGCAGCTTTGTCTTGTAAAGAATAGAGCAGGCGTAGAGCATGTTGGACATGAATGTAGACGTTGAAGCAGTTCGCGGGGTATCAATGATGTAGGCGATGACGGTAGGGAAGGCTGATGCGAGAGATTCAAGAAGAATAGTTCCTGAGGCAGACCATACGAAAGCCTCAATCTGTCCGGGGGTGTCGACGAGGATACGGTCGATCGGCTTGCGCTCTGGGTGTTCGGGATCTGGCTTGGCGCGTTTCTCCAGTAGGTTGACAATCTGGTCGACTTTTGTGGCGAAGAGGTTTAGCGACGTCAAGATGCCTCCGTTGGGTCCCAGGTTGTACTGCTTCATGACTTCTTCATAGTTGACCGAATCTCGAATGTCGATGTTGCTGTCGAAAGGGACGTTGAGAACCGCGGGATCCAGGTTGATGACATAGGGCGGCGTGTTCTTCGAGTGAAGGTGCGCATTGATTCTCTGCATAAAAGTCGTCTTGCCCGAGCCTATATTTTGCAAGACAACCATGTTAGGCGATTGCGACGTTGAAGGCTGCGTTGCTGCAGAGAAAGCTTACCTGCCATGCCCACGCAGACAATGGCGGGAGGCGACGTCGCCGAGATCGACGGTGCACCGCCAGTCGATGATGAAGCCATCTTGAAGACTACTTTGGTCGGCTTTTCTGTGTGTGTTGTATATAGAGGCGCCGAGAGGAGAGAAAACAGAGTCGAAATGCTTAGAAATGAGGTTGAGAGAATGGCAAAAGAGCTTGGCGGGTCTTCTAAATTTTTAGTACAATAGCCAAAGAAAGCCAGAAAAGCTGCCCCGCGGTGACGTCCCTAGCAGAGATGGAGATGAAATATTGTATTATATAAGCAGTCAAATGCGCCTCATCCCGTCTCAGCATTGGTAGGATTATTGATATTGACGGCCCTCCTGCTACTACAAATCACTGGCTGCCTACTAGTCGCTAGGTATCAACTTTCAAACATGCTTTTTGTTCACACATAACCCCCCAAAATCGATAACCCCAGCCAGCACCGCTTCAAAACCAGCACCCTCATCTTAACCATCGGTGCCGCTGCTATGGAATGTTGCACATAGAGCCGCGTAGTGGTGCGTCAAGTCGAGCACATTCTGCGGTAGGCTTGTGGCTTGAATAATGCTTCTCACCTTCACCGCTCCCTCATCCTCGATCAAGGTGCGGATGGTGCGCAGCAGCTCTGGGCTGAACTCGCTGTACCACCTGTACTGCCAGGTCACAAGTCTGATCACTGCGGCCACCGTCTCTCTCGTGCTCTTTGTCTTCTCAAAGACGCGCAATACGCCGGCCAAGGCCTTGGGGCTGAAGCGCAGGGATAGGCAAGCCCTGTATGCCTCGGCCGCTTCGTCAAAGTGCTGCAGTCGTTCGGCGAGTGAGCCGAGAATCTCCCACTCCTCGGCAGACTTCTTGTATTGTATTTGCTGGGCGCGATACTGAGCCATCTGTGTGCGCCAGATTGTGTACACACGCAAATCTTCATACAGGACCATGAACAAGCTATCAAGCCAACGCTCACACAACCGTTTAGTGTTAAGTTTGGAAAGGTGATCATCAGCATGGGTGCCCTAAACAGTCGTGGTGTTAGTAGACCATGACAACTTGTGGACGTGCCACGCTTGACTTACGTTTTCAGCTGTATCGGCCTTGACCTCGTCTGGGTCAACTGTACTGGAAGGCTTCTCAACTCCACTGCCTTCTCCATTGGGAGCCAGTGTAGTTGCGGCCTCGGAGGATTTCTCACCCTCGTCGTCTGAACCTTCGTCTCCGTTGGTGGTAGGGTCTGGCGTGCCCCGGAGGCCGTCCATACTCGGAGTGCGTTTTGGCTGAGCAGCCTGGGTGGCTTCTTGCTTCTCGGTACGGTATTCATCCTCCATGACGAAGACGTTGCTGCGAATCTTAAGAAGCTGGTCCCAGCCGATCTTAGCCGTCATTTCCGTCAAAATGCCGTACGCTTTCTTAAACGTGCCGCGATAAGACGCCGCCCTCAGACTCAACAGGCTCGGATCGACTTGCTCTGAGTATCTTGACTCAGGTTCGCTATCAATCTCATCAAGGCGAGTTTCGGGCAGTGTAGGGAGATGGACATCTCTCGGCTCTGGCATCATGGGAGAATCCTTGTCTTGGTAGGTAAACATGGGGCAGGAGTTGAGTATTGTCAAGGCATTTTCCCAGTCTTCCATCGCAACGTACACCTGGGCCAATCTGGCCCAAGTACTAAATTCGCTTGGAGCAGCTATCGTGCTGCGGTCAGCACAGCCAAGGGCCATTTTCAGTCTCTCATCCTTCATCTCCGGCGTATCGGCCTTTTGGGCCTTCTTTAGCAGGAAATCCGCCTGTGTATCAAGCATAACATAGTCCATCGGCGTCTGCTGAAGCGACTGGTACAGAATTTTTACACCTGAAACTTCTTCGTTGCCCATGAAAAGCACCTTTGCCAGCAAAGAGGCGACTTCGACACTCTGAGTACGAAGCTTTTCGAAAAGATTAATCCCAGATGCATAACGACCTGTTGTCTCGAGATACTTTAGCAGCCCAGTAGTCAGATGATTTGATACATTCGTAGGAACTTGAACGATGGAATCAGATCCCAATTGCCACCCTGTATGGGAAACATTAGCTTGATGCCGCCAGAAATCACAATCTCTCAAGTTCCATACCCCTGAAGAAGAGCTGCTCGGCCGCGTTGAGGAAACGATGCTCGGTTTCGGTGTTGGTAACAGGGTTGAATCTTCGGACGCCGACGATTTTGCGAATACTACTCCCACTGCCATCGTCGGCATACGAGTATGCCCTTAGAACGCTGCAGAGATATGTCTCCAGCCACAGATCATCCGAAGCCTTTCGCTTTTCGCCTCGCTCGTCAACGCAATAGCTCTCGACAGTTCCGGGAATAGACACATGCACCCGCATGTCCACTCTTGAAAAGGCATTGTAGCAGCTTCGTTGTTGTTAGCACCAGCGTGTCTTGGGGACTCGTTCAGGCAGCGGCCCGCATCGTCTTGTCACCTACCAAAACACACCCTCGACAATCCTGGTGACTGTGTTTGGGTCGTGGTCCCGGTACGTCAGGGTATTGATATAGGCTGCAAGACTGGCCGAAGACGACGCATCTACACCGGTAACATGATGGTAGACGCCGGTCTGTAATTAATTACTCTCTTAGCTGTTTGTCTCGTGCTCCCGTGATTGTCTCGTCGCTAACCTGCTTCCCGGGATTGCGCACTGCCTGCTTCACTAGATGTACAAGGTCCGGCGGGCCCAGCTCTCGTAATGTTGCAAGCGATTCTGTACGGGCGTCAATCGACTCGTGGAGGACTTCCTCTGTTAATCTGGTCGAGAGTTAGACGGGCTCTTTGGCTGCGGCGTGTCTCGCTCTCGTATCGCGGGAGGGGCTCACTCAGGCACTGCTGGCGCAACCATGGCGGCAAACAGGCTCTCGCAATTGTGAGGTCAATGGGATGGAGCCTGTGTCAAGAAATTGGGCGCTGGTCAATCATGCAAGCTGCAGAAAAGCGTCGCGAAGCCAAAGAGCGCAGGAGTCGTTGCGCAAACTGTGGATTGGAGGAGCTGTTATTGAGAGCTTCGAACAAGGATTCCTTGGGCTGGAGCCACACTTGACCACGTATGACCAGCCTCGCCCTGCGCCATGCACGTGGAGCCCATCAAACAAGGTACGGAGATTGGGAGCCTGATAGCGCTGAGGTGCCTATAATTGGCGCTGGGGACGCTACACCTTAGTCATCTAGTGCGTGTCATCTCCCTCCAGTGCGCTCAATTACAGCGACTGCTAGCGCTGGGCTAGCTGGAAGCAGCGGTCCCGGTGCCGTCCTAGCGCTGGCCCTTGAGTGAAGCACGCAGTTCTGGTACGGAGAACGCACTCATTGGCCGTAATCTTATCGCTTCAGTTGGATCAACTCAACGCGACGCGGTTCGCATGAAACGTCATTGCTGAGGGCCAGATGCAGCCTCGCCATCCACCCGCCTGAATCTGACAACGCTGCGAATGCTGGATCTGCCAGTGCCCGCATTTCGCTTGCGATCATGGTGCGTCCTCAATTGCCTCCCCGTCTAGATCTAAGCTGAGCTGACCCTTTGCTGCAGCCCGCCTTCCAGGCCATCAACCTCGAGCCAGAGGAAAACATCGACGAGCAGATCGACACCACCAAAGAGCTCCATGTAAGTTGAAAACGTGGGATATGCTCTAATAGCACCAGTGCTCACACCTCGTGTAGGTCGATGAAGCCCTCAAGCGATTTCAGAATGCGCTGAAGCTCCACGCCCAAGGCTTGCGGTCCCGCGAAGCCGCCAGTGCTGCCTACGACGAGCTTTTCGAGTCGGAGATATTCAAATACCGAGAAGCGAAAACCGACTACGAGAGAGCAGAGCTACAGGCGAATGGGCAGGCGTCAACTTCAGCTCTCGAAGCATTTGCGGACGGACTCGATGTGGCCGCAGGCGGTGCTGACGGAGTGGCTGCCAGCCTGGCTCTTGCGCTTTACCTCTCCTATAAAAATCATGGGCAATTCTACTTGGATAAGCTGAAAGACAAACAAGCGGCAAGCCCCGAGTGGAGTAACAGACTCCAGATATACTATCGCAACGATGAGGGGAAGAAAGTTCTTGACAGTTGGACTGCGGCACTGGATCAAGATCCTTCAGATCCAGAACTATGGAGAAAGGTGGCAAGGTTTGCCGGCTCATTGAACAGCGGAAGAATCAAGCGATATTGCCTAGAGGCTGCAATAGAGCTAGATGACGATCCAGCTGTCATGGAAGTTGAGCCCCCTTCCATCGCAGAGAGTTTGGCTGGGGAGCAACTCAAGACCTACTTGAATCTTCTCGGCGACGAAATGGCACTGTCACACCCTGCTATGGGGCCCTGGCTAAAGAAGAAACTGCCAGCGCTTTTGCAACAACATGTTGACCCGATACCATTCTTACCAGACCCAACTTCGACACTCCTAGTACCAGCAGAACTGCAAAGGAGCGGCAAACTTCTACTTACCGACAGCGCCGATGAGACTGCTTCAGTGTCAAGCGACTTGCAGACCTCAGAAAAGCCCGTTGAATCATGGGCTGACCTTGGATTTGAACTCATGAAGTGTGCTGAAAATACAAAGGGCGCTTTGGAGATCTGCAGGTTGATCTTGGAAACAGCCAAACAGGATACGGATATGGAAGAATCGCGAGAGGGAGCCGCCGACGAACCCGAGAACGGCGCCTCTCCCGATGAGAAAAAAGCTACTTGTGAGAATGATGACAAAGGGAAGACGTCTGCAACACCGCCAGATTCGAAAGAGAGTCAATTGTCTGAGGCCGCTGATGACACCGCAAAAGGCGATGCGGCTCAAAAGGAGTCGAGTGCAACGCAGGCGGCCAGGAAGCGATCACAGTCTGCTGCAGGGCTACCAGATGGTGCGGATGAAGAGAATGTGACTGAAAAAAGAAGCAAGAGAGTCCGCAGGAGAGCAGAAACAGCCCAGGCTGCTGAAGAAGCCCCTGATCCGAATACGCTGATAGCGAATCAGCTACGCCCCTTTCAAGAGGCTGATCAACACCTTTTCACCATGGCAAAAAACATGCTCGAGGAGATTGGTGTGGAGGACAAAGAAACTTATGAATATTTAGACGAGATTCTGAACCTATGTGCCGCAGAAGACCGTTTGTCGTCTAAATGCACCCGTGTTGGGGCCAAGGACTTGCGCACTCTAATAACCGATTTCAAGGAAGATGTTGCAATGGTGTTCCTTAATAAAAAGGAGCAAGCAACTTTGGGACTTTCTTCTTTTTTAGAACATGCCAAAACTGGATCTCAAGACCAGGCCGTAAATGTTCCTTTCAATGAAGCCAAGGGCTTAAGAGATTTCGCCCAAAAGGTGGAAGAGAGACACGAGCGGATGACGAGTCACGATATTGTTTTTGAATGGATGAAAGCAATAAGCTCCAGTTACGCCTCCTTCAAATGGTCGGATGGTATGAAAACTTCGGTGGTTCAGATGCTGAATGCGGCCGACTCTTCTCTATACAGGCGCGTTTCGGAGGAGCTCAGTGGAAATCCCTCCCCCGAAGCTCTTGCCGACTTGGAATCCCTAATTTCCATGATATTTGAGCTGTACATCGATATTTACGAGCGAATCACCAACCCTAGCAGCGCTGTTGATTATGCAACTCGTATGGAGACCAAATACCGGCTCCAGCGATGGCTGGATATAGCATCGTCTTATGTGGGCTTGATGAACCGGCCTGCTGCGGATCCTCTATGTGTCAGATTTTTATGGGCATCCGTCATGGTGTCATCGCTCTCTGACAAACCGGTTCGAGAGCATATTCTCCTGCTGTGGACGTCTCTTCGTGATTTCCTAGCAGAAGAGGAAGTGGACACGCTGACGCTACCAAACAATGTAGTTATGCCGACGATTTCTCCCGCAGCCGCAGATCGGGAGATATCCAAGCTTACTACAATGGATTTCTTCCTCAGCCTCTTCCAGGAAGGGATGGAAAGCCCTGTCCACGTTATTGAAACGTTAGAGCCTGTTCTCAACCCGTCATCTGTCTGTGTATCTTCAGAGGACCATGATGTGACAGATGCCGATGCTTCTCCGTTGCCCGACGCAGAACAAGAAAAAGGCACGCAACGCATATCAGACTGCGCTACTCAAGGCATGCGTGACCTTTGGAAATTTCTGCGCAGTAGTAGCACGGAGCTAAGATTGTTTCTTTGGTCACGACTTGGCGACGCCTACGAAGCCATAAAATACACAACCAAGCGGTTTTCGTGTCACCTCAGGAGTATTGAGCTTATTGTGGCAGACTTGGAGAGCGAGAAGTATGCTAAGCTGCCGGATGAATCTCGTCTACTTCTGTACATGAGGACTTTGAAGTCTCTTGACGAGTTACTAATTCAAGCGTTAACATTGGCCTTGAACGACAGTTCTGCATTTGATATTATTGACGATGATCATCTCAGGTCAAGTTGTAGTGCTATCGCAAAGGTGAATTCCATCTTACATGTCGCATTCTTGTGTGAGGATGAGATAAAGATTGGAGTCAAAACAGCGCCGTCTTCAAATTCCACTTTCCAGTCTCTCATCACCAAGCTACGAGAAATGCAAGTACGCACTTGGTGTCTTCAATTTACCATGTTCAGGGCAGGTTTGCCTCTACAGAATCCCATTGCTCCGGAGAAGGACCTGGCAGACTTTCTTGCCGCCATTCATCAAGTTATTGGTCTCCGAAAATGCTGCAAAGCGTCTAACAAGATCTTCCTCAAAGTCATGCGCATGGAGCTTCTCCAGAATAAAAATATTGAGAATTGGGAAGATTATCTGGGGCAAGTGGTTTATGATCTTTACGGACTCAAGCTTGGAGTGGGAGTGTGGGAAGTTCAAGACCATGGCTGTCCCCATGAGAAGCTCGAGAAGCGTCAGACGATGCAGCTCGTGGAAAAGGTAATGATTCTGGCAAACCGTATGCCGATGAAGGACCTTTTGAAATCGGACCTCAAGGCCGCGATTGAACATATGCAACAGACCATCGGACAGCCAAAATCTACGCCGCAAATGATCCATAACCTGCGCAACTTCACCGAACTTGTGAAGAAACCCATCCATCCCCTTCGACTCTATCAAGCGTTGGTTGGAGAGGTGTCGGTGGATGCAGTATCAACAAACACACCAGAAGCTGCGCTGGCCAAGCACGGCTGGTTTTTCTTACTTGGGATGATAGCATTGACCAAGTTCAAAGCTGTAGACCTAAATCGACGACAGACACCAGGCGCAACAGACGATCTTCGTATTGGAGCGACTTTCCTAAGGCTGCAGCTGCAGTTTAGCTCCGATAGCTGGGAATCGTGGTTCCGACTAGCTGAATGTTTTGACTACGATCTAGACGAAGCTGTGCTATGGACGGCCGATAAGATGAACAAAGATCGGGCGGAACTGGTTAAGTTCCAGCGAAATGCTATCCACTGTTATACGCTTGCTTTGTCTCATTCTAGGTATCAAGACATAGAGGGTAAAGATGAAGACCCCTTACATGACCTATATCATAAGTTCGGAATGCGGTTGTATGCTTCTAGTCGAGAGCCGTTTGCTATGGAGCCATTTCAGCATTCCGATCAGGAACGATTCTTTATTCAGAACATGGGAGCTGGGACGTTCAAAAGGATATTACATGAACAAATGACAGAGTACAAGGTGTGGAAGTTTGCTGCCAAGATGTTCAGAATGGCTATGGAACGCAGGCCCGGCAACTGGAAGTAAGTATTGAATGGACGAGGCTGGACTGATGATTTCAAAGGTGCTTACAATGGATTAGGAACCCCTATATGCTGGCCAAGTGCTATTGGAAGATGTATCAGACGCCAGAAGAACAACTCGATAGCAAAGATTTGCACAGCAGAGTCGAGATGACGACGCTGCTCAAGGCGCTGAAGGACGCGGTAAACGTGGCTTACAACGCGAGGAAATCTCGAAGCAGTGACCCAATCCTAGAGCCGCATTATAAGATTGTGTCGATTGTACACAAACTCGTAATGCGAGGCGATCTACCCGCCAAGGAAGCTGCCGAATTGCTATCAGAACAGCCGTTTGGCGTGCAGTTCAAAGCGGATGATATCTTTGCTTCGTTTACAGAGCCCGAAGATTGGGAAGAATACATTATCCCAAGCCTTGTGAAGCTCAAGGAGAAGGATAAGTCTAATTGGCAACACCGCATTGTGGCGCGCCATGCCAGAATACTGTTTGACGAGGCTAGCATGGAGCAAGTTAGTGACATCAAAGTGGCAGCTCGGGCAGCTTTTGCAATCTTGAAAGAAAACATGTTCACCAAGACAATGGTGATGAATGTGTGGAAATGCGATGCTGAGCGTCCAGGCCGTCACCACGTTTTCACTGAACAATACGTACGATTTATGACAAAACTGCTCGTGGTCATGTCAGATAAGACAAATCTGGAGCAACTGCTTCGCCGTCTACGGAAAAAAGGAGCAGATTTCTATCACTTTGTTGACCTATGGCAGTCTTGCTGTAACGCGTATCTCAAGCTTCTCAGAGAGGCACACAACATTCCACATCTTACAGACGACACATTTAAGGCTCTCTCTACCGAAGAATTCGAGATTTTCAGTGAAAGAATCACGGAGTGGGCTGCTCGCGACGAGGCGAATGTGCCAGCGTTCAACTGCATGAAAGAGGCCATTGAACTAAAGAAACTCAACGCCAATCTGATGAAGGCTGCTGGAATCGACGATTTAATCAACGATTGTTACTCTAAGATTTACGTAGATGTGGCTGGCACATTACCGGGCCAAGAGCCAAGTAAAATTATCGAGGAACGCAACCAGGCGAAGGAGCTTGCGGCCAAGCTTGAAGCTGAGGCTGCTGCCCAAGCGGATGCCAACAAGCAAACCAGCTCTCTCAGCAACATACTCAATCCCCCAAGCACTCATGAGAGCCTTGCCGGCACTGCAACGCCGCTGGAAGGAGAAAAATCCGAAGCAGCGCCACGAACTCGCAGGGTTGGAGTTCGAAGGCCAGACGTTCTTCGCAAGGCGGAGCAAGCTGTTGCCCGCTCCATGGAAGCTCCAAAGTCAGCTCACCCTAGGAGCCGAGTGGGTAGCATGTCAAGCGGCAAACGTGGAAGCCAGACGCCGAATGTTGGTGCTAGTGACGCCGACAGCGACGAAGAAGGGCCAGAAACGCAAATCAGAAGAGAGGAGGCAGGGGAAGATACTGACATGCCCGACACTCACTACGAGGAGGATGGCCATGATGGTGATGGTCACGATGACTCCAAGATTGAGGAGGACAAGGAAGAGCTTGAGAGCGATGAGGCGCCAAGTCTCGTCGATTCTGCTGATGAGAGCGACCTTAGCGACGTTCCAGACGATTATGAAGAAGACGTCCCGCCAAGTTTGATGTTCCCACACCTAGGCCGAACTATCCAAAGCGGCGAAACTAGTGGAGAAGATGCTGATAGCGAGAGCGAAGGCGATGAGGAAGAGGATGAAGATGAAGAAGAGCATGGCGATGATGAAGCCGAAGAGGCTGAAGAGGCTGAAGAGGGCGAAGAAGAACACGAGGGCGATGACAGCAAAGATATCCACGACGATGGCGGAGAGGAAGAGGAAGAAGGGGATGAAGAAGAGGAAGAAGAAGAACATGACGATGACACCGAGATGGCGGAGCCGCATACTCCGCAGCGGAATGAGGACGAATCTGTAGATATGGGAACGTAAGCAGGATTGATTTTGTTAGGGGGAAAAGAGCTCGGTATATACATATGCTTTTGGGAAAGAAGAGAAAGTGGTTACCTGTTCTACTGGATTTTATTAGTTATTGTAAGGGCTTTTCTACGGTAGAGCTTTCTAAAGAAGGAAAAGTGCCTTTATTTGCTATTTGGATTGGGCTAGCGGAAGGTGGGCGTGGTTTAGGATGCGTATGTTTTGATTTAGATATGTTATTCTTTTTGGGCGTAGGGGTCAAGAATATCATACATTGTCTTTCAAATAGCTTCACTTTAATTGTATGGTGCTATGCCGTATTGAATAACTCGCAGTTTTTGACTTATCAACTTTTGAGTATGAAAGCGAATTTATCAGATATAAAGAGAATAGCAAAATATCCGTTCCCAAAATTCGACATAAACGAGGTACATTACACCTAAACACCTCATTTAATATTCCCTTTTCTTATTACGCCCATTTTTTTTTTTTGCAACCAAAGCTTTTCGATTAGCCCTCCTCCTCATCCATGTTGTCTCTTCTCCTCTTTGGTCCGGCAGCTTTGCCCTTGCCCTTTCCTCCTTTACCCTTGCTCTCAAGGAAGGCCTTCATCTCTCCTCGGACTGTTCTCAGAGCCTCCTCAACTCTGCTCTGGAAAGCCATGACTTCCTCCTTCTCAGTTGGGTATTGGTCCAGCTCCTTGCCGAGTGCCGCCTCAATACGCTGATAAATCTCAACGTCGTACTGCGTGACAATGCTGATGGCGATACCGGATTTACCGGCACGAGCTGTTCGACCGACACGATGGATATATGTCTTGGAGTCTTGGGGGAGATCATGGTTGAGCACCACGTCGACGGCTGGGATATCTAAACCACGAGCGGCGACATCGGTAGCTACGAGAATCTCGCGGGATCCGCCCTTGAACTTGTTCAGAGCGCCAAGTCGAGCTGATTGTGAGAGCTGTCCGTGAAGAGGGATGGCGCCGAAGCCAAGAGTTCGTAGGAGAATAGCTATCCTCTGGGCCTCAAAGACTGTACGTGTGAAAATAATAATGGACTTTCCGGCAAACTCATTGACAAGGTAAATGAGATATGTGTCTTTCCGCTTATGGGGCACGAAAACGTAATGCTGAAGCAGAGTCGAGACAGTCTGGTACTTGTTTGAGCTGACGCTGACGCGAGCGGGATCTCGCAAACTGGCTCTCTGGAGACTCTCGACCTTGGAGCTCATGGTGGCTGAGAAGAGATAGGTCCGGCGCTCACGGGGGATGAACTTGAGAATCTTGTCGATACTAGGACCAAAGTCCATGTCCAGCAGGCGATCAGCCTCGTCCATAACCAGGTACTTGAGGGATCGCAAAGAGAAGCCCTTTGTCTTTTCCAGGTGGTCCACCAGTCTACCGGGAGTCGCAACGATGATGTGAGGCTTCTTTCCAAGCGCAATGGCCTGGGGAACCATATCCAGACCTCCGACAATGACGGCACATCGCAACGAGATGAGGGCTCCCAGGGCTTCGAAAGACTGTCCGATCTGAGCGGCAAGTTCTCGGGTCGGCGCAAGAACGAGTCCAAAGTACGGCTGAGGCTTCTCGAGCAGAGCCTGTAATATGGGCAAAGCGAAAGCAGCAGTCTTTCCGCTACCGGTTTCGGCGAGGCCAATGACGTCGCGGCCTTGGAGGGCGACGGGGATGGATTTCGCTTGGATGGACGTGGGGTGCTTGTAGTTGAGAGACTCGCAGGCTTCGCACAGCGCATCTACAACGCCCTACGAGAATTGTAAGTCTGATGTTGACGCTAATCACGGTGTACACAACTGATCTGATGCACCCATGCTGTCTTATACATACCAATTCTTTAAACGTCTTTGGCTCCTCTGGCGCATCTGCAGCATCGGCCGTGGAAGCAACATCGAGAGTCACGGATTCTTCTTCGGTGTGAGGATCGGGAGACTGCTGGGAAGCAGTGGCTTCAGCTGGTTCACGCCGAGCAGGCGCGCCGTTGGCCACCTTTTGTCTTTTTGAGCCGTTCATCGTTTGCTGTGAAGATTTGCTTTGAGATCAAGAACCAAAAAGATGAAGCTTGTTCAGCAACTTTTTTCTGGGCTCGGCTCTTGCAGCAGCAAATCAGGACGCAGCAAGATCAACCCCTGTCAAAAAGTGTTCGATATGCACAACAAGTGGAGGCCTTGCAGGGGTGCGAGAAGAAAATATGTAAGTATCGGGTTGGGCTGCCAGAATGAAGCTCGCAATATCACTATCACGAACCGTTTTTATTGCTGCAGTTTTTTGGTGTGGGAGCCCAGAGTAAATGTTAGTGCCCTCCAAGCGCGGAACAATCTTTGATGCGCTTAAGCGAGTGTCTAAAAAAATTTGGTGGGGCAGGCATGGCAGCGATAAGCTCTTATCGCCAAGCATACTGAACTTTTTTTTCTTCGTCTGGTTAGTTGGAAGAGCATCACTCAATTGGACATCTCAACTGCTGGTTTTTTGGGCAGCTACAAGATCAATTAAGCCATGGCGAAGCGAAGAGTCAAGAAGCGAACCCACATGGGGGCCAACAACCCCCAGCCTGCGTCGGCCGGACATGCCTCTGCCCGTGATCCCAAGAGCATGGTCATCAGAATAGGCGCTGGAGAGGTCGGTTCAAGCATCAGCCAGCTCGCATCGGATGTTCGAAAAGTCATGGAGCCGGGGACTGCCAGTCGGTTAAAGGAGCGGAGGAACAACCGGTTGAAGGACTATGTTGTCATGTGTGGCCCATTGGGAGTGACGCATCTGCTGCTCTTTTCGCGATCAGAAGGAGGAAACACGAATATGAGAGTTGCTTTGGCGCCTCGGGGACCGACACTGAATTTCCGAGTCGAGAAGTACTCTCTCTGCAAAGATATCCAGAAGATCCAGAGACATCCCAAGGGCATGGGAAAGGAGTTCCTTTCTGCTCCTCTGGTAAGAATGCTGCTTGCACAACGGAGACTGAGTCGCGAACTAACGAGCACCAGCTGGTCATGAACGGATTCTCTCGGCCTGATGCCTCGGCCAAATCAAAGGTCCCTAAGCATCTCGAATCATTAGCCACCACCGTTTTCTCATCCATGTTCCCCCCGATCAACCCCCAAGCTACACCAATCAAGTCGATTCGCAGAGTGCTGCTCCTGAACCGAGAGCAGTCCAAGGAGGACGACGGCACCTTTATTATCAACTTTAGACATTACGCCATCACCACGCGACGATCTGGCGTTTCAAAACAATTACGCCGCATCAATGCGGCCGAACAGTTCCTCGGCACCAAGACCAGCCGACGAAGCCAAATGCCCAACCTGGGAAAGCTAGAGGACATCGCAGACTACATGATTGGCGGCGAAGGCGGCGATGGATATGTCTCTGATGCGACAAGTGGCAGCGAGGTTGATACCGATGCTGAGGTTGAAGTTCAAGAGACTGCCTCACGAAAGGTTTTGTCCGCCAAGGCCCGTGCTGCTGCCGCGGAGAACGGCCAAGATGATGAACTCGAAGAAGGCAACGTAGAAAGACACGTAGTGAAGCTCGTTGAGCTGGGACCTCGCATGCGTCTGCGCTTGACCAAGGTCGAGGAGGGTATGTGCTCGGGTAAAGTCATGTGGCATGAGTACATTAACAAGTCGGCTGCGGAGATCAAGGAGCTTGAGAAGCGATGGGAGAAGAGGACACAAGAGAAGGAAGCACGACGACGCGAGCAAAAGGCCAACGTGGAGAAGAAGAAGGCGGCAAAGGCAGCCCAGAAGGCGGCGAACAAGGGCGGAAAGGGTGACGAGGACGAGGACGAGGACGAGGACGACTATGAGTATTACAGCGATATGGATGTGGACGAGCTTGACAGCGAGGGCTTGGCTGGTGACGCTGAATTCAAGGTCAACGAGCAGAGGGAGGAGGACGGCGAGTGGGAGGATCAGGAAGAGGAGATTGGTAATAACTAAAGGGCGATATTTATAGGGCGGTCCAAGGATATCCTTGTTTTCTAATGTCTGGGGAGAAGGCATTTTGCACGAAACATGTTATGGCGCTTGGGTGTTTTATTTTCAGTCAAAACAGCTGCAAGTTTATTACGTATATATCTTTTGCTGCCACTTTTTTTTCCGCTAGAAATATCTCTGTTGTGATATTGTGATATGGCTTGATGAAGAGGGACGCGGTATAAGCATCCTGCATACTTCGTGATGCCCGTAACAGTCTACTTGGCTCGTGAATGGGATCATATCTAATTTCTAGGCTGATTATCTTCAATAACAAACATTTTTATTCTACATCAGACAGATACTAATGGAACATTCCACAACGATCTCGGACCCTGACTGCCCTCCATCAATTTATTAACAGGCTCTTCGCCCTCTTGCAATATTCTCCATCTCCACGCTTTAATAGCTGGTCGATCCAAGCCAACCCCTTCTATCACATCTACAACCCAATTGCCTATACTGGGGAGGAACTTGAACGCATGTCCGCTGCCCCCTGTGGCGCACATGAGGCCCTCATGCCTGGGAACGCGGTCGATAACGTAGTGGTTATCGAAAGAGTCGGTATACCAGCACAACCTAGTCTCTGCGATGTAGATGCCAGAATTTCCCAGTTCGGGGAGATATTCTTCCAAGAACTTGGTGACGACTTGGTGAGCCTGCTGTGGAACTTGCGTGATTGCGTCGTTGCTACTCCATTTGGTCACTGGCACGCTGCGTTCTCGGCCATCGGACTGTACTTGGGGATTTGTGTATTTTGTTCCACGATATCCAATCTTGAGCACGCCGTTTTGGTCAACAGGGAAGCCGTAAAGGCCGCCATCTGCGCCATGATCGCGCATATTAAATGACCAAGAAGGGAAGCGGGAGTGATGGAAGCGTTTGCGGAGAGGAGATGCTTCTGGTATGTGAAGCATAAAAACAGAACCTGCAGTCGTTTCGCAGAGAGAATCGAGAGATGGCAGCAGTGAAGGAGTCCAGCCACCGCAGCAGAGAATGGTGAGGGCTGCTGAATGGGATTTACCATCTGCTGTGACGATGCCGGTAATGATGCTGTTGGTAGAGGGTGAGACAGATGAGCGGTGTATAAAGGAAGTAAGTCGTCCTGATTCGGCGCCGAGAATGAAACGAACGCCGAGCCTCTTCGCCTTATAGAGAGCAAAACGACAGGCTTTATCGGCAAGGACGAAGCCGCCGGTGGTGTCCAAGACGCCGAGAACATGCTTATCAAAGGGCTGGAGAGCAGATGTGAAGCCCTGTTGGGAGGCGAGCTTGATATCCCGTTGTTCGTTGTTTATGAGCTGCGTGCCGTGATGACCGGCTAATTCCATGTTTTCAACGGTAGCTCGTTCAAATTCCGGCAGTGTATCGGCATCGCTACAGGTAAGATGGCCGTTTTGGATGAAGAAGATGTCACTTGAAGTCATTCCAGGAGGGAGAAGTGTATCATCTTCACTGCTGCTCTTGAGTTCTTCGTTCCAAGCTGCCCAAGCAGAGAGGGCTTCGGTGCTGAGATCTTGGTATTCGGTCTGAGAGCCATAAGCTGAGCGAATGATTTTATTGATGTCTGAATATAATAGTTTAGATAAGATGAGCTTGACTGAGATGGTATGTACGGAATAACGGACCAAAAGACGCAGAGTCGCAGCCAGCATCGTAAGAGTATAGAGTCTTGTGATACGGCTGTTTATCAAAGACTGTAATGTTGGAGTATCCTCGTTGAGCGAGATGGAGGGAGGTGCTTAGACCAAAGATGCCAGCTCCGATGATGATGATGGGAGAATCTTTGGCGAGTGGTGGAGGAGAAGTCATTTTGGGGGGATAATAAGAGAGAAGATGGGACGGTATCGCTGATACTGGCTTTGGATGACTGATTACATGTGTTTGATTGATGGTTGATGGGATCGGAGGCAGGTGTAAGACGCAAATGCGTGATTAGCCTAATGTAGGGAAATGATCCGCGGGGAAATAGAGCTTATTAATAAATGACACTGATCATATACAGAATTATCTCAGAATCAAATTCATGCGGCACCATGCGACTTGCCAATTAAACGTAAATAAAATGGCCCATCAGTCTTAACTAAGGTATAGTTATACATTTATCAGAACTTGCAGCCATGCCAAGAAAAATAAGGCTATTGACAATGCTAAGCACCTATTTACGCACTTGATGAGTATTACTATTCATTATATAAAGCATTCGTGAGCTACTAACGTCTGCTATACAACTTATATGTTAACCGTCTTTTGTCTCAGTACAATTTCCTATTTAGGTAATTCCATTTACGGCAACTTGCGCCCAGCTTGAGACATCTCAGCAGTCAACAACATCATTCATCTTCACCCCTTTTGTATACATCTATCGCTAACAGTAAATAAAAACCCATATATTTTATGCCCAATCTCAATCTTTCTCCACATCCTTTCATCTAAACCTCATTCACCGGTGACACCGGCTTCCCCTCCCTCCTCCACCTCAACACATTCTCAAAACTCTCCCTCTCAGCCCTCCAAAGCGCCTCCTCCGTCGCGCCCCCCATATGCGGCTGCAACACCACCTTATCGCTCGTCCTAAAGTACTCATGTACATTCGGCTCATCGCTGAAAACGTCCAGTCCCGCCCTCGCCACTTTGCCGCTCTCCAGCGCCGCAATCAGCGCTTCTTCATCCACCACGGGGCCTCGTGCCGTGTTAATAAGAAAGGCGCCGTCCTTCATGAGCTTGAACTGGTCGTGCGACATGAGATTCCTTGTTGCTTCTGTGAGGGGGCAGTGTATCGATACCACATCTGCCTGTGATAGTAGCTCCTCCAGCGAAGAGCAGTATTCAACCTGATATGCCTCCTCAACCTCCTTGCTGAGCCTCTTCCGGTTGTAATACTTAATCTTCATGTTGAAAACTCTTGCCTTCTTGGCCAGATACTTGCCGATGCTCCCCATCCCCACGATACCCAGCGTCTTCCCCGTAGGATCTGGGGTCGCCATATTGCCTCCATACCACCCACCCGCCCGAACATGCCTCTCCGCCACAGAAGTATTCCTCACAACAGACAGAATAAACCAAATCGTCATGTCGGCCGTAGCCTCAGCCACCGCATCAACGGTGTTGCAGAACCATATGCCCTGGCTCGTCATCCACGAAACGTCAAACTCGTTGTATCCCGCCCACAGGGAAGCTATCACGCGGCAGTGAGGCACCATGGCCGACAGCAGCTCTTCGTCCACGGGTATGAAGTTGTGCGATTCAGACAGGCAGATTAATGCATCGAATGGACCGGACTGGGAGATGACGCGAGGGAGCTCCTCGATGAGTTCTTGCCGATGAGAGGCTTGAAGAAACTGAGTAGCATCATGATGTGAGTGATTTTCATGATTGATGAATGGATGAGTTGATCAAGTAGCCACATACATGGAGATTCAATTCATTTTTTACATTTTCAATGTACTCATCGCTGAGATGATGCACCTTTCCCAGAACCGCCACGCGGGGCTTCTTCTCATTCGCCATGACACTCGTCCACAATTCGCGCAATACTGCGAGATATGAAAAAAGAAAATAGTGATATCAATTACTTCAAGGGCTTCAAAAAGAACAATGAAATGATTAATTAATTTCCTCTTTTTTTTTTCTCGTCTGAAAGAAGCACAACAAAGTTGATATAGGTGGAAGAGAATAACCATATATGACAAAGAGTCAATAAAATCTCCACAGTAAACCAGCAATAAATACTCTCAGCCACAAACGCCCCAACATTTTAAATCTCCGACTGAGGGGCCATAGGGCGTCATTCCCAAGAGGGCGCATCCCACTATAACATGTATTCATGAGTAGTGCATTTTAACTTGCGCAGTCTGTGTCACACCGAATCAGAGCGTTGCGCGCTTACGTTACTCGATCAGCATCCTTTTGACATGCGCCCTTTGAACCACATGTTATTTAATTGAAAGCTACATTGTGGCGCACCGATGAAACAGGCGCAACTAACATACTTTTATATCCAGCAACCATCAGCGAATTCTCAAAATTACTAGTAGCATTTCACAAGTTACAAGACAATGTGCACAAAACAAAAGTTGGTGTCAAAGTTGGAATAATATTCCGTCGCTGCGCTATGTGCTAAAGCTCCTAGTGACTATATAGGTAGCGTCATATAGTATTTACAAGCCATGTGTAGCCGAATGCAAACTTCATCTCTTTCAAATCATAACTTTCATAGGGTAAAATCATATACATTCCAGCCCCCCTTTTTTTCTTCTCTCTTCTCCAGCTTATTTCTGAGCCCAGCCCAGACGCTTGTTGCCAAGGTCAAAGACAACCAGGGCAGCCTTGATGGCGACATCACCGAAGATGCTGATGCCAATGCCGTCGTTGCTCTGGAGACCACCAAAGCAGGTGTTGCCAGAGACGGGGGCAAAGTTGATCAAGCTACCAGGGACGGTGATCTTGGAGCTGCCAACAGCAAAGGTGAATGAGGGAAGGTTCTCGTCGCAGTCGAAGGTGTAACCCTCCTGGGAGTCGTCGTACTGAGCAGATGAGACCTGGCCGTAGTAGGCATCGACAATGGTGTCATCGAGGAGGAGCAAGGTGGTGCCGGTGTCAGCAATGCCGTCAGTGGAGTGCTTCTTGGTCGAGCCGCTGCCGATGGCATATGAGGCGGAAGTGAACTCCCAGAAGCCGTTGGCGGTGCTGATGGGAACATAGCTGATAGAGCCAGAGGCAAGGCTGGTGTCAATGAAACCGAAGTTGTAGCTGCCACCTATTTGTTTTCACTCGTGTTAGTTTAACTCGTATCAAGCAGTGATGATGTGAAGGGGGAGAAGAAAGGGGGGTTGCATACTGGCTTGGTGGTTCAGGTCAGCAGTGAAAACGGGCTGAGCCAGCTTGGAAGAAGCGTTGGAGAACCAGGTCTTCTGCTGCTTGGGGGAGACGGTGTTGATGCTGTCCAGGGCAAGACCGAGGAGGCCGGAGTTGGAGGTATCCGAGACAAACTCGGAAGAGACCTTGGTGGCAGACTCGACAGCCTGGCCAGTGACGGAGAAGCCTCCAACGGAAACGGTGTCGGTGTAAACATCACCGCTAGAGCTGCTGCCGTCACCGTATGAGATGGTCCAGCTGTATCCAGAGAGCTTCTTGGAGGTAGAAGACTTGGTGGGGTTGTAGAGAGTGTGTCCCTTGGACTGAGACGAGGGAGTCTCGGAGCTGAAGACCCACAGATCGGAAGAGCCAGTGTCGAAGTCCAGGGGCAGGACCTGAGCAGGAGTGCCAATGGAGACGTTGGTGATGTACTCATCGTCCTCAGAGTCACTGGGGTGGTTGGGAGCAGAGCCGGTCTGGCGTCTGGCGAGCTTGGCGGCCTTGTGCTGGGCAACGTTGTTCTTGAGGTTCTCGCTGATGGGAGCGCCGAACTTCTTCTTGGCCTTGTAGAGGGCGCTGGGTCCGTGAGGAGCGTGGTTGGCGTTGTAAATCACCGGCACGGAGATGGTCTTCTGCTGTCCCTCAGCGGGGAGAGCCGCAGCCATGCCGCTGGCGGCGAGGAAGGAAACGAGGAAAGCACCAAAGGTCTGCATTTTGATGGTTGTTGAGATGAATGTTGCTCAGGACTCGACTGGACTTGATGTCTTGAAGGCTGATGAGGAAAGAAGCTCCAGCACCAGATCGAGGGGAAGGCGTAGACTCTTTATATCCATCGAGACTCACTTATCAACCCATCCTCGAGGCTGAAGATGCCATTGATGCGGTCAATGGCTAGAGATCATGGACGGCTCCAAAAGCATGGTTTAGGAAGGTGAATTTGCGCCATCATCCTGGAACTTTACACACGCGCTGGGGCTCGGTGATGGGAAGAGGAGTCGGCATGATGGAATGGCCGCAGCATCCAACTACCTATTGCACCCACAAGCATCTAACCTGTTCTAAAGGACTTTTCTTTTCTTCAGTCAAGTATTATGCTTTACTATTTTACAGTAAAGGTACTTTTGCTGATCCTTGCTGGTGATATTGCTCGTACCCAGTGAACTGCAAAACTAACAAAGTAGGCAGAAGCTTGTGGGGTGTACGATAGCCCACTGAAGCTGGTGAAGTTGCCGCGGGGCTGCTGGCGAATGAAACCATCGAGTCCAGGGGGGTAGGAATGTGTCCTAGCCCAGAGAGTGAAGCCAGCCGAGTGCGTATTACCGTTTCTGCCTTTCTTTCCTGCGGACCGGAACCTTTGTCGATCACGTATCTTGCAGCGTCCTAAGATAGAAGTCGAGCGCCTAGTTTCAATGGCCAGAGGTGCTTGTTTAGAGCCGGCGCAACGTGGCGGATTCCAGAGAGGCATAGCACAGGCTCTTTTTTGAACAATGGTCCTCGCCACGGTGACCAGGCCCCCCCGTCCAATCCGGGGTCGTTCTAGATAGCCCGTGCGGCTTTAACGGCGAGGCTCAGCAGTTAGAGCGGCTCTCGAGGACAGTATGTATGAGTATGCACCTACCGCAGCGCTCTGGTGCCGATCCTGCTCTATCAGGTGGTAGCAATAGTCCGTGTCTGTACATCCAGAGAATGCCCTGGACCCGCATCGCTCCGCCGTAGTGTCTAGCTTCAGTGCGACGATGCTGATCCGGAGAGAGACGATGGGACTAGCCCGGCTTCCACAAGCGGTCTTGCAGTGATATTCGCCGTGAGCCACCACCAAGATGGAAACAAAGATGTTGTTTGGCTTCCTCCAAGACCAGCCATCACCTGTCTGTCTCGCTCGCACTCAAGCATTGGGGCTCGACACCCTTTCCCGGATCGATGCCGTGCTCTGTATAAGCACAGCACTAGTGGGATCAACTGCCAAGGCTACGAATCAAGTTTAAACCTGTAGTTAATGTTAATCTCCCAACCCATCAATCAGAGGCGCCTGATGACCTGTAGAAGCCCCGATGCGGGGGGGCCTCGCTTGGCTGCCTCGGGACTCTTGGCTGGCGCTGCATCAGCTTGGCAGCCGGCACTTGGGCGTGGGAACTTGTGCCAGAATCGCCATCTGCCATCTTGGGCACTGCACGCAAAGGTTCGTTACAGCGGGCTCAAGCCCAGAGCGGCATGTCCAAAGCCCTGCCCGGAAGCCTAAGGGCGCCTCTTGCCTACTACCGGACAGGGGCTAAAGAAGCACAGAGTCGCTAGAAGCCTTGGAGACCCTTGTCTGAGCCGGATATTCGGCATGGGGGCTGACTAGCCGTAGAATCTGGAGCGTGACGACTTGGGCGGCATGTTGATGGCCATGATTGGCTGTGTTGAGAGGCAGGCCGGAGCGAGGAGACGCGGCACCGGCCGAAGCGTGCTGGGCAGCGCTGATAGTGTTTTCATGCAGCAGCGCCGTGTATACAGTGCAGTATTATGCAATGGAGAGAGAGTACGGAGTATGTAGGTAGATATGGATAGTATCTACAGTAGCTACAGTAGGTAGATAGCCATTACGAGAAAAGAAGCTGGAGGTTGCTCCCAAAGCTCGATTCACGTGACTGGGGCAGGCCTGAGATCCTTCAATGCGAGACCTGCCCGTCTCGTTGCGATCGTCCCGCGCCAACAGCCGGGCACAGCCACTGGCTACTGCTGTCTTTTTCTTTTTTTTCTCTCCCTTTTCTTTCTCTTCTTCTTTCTTCCTCATCCATACACAATGCGAGCATCGTCAACCGTCGTTGAACCGTCGTCGGAAAATATTCTCAGCTGCCAAGCTGCCAAGCTGCCAAGCTGACAGTCGATCATCTCTTGCAACCGCGGCCATCTCGCATCGCCAAGCAAATGTGCCAAACTCTACTCGTGCCTGGCCTCACCTTATCAATGCCGACAGCCGCTCTCTGGGCTTGGCATGGCTGGGCTTGGCAGAGCTTGGCCTCCTCGACGCGGACGACAATGTGACTCGCGATAGCGGCCCCGGACTGTCTACGTCCGCCGGCAAGCTTCAAGATACAGCAGAGACAGCAGATACAGCAGAGACCCAGAGCCCGCCCACCACACACCCCACGCCCCACGCCGCCAGCCCGCTTCGGCCATGGCGCCCTCGCCCTTCGCCTGTCCCGCAGCTCTGATTCTGATCCTGGTCCAGGAACGGGCTAGACTAGGTCCGACCCGACGCCGCCACTCGGAGACAAAGACCGCTCTGGAAGGTGGCCGGCCAGCTGCCACATGAGGCACGGAGGCGATGGCGGCAAGCTCAGCTGGCACTGCAATTTCGCTGGCAATCGGAGTGCCTACAGCACCTGGAGGGAAAGCGAAGCGGCGCTCGATCGAGGTGTGGGTGGCAGCGTCAAAAAGTCCTCAAAGTGTGCGAGTTCTGGACTGCCGTCGACAAACAGCCTGAACTCTCGACGCCTTTGCACGCGCCACACATGCACAGGCCTCGAGAGCCAATAAAGACCCTTACCGACCTCCCAAAATGGGAAGCAAAAGGGTAAATGGGCTGTTGGTTGCAGCCCTCTCTTGCGGCCGCCGGCTTTGCAACAAGCTCTGGTATCTTTCGTCAGCCCCATGCACCCGGAGAGAGAGTCCTGGCTGGGGACAAGGGAGCCTAACCCCGAAGATCGCTTCCGAGTTAGATCGCATGTGATAGACCTTAATTGGTACTGCCGCGCTTCTCACGCTTAATGATGCAATAGTCAACTCGCCAAGCGCCCTGGCACTTGCTCAGTGGAAGATGACCGAGGTTCTCAGCGGCGGACGAGAAAAAGCGGGCTGTTATGCGGCAGAATTGTGGTTTAGGAGCTTACCAGGCAAGACGAAGCAAGATATCCGGCTTACCAATGGGCGGCGCCTCAATGTGTTACAAGATGATTATACGAGAAAATGATAAGGAGAGGACGCATTGACGACGTTGTATTGCGCTTGGTAGGGAAATACCATGTCCGTGGAGTTAATGGTCTGGGTAGCACGACGCGTCTAGAAGCATGGATAGTCAGCAATGCAACTCAACCACCACCCTCCGCAGAGCCGATTTAGGCCCGATCTCAACGGTCGAGTATGGTGTGCTACTACTGCTAGATTGGACAAAAAGCCTGCTAATCGGTGCATGTAAAAGGATAATTAGACCACCTTTATCATGCAGCTATTCACAAGCTAACGCCTAATATAGGTAGTCTCCGCATGTCCTACGTGGAGTGAGCAGAAGTCCCATCCATAAACAGGGTTCATGATAATATCGGTATTACTGATATGAACACTGACCTTTTGCGAGCTGAAAGTAAATAGAATCGACTGCAGGACGAGCTACAAAGATTCTTGTGGTCAAAAGAACGCGCAACGGCCCAATATACAGAAACGGCATGTGAGAATGTTTTGACGCCCTCCCGAGAATAAACAACCCAGATCGATATACCCATAGAGGATAGTATACAGAAAACATCGGTTGATCTAATTCGAAAGAGCACACCCTCCTTGCATGGAGTGTAATTTGTACGTGGATGGAGACGGGATTAATGACCCCGTCTGCAGTTAAGCCGCATTGATACTACATCCTGTCATAGTTTCGTGTAAATGCGCGCTTTGAGCATCTACTCACGATGTATTCAAAGCAGATACTCATTTGCTCACTTCCAGACGTATGCCATGTACATTGAGAGGAGGTCCCTTCCATTAGGTAGTCTATCGTATATGATACCACATTTACAAGCCTCATATTCCATTTTTATATGTTATACTGTCTGTATCAACGTGAAGACCTACAAGCAGCCAATAATGGAGGTGCAGAATGGCGTGCTTCACGTTCCTGGGTAGGTTGCATTGGATGCTGCTTCGAGGCAACGCCGTGTGTTGCATTTGAGATCCATGGCGCCATTCGCCGCTAGTGCGCACTTTGCGCTGAGCTCCAAATATAGAATCCATATTAGATAATAGACTATCCCATGTATGGTGTACTGGCATGTTTGTCGATGGCGATGATGAGGATAACGAGCATCTACCCTACAATCATAGCAGTAATCACGTCGAATCAGATGGATAACCAGACACTAGGTATTTTCCATTCTCCTGTAAAAACACGTATGCAATGTTTACGGTGCGTTAATCTATGCAAAGAATCATGGTTTCCGTAGATAAAAAGTATCTGTGTTTCGTATACGAGGCTGGCAAGTTAAGCCAAAAATATATGTATATATATATATATAACACAATGTGATGTGATTCACACCTCTCTTGCCGACTTATCCAGAGCTCGTATTTGGGCACACAAATTAACATGTTACTAAACGGGAAAAAAAAATGATAGAACCCTTGCTATTGTACGATCGCTTCCATGTTTGGACGGCACTTTTGGCTCTGCCTTGTTGCGGAGGAATTGTCTCCCACGTACCCCCAACTATCCCTCCAACCTTTGTCTTGCTTCTTCATTTGGGTCTTTTTTTTTCTTGAATATTCAACTCATACTTGCTCATTAGGCATCAAAATTCGAATGAGACTATGCATCGATGGCAGCTTATCTTGTAACCCAATCCTCTTCCTTGCATGTCCTTCCCAGACGCCAGACGCACAGGACAGTATCGGACATGCAGTTGACCAATACGCATCTCCGAGTATCACATTCGTCAATGCCATGCCATTCAAAACTGCTGGGCCTGATATAGGCATGGTTCGCCCTAGTTTAAGCGCTGGAGAGTGCACTTTTTCTGCATTGGAACGCAGCTAAACCAACAACCAGCTGCGTGTGCTATTATTAGTGCAAACAGCGAAAAGAACCTTGATGGACGTTTTGCTCCTGTTTTAGAGATGCATGTTAATAGGTTTTCCCAAATTGTCCAATTGCAGCTTATCAATTTCTCTAATGACCTAATTTTGTTTGGAAAATATGCGCATATGTGTGCTGTTCGTCTCTCTCACCAACATTGAAGTCTGTTGAGGAGAGTCATTATACTGGAAGGCTATGTTGAAAGGTAAAAATTTCCCTCATTAAGGAATGAAGCAGTTTGGTAGAGCCTATTTCCTATTCAGAACAATTGACAATTATACCATGCTGGATAGACTCTCGCAAGAAAACTATTTCATTTTGCGTATATCTATACGTTTTTGAAGAGATAATATGGAGTTAGGATATATTGCACGGCTGGTAGCATCATCCCTGTAAGCAGAATACACTTTGGTTGATATGGCTAATTAAATAACGGACTCCTGTCACCCTTTATTTTCTCTTTTCGCACTACAGGCTTTTACTTACCTTCTGTTGTTGTACGAAGTATGTATGCATATCGTGGTACCATACGGGGATCTTTTCCACGTCAAATTCAATGACCACTTCCTGTCCAAGAGAATCAGACGCAATTGCAACCACAGATTCCGAAACATCGCACGATGCTCTCCATCCTCCTCGATATTTTACGGGGAGCCAAAGTATTTTCTCCCCATTGTATGTTATCCAAGAATAATCATTACCATTGTTATAACCAAGCTTATCGTAACGCCATGGCTGGAACTGGCCAACACTAGCTGCATCCTCACCTAGTGCTGTAGAGTCTTTGAACTTGATTCGACCAAGATTGGTGCGCAATCCCGAGTTACCATTAGGCTCGAATGATAGATATGTTATCCCCGACCCAAATTCGATGGTCTGCATACGGGCCCCCGTATCGGTATTCCAGATGTAGACCTCATTTTTACCCATGAACAATGCTTTTGATGCTAGGAGCGTCGAGTCATATGAAAAAGCGAGCGTTTGAGTATATCCATCGATACCATGTAAACCGTGTAAAATATCACCTGTTTCGAGACTCCATATCCTGAGTGCCTCCTTTCCAAATAGCCCCTTCCCAAATACCGCAGCAAGTTTCGTATTAGACAAGGCAAAACAGGGAACGGCTCCCGAGTCGAACTTTCGGGTAGGTGTGTCCGATTTAATCGGCCAAACAAAAAGCTCTTTTGCAAGCTTCGAGGCATATGCTATTCGAGATGCGTCTGGAGAGAAGCACAGGGTTATTTGATGGAACTCAGTAGGCACAGCATACTTGACTACTCGTATGCTTTCACCTGTATTCACTCGCCAGATCCTCAGAGATCTGTCTTCCAAGATGCCTGCAGCCAGCGTAAAGTCTGCTGAGAAACAGGCTTGACCAACTACAGATAGATCTGAACCAAGCCCATCTAGGTTTTGCACGGACCGGCGTCCATCAGTGTGCCAAATCTCAGCCACGCCGCCTTTAATTACAGCTAAAGCTGAATCATGCATGAAAGTAGGCTCGCTTTGCAGTTTGTTCTGGTCGAATTCTGCAAGACAAGTGCCCGAATCAACTCGAAAAACCTGCCAGGTGCTGCTACGTCGGTATAGTTCTAGTAGCAAGAGTGACGAGTCGGGTGAAATGGTAATGGACCTAACCTGCTTGTGCTTCTTTTCATTCATTTCAGGCAATCTCTCTTTGCTGACGCTGTAAATACGCAGTGTCCTATCATAAGATGATGAAACGAGGAACGTAGAGTCATGCGAAAAAGAAAGAGACGTAATGCTGTCTGTATGATCAGTGACCGTCCATAAACACTCGCCAGTAGCGGTTAACCAGATCCCGAATTTATGGGACTTTAACGAAATTGCCAGGAGTACCGCATCATGGGAGAAGGCGAACCCGCAGTGCCCATAATCAAGCCTGAATTTTTGATAAAACTTCAAAGACCCCTTGTCGATGCGGCAGATTTCTACGGCGACTTGAAAACCCAAAGCCACAAGGGAGGAGTCGGGCGAAAATGCTATATCCGAACAGTGCTGTATCAAGGTGGGCTTTCCGCCATGGATAGGCCACATCTCGAGCAATTTGGAAACGAACGATTGCACAACTATGTAAGTGGAATCTGGAGAAAATATTAAACTCTGGTCGCTAGATACACTAGTCTTGATGCTCTTTGTGGAGTCGGCTGGCGTTGAAATTGACCGGATTTCGATACCCGTGGCGGCGAATACTGCGACGAGCTTGCAGTCGTGAGAAATGGCTGCACCATATCTGTGACCCCGTCTAACTTCAGTTACCGGACTGACCACCACTGGATCTTCCTCTGCCCTTGTCTTACACGTCCATGTGTCTGTCTCCCACCTCTGAACAGAGCCATCTGAGCAGACCAAGTAAAAGGATGTTGAGTCGGGTGAGAATGCAATTGTTTTTGAACGAATGGCCTTGATATTGTGGATACAAGTTCCACTGTGGCTTCGCCAGATTAGGACCTTTGTTTTGCTGCGTGATGCTATGAGTGACGAGTCCGGCGATAAGACAGCTTGGAATACAGGTTCATTGTGGCCTTCTAAGGTTTGGAGGCACAAATCCCAGTCCATTGAGACAGTACGCTGATGTTTTATCCACGCTGGAATCGCTTTTTCGAAACATTGTCGAAACTCGCACCTCTTTGGCGCAAAAATCAGACCAGAAGAGTATATCTGTAGCGGCGCTACATCCATCATATGTTGATAAGCACGTATGAATCGTTTGGTGTCGCGTAGGAGACCGAATACTTTATCATTGTTCTTAAAGTAAAGACAGAAGTTAGCGGATTTTCATGTAGCGTTGGTAGAGGTTGCATACATCAATCATGGCTAAGAGGCTTTCCACCATTTCTCCGCTCTCGACAACGCGACCCAGTAGACTGAGTGCCTCAAGCCAGTGTATTAGGTGTTTGGTGAGGAAGCGATGCGTTTCATCATCAACGCGTATGCGGCCCTGGCTCTCCTTCAAGTGGAAGACCCAGTGTACACATGCGTATCGAACATGGGGAGGCAAGGAAGCCTCGATTGTACCTTTGTCAATGTTCGACCTTGCTATTCCAGGGTGATTGAGTCTACAGATGTCCTGTTTGAGATTGTCATCCCTCGAAAGCAACGTAATACACTGGCGAGCTAGATTTGCATGTGTTTCTCGTTCATCAACCAAGAAGTTATGCTTCTGATCTTGATCACCAGTGCCAATCAAGAAATCGCGAAATGACAGATGAAATAGCTTTACCGGGCTATTGAGGTCTTCTGGGACATTCAAAACAGAGTTTAGACCTGAAAGGCGTAAATTGACATCCATTGGGCTCATTTGAAGCAGTTCTGAGAGTGACGCGATCGAAAGGGGCGCTTCAAGAGCCACAATTGTGCCAACAACTCGGCGGAATTCTCCAATAATCTTTTCCTTCTCTACCTCTGAGCGATCCTCTCGCACGGTTCCATTACGTTTAACTAGCAATTGCTCCAAAATGGGGAGGTATATCCTAGCAAGAGGGTTCCTTTTGCCGAGCTGTCGATGATGTTGCAGAAATTCATGGGCCAACGTCACAGGAAGCCCGAGATCTTCGTCGCCAATATATCGACAAGCAGTTGCCGCCAGAATGAATAGAGGCACTGAAATATCGACAAGATCTTTAATAAGAGAGCGTGGAGGCCAATCTGCGGGCAATTGTAAGTTGGTGAGATTATACTTGTCTCTAATCTGCCCAAGTTGAGATTCCAAGAAGATAGAGATGTCGCTCCGAATATCCTCATCTGCAACTTCATGAAGCGCCTCATAGAGAAAAATTTTGTGATATTTGCACTCTAGTTGAGCAAAAGATTTTCGAAGATGACATTCTGGTCTACTGGCAACCAAGACTTTGAAGCACGTAGACGATACCGCTTCGACACTAGGCAGAAGCTCAATGATTTTGGCAGCACTAGCCTGATCCTCGCATTCATCGAGGGCATCTAGTACGACAACGATAACTGGTGGCAGCAATTTGCAGCTCTCCAATGGTTCTAGTATGAGTTTCTCGAACTGCATGTTTAGCGTTTTGTCGCTTATGCTTGGATTATCCTGCAATGCTTGCTTAACATGTGACGCCATTTCTTTTGGTAAATGCTCAACAAGTTGTTTGACAATGGTAGTAAAGAGAGCACTGGATTTGTCTCGATTGTCGTCACCTTTCTTGAAGAAGAAGCTGGCGGTTACAATGTTTAAGCTTGTTAGATGATGAGAGACGGTTCTGCAAATGGTAGATTTGCCGGTGCCCGCCATGCCACATAGCCAATATATGCGTCGTCCGTCTGTTTCCTGAGCCCATTTACCAATCTCTCCCAGAATCTTGACACGGGTGCCAGGATAACACTGGGGTTCGTGTTCATTAGCGTGGGCATCGAAAGCTGCACCTTGAACCACTGGGAGTTTAGAGAGAATCTCGTCGGACTGAGCACATTGAATATCCATAATCATGTTGCTTAACACAGTAAGTAGTTGCCTAATCGATATATAGTAGATAGATAAAGACCCACGTTTTGTCAATATCGAGGGCGATCCTGATATCCTCTCGGCCCTTCCGCAGATTTTCAATGTCGTATTTAATTCTACGACTTTGAAATGGCCACCGTGCTCTCTTCAACATCTGCTTCCGGAAGCCGGGATTACCTGATAGTTTCTCATCTAGCTGACATTTGATGCTAGCAAGCTTAGAGGAGTTTGCATCGAGAGCGGATCGCAGTCCCTGAGATACTTGTAGACGGCCGTTTTGATTTTCTAGGAGATCCTTGGCTTTCCCCAAAATGGAGAGGTGGGCATTAATTTCTTCGCCAAGATCTTTCATATCCAATTCGGCATCCTTGACATCGTTGGCATATTTGTACAATGCTGAAGCGGTGTTTATGGAGGTTTCTATGACGCCAAAGATATTCAACGCGGTAGAAAATCCGTCCATTGCGTCGAAGAAGAGCTATTCGGTAGTACTAGATTTATGTCTTGTGCCTACTTACTTCCAGCACTCAGACGGTTTCAAGTGACAAAGAGAATTTAGCAATCGATGAGTTAAGATGAGGCCTATTTAGGCATGCAATGCATGGTACATGTAGATATGCCATACAAGCGCTGAGGAGAATGAGCCTATCGACGCATAGAATATTTAAATTTACAGTAACAAAATAAATTTATAATCGATTGTAAGTAATCATTTAAGGGCAGTCCAATATCGCTGATAGAACGACGCGCCCGAAGGATTCGTGCCCAACGGCCGATTGGTTGAGATACGGCACGTGATGGTTATCATTGATTGTATGTGGTCAACTCCAAACAAAATCCTCAACGTTCTATGTTCATGTTGTTACGATATTCGTCAATCAGATGAAAATGGCTTCACCAACATCTGCCAATATCGACGCTCCATTGCGCATACGCCTACACCGACAATGTGGCGCTTGTAACCACCTTTTTTTGCCGGGCGATCATCTGGTTGCACGTATGATATCCGAACTGTCCTCAACAGGTAACACTGCTAACAGATCAAGTGCTTTGTAATGAAAAATCCATTCGAGCGTATAGTGTGCTTACCTTTGTACCCAACTCCCAGTGCAAATTGCTAGAACATGATAACATCCAATTTTGCATGCATCACATATGTGGCTTTTGCTCCAAACTCAATGAGGGCGAGGAGAGCGTGACGGTTCATGCTGATTGTCTAAGTATGTTTGGTCAAACTTGCAGTGCCCCAGATAAATACCAGAGGCTCTGGATTGCAGGGACTAGAATATACCCGTGGCGGACCGTCGCGCCCTTGGAGCTCGACCCTGGCTGCTGCGCATCTCCAGAACTCATCAGCAGCGCTGCTGGTTTACATAGGACGTTGCTTCCAGAGCTGGCTGATATAATTGGTGGCTATTTACAGCCACATCATGCTCTCTTGAGGTTTTGCAGTGTTATACGACTAGCGAAAGAGTTGAGCAGGGCTGAAATGGATTATGCTGTCACCTATCCACTTTGCGAGGTTCTGTCGTGGTCTCGTGGTGCCTCTCCTACATTGGTTGAACAAGGGCAGGCCGCCAATCCTAGAGTTCGGCTTACCATTGACTCTCGCGGGATTGAAAGGATTGAAAGAGTTTCTGATGATTCACAAGAAACTACTAGGGACTTGTTAACCAATTCTCACGCATATGTTGTAGACCTAGTGGAACAACTATCAGGGGTTAGCATAGGATTTCAGGTTGGCCTCGCCTCCATGCCTTTGAGGCGCCTGCTAACCAAGACTGCCTTATCCAGCTGGGAATGAGCCGTCTGCAAGTTCCGACGTCAGTAAACATCAGCATCTGGAACGTCCCGTCGCCGCAAGACCTCCCGCGTACTACATGTATTACATTCCACGGCAAACTTTCATCTGGACGATTTGCAGCCCTTGATCTAGATCCAAAACAGTGCACTGGATTATCTTTTTTCTTGTCCATTAGACAGATAATGGCTATCCATGGGCATACGAAGCGAGGCTCACGGGCTCCTCAGGCCTTTCAGCATCTGAATCGCGATCACTCGCCTGGCCTATTCTGGATCTACATTCCAATAACAGCCAACGATAAGGTGATTGCGATCGGTACCAGGGAGGCTTACATTGCCAATGGTGGAAGTTATTCGATTGTAGTAAGATTCCCAGCATAGCAGCTCCGATGCGCTCTCAATCTAACGAGGTCAGCTAAAAATGAAATCTGGGACTTATTTTATTGGGTTTCCTCTCGTTAAGATCATGGGACCGATAGACGAAACCTTGCATTTAATTCAAGAAGCAGACGATCGCCACTTAACACTTATTCACGAAGTTCCGTATAACACGGGCATCTCGTTTATTGCGGTTGACAAGGTAACAAGGACCACTTCTAGGATCATAATCAAAAGGTCGAACTTTCCCCACTATTCAACCCATTCTTATGCATCCCTGGAGGGTGTGGTTAACGCACGTGTCTTGAGGGATAAGGAGAAAGGTATGTGTCGCGGCATTTTGCTGGAATATGAAGACGGTACGCTGCGAGCGCTCGGGCAATGCCGCCTTGGCCTTGATACTGTTCAATGCTACAAGCATCCGACAAAATTTCACTACACCATTGTGAAATACTCTTCCCATATTAAGACGCATGACTCTAGATGTCTTCAAGCAGCCTTTGACTCTGAAAGCGGCCTCTTTTCGACGCATAATAACTCGGAATGGAAGACTTGTCCGATGAAGGGTTTTTTGCAATTTTCATTTAACCATTTCGGGGTTGCAGTTAGATATCATGACGCCTGGCGGCCACATTTTGACTACTAAGACATGTGTTTTTGTTGTCAAACGTAGGGTATAGCTTAACTTTGGCTTTGCTGTTTTGGTTATCCAATAGCACCAATCCTGTTACTAGCAGTATCTGATATCATTGTGATTTAGCCCACTTTTAGCCATGCAGCTGGGAATTCAAGATGTCTCATCCCCTATATACATAGCTTCTAGGACCTAGATCTCCTGATATGTCATCATCCTTGGTTTGAAGCTTACGATGACTGTTTTGTGTTTTGATAATAGTGCTTGGTGTCCAGCTACCGTAAAGTTCGAAATGGGTGTCGCGGGTTATTTTAGTTAATTTAGTAACAAGGTGACGGCTAATTGTGGACTTGTACCTCTAAGTTTCCAGTCGTACCCCGCCTGTACTATGGAGCACTGTAACAAAGCCAGGACAGGCCCGCCAGCACCGGCGGGTAGGGGGCGAACCCCCCGTCTTCCCATTCCCTTTCGATGACGTTCCAAAGCAGAGGACCATTGTGCATAGAGATAACGATATATATATTCTACAGTATTTTGTCCTGTCGCCATGATTCTGTGAAAGAGCATCTCGTTGCAGCGACGCATTCGCGCGAAACAAGCCGACACGTTGCTACATGCCGCTACGACATTCTCGTGTGCGCTTGTACACGTAGCAATTGAGGGGTATCAGGGGCAGGATTGGATGGCGGCCATACATAATCTAAAGCTGCCCAACAATCAGGCTACAGTTTCTGGGCCGGATACTTCTAGCCCTATAATTCCCTCCTGGTCTTGCGTATTAAATCTTGTACAATTGCTTCCCTTCAATTATCTCGGATATCGCTTGTGGTTCGCCACTCGGCCAATGTCTCTGTATCCGAAGATCGTATTTCGCGTCAAAGGGTTCCGTCTCTTAGAATATTTTAATCGCGATGGATGTAACGGCGACGTACTTGCGCGAGATTACTGGCAACCGCTTTGGCGATAATACTGCAATCCACCAAGGGGATGTTCATTACCACTCGCCCAATGATACGACTCGAGAAAACGAGGATATAAAATGCCTCACGGACTTACGTATAACGGACCCCCGCGACGATAAAGCTCGCATTGAGGCTACAAAGGGCGGCCTATTTAAAGGTTCATACCGCTGGATCCTCCAGCATAGCGATTTCCGACAATGGCGCGACGACGAATGCAGCCGTCTGCTCTGGATTAAAGGGGATCCTGGCAAGGGCAAGACGATGTTGCTCTGCGGCATTGTGAATGAGTTAAGCTCTGAAACGAGACTGAAGGACCAGAAAGCCAATACACTGCTATCCTACTTCTTCTGTCAGGCCACCGACGAGCGCATCAACAGCGCTACAGCCGTGCTGCGAGGCCTTATCTACCTGGTTGTGGAGCAGCAGCCGCTCTTCGTCTCCAACATACAAAAAAAATATAAGCATGGCGGGGCGGCGATTTTTAAAGATGTGAATGCATGGATTGCATTATCAGACATCTTTTTAAACATTTTAAAGGATGCAAACCAGGAGCAGACTTATATTATTATTGACGCACTTGATGAATGTGTGACTGACCTACCAAAGCTGCTCGACTTTATCAATACAAAGTCCACTCTCTTTCCCCGCGTCAAGTGGATAGTGTCTAGTCGCAACTGGCCAGATATTGAGGAGCATCTTGATTCTGCCGCTCAGCAAATTAAGCTGTGTCTAGAGCTCAACGAAAAGTCCATCTCCGCAGCCGTCGATGCATATATTAAGCACCAAGTCGAATGGTTAGCCCAGAAGAAGAAATACAATGCTGGAACAAAGGATGCTGTTTACCACCACTTGTCCTCTAATTCTAATAATACCTTCCTCTGGGTAGCCTTAGTCTGTCAGAACTTAAAGAAGATCTCGATACGGAATAACCTTTCAAAGCTAAACGAGTTTCCACCTGGACTTGATTCTTTGTATAAGAGGATGATGAAGCAAATACATGATTTAGAGGATGATAGCGATACTACCTTTTGTTACCAGATCCTTGCGACCGTGTTGCTCGTATATCGGCCTGTTACACTGGCTGAGCTTGGCACTCTTATTAAGTCCCCAGAGGATAATCCTGCAGATGCCGAGTTAATCGATAGGGCAATAGGGTTTTGTGGCTCATTTCTCACTGTGAGAGACAGCCTGGTTTACGTTATCCACCAGTCAGCCAAAGACTACTTAAGTAACGAAGCAGCGCCTACTATTTTCCCCTCTAGCTCCGCCGACGTCCATGGTATCATCTTCTCGCGGTCACTAGAAGCTATGTCTGCCACGTTACGACGGAATATTTATAATTTATGCCCCCCTGGACTCCCAATCAACGAAATTAAGGCACTAGATCCGGATCCGCTAGAAGGCATACGTTATTCTTGTATCCATTGGGTTGACCATTTCTGTGATATGCATAACACTGAGAGCCAATCTCAGGATCAAGTTGGCCATAAGTGCCGAACCGTCTTCCTATTTATTCGGAAGTACTTCCTGTACTGGCTCGAGGCTTTGTGCCTTATGGGGCATGTAGAGGATGGGGTTCTTTCAATGGCAAGGCTAGAGAATCTACTGAGAGTAAGTTGGTGGCGCTATAACAATCGGGAGTGAAACTGACCAATAAAGGGATCATCACCGGACCGCCAGTCATCAGACTGCCAATTACTAGAACTTGCACAAGACTCATGGCGGTTTATCCGGCAGAACAGTTCGTTGATTGCGGATAGTCCACTCCAGATATATACGTCGGCGCTTATATTCAGTCCATTGAATACCTTTATACGGAAAATATTTGAAGAGGAAGAACCTCAATGGCTAAAGGTTAAACCCATAGTGGAATATAATTGGAGCCCTTATTTACAAACACTTAAGGGCCATAGTGGTCCGGTTTGGGCAGTTGCCTTCTCAGCAGATGGCCGCTACCCCGCCTCAGGCTCGTGGGATGAGACTGTAAAGATCTGGGATGCAATAACTGGCAAAGAACGTCAGACCCTTGAGGGCCATAGTGGTGGGGTTAACTTAGTTGCCTTCTCAGCAGATGGCCGCTACCTTACCTCAGGGTCGTCGGATGGGACCTTAAAGATCTGGGATATAACAACAGGCAAAGAGCATCAGACCCTTGAGAGCCACAGCGATGCAGGCCGCTTAATTGCCTTCTCAGCAGATGGCTGCTACCTTGCCTCAGGCTCGTCGGATAAGAACACCATAAAGATCTGGGATACAACAACTGGCAAAGAGCATCAGACCCTTGAGGGCCACAGCGATGGGGTTTGCTTAGTTACCTTCTCAGCAGAT